TGCTAGCAATCCTAAGACGTCCTGCTATTCCTTCTTCTTGTTTGATAACCTTCGTTTGAGTCCTAGTCTCCGCCCCTACGTTTATTCGTTAAAAGGGTTGTGACACTGTTAAAGATTTATTATTTATTGATGTCATAGTACAGACTCCAGAGAGAGAGAATATCTGGGGCGGTATTTAATGCTGGTGTTAGGTATTTTCTACGGAGGTGCTACTTGCCAATTATCAGGGCCGACAAGCTTTCCGAAATCTTGTTATCACATTCTTATACTATAGTGCTAGTATCGGCTAGTGGTCCGCACTACATCAAGTTAGAGTGACCCGTGACTCCAGTGTGAATGACTGATGCTCACAGGTGAAGCAATTTTACGCTCAGGTCTCGCGGTGATTAAACAGGCGAATTCCCTAGCTCCGTGCTCGGAGGACTCATGCATATAGGGGACTTGGACAGGTTTTATTGCGAACCGAGAGACAGAGGTAGTACATAGTACATGACACGGCAGCAAAAGGCAAAGTAGATATCAAATGCCCGTCACATCTGTAGAAGAATATCACCGACCGTCAATTTTTGAATTGGAATGATATCACAGGGGCGTTGGTGGATGAGGATGACGAGGGTGTCTGAGGCCTCGAGGCGGGTGTCTGTGACGACCGACTACTTTCGGGCTGAAAAATTGCATGACGACGCTGATGGTTCAGGGTTGAGTCCGGCGGCAGAATCTAGTCAGGAGGTTCTTTCTTTGGCTTCAATGAAAATATTTTAACTTCGGACCAACTTGCGAGAAGCCTCGCCAGAATTCGAAGCCAGTGCTTGAATGTTGAACCAATTCCGAAAGTACCCCACCAACAACGGTACTATGTAGCCTGTATTTTGTTCAGCACTCATTGCGGAGTTTCGGGAATACGAACGCGGGGGATGTATTTGTCTCCGGCACACAGCATACGTCAGTGTGATGCGTTTGCGATTTCTCGGACGCCAACCCTTGAAACACCGATCTAAACAGCTTGAAGTCCTTGCCATCGCACTACAAATTAAAATGGAATTGAGTGGGCTACTAAATCCCTGCAAGTGGTATATAGTACCTTTGGTTAGTGCCAGTTTCCAGTCTTGAGAATAATGCAATCCATTCACCTATCCAATTGAGAGAGTTGTGTAAGACGATATCAACATGTCTAAAAACACCAGCTCCGGTGATTCTGAGCAACATTGCCGTCATAGATGCCTTGGCAATCAAGATGGAAAAGATCCATGTTAGCATAAGGGGAGCATGCGACCGAGATAATTGTCAAGATGACGAAAACGCAAGGACGATCATTCGGGCCCATCAGTTATCACGATGCCAACTTGATACTGTTTGATGGCAAGAGATAATGCACGCACGTGCATGGGCTATTGGATCATGATGGCGTCTTTGTATATGGACGTTCTGTTTATATCTCGAAGCCAGAAGCTTCTCGGTTTCGACGGTTCAACGAGAGGAAGCAATGTTCAGCATGATATCTACATATTGTAAAGACAATTGTGGCACGGTGAGTTAGCACATATACTTACTGGGCAGCCCCTGTACTATGGAAAGCCTAACGTCCGTGCTCTTAAATCGGTGTCACGCACCCATTTAAGGGCATAGGACCCTGTACACCGTTCGCGTTATAATATTGGCTTCGGAGTGATGCAGTTAGACATTTCATGTATCTACTATCTACCATTCATCTGCGAAACTATCGTCATCTTCACAGTCTGAGAACTCTGAAACAACCAAGCCGGCATCATCAGCTCCTGTCAATTCCGGCTCATTGTCACGCTCAAGGATGTCCAATTGACAATGATGTCCGGTATCCATGCCGAGTCCTCCATTCACACCCCCCATATACATAATATGCGTCGTTGGATTCCTCGCGTGCAGGTAGGTCCTCATAATTGTCCAAAAGTGGGATAACTTCTTCATCTTCGCCGTCTAGGAGCTCGATCTGCGGAGGCAGCTCATCAGCGCGCTGCAACATTTCCAACAACTGAAGATAAATCTCCCAAGCTGATTGCCGTGTAACTGCTGGGCGACCCAATTCATCATAGAAGTGCGAGATACATTCTCCAAACGCCTCGGGAACCAGATCAAATACTGGATGTGAAGGCTTGATGTAGGCACTTTGTACATGGTCTAAAGCCTCTGGTTCAAGTTTAATCTGTGCACGGGATTATATTAGAAATACTGTTGACTGATATATGTAACGATATGTAACGAACCTTGAAATCCAAGGCGCCGAAGTCTTCGGCTGCCTCGTAGATAATATTTGGGGACGCCGTGTGGGAGAATCTTGTTGCGGTCGCGCCGTTTCATGGAGTTATTGACGCGATCCCGATAGGCATCCAGCTCCCGCTGGAGCCACAGGATAAAGACCCAACGGAAAACCAGTCTGAACAAACATGTGAGCTGTTAGTGATGACATGAGGCCCGAAAACTCACACTTGAATGGTATTGTTAGTATCATACCAGCCCGCGTTAACACCATGATCTAGTAGGTTTTCAAACCCTGGGGTGAAACAGTGACACAGTTGAGACCACGTAATTTCAGGCATGACGTTTTTCTTGCTTCGCATCCAGCGATGCTGGAGTGTGCCATGCAAAGCTGGGTCATGCCATTGCCGCAACATGGTGTGGGCGTTTGCAATGCCGAAATTCTCAGAACCAGGGTCGCTTTGTGTTACCATAGGCATATCTATGAAATGAATCAGGCTGCTGGGCGCCCTGAAAGATGCAAATTGACTTACGGCCAAGTTCCTCAAGCGTGTCAAGGTAATAGGTAAGAATCAACTGCGGATTTCTGTTAGAGTGCCAGACTCGGATCCACATAATGCGGCCAGAGAACGGCTCAATACCCGTGTGCAGCCCCAGACCAAACTTGAGCCATTTATCGTGCTGATCGACTGCAAACAAGTCATTCACACCAGCGGCCCAGAATCGCCTTCTTCGAAGGCGACATGCCTTACGCTCACGGACAAGATCAGGTTCAAACACCGCAAAGTATGATGCTATGACACTCCTAAGATGAAAAAGAGTCAGCGACCTGAATGCAGTACAGTCGGCACAGTCATATCACCTAGCCACGCTCATATCCTGCTCATGATACAGTAAGCTTGCCATTTTCGCGTGCTCCTGCATTCGGATAGATCGCACGTAACTCGACCATTGCATCGCGGATAGACTCAACAGTATGCGCTTGCTGATGGGTCCGTTGAAGACCCATTGCTTTGCGGATTTCGAGAAATTTGGTACGTCTAGTGTTTAACGTTACATTATGTATGAGGAATAAAAACCCCTGTGACTTACCCGATGCCGTAGCGAGTTGTGTCGATGTGCTTCTGCAGCTCAAGGACAATTTGATGGTCTGTCTGGCGTGCCTTCCACATGCGAAGAATATGTGGTTGCAATTACCTCCAGCGGAGCTGCCTGAAGGTCAGAACACTGGGACTAATGTTATAGTGAAAGTGTGGCCGCTCACGAGTGGGTTTCCATTGGTTGGGCATGGGGACTTGAATGATCATAACGGTTGTGTAGGTGTTGATATTTATAACATTACTTCAATCTTGAGCCAAAGACATAGGGTCCAAGTCTTACCTTCTCTTCTCACCGTCTTACCTCCTCTCACCGTCTTACCTCCTCTCACCGTCTTACCTCCTCTAATCGCCCTTTGTCTTGCCCATCTGTAGAGAGTTGCATGTGAATACTCACTCCGACTCGTATCGCTCATCATATTTAGAATTGCTTTACTCGGACTGCAGACTGGCTTATAGGCATTATTGGAGCCTGGTATCTGGAGGATCTGGAGAGCACTCATCCTCTCTGCCTTTACTGGGCTGGATCTGGAGAGCGGTCATCCTCTTGCAAATCTGAGTTTGCTGGTCATGTATGACCTTATATATTATCCTGGGTAAGTCATTCTTCCGGACTGCAGGAGGCTATGCCTTTACTGGGCCTGGATCTGGAGAGCGGTCATCCTCTTGCAAATCTGAGTTTGCCGGTCATGTATGACCTTATGTATTATCCTGGGTAAGTCATTTACTTCAAATCCGCGCTTGTAGGCGTTTATGAGCTTTTCAGAAGACTGTGCACTTCCTAGACGGCTTGAAGAGGAGCGCGTCCTGGAGGGCATGAAACTAATCGAACACCTATTGAGGGAAGCATCGACTCTACGATCACGGATGGGAATTGAAGGATCAATTGGTGTTAGTGGGAGGAGCTGCTTAGTACCGCTGGCAACAGATCTTTGTGGCCAAACTTGAATAATCACGCGAGCATTGCTAACCTTGCTCCTCAACTAGCACCATCTGTCTCATTTAGTGTTCAAGCAAGATTTGGACTCTGGCTCATATCATCCGTATCATCCACCATGGTCAGAATTGTCTCTCGAAATGTCTCCTTGACCAATGTGTTCTGGCGACTCAGTTGTTCTGGCGACTCGCATGTGTTACGGTCATGTATGACCGGTAAACCTCTTGAATTGTCTCTTGAATTGTCTGTTCGACTAACGTGTCTCAACCAATGTGTTCCGCTCGTGTCTGACCTGGTAAACCTCCTAAACAACCTCTTGAATTGTCTCTTTGACTAATATATTCCGGTCGTGCTCAGTTCGTATATATAAGGTGAGACGAATCACCAGCAGATTATCGCAGACCACGATGGCAGAGTACGAGATCGTTTCTCAATTCACTGAGGACGCTTATGCCAAAGAAGACCGCATCTGTGATCGTCCTGTTTGCAGGGCCAAGATCAGGAAAGGTGAGCCATGTTTCTATGTGGCTACCATCGAGCCAGGACAACCTGGGCGTAATGTGTGTGCATCCTGCCACGCACATTACAAGAAGAACCCAGCGACCTCAGTGAGGCCCACCCACCGAGCCCAGCAGCTGCGTCCGTTTACCAGTGCGCAGGGTTCAATTAACGACCGCGTTCCTAACTTGCACGCAATTCAACAGTCAGTGAATGCAGCACAACGGAAATGTGAGTAAATTATATGTTGGGAGTCCCTCCGCTAATTCGCACAACAGTAACAGTCAATCCTCCACCTGTGGTGGCCAAGCCTCGTCGCACTGCAGGGCCAGACGTCATGATACCTACATCATGGCAAGGCTCGTCACAGCCGGCAGGTTCATCACGCTCAGCTGGTTCAATTGGGTATTCGTCTCAACATGGGCTATATCGTATGGAGCACGAACGCCGGGCCAAGATGGCTTATGCCACGGGCTTGCCTCCAGCGGAGACCATCCTAATCGAGATTAGTGCAGTTCATGAAGGCGGAGGTCGCAAGAAACGTGGGGTTCCCATTGGGGTATGTATGCGCCATAACCTTCTTGAACATGGTGGTGACTGACATCTTTGTTTAGAATATATGCGAGGGAAAGAAGGGCATCGATGCACAGATTGATGCACCAGGGCTGATCGAGCTCGCATTGGTGACTATCGTGCCCAAGTTACAGATTTTTGGCGGTGAATTTGTCTGGCGGGTCAATGAGTTTATAGTGCGAGATTCTGGATGGGTGGATCTTTCCAGTCACCAGCCCTCGGTTGCTTACTTCTATGATCAATGCCAGCAGCTATCCCGCAAAGGATCAAAGACCATGGTATTCAAATCGAAGCAGTTCGCACTAATGGTCGTTGTCCCTGAGACTCAGTGGATTGAATACGAGAATTGGCGGGAAGATGCTGAAATGGTACGTGTACTAGTCTCTTACCTCACTCGTTTGCCCCAACCTAACATTATTTGGCTGTCTAGAATGCCGCTCGTATCAGTCAACATGCTGCTCACAAAGTTACCCAAGTCCCCTCTTCGATACGATCCTCATTGGACTTGGAGAGTGAGTTTGATACAGCCACCGCCACCAATGACGGTGTGATTTTACCTACGACCACTGCGACTACTTCCGCCAAGCGAGCCCATCAACACACTGACAGCTCTAGTAGCTTTAGTATTCCATCTCCTCCTCGAAAGACGACCACTGCGACTACTTCCACCAAGCGAACCCATCAACACACTCACAGCTCTAGTAGCTTTAGTACTTCGTCTCCTCCTCGAAAGAGAGATGTTGTACCTGCAGCTCTCTGCTCACCCAATCGTGACCAACTGAAGGAAGTCTTGAGGATCGGAGGAGGCACTGATATAGATGTGAAGCAAGGTATGTTCGTTGTACTCATGACACTAGCAAGCGGGACTTATTTGAATTTCAGTCTTTGGGCGACAGAACGAGAGGATCCACTTCTACCTAATCCCTTCCCGCTCCATGACCGACCTGTTACTCGACAAGAACCACTCCTTTTCAGTGGAAACTGCTGAGTGGTCCGTGGGCGAGCTGATTATCGACACATCGGCTCAAGGCTTGATTGGAGTTGGAGGCTTCAAAACTGCCCACACAGGATGGCTCACACTGATGGCCCCACCGAAGGCAGGCCCCGGTTCTGTTGCACGGGATAAGATTGTCTCCAAACGACCCTACCATAAGGTATTCGCGACACCAACTGCAACAACGGGACCATACAAGATTGCCCGTTATTCACTCGTTGACGAGCTATCAAAGCTCTTTAGGGAGGCGAACGTCTTGTACTGGGCCAAGTCCTTGTTAAAGCTAACCTATGACTTCATCGATCGTTGCATCGCATCTTCGTCTGAACCACCCCCATTCCTAATTCCACAAGTTCGCTTTGTAGAAGCTGGACTCGCACTGGCTTATCATCAGGGCGGTAGCAAACCTGGAAGCAAGACTGGGTCCACACGCGCCGTCTTCCTTCTCGAAGAGTTCATTGATAGCGATGGGGAAGACTTCGTCAAATTCATTCATAATATGGATGCCAACCCTTTGGTTGACTATGACGAATATGGCTATGACTTGGCGGTGTTCTTCGCATTCACGCAGCATGTACAATATGTCAAGACCGGTAAATTGGCATTTATATCTGATTATCAAGGCGTGCAACAACATACCAGTGTGCACTGCATGAGACTGACTCAGACTGACTCAGACTGACTCAATACCTTTAGGGAGTACAACATTGCTGACAGACCCTCAAATTCTGACACATCCGTGAGTTGCCTGAGTGTTGGGCTCCTTCCAATTGATCTGACGCATCCGGATAGAACCGTCAGTGAAGGACGCGATATTTTTGGGGATGGAAACATGGAGATGACCGTGAGTCAGTTTGAGAAGGACCATGTTTGCAACAAGTACTGCGAATGGCCAGCATTTGGGCTGGAGGCTTATGCAGGTGGAGCAGAAAGTGAAACCTCGTAGTAATCTTAGTATTTTCTTCTTGGAAACAAATGTTCAGTTCATGCGACACGGACTGAATTACCTACTTAGATAATTTGTCAGGGGTGCACGGTGTCCCAATTATGTGACTGCCTTATTTGGAGCATGTCACACCAAGTAACAGAGCACGGACGTTAGGCTTTCCATACTGTACGACTGACTTGAAACTTAAAGATTGAAATCGCGACTCGCGGAGCAATGACCTTGGTGGTTGAATCTAATCATGGATTCCGGAGCATTGTGTGAAGTGACATTCTGTAACAAAAAAATAAACATCACTGTGTCGGGTGGCTTCGATATCAGCTCGATGAGTGATTGAATCAACAAATGTACAATGTCCTCCACGTCATGAGGAGTGTGCGGAGTCCGACAAACCGCAAGTCGGTTCCTGCTGTTGCTTGGAGGGACATTATTCAGCTCGAGTCACGAATGAAGAATGGAATTACTCACTTTGAAATGGGATAGAACTGATTGGGGAGTCTTTGGTCAAGTGAATCGAGGGCATGCACTACGACGTTTGCGTCCTGAAAGTTGTTCAAGACCTAGTTATGGAAACTTGGACTCGGACTAATGTATCCCGCCTCCCCGATCCCAATCTTCCCTTGCCAACTTGAACGACAAGTGTACAACATCGCATAGACATGATAAGAGTAAGATGGACATTGTGCGTTGTCCTCATGGGACACCGAGGTTAACGCTGCAAGTCGGGTGTTTCTTACGTTTGCGACGATGTGGATGACATGAGTGAGTCTTCAGATCGAGATCTGTAATTGGATTGCAATCGTAAAGATCATCGTGATACAGCAATAGTAGAACAGATAGGTTGAGGAGTAAGCTGACTGTCACTTGCGAATTGCGTGGGAGGTAATGGATTGATACGATGCCGGGGGAACGATTTTTTTCAATCTTCGGTCACGATCTGGGTTCTGTGCCTGCCATTCGTCATAAGCTGAGTCGTGGAAGTAATAGGGATGAAATGGAACCCACGATGGGTCGCATGAGGCCATGGTCAAGATGAATTACAAGTTTGGTGCCGGCAGTACTTAGACTCGAGGGTTGTAAGGAAGGTGGGGTGATGGCCATTGGAGACCACTAAATGTTTTGAGAAACTAACCATTGCATGAACGATGACAAGTTCTCGAGACATTCCGCGTCAATGGGCCCCGCTGTTCTTGATATATGATGAAGAGTTAAACTTGAAGACAAGGTGGCAGCAGCTCAACATTCTCGCAGGTCAAAAGGGAGTTGGACTGACTTTATACTTGATGCCACGTAAAGAACTCGTCATGGCCAACATGCAAGGCTAGCCGATTAATCGCGACTAGTTTAATGACCGATTCCATCCGAGTTACGGAATGAGAATGTTTACACGCTGGAAGTGCACTTGGATGACAGTTTTAGATGCGGTGTCCTAGTAGCGAGCTGTTCTGAGCTATCAGGATAAGTCTGTCTTTATCGTTGAGGCTTTTTAGCTTGCGCACAGTCGTAACGAATGAGAATGTTTACACGCGCTTGGAAGTGCGCTAATAACTAACCCGAAATAGAAGCTTCCGGGTGTTGTCGGTTCAATTGGTTGCACGTTCGTTGTTATTACGCCGTGTGGAAACTGGATAGAATCGATGGAGCATGATGACGATTTAGGATGTTGCTTATGAGGAGACTGCTGTGGCTAACGAGCTTTAATCACGAACAACCATGAGCTCACTACGAAACCACCGTGTTATCATTGCTTCACTGTTCTTGCCAACGACTACAGTTCTAGGTGAAAGCAGTCCCCCTACTCCAGATATTTATGCTCGAGAGGTAGGTGCAACAGCTACACAGGACTTGGGCGGTCGTCCTCCAGCATTTAGGCATGCTTCGTCACGATCTATCGGTAGCGCCCCAGCTCCCCTTAAGAGCATAGTCGACGACTTAAAGGTGAACTCTTTCTATTATTTCTAGGTACGATGAATTAACCCCTGCAAGTCTCGCGCAATCACCCCAATCAGCACTCCTCCCTCTGAATTAAATCCATTTTCAAAATTCGCTTCACTAGCTCCATCCCCTGCAGGCAAAGGTTCAATCTCACCCCCATCCATCCAAAACATAGACGCATCACTCGCAAAGTTTCAACCAGACCTAGTCCATTCTATTCGTCTCCAACGCAGATCATCATCTTCAAAACCACCTAGGTATCCCTCCCTCACCCGCTCCTATACAAACGCACCCGCTGAATCCTACTACTTTGCACCAAATATCCACTGTAATGGCGGTCTCAAGAACGCAGTTGACAGCGTCAAAGATCGCATGACGAGCAAACTCTGGGTCGGGACTCTCGGTAACAGCACAGACGCTTATAGCACAGAACTCAAAGCCAGCGTCGATCGAAGGATGATGGAGAAGCATTCTAGTCTACCGGTTTGGATCCCTGATGCAGAGTTTGAGAGTTGTTATGATGAGTTTTGTCATCAGGTGCCTTTCTTCCCCGTCCCTCTTGCTTCCTCATTGATGTTTGATACATAGGTCCTTTGGCCGTGTCTTCATTATGCAGTCCCCGACGCGCCCAAAACTAAACTCTTCTTCGAGAGCGCAGCGTTTAAGCAGTATGTTGCTGTTAATAAGCGGTTTGCAGAGGCTATCGAGAGCGTGTGGACGGAGGGCGATGTCGGTGCGTATCTCGTTGCCGGGGGCTTTGGTTCTGTCTGACGTATGCCCTTAGTCTGGATTAACGACTATCACCTGATGCTCCTCCCCCTCCTCCTCCGCAAAAGCACCCGCATACCCGCTCTCGCTTGTGCTCCAATCGGATTCTTCATGCACGTTGCTTTCCCGAGCAGTGAAATATTTAGGTGGGTCGTGTTTTCGTTGTGTTGGTGTGTTTTAGACGCGACTTGGACATCAACTTCTTACGCTACACCTTCCTGCATCATACCACCTTCTAAACCGACACTAACCCCAACCCCCACAGATGTCTAAGCGTACGCGAACAGCTCCTCCGCGGTATGCTCGGTGCGGATCTGGTAGGATTTCAGACTGCGAGCTATGCAAGGCATTTTAGGTGCGTTTTGATTTTGTTTCAGCTGCGATAGTTGGGTTGTGCTGGGAGATGTGATGAGTTGACTTTCCTGATTTTGTCTATGCACCACCCCAGTTTCGTCTGTGCACTTCCTGCACTCATTAACATCACCCTTCTAATCTCGCGTTAATTCTCAACTCACGATGCATAGCTAACGCACGCATACATCCACACAGACAAACCGTCTCTCGTATTCTTGCAGTCGAAGCGTTGCCCAAGGGGATACAGGTGGGCTTCTACCTCGTTTTGATGTTCTTTTTGTGCAGGGTGTCTTGGTTGGTGTTTGTGGGGTTATGATTGTGTTTGCTTCCACCCCTTCCCCCTCTCTTCCCTGCTTTCCTTTCCTTCCCTCTCTTCCACCCCTCCCTGCCCAAACCTAACACCCACACAGGTCGAATACGGTATCCCAGGCGGCGCCCGCGAAGGCCATGGCCGCTTCGTGGACGTCGGCGTCTTCCCCATGGGCATAGACGTAGGCGCCCTACGCGAGCGGCGCCGTGAGCCCGACGTCTCTTATTGGGTCCAACTCCTCAGGCAACGCTATGCGGGTATGATGATAGTCGTAGGGAGAGATAAGTTAGATGAGATCCAAGGCGTGAGGCATAAACTCGAGGCGTTTGAGTTGTTCTTGAAGAAGTGGCCTGAGTATCAGGGGAAGGTTCGTTTTGTCGTCCTTTTATTTGCCTCTTTTTCCACTTTTCATCTTCCTTTTTCATTTCATTCCTCCCCTCCTTCTGATCCAAAATGCAACCCTCACTAATACAAACACACCCAATAGGTTATCCTCCTCCAAGTAGCCCTCCAAACAACCGAATCCAATGAGTTAGCAGCAGGCGGCGTCTCAGACGTCGTTGCACGCATCAACAGCGCGTTCAGCACGCTCACGTATCAGCCTGTCGTGTTCCTCCATACACAAGAAGTCACGTTTAGTCAGTATCTGGCGCTTTTGACTGTGGCGGATGCGTTTTTGGTGACGAGTTTGAGGGAGGGGATGGCGCTGAGGTGAGTTTTCGGTTCGTCGTCGTTTGCGTCGTATTTTGGTTTGGTTGTCGTGGAGTGCTGATGGTACGAACTGACAGGACACATGAGTTTGTTGAATGCCAAGATGGGAGACATAGGCCTTTGATTCTGAGCGAGGTTCGTCCTTCCCTTCCCTTCCCACATCTCTTACTCACCGGGTTTCAAAGTTCACCGGATCGTATAGTTATAGTGGATTCAGGTCCTGTATTGCTGTGAATCCGTATGACACGCATGGAACTGCCAAGGCTATTCGTCAGGTGCGTTTTTGTGTTTATTGGTAGGGGATTGAGAGTGATGACTGGGGTGTTTTGGTAGGCTTTGACTATGAGTGACGAGGAGGCGTTGTCGAGGTGGGAGGTGAGAGTGTTTGCTTGCTCGATCGATCGATGTGCGCTGACCTGCTTTTGAAACGCTCGCTGATCATTAAACACGCGCTCATCTCCTGTTACACGCGCCCATTTCCCTGTATTCTCACTCCATCATCCCTTACATGTGCCGATCATTAAATACGCGCCCATCCTACTCAAAACAGGACCTCCATAACCACGTGGTAACACAAACAGCCCAAACCTTCGTCACCTCCTTCCTCACGCGCTGCCTTCGCGCCAACACCGAACACACCACCCAAACAGACCTCAACTCTGTCCCTGCCCTCAACACAACACTCCTCCTCCCACGCTACAAACACTCCCCTCGCCGTATCATCCTGCTCGATTTCGAAGGCACGCTCTGGCGTCCCGACTTGTCTCGCGCAGGACTCCTCGCGCCGTTTGTGCCCCCTGAAGGCGCAGTAGAACTGCTGAACAAGTTCTCTGCAAATAAGCGCAACGAGGTGTGGTTGCTCAGCGGGTTACCTGTCAAGAGTCTCGAGCGGGTCGCTGCAAAAGCGCCTGAGGTGGGTATAGTCGCGGAGAACGGGTGTTTTGCCAAGATCCCGGTGCAGAATGGGAAAGGAGGGGTGTGGATAAGTATGGTTGCCAATTTGAATTTGACGTGGAAGGGTCTTTGTGTGGAGATTTTGAATTATGTGCGTGTTTTGTTTGGGTGTTTTAGGTGGTGCTGATGATACTTTTGTTGAGCGTAGTTCACGGAGCGGACGCCTGGTTCGTTTGTAGAAGAGCGCGAGGCGTCTGTTGTGTGGAGGTTCTGGAGTGGTCCGACGGATGATTGTTCAGATCGTCAGTGGGCGAGGCGTCAGGCTGCCGAAGCGCAGAATCATATATTTGATAGGTGCGCTTCTACATACCCTCATTCTCATTCTCATATTCACTAATGAACTCCTCAAGCCTTGGCGAACGTTACGGCCTGCGCATAATCCCAGGCTCAAATTCCTTCCTAGTCCTCCCAAACAACATCTCCCGCTCCACAGCTGTAGGCGCGATCCTACACCCAGGCGGACCCGCCCACTCACCGCGTTCCTCCTCGGTGCCCGACCTAGATGTACCCGTGAACGGAGGAGGAGGAGAGGCAGGGTTCGTGTTCGCTGTAAGCGGTGACGAGAAGCTATTGAGGAGGTTGAATGAGCTGGATAACGCTGAGACGGTGTCGACGAGTGGGAAGGGGACGGATGCGAAGTGGAAATTGGATGCTGGGGAGGTGGGTGATGTGATGTGGTTATTTGCGAATTGTCCGTAGAGGGTGGGGGTGGTGTATCTTAGAAAGGATTCGGCTGGTTTTGGTTTTGAATATGTATGATGTATATTGTATATTGTGCTACTAGAGATCAGTCGTGCGCGTGATCATGCGCGTCTGTCATTTGTGCTATCGTGATCTTCAGCTTTGCACGCAGGGTGCATGTGACACCGAAATTGAAGCTTGAGACTTTGAAACGAGACATTGGACTTCAGGGGTGTCCATGCAACTTGATTAGTAATTATGCTGTGTCCATATGCTCGACAAGCCCCTGATTACAATAGTTGCTATATATACCGGGAACTTCATCATCCTTACCCCTTGCCATTTACCCCTCCATTATGACGTCCCAACCATATAGTGATAGCAAATCCGTCACTGATACACCTCCCTCATACACCACAACTTCCACGTTTGAATTAGCAGATTCTCTCCAACTCAGACGATTTCACTTTCTACAAAGCAAGCAGACACGAAATATTGTTCTAACTTGCATCCGCGATATTGTCTCTGCTCCTGATTTCACCCCTTCCTCTGTCATCCCAATCGTCAACGCTTGCGCCGCTGCGCTCTTTGCTTCTGAATTCTTCGACCTTCTTCAAACACCCAATATCGAGGGCCACACGGCACTCTATTGGGCAATAGTGAATGAGCGACGAGAAGCATTTTCGGCGTTATCCAAATTCATTCACAAAATTTCGTCGACCTGCTCCTCCGACCTGCGCCTCGCATGCATGGTGACTAACGACCAGGCATTATTTTCGCAGCTAAATTTAGGGAATGTTAATTGTAGGTGGTAATTTTCACTCGAGATCATCAATTAATCACATGCACCAATTAGCCAAGGATGAGCCTTTGAGGCGTTCTTTAGGTTCTTCTCCTGACGAGGTTCAGGTGGACTCAGAGGACGGACTGGGCAAATCCCAGTTTATTGCTCGTCTCCGCATCAGGAAGCTGGAGAAACGCCTGCTTATCACAGAGGAAGTGGGCATAGAATTTGTTGCGGGGGGTATGTGGTCTATATCTGTCAGTTTTTTCCTCACGCTGAAGATGACGCTGATACATGCAGGACGTATATGGCTGTTTCGATTTTATATGACATGTGATGGAAGGCTTGAGTCTTGCCGAGCACAGCCTTCCAGTGCGCCCAATAGGCATGATTCAGATCGAGACTCAAAGTGGAGAACCTGGCTCTGCATCCTCGCCTTCAGGGCTGGATTTTCCGTACTCCGAGGAGTCCGGTATGCTTGCACCTGCTGGGTCGGTTTAAATTTGTTTCGACATTAACCATGAGGCACTGATTATTGCACGATTTTCATGTGACTATTATCTACTTTCAAGGATGCACGAAAAATATCACTTGAAGGACGATAATGAAAATATCTATGTCAGCATTCACTGGCCGATGGACAGGTAAGTTTTTCTTTTTTCGTTCCCTCGGCTTGATCCACGTCACTGGACGCCGACATTAGTACTTTGTGACTCTTCTCTACAAAATCCAATTGACTTTTGGTTGTAGAAAAACCAGATATGTGGATTGCGACGGCACCCTACATTTAACGATAGAGATGACATTAAATTAGTCATGGCAGGCTAGTACTAGTAGCTTATGATACTTACGGTTTACCGAGTCCGGAAGTTGGCAGTGACGATCTTTACTGGTCAGTTAATAATGTGATATATCATGTACGACTAAAACTACTTGATCGCTTTGACCACATCTCATTGTCAGAGACATTACCCGGTATTTACCCTACGAGACTCACTTCGCAAGATACACCGTTTTCAACATCATTAGGGGCACAGTCGTGGTTCATGCCATTCGTGGTACCATGGGACTCACTGATTCCGACGACGCAGGGTGTGGTATAGAACGAGACTTAGAGACCCTGCTGCATGCAAGAAGTAATAAGCTAACGATGGCGAAGTCCTCCGTCTCTTTCGTGATATGGGTATTTCACATGCACAATGATAAGTAAATGTTACAACTGGAGTCTCATGGGCCATAAGCAGGACACATACGGAGTACAAGGCAGCAAGCACATATTTCAAACAGACACAACATCTTCACTGTGTTCTTGAGAACTTGGCCCATCAGTAGGGTGGATGCATTTCACGAAGTGCTAAAAATTACACTACCTTCCCCCATACATGAAGGGACGCCGCATTTACGTGCTGAGGTGTTGGATCTTGTTCCCTGTGCGGCGCTGATTAGTTGTCCCGAACAGCTTATATCAATCAACTTACCCAGCCGAGTTTCGTGCCGAATTCATGAAATCTTCGATGTCCACTCCTATTAGTACCATCAGCATTGTGTCGCGTCATCCAGTGTCAGACATGACATTACCATCGAGTCTGTACCAAGATTTAATCTCCTGAAGGAAGACTGTGTCCCCCGCGGTAGGGACGGATGCGTGCTCGCCGCTAGAGAAAGTTATAGCCGGGTTATCTCTGCCAAAGAGTTGTAGCTAACGTTGCTGCTGATCCAATTATGAATACCCTTCTGCAGAAGCTCTTGTCGAGGATTTGGCAAACGATATTTAGACGTATTCAATCCGGCGACCGTTGCGTACTCCGAGCCTATGAGGTCCTTTGATGAGAGCAGACAGGAAACGACATTACGGTCTGCCTCGAGAATTATCTGTTACCGAAACTTCGTCAACCTGCGACGGCGATGATTGAGAAAGAAACCTACCTTGGACGCGCATGTGAAAATACTCAATGTCACCTTCGCGTAGGGATGAACCTGCGTATGAATGTTAGTCGCGTGTGAAATAGAGATAGATGGCTGTACATTTGCGATCTCGGTGGCAACAGAATTGAACGCCTTCAAGGGTCCAAGAAACGAGGAGTTGAATGTGTTGATTGTATCAGATACGGATTGTAGGTTGTTGGCTGCTGAAAAAGTATTTTGGGCAATTTTTCGGACCTGGCCGATGCGTGCGAGATCCTTCGTGGCACTGATGATTCTATCATATTTCTATGGTTCACATACTTCGGTTCGGCTTGAATTTATATAATATAAACATTTAGCACCTTATCAATAGAGACGAAGACAAAGGCGGGAGTACATTTGTGTAGCCTCGACTAGTCAGTACATCTATCTGAATGTAAAAATGGTCTCAACAAGTCACGTGTCAAGCCCCTAATAGTTGCCTATGATATATACCTGGAACTTCATCGATCATCCTCCTTGCCACTTACTCCTCCTGGATCATGATGCCCGAACCATGTAGTGATAGCAAATCCGTCACTAACGCACCTCCTTCATACACCACAACTTCCACGTCTGCATTAGTAGATTCTCTCCAACTTGAACACAAACGATTTTCTCCTCTTCAAAGCAGGCAGACACGAAATACTGTTCTAACATGTATCCGTGATATTGTCTCTGCCCCTGATTTCACCCCTTCCTCTGCCATCCCAATCGTCGATGCTTGCGCCGCTGCGCTCTCTGCTACTAAATTCTCCGACCTCCTGCAAACACCCAATATCGAAGGCCACACAGCGCTCTATTGGGCAATAGTGAATGAGCGACCAGAAGCCTTTTCGGCGTTATCTAAATTCATTCCCAAATTTTCGTCTGCCTGCTCCTCCGACCTGCGTCTCGCATGCATGTCGACTAGCGACCAAGCATTATTTTCGCAGCTGAATTTAGGGAATCCCAGCAGTTGTATATGGTAATTCCCGCTCGAAATCATTGACTAATCTTGTGTGCCAACCAGCTGCCAAGGAAGAGCCTTTGAGACGCTCTTCAGGTTTTTTGCCCGACGAGGTTCAGGTGGAGTCAGAGGACGGACTGGGCACGAACCAGTTTATTGCTCGTCTTCGCATCAGGAAGTTTCAGAAACGCTTGCTTATCACAGGGGATGTGGGTGTAGAATTCGTTGCGGGGGGTATGTGGTCTATTTTTTCCTCACGCTGAAGATGGCACTAATGCATGCAGGACGTATATGGTTGTTTCGATCTTTTGTGAAACGTGATGGGAAGTGGTACATTGGCTTGAGTCTTGCTAAGCCCAGCCTTCCAGCGCGTCCAGGAGGCATAATTGTGATCAAGCCCCATAGCAGGACACCTGGCTCTGCAGCCCCATCTTCATGGCATGATTTAACGTTCTCCTTGCACCACTGCAATACGCTCGTACCTGCTGGGTAGGTTTAATTTTTTTTCGATATCCGCAATCATGAAGCACTGACGATTGCACAATTCCTATGTGACTATTATCTGCGCATGAAAGATACAACTTGAAGGGCAATGACAAAGTTGTTTATGGCAGTGAGTGGCTGATGACCGACTGGCTGATGGACAAGTAAGTTTTTCTCTTTTCACTCTCTTAGCTTGATCCACATCACGGGACGATGATTTTGCCAAGTCGACATACTTTGTGACCTTTCACCTCTAAAGAGTTCAACTGACTGTCGGTTGTAGAAAAACCAAATACGTAGACTGTGATGGCACCCTGCATGTAAGTATGGAGATAGGATTAAATTAGCCATGGCAGGCTAGCAGCTTATGGCACTTACGGTTTACCGAGGAAGTTGGCAGTGTCGATTTTTGCTGGTCAGTTATATAACGCGATATATTGTGTACGATTAAAACCACCAATCGATCACCCCAACTGAGTCTCGTTGTCAAAGAGACATTACCTGGTGTTCATGTCACGAGGCCTACTTCGCAGGGCACACCATTTTCGACAGCATTAGGGGCACATAAAGAAGTCGTTCATGCCAATTCCGTGATACCATGGGACTTACTGATTCCGACAACGCAGGGTGTGGTATAGAACGAGACTTAGAGACCCTGCTGCATGCAAGAAGCAATAAGCTAACGATGGCGCAGTCTTCCGTCTCTTTCGTGACATGGGTATTTCACATGCACGTAAATGTTACAACTGGAGTCTCATGGGCCATAAGCAGGACACATAGGGAGTACAAGGTAGCAAGCACATGTTTCAAACAGGCACAACATCTTCACCGCGTTCTTGAGAACTTGGCCCATCACTCGCCGAGTCGGGTGGATGCATTTCATGAAGCACTAAAATTGCGCTACCTTCCTCCATACAGGAAGGTGCGCATTCCATGCCTTGAAAGCTGCATTTACGTGCTGAGGGGTTGTATCTTGTTCCCTGTGCGACACTGATTAGTTTTCCCGAACAGTGTATATCAACCAACTTACCCAGTTGAGTTCCGTGCCCAATTCATGAAATCTTCGATGTCCGCTCCTATTAGCACCATCAGCACTGTGTCACGTCATCCAGTGTCAGACATGGCATTACTATCGAGTTGGTACCAAGAGATTTCTTCAATCTCCTGAAGAAAGGCCCGCATCTTCGTGCCCCACACGGTAAGAACACATTAGCAAAAAAACAGCCTGGGTAGTCTCTGCTGCCTGTCTGTCAAAACCGACGGCCACAGATAGATACATCCGGGCGACTCGAATTCTTGAATCATGATGTTGATGCGTTCCTGACGAAGAATTAGACATGCTAGTACAGCATTGACGGTACAAAAATCAAGAGCATACTTGAATCACTGGAGATTTATACTTCAGCGCCAACGCTCACCGCACGAAGGTTGCACTCCGCCAATTCGCTTGCTAAGGTCATGAATATTTTTGTCCTGACGGCAATCCGCTTGCTGAGTACGATCAAAGCAGAAGTATGGGTATGTAAGTTTGGTTGATAATGCAACGAGTGGATCAACGTATGCGGTGATGTGTTCGTGAGCCTCGATAGTTTGATGTGTGGAGTGTCGTTTATTGTTGTGAGGACATCTGAGAGGCGGTGGGGGAGACGGTGGGTCAGGAAGGGGACGAGGCAAGAATGTGCGTCATACTGAGGAAGGAGATATGGTTGGAGAGGGAGGTGAACTCCAAAATGGTGCGGGAACCCTTGGGAAGCTGGGCAGTAGTCAGGTGCGTGAGTAGATGGCTGGTGAGATTGATTGACAATGATGATGGTCCCACAGTTGGCGGAGGGCGAAGATGCTATTGAAAGTGGGTAAATCAGTCCGTCGAAATGTTGTGTGCTAGTGACTGCGAAATTAGAAGAATGAATACTTACCATAAAAGCTCTTCGTATCATCCTCGAGGATGAACAAATGTGTTGGAAGTGAATTTTCAAGCGTAAAGCGCATATACTCACACGTCTCCGCGGAACTGATGAACGGTCATTCAGCGTGCGTATCAGTAACAAACTCAGAATGTGTACACGTACCATTCGATCCAGCAATTCCACCCACCGCTTCCACTCGACGTTCAGACTGACGGAACAGGCATACGCACAGACACCTTCATCTATCAGGTCCTCCATCGCATACATCCTGCAGGAGCGTGCTCAAAGAAATGACGATTATTGATCCAGAATGATGATCTGATGCATGTTTGATTAGCTTGATGTGGCACACGCTGGGCTAGAGAGCAGCTTGGGATGAGGACAGTTTGGAGCGCTTGGAGGGCCGTGCGGGCACGTTGGGAGTACTTCATGGGTGGGCGGGAAGAAGACGTGGTCCAGAAACGGATGGCAAAAATTAGCACTAGGATGATAGCAATGAGGATTTCGAGAGTCCTGTAGATCGTAGGACTCGAGACTCACAAGCAAACACGAGGCATATAGTTAAAATCGATTTTTAACTCTTTAACCAAACTCCTCTAGCTAAATCTTGACCCTCGCGCAGGTAAGTACTTCCTCATTCAATATCAATGGCGTAATTGCGTGTAGGGATAAAATGTATTGGCTCAAGTATGGAGTCTTCTCCAGCAGGCTGTCCATATATATCCTCCGGTCTTCCGAGTCAATATACAGTCTGAACGACGGTAGACGCATAAGTTGTACTACATACGAACGAGTATCACCGGCACGACCGGCACCTGCTAAATTTCAAACTCCTCGCTTCGCCCTGCCACGCCACTCCAGCCTGGCTACACCACTCGATAGTATATGCCAGGCTGGTCACGAGCCTAAGAGCTGCTGGCGTTTCTTTCAATCGCAATCAAATCGATCGCAGTCAGCTGAGAGCTCTATACTATAGCTTAGAAAGTAATCTCAACACAGCGTTCATCTCCAGCGGTGCATGTTCCAGGAAACACCCATTTTACTCTCAGCATGCGTATTATGTATGAAGAAAAGACGAACAACGAGTTCCAACGACATATTGGAATGTTCGCGGAAACTAGGTATGTTATGTGGTTAGTTTCAGCGAACGTTGTGGCCTCCATTACTTGCTCCTGCCAACCAGTTGTCACTGTAGCATTCCTTCCAACTATCGAGTACTACGACCAAACTGGTAACCCCCACCGCCCATGCGACTCGTCCTGAGTTCCGTTTCACGCCTACTTTCATGACAAATGACAAATGCCCATCTCACTCCTATCATGTGTATGAAGAAGAAAAAGCCAAACAGCAGGGTTCTCAGAATATTCGCTATGACTTGCGTTGTTTTATGCGGGTTGCAGCGAACATTCTGTGGTCTCCAATGTCCATCTCCCGCTTCCTGCCAATCACAGTTCCTTGCAACTCTCGAGAAGCTGGTAACTCATGTTGCCTCATGCGACCCATCGTAAGTTCCGTTTCATGCCTAGTACTTCCACGACTCAGCTTAGTGACGACCTTCTGGCAGGTGCAGTCCCAATCGAGACCGAAGATTGAAAAGAAAATCGTTCTTGTATCAATCCGAATCAATCTACCGCCTTCGATGCAGCTCGCAAGTGACAGTTAGCTTACTTGTCAGTCTGTATTATTCCGTTGTTGCTGTATCGTGACGATCTTTCTTGACTATCGCAAACCGATCGCAGATCTCGATCCGAAGACTCAATCCATAATATTGATCCCACACCGTCGCAGAGGTAAGGAAATACATGACTCGCAGCGTTGACAGTTCAATCAGCATGGTTCGAGGATCGACACACTTACAGCCTGCGAATAGTAGGCAACGACTTGGACCAGCATGGCTCGAGCTCGGAGGGGGATCAATAGACATACTGCCTGCAAGTAAACGCCCAACATAAATGAGATCAACCTTCGAACTTTCCGATAATCTTACCTAAATATGTAGGAAACCAGGTGCCCAATTGCCTTGTTATCATATCCTCATCCAGAAGTGTTTTCTTAGCCGAGTTAAAATATCTCGTGAGTGTTCTGGACGATATCAGTCACCAATGCTCGCGGCAGGTAATAAGACCATGGGTAGTTACCTCTCAATTGCATGTTTCATGCAGAGCTCCAAGTTGGTCAGCTGGGTCGAGACGAAAATTGTTTCACCACTTCGTTATCCAGAGTTCCGGCTGTGCGCTCGATGAGTGGCCCGCAATCTGCATCATCCTTGTCCATGTCTAATGGATCAACATTCATCATGTATCGCACCTCAACCATCAACCAGCTTACTAGGAAGGCATACATGGCATTTTGGAGGCCAATGGACGTCCTTGAGAAACTTCATTTGTGGCCTGTTAGCAAATGACTCCTCGGCGTGTTTCAGGACCAGTTCTTTAGCGATGTTCCATTTTTTCTCAGTTGTGAGAATTCGACGTCGTAAGGGCATCAAACTTGGTGAACAATACGATCACTGTAACTGAGGATTGCGAATATGCGCATCAGTCGAACATCAACGATAGTCGGATGCGAAAGCTTACTGCTTCCTGTGTACTCGGAGAAAAATTTCTTTTCGCTTTCTGTGAACGGTCTGCTTGCCTCGTCCATTGGGATGCAATACCTATGTTCAAGAAACCGTGAGATAGTGCATGTCGCGATTGATCAGTTGCAACTACCAGATAGTATGGAGTTGATTCTTGAACCTGGTTTCCTTAGAACGGCCCGCGATAAATTCCTTCACCTTGTCAAATTCGGATTCACCGCCTGCCTCAAAACCGCGTGAATCATGAAAGACGAATCCTGGGTTGCTTTGAAACACCATTTCATTTTCGATATCGTGTTCTCCGCGCTGAGAACGTGTCAGTTCATGCTACCAATTGAGGGCAAACATTACCTCTCTGGATGCATTTAAAACTGCAGCATCGATCTGATGTCGATGGGTCAGTCATCCGGCTACCAGCCTCTTACTACTAGCATTATGAAGCACACCTGTTTTCCTGCGCAGTTATATATTTCTGGGTTCTCCTGTGTGTTGCAAACTCTCTGGAGGATGGCAGTTTTTCCTGCATTCGCTCTTCCTATAACGAGAATTCGAAAGCGACTTATTTTCTTGCTTATCTTTGAGGGATCCATGGAGGAAGGTGAATATGACGGATCCGGAACCGCTGGTGTAACCTTATAATCGATCACTGCAGTACTGTAAACCCGGTAAATACCTGACCCAAAGTCAGTATCTATAGATTCAATGGGCAAAGGGCAATGTTAGCTGTACAGTACCATGAAGCGTACACGATGAGTCCTTGCATCGATTCGGAAGTGGCTGCGATGACAAATTGGGTTTCCGTTTAAGATCCATATTTGAAATAAGTTGACTGAGGTGTGCCACCAGCATACTTGAATCTAGCCACAACAGGACGCTGTTTGATGGTCACACAAGCACTCGAGTACGACAGTGGATGGCACAACCATCGGCTAAGTCTGCTCAATATCTTATTGAATCTGACGTTCTTGTGAAGCTGCTTGCTCCTTCGTAAGTATTCGGGCCTCCCTGAGCTTTTCATATTGGGTTTGAAGCGGTTCACAGGGTATTGATGATAGTGTGGGAATACTCATACACAGCTTTGCAGATCGACTGATGCATGGGAATTCGTTCGTGTTTGACAGAGCCCTCCCCTACTGACGTGGGAGTCGAACGAAGTGAGGATATGTACCAAACTCGACATCGATGGTAGGTCGAAAAGGTAAAATTAACGTTCAGCTGGAAGTGTGCCGGGAAACTCCGGCGAGCCATGTTCACCGGCACCTGAACAACGCCGATGATGGCGCACCGATGATGTCGATGATGGCAGGCCTCAGCTGCGGCTCCTTATGTCAGTATTAATCCTACAGTAAGCCTAGCCATGCCGGCACGTGCAGAAGTGGCTATAAATCTTACAATGGATCAAGTATCGAATTCATTGCTACAATGAAGGCCTCGCTTGCTATTGCTATACCTGGCTCTCCATCAAGCCTCTGGACAACCGTGCGTTCGGTTGGCGTATTCAATGTCGCTTGTTCATTTGTAGCACTGTGGACTTTCGTCAAAGTGATAAGGGCACTTCGCTGGCGATTGAGAACGACTCAACTCCGTGGTCCACCTCGTACCAGCTTCATATACGGTGTTTCGAATGACATCGCCTCATCTAAAGACAGTGCTACAATGTATGAACATTGGGCGCAGGAATATGGGGTAGCGTACATGATTCCGTCGGTCCTCGGACAGACCAGAATCGTGCTAAGTGACCCAAAAGCTATCGCACATTTTTATGCCCGGGAATCATGGACCTATGTGCAGACACCCCTTTCTCTGGCGCTGATAGAGAACCTGGTATGTTAATACCCTCCTCTAATATCGTCTATCTGATATCTCTTGACAGGTCGGCAGAGGGTTACTGTGGTCTCAGGGTGAGAGTCACAGGAGGTAGTGTCCATGTCTTGTCCTCGTGTCAGAGACTGATCAACTATTTGTCAATTAGGCAGCGGAAGGCCCTTACTCCGGCTTTTAGCAATGCAGCTATTCGGACACTCACTTCAGTGTTTTATGATTCAGCATATAAGGTAAGGTTTTGCAATCTAAGAAATGCGACGCATCTGATCTCGAAACTCCAAGGTCAAGAGTGCATGGAACACCGATCTAGAATCGAGCAAAGATGGGAATGCTGTCATTGAAGTTCAAAACTGGTGCGTAACTTTGGGCATACAAACCTTGCACTCCTCATTAAAATGACTCCAAGGATGAATCATATCTCGTAAGGGTTGAATATTTGCCATACAAGTCCCGAAAATGACGCAACAACAGTTTGGATACGATTGGCATCGCTGGTTTCTCCCATGATTTTGGCTCACTCGACGGAAAGCATGCCAGTGTTACGGAAGTCTTCGATACTTTCGGAAACAACCCACAGGCCTCAGCAGTGACCAAAATTTTATTACTGCTCGCGTCGGCGTTTCCTATTCTTGTCAAGATACCTACTAAGCGGACGAAGCTGAGGAATAAACTCAACGTAACTATGGGCGAAATATGCAATGACTTGTTACTTCGCAGTCGCCGGGAGAAGGATGTGAATATAAAAGAGGTCGAAGAAGAAAAATCTATCATCGGACTACTAAGTACACTCTCCAAGAGATTCATTGTGGTCCCTTGATTGACGCAACGATCACAGTCAAAGCTGAAGGTCAGGAAGCTGAACTTCATATGTCCGAGGAGGAAATAATGGCTCAGGTCCGTGGAGACTATGTATCACAACCATGCCTTGCAAGCTGATATCCCGCAGATGAGGGTCTTGCTTGTCGCGGGTTACGAAACGACGTCAAGTGGGTTGATTTCTTGTCCGCTTCCATCATGTCAGCTGATTCTTCACTGCTAGTTAGTCTTACGGTAGGTCTATTGTCCAATAACGTCCGTGCACGCTATTCACGTGGTGATCAGTGGGCGCTAATCGAACTATCGCGATACCCCGAGGTCCAAACCCGCCTCAGAGAGGAACTGCTTGCATTTGGTGCTGATCCGACATACGACCAATTAAAGGCCAACCTTCCATACTTGGATGCGGTTGTCCATGAAATTCTACGACTCCATCCTGCGGTACCCCTGTTCACTCGTCGTGTGAGTACGCACATCTATATGTGAATAGAGATTCTGACAGGATCTACAGGCACGTGAAGATGACGTTATTCCATTGAGCGAACCTGTATGCACGAGGTCCGGGAAAATGACGGACAGTATATCTATAGCGAAGGGGTCATCGATAGTGATCTCAATCAGGGCGATCAATCGCTCTTCGGCCATCTGGGGACCTGACGCAAAGGAATTCAAGCCTGATCGTTGGTTGACTGAAGACGGCATCAGTGGGAAGGCCAAGGAAATCCAAGGTCATAGGCATCTGATGACATTTGTCGACGGCCCGAGGACGTGTCTTGGAAAAGATTTTGCGATCGCGGAATTCAAGGTGATTGATACGAATCAGCCAGTTTGGACGTTACTCACTCACTGCGATACAGGTGGTATTGTCGGTTCTGGTGAAAAACTTTGTGTTTGAGATGCGGGATGGACCGGATACCCGGATCGAGATTGCGAGGGGACTTTTACCTCGCCCGCGGGTTGTTGGAGAGGACAGTATTGGAGTGCCTTTGAGAGTTCGTCGGTATGAATGATTGGTTGCATGGCACTGGCGGATTCAAATATTTTCTTGCTTTTCTGCGGCCCAAGCTCTTAAATAATTTATTCAGATAGCAGAGTCATGTTAATATGAACTCTGTATAGCTCTGTACAAAAACTCCCCTTCGGTCGGCTCTATGACAATATATTGTATGTAAAGTGGTAACTTAGGAAATACTATATTAGCGTATGATTGCACTCAAGGTAGTCGAGCGTGTGTTCTGGTGTGTTCAATGGATTCTACTCAGCTTCTTTCAGGTTGTCTGAACTAAAATAAGATTTTACATGGCTTCGTGAGTGTGATTGATATCACGTACGAAAATCGCCCGGAAACTTGTCTAGAATTTTATCGTTTAAAATCCATCAACATAGACGTTGAGAGGGGAAAGGAATGCACGATCAAGACAGCTAAATTTCAGCGTCTTCGAGAATTGGTGCGAAGAGGAATTATAGTGGATGGTGATTTTTACGCGATTTTCGAATTTTGAATCGTCTCGTAATTACACGCCATAATCGTTCACTCTAACTACCGAACTAGGGGTTCGCGTTGCGAACTTTTGACCTTGCTCCGATATGCAGGCAATTGGGCGGTGCTTTGGATTTCTGCAATTGCTACGGTTTTGAGTTTCTAGATTTTAGGTCTAGGTCACTTGCAAGTTATGTTCTTTTATCTCACGTGATTACACAGCATGATGTTCATGTCAGGTGACTGACAGATTATCCAACATGACCTTGCTCCGCAAGGTGATCCGCGATGCAGCCTATACACGAGCCCGCGCTCAGTCACGGTCTTCTTCCTGCCTTCGGCACAGTCCTAGAAATCCAGCCATTGCTTGCCCAGGACTCCTGGGCAAGCAATTGCTGGATTTCTACAAGAGACGCCGTTATGATGGCAGATCAGCCAGTGATCCGATATATATTGCGCCATAGCCATAGCGCACTTCGAGCTACATTCCGAGCTCTCGAAAACTCGCGCTGCGAATTGGCGATCCACATTTCCAAATTCCCAGAGCCTGTCTTGATTGCTATCGGTCCTCCCATCCAGAGCGAATGCAACAGAGACAACTTCCATTTCATCAATAACTTGAACATTCGGCTGCTCAACCTCAACTACGCTGAGTGCCTTTCATGTCAATATCTCACAGGTTCCTACTGTTCGACATCCAGCGTCTGGTACTCCTTGCACAGTCACTTCAAGGCGCTCTGTTAACCATCAAATTCATTCTGCGAAGGAGTTAAGGACGACGGCTTGTATACTATGAGTACATGCAGATTACCACGATTCGGATGGACAAGGCGAGTTTCACTTTTTTATACTCAGTGAATCATGTCTGCAGCATTTGAACATTTGTCTTTTTATACATGCAAGTACTTGTCCCTGTTGGATTTTGGAGCTTCACACATGTTTGATAGACGCGTAGACTCAGACGCTTGAACACACCTGCCATGGCATTTCAATTTGTCTTGTATCCTTGTGAGCACTATTCTACTTGAGATTCCTTGTGACTGGTTCTGTATACAGGCTCGATTCCGTATAGTAGTTGCCCTGTGTATAATATGCCGTCAGTCAACACGATGAGATTTGATGCGAAAGAGGTCTTTCTAACCACTGGGGCCGTACAGCAAGGCTTGCGCGCGCCCTGTTACTTTGGGGTAGGTTCGGACTGCATACATCACATGGTGAGTTTGAAATGTTCATTGCGAAACAACGCTTACTCGGGTTCCTGGGTTGCTCCAGTGAGGTGCGGGCTGCATACATGACGCGGTGAGTTTGAAATGCTCGGCGCGAAACAAGGCTCACTTGGGCCACCCTCGCAACATTGTCACGCTTGCCAGGGACCTGCGAACGTCGTATGACAACATGATAAGATTTGACGTGAGGAGAGGCTTACAGGCACTGTAGCACCGACAAGGGCCGTCAGGCCGAAGAGCATAACGAAAGCAGTAGAGAGGCGGATAAACATGATGATGAGTTGATTCCACTTGTTGAGAGATTTTTGGTACTGCCCATTTTATACTCCACAGAAGAGGGCGTCTTGGACATACTGGCAGAATTAAGACAACCGTGAAGCCCCGAGCTAGCTGTCAACGCATACGTGGCCCGGGTCGATAGGATCGAATGCTGTTTGGAGTGCTGCAAGACTTGTGGCAGAGCCTAAGCCTGACTACTTATTACGGTCCGTATACGTGGCTAGTGAACTGCACTTGATAAGAGTGACACATGACTCTGGCGTGAACGACTCATCTGACAAGTTCACAGGTGAAATTTACCTGTTCTTGGCTCTTGTGTTCACAGTGTGAGGTGTTTCCTTGCCCTATCGTATTCTAACAACGCAACAGACCAACACAATATACATATAATCGTGGTGGCCACCCGCCTGCATGGGGATTCCAAGTACTCGAGTTTCACGCGTCGTCCAAGTGCCCAGTGCCAGAACTACTACCGATGGGAGGGATATGAGAGGGGAAAGGAATGCGCGATCAAGACAGCTAAATTCCAGCGTCTTCGAGAATTGGTGCGAAGAGGAATTATAGTGGATGGTGATTTTCACGCGATTTTCGAATTTTGAGTCGTCCCGTAATCACACGCCATAATCGTTCACTCTAACTACCGAACTAGGGGTTCGCGTTGCGAACTTCTGACCTTGCTCCGATATGCAGGCAATTCGGCGGTGCTTTGGATTTCTGCAATTGCTACAGTTTTGAGTTTCTAGATTTTAGGTCTAGGTCACTTGCAAATTATCTCACGTGATTACACAGCACATGATGTTCATATCAGGTGACTGACAGATTATCTTCCGTCCAACATGACCTTGCTCCGCAAGGTGATCATTTGTCTTGTGTCCTTGTGAGCACTATTCTACTTGAGATTCCTTGTGACTGGTTCTGTATACAGGCTCGATTCCGTATAGTAGTTGCCCTGTGTACAATACGCCGTCAGTCAACACGATGAGATCTGATGCGAAAGAGGTCTTGCTAACCACTGGGGCCGTACAGCAAGGCTTGCGCGCGCCCTGTTACTTTGGGGTAGGTTCGGACTGCATACATCACATGGTGAGTTTGAAATGTTCATTGCGAAACAACGCTTACTCGGGTTCCTGGCATGCTCAGGTCAGGTGCGGGCTGCATACATGACGCGGTGAGTTTGAAACGTTGGGTGCGAAACAAGGCTTACTTGGGCCACCCTCGCAACATTGTCACGCTTGCCAGGGACCTGCGAACGTCGTATGACAACATGATAAGATTTGACGTGAGGAGAGGCTTGCAGGCACTGTAGCACCGACAAGGGCCGTCAGGCCGAAGAGCATAACGAAAGCAGTAGAGAGGCGGATAAACATGATGATGAGTTGATTCCACTTGTTGAGAGATTTTTGGTACTGCCCATTTTATACTCCACAGAAGAGGGCGTCTTGGACATACTGGCAGAATTAAGACAACCGTGAAGCCCCGAGCTAGCTGTCAACGCACACGTGGCCCGGGTCGATAGGATCGAATGCTGTTTAGATTGCTGCAAGACTTGTGGTAGAGCCGAAGCCTGACTACTTATTGTGGTCCGTGTACGTGGCTAGTGAACTGCACTTGATAAGAGTGACCCATGACTCTGGCGTGAAGGACTCATCTGATAAGTTCACAGGTGAAATTTACCTGTTCTTGGCTCTTGTGTTCACAGTGTGAGGCGTTTCCTTGCCCTATCGTATTCTAACAACGCAATAGACCAGCACGATATACATATAATCGTGGTGGCTACCCGCTTGCACGGGGATTCCAAGTACTCGAGTTGCACGCGTCGTCCAAGTGCCCAGTGCCAGAACTAGTACCGATGGGAGGGATACCAACGATTCTTTCGCCTTCAACTGGCTACTCTACTTCCAACTTCTGGACGCAGTCAGTTGCATACACGAGCCCACGTTCAGTCTTCCTCCTGCCTTCGGTGCTGTCCTGGGCAAGCAATGGCTGGATTTTTACAAGAGACGCCGTTATGATGGCAGATCAGTCAGTGATTGTAATAGGGAATATGATGCACCTGCTATACCGTGACACGCTGCGAAGCAAGTCAGCAATGTGTGCAAATGCAGAAAAACCAATAGGGACAAGCCTGAACTACTTTGAAAACTCGAACAAAAAAGATACACCAAAAGTGCCTCACGGTCTGGAATTTCACGAGGCACCTTGCAGCGCCCAGGTGGCGTTGGAGTCAGTTTGGCCTTCAAGTTCAAGTTGTTGCCACGTTGACTCATGCGAATGGGCAACGCCGTTACGCCGCACTCTCTGCCAACTAGGGATCGGCGTTGCTGATGACCTTGCTTGCTCGAACAAATATTGAAATTTATGATTCATCCCCGACACTGATCAGAGGTTTGGACATTTTACCTCTTGCAAAATTACAATCCCTAGCCTGGAATGCTCTGGATTGCATTTCGAATGTGATTTCACTAGTGGCAAAATGTGGTAAAATGTCGAAACCCCCGCAGCGCTGTGCGACTCTACGGAGTACAAACGGAGTAGGATGAAAACGTCCAGGCACCTATGCTAGCGCGGGAACTTATTTCCCTTTCTCGAATCACAGTCAAGGAGCACGCCTGAGTCACTGCCTCACCGGTCCCCTCGGTACTTCCTTCTATTCTTCTCCCTTTTGTTATCTCGTGTCATTCCTTTTTCCTCCTGCTTCTCTGTGTTGGTAGTCTCTTTCACTGCACTCTATTTCTCATGATTTTCATTGCAGTCTAACAAGATGTTAGTGAACAAACTTGCGAGAACAAACTCGCGAGTTCTCGAATTTGATAATTGTCCCCAACACAATGAATTACACGCAGCATCCGCATATCCCTTGTTTTATGATCCATTTTTACTATTTGCAGTACCATTCAAACGTGGCCATCTTGTAAGTTAGGCTTCTTGCAACTATGCAACAAATACTATCATATTCCTTGGTATGATTTAAGTCCTACACCTTTATTATCTAATTCAGCACAAGCAATCGCGCGCAGCATCTTCATGTTCATTTCAGGCCTTCCACTCATTCGTGCAGTTATCCAACAACACATAACCCTCGCGATGACAGATTATATCCTCGGAACGCTGGCATGTCTCACAAATTTCACCGCCTTTATCGCAGATAGACAAGAAAACTCGTTAAATAATATTTTGGCACATTGCTCACTATGCGACAATTCGATAGACCACTCACTATAAGTTTGGACGTGGATTCTTAACACGCGGTCTATGCTTGGTCCCGATACCCGAGATACTTGTGCGGACAGGTCTTCTGGGTATGTACACGTTTATTCCACGGTTCTTTCTATGGAGCCTTCACATGACCATATTCAGATCATCATCCACCCCTTCCCTTTCCTCTTGCCTGACTCGCCTAAGTTCAACTTCCCGCCGACTTTGCTCATACCTCATCCAACTTCTACCATGCTCATTGCTTTGTCTCGTCCTTTTTGATGTGGCGTGCTGAGGTGATTTTGAAGGCGAGGTATCGCGCACATGCCGTTTACCAAGAGCGTGTCGCCATGTTCGTGCCTCCGATCACCCCGGAGCACTGCTGAGCCGTCAAGGAAGACAAGAGGCTATCGAGGCGCTAGTTGGTCCCGGTGCGAGCTCTGAGGGGGATGGGACGCATGATGTTTTGCCAATAGATGGACGGGACGAAGATTCCAGTATTCCACCAGCAATTTTGGGAGTGAGCAATACTGAGATTTTTGCGACGCATTCATGTCACATTCGATTTCCATGTCCTTCTGTCGCCCCTACCATCGCAGTGTCCTGTTTACTGGCTTGAAATGGTTGTTTTGAATCTTTTTGATGCACGCAGTTTGTAATGTTACTCTACAAAATCTCAACCTTGCATCACCGCGCAACATTGTTTTCAGTACTGATGTTTGCTGCCAGGAAGAGCTGCATGGTATCAACGAGCTCGAGAAAGACATTGGCGTCAGGATGCTTATTGTGATTCACTGCCTGCGCGCTTACAGTTACAACTCAGATCACACTTCAAGTATCAAGATGCACACGGTGCACATATTTGGTATTCGGATGGAGTCACTGCCCGAGAGCTCGAGTACGTACGACAGAAAGTTAAGGAAAGTGTAGCCGAGTCAATGATATGTGAATATACAAAATTCCAGCGTTGCGATCCCCAGCAGCCTTGGCATACCGGATGTAAGTACTACTGTCCACCAAAACCATAAATAACACAATACATAATGCTGTCAACTGTGACAGAATGAGGTGAATTTCGCGAACGAATGGATGACCAGCGCAGGAAGGAGAATGATGATGTACAGTGATAATGACACAGTTGCGAGAGATGAGCTCTAGTAATCTGATTGATACTCTAACGACAGACTCAGTCATGGGCAGCATGGAAGGGAGAAAAGAAACATACCGGCGTGGGCATGATGCTGATCATGCGATGACGCAGTAGCAGTTGGCATTGCTGTAGCACTCCTTGTCAACTGGTACTTGTGCTTGCGTCTCTTCAGAAGAAACGGGCGCTGAGGAGAGGGCAGCAAGTGTGAAGAACGAGTCCATGGCTTATTGCAGGAAGAGTGAAGGAATAACTCGAAGTTGAAGATATTTGGAGAGCTCGGGAAGCTCTGATATCGTTAAATGGGTCTCGCAAGTATTGGTGGAGAATCCTCCTTTCAGCTCTCGTGTATTTATCTGTTTCCACCAGGCATGGCCACCGGCAATTTCGAAGGGGATGCCCGATATGAAGCCGATGGAAGGAACGCACTATTGCCCGTGAAACACGATAGGCCTGGTGCCGTGAGCAGAGAAAGCCATATCAACGCGCCTCGCTGGTTTGCAACTTTGCACCAGATCAATCTGGGGAACGAGACAAAAAGGATTGCCCGATTATGTAAGCTGCAAAGTTGTCAGCCAATCAAATTCGTTCATCACGTACTTTACATTCTTATTGTTTAGCAGCTCCGGGTTCCCTTGGAAATCGACGAGCAGTTGGCGAAGCTCGTTGGCAAAGCGGTTGACAATTAAATGACTGGTACGGATCGGGATTGGTTCTGAGAGGAATGAGGCTGTGAGGAACAGACAATTAATGAAGCAACTCTGCGTTCTTTTGTCTCTGGTTGTCAGGACTCTAGTAGAATACACGACGCTGTAATTGTTTCGTGGCCAGGTCGGCGGGTGCAAGGTGCAATCACCGGAAATGCATGTTATCTCTATGGTCATTTGGTGACTCGAGCTCCCTCTTATGTCCTGGATGAAGTTTGTGTAAGAAGAAAGGCAGTCCTCGAGTACATATATGTAGTCGGTGTCGTCATCTGGAAGAAACGTTGCCGTGAGGTCGGTGGTCTGGACCTTCTGGACTCTGGAAACAATAACGGGAATTAGCACGATGGATGACATCACACACAATAAGACAGGAGCACAATGCACCATCTTTTGATCGCCAGTGGCCAATCGGCAAACTAGATCAGTATAACGGGCCATGCACCCAAAATGAATTAGCTTACTGTACAGGAGTTAAGAATCACCTTAGGACTAGTAAATTCGTCTTCAGTTAGTGACCCGACAAACATCGCACATGAAGGCGAGTAAAAATCATCGCCAATAAGTCGCAACTTCTCTAAAGACTCTTTCCATTTCACGAAAACGCAGACGAGCTCGAGAAAGCGTGACACCGTTATGTCCCAGATCTCGAGCATGGGGCAGGAGAATGCTTGGGAGAGGTAAAGGGCTCCACTATGATGCAAAAGCCGACACCAGATCACAAGTTGCATGCTAGTAGCAACACACGCCAAGATAAGCAATAGAAGTAGTGAGGGATCCAGAAAGCACGCACATCTCGTTCGTTTTCTACCTTCCACCTCCAAAACCTTGCCCGCAAAGTAGTCCTCCAGCGCTGCGTTCAGGTCGTTTATTGCCATCAAGTCACACACTGTAGTACTAGTGTTCCTTGGGATATGACTGAGTCGGGGAGTAAAAGTTGTCATCCTACTCTCGATGTTAGTCAACGCGTCACTACTAGCCTACCGACACTAGTTTAATGACATCTCCAGCTTCGCATGTGATGTGCCATCGCAATCCACATATTTGGTGTTGCTACGACACGGTCAGTTCAAGTTGTTAGAGGACAGGGGTCGCAATGTCTGTCCAGACGCACCCCGCAACGCAGATGGAGCTGAGAAAACGAAAAGAGGAAAACTTACCGGTCCATCCAGTCAGTCATCGCCCAGCGATGCCGGATGTTGGTTTCCTTGATATCACCCTTAGATCTTCGGTGCATTAGAAAATAGTGGTCTCACAAGAGTCGTACAACCACCAGTATGTCATAGCTGTGAATGAGTTGAAACAGGCCTAAACCTCCCCGTTAGGTACAAGTGTGTATGAACTTTTGCCACCATTGCAAAATTACAGCCCTTGAGATGAGGCTGCGCAGTCAGGTTTCCCTCCATGGGCCTGGATGCGCTAGAAGGCTGGGCTCAAAACTGCAACCCTGTAGGGGAGTAAAGGGAAACCAGGGAAGTGTACACTTTAATTTTTCGTAAGGCGAACTGCCAAGATCATCGTGGGCGTCAAGAGTGAGAATAAACTTGTTCGATTCGCGAGTGAATGGAATGGAATAGACATTGGGCCATTTACAGCGTGTGCTTCTACGGTCTCCCGATGGGAAGAAGTAAGCTATATAGCTATGATCAAGGTTGGTTTTGCGGGAGGTTGGGATGTGTCTGATGACAAAGGAATTCTCACTGTGGCATCGGAGTTGTAACCATCCGAGCCTGGCAGTTACTTTTCCAAGTGGTACTTGATGCAATCCGAGGGAACGTAGTGCACGAGGATTTACGCTCGGTAAAGTGACCGTCTTATTATGCCGTTGGTTTTGGCCTGTCAATCGATTTTTTTTGCTGGTCACAGCTTGTCGCAGCGAATTCGATGGAACTGTGAACAGGTCACATCAACGGTTTGTCGCATGTCAATCTTTAGATTATATGGGACAAACCTCTGGTCACGTCCGAGGTTCACTGGTGTCACCCCACTAGTTTACGATCTTATTGAATGTTGACCTTGATTATAGGTCTTTCATCTGCGAAGGCCCCTGCTGTATCTGTCTCATGTATTGTTCCAATCATGGAGGGCCTGTCGATGACGCTCCATTTTAACGCAGAAGGGCCCGAACTCGGATAGTACAATTTCAATGGGCATAAACTGACCAGATCAGGGACGAGCGGAGATACATGATTTTTGTCTCCTACCTTCGCTGCAGCGGTCGCATCGCATTGCTGAAGTCTGATATCGATAGCATCTTGCTGTCTCAGGCGCAGAGAGTCTCACCGTCATTGCTTCCGACGACGCATACTAACTAGTATGTTGTAGGAGGATCAATCGAGGATGGTCGATGTTTGACATTGGAGTCTGACTCCCTTGGCCGTGGAACAATCGTATATTTCCACATCTCATCTTCATTGTTCATCAGTTATTTCTGATGTTCCAAAATACATTGCCCGCTGTTCCTTGCCTCGTGCTCAAGCCTATTCTTGCTTTGCTCATTCTTGCATGGACCCTGTCCACAATTCTACATTCCATATTGCTACAGTTCAACACTTCGGTTTCTCATTATAACCTTCATGGATTCCCTGGTACCGACATCCAACCTTTCCCATCTACCTCAATTAAACCTTCCCATTTTACTTCAATCAGACATGTTCTTCCCTCCCCCCCTTACACCTCACCTTGAGAAGTTGCCTCTGGAAAATATGGAGGTATTGGCGATAGACCGGCTGTCATGGATTGCAGAATATGATGTCGAAAAACACGTAAGTACGTCGTACGTTGTTACTGATCTTCAAGCCAACCTTGATGTCTAGGAATGGGTTACATTCGGGGGTTTGGATTCCGATGCATCCGCGTATAATCAGGACGGGTGGAGAAAGCTGATCAAGGACCAACAGACCAAGGTACGTGCGAGAGTAACTCTGGGACCGTTGTCTCGCAAGCCAACGCGTTTGTTGCAGGATCTCATTCAATCCTTATTGGATAACATTGGATGTTCTCCTGGAATTCCACAGCCAGAGCAAGTTCAGCAAGGCATGGTGTGTTTTAAAATGACGCTCCTGCAACTCTCTTGTTGACCCTTACCATTTTGTAGAATGTCCTCCTCAAAGGGGAACCAGGAACGGGCAAGAGGACGTTTGCCCGTGCGGTCTGCAACATGCTCAAGCGCCCGATGTTTTATATTCAGGTCGACGACGTCCCATACAATGCTGACGTGCAACCGTGGGCTGCCAAAGTAGCATCGGTATGTACCATTCACAAGCTATAATACGTCTCTGACACGACGTGGTGGTTGACTAGCTTGCGATCAAGTGGAATGCGGTGGTGATCATAAACCGCGGGGATGTACGTGTCGTCTCTCAAAACGTCCATTGTATCCCTTCTGAAGACATGTGGCACAGTATTTGCTGAAGTCTAAATCTCCAAAGAATCGAGTGTGTTCTTGATTGTTGTACCGTTAATGCTGTACTAGCATAGCTAATGCTTCGTCAGAAACGCATCAACACTGTGATTCAAGAATTCGAGTCATCCGGATGCATCTGCCTGTGGCCGTCGGCGATGACAGACAAGCAGCACAAACCACTCGGGCCGTTTTTTTCTAGCGCGTACCCCAGCGATCTGACCTGACTGCACTGCTAACTTTCCCTGTTGTAGCCATCAAATTCCACACTCTCGATCGAGCAGCCCGTTGCCAACGTTGGCTACAAGTCTTTGGCCGAGATGACCTGGCTACAGCTTTCTCTAGCAGCGAGCATGCATCCGCCCTTACCGTGAGGGACACGAAGACGTGGGCCTTCCTTAAGGAGGTTGAGGAAATATCTTGGTACGAACTTGATGGTAATGTCATGTCTGACGCTAGATGACGTGACGCAGTGCTGATGGTACTAATAGGAGCGGACATCGAAGATTTCATGAATTGCGCACGAAAGTCGGCTGGGTAAGTCGGTTGATATACACTGTTCGGGACAACTAATCAGTGCGGTACAGGGAACAAGATCCAACCCCTCGGCACGTAAAGGCGGCTCTCGAGGTATGGGGAGCGCCCCTTCCTCTGCGGAGGAAGGTAGCTCAGTTTCTAGTGCATTTATGGAATGGATCTTCCCGACTGTGTAAGTGATGGGCTAAGTTCTCAAACGGTGAAGATGTGCCTGTTTGAAATATGTGCTTGCTGCCTTGTACTCCGTATATGTGTCCTGTTTATGGCATATGAAATAGTCATGTGAGACGGAGGACTTCGCCATCGTTAGCTTATTGCTTCTTGCATGCAGCAAGGGCACTAGGTCTCATTATATACCACACCCTGCGTTGTCGTAATCAGTAAGTCATGGTGTCATGGAATTGGCATGAACCACAACTTTGTGTGTCCCTGGTAATGCTGTCGAAAACGGTGTGCCTTGCGAAGCGAGCCTCGTAGCGTAAACACCAGGTAATGTCTCTTTGACAACGAGACTTAGTCAAGCATTTTGACGAGGAGAACCATATGAATACACTGAAGTCTTCCAACTTCTGGTTCCGTGGTCTTGAGTTGGGGTGTCCATGTCATCATTCAAGCTCTGCTGCCCTACTCAGTAATACTTCAAAGTTCTATCACGTGCATGTGCTCCGGAGTGCAGACATTTTACAAGGCAATCCAAGAGTTGGCAATGAAGATGAGACACGACACATGACACCTGAAGTAGCGCTGTACGAAGCTAAAGAAAACAAAGCACCGACCCGGACGAGTGGTATGGGGGACACATCAGCCAAGCGCGGGCAGTCGCGTTTTTCACCGATAACGCTCATCGACTCGTCACTGGTTTGACCGATTACTCGGTTATCGTATTTATGGGATGTGCTCTTGCAACTTGCATCGCCATTTGCTATCACTGAGTTCAGCGCTAAAATGACCCAAAGTAAAGGACCGATCGCACTCGAGATATTCTGGCTCATCGCCAGAGTATCAAATCCACCTCCCTGCATCAAAGGATTTGAGCTTTCCTGGGCCGAGCAAGCTGAACTTGAACATAATCAAATTGGCGTCTCATTGACTTGAAGGGCTGCTCAATTCTAAAAGTTCGAGTTTACCAGGGAACCGAGCGCCGCTAAGCGTCGTTAAACCTGTCCTAAACGGGACTTGTACGTACCTAAACCTTACGGCGTGCAGCGCCAACACTTGGTGCAGTAAATTATCTACAAGCAGCCTTAAAGCACGTCCTAAACCTCACTAAACCTTGTCATTCACGTTCCTAACACTCAACAGGCCTAACCCTTAGCATTCCTGACCCTTTTCCTGACGAGTATATCATATGTAGTATGTTCGTGAATATAATCTGATCATCCCTGACTCAAAAATCGAATCAATTGATTATACATTGCTACTTAGTGAGGTTGAGATAAGGGTTGAGTCTGCTGAGGGTTAGAAATGACGAGGTTTAGGACGTGCTTTAAGGCTGCTTGTAGATAATTTACTGCACCAAGTGTTGGCGCTGCACGCCGTAAGGTTTAGGTACGTACAAGTCCCGTTTAGGACAGGTTTAACGACGCTTAGCGGCGCTCGGTTCCCCGGTGAACTCGAACTTTTGAAATTGAGCAGCCAGACTTTAATTATTAACGCCCATATGTGTAAATTTTATTATTGCAAATGCGTTATATAAGCAGACTTAGTTTTGACTTTGAATTCTTCTGTTCCGTTAGTCATGCAGCCTTCGCTCATTCTACGGTCTGGGCGGTCTGCTTGGAAAGGTTTGTCTTTTGTCAACTGTGCGGTCGATCTCACATTCATGCGTGACTTTGTCCAGGCCCATATTTTGTAGCCTTTCCAAATCTGAAGGATGCACTCATCAACAACGTTGCTATAAGAACGCAGGCTCGCGCGTGCACTATCCTCCCAAATTTTGTCGGGTGAGACTCTCATTGAAGCCTTGTCTGTTCTAGTTTATAGAACATTCTGATTGATATTTGTCAGTATCCGTTTCATGGTGCACAATGGTAAAGACTATGTTCCTGTGATGATAACGCAGGATATGGTCGGTCATAAGCTCGGTGAATTTGCGCACACCAAAAAACGCTTTACTTACAAGTGAGTTTCAGACATTTATAAGATCTAGACAATTTTCATTCACTGACGTTATACAGGATGACAAAGAACAAGTAGCTGGTCATGCTGGTCCATCTGTCGAGTTCATCTGTCAAGTTCATCTTATCGGAACACCTTCCACTCCCTGCAGAAGACTTTGCACGGATCATTTTCGAGTGTCGATTATCAGCGGTGTTAATAGATATCGAGCTGCCTCAAGGACAGAAAGGAGCTTTAGAGCAGGATTGTAGATGACATTTATCCTGCCGATGTGAACGTTAGAACCAAAATTAAGGGCCATAGTAGTACCATTTGAAGGATCTGTGCTACCAGGTGTTACCGTGGTGATGTGTCCCCTTGACGGACAGATCCGGACAGTTGTTGTTGTCCAAGTTTCGCCATTTTTGGGGGTACTTGAACTTGAGCTTGAAAGCCTCCGTTCAATCAGAAGAAGGTTAGCTCTCGACGTCGTGCATCCAGCCATCATCACGAACAACTACGAAGTTCTCAGTCTCGCCGTCCCGGCCAGCGAGGAACATTCCTTGTCCCACTTCATCTCTTTGCACCCGCCATGGCCTTCAATCAAGTAACAGCAACAAATCTGACGCCTTCTCGACCTGCACCCCAAGCACCTGTCCGAAGAGGAACTGAGGGTCCGATATTTTCCCATAATGCTCTCCAAACCTCAGGCTACAACCCATCCTTTTCTTCTGGCTCGTCATACTCGACTGATTACACTGGGATAGGCGGATCGCCCAATCGCAACTCTCAGGCAGTGTTCAACACGCATGTCATAAGAACTGGGATGGTTAGCCTGAAGGAAGAGGGGTTTGCAAGTTTTATCTTTCTCCGAAAATGGCTCGTATTGAAGGAACAAACACTCTCCATACACAAGACCGAGGTGAGTCCACGGTAGATTGGTTGATTACCTTGTGCTTCGAGGAATGAAGCACTGCCATGGCATGCTACTAGATGCATGATATCTTCACTGGTCTTCTTCGTATCCTTGCTTTCGTACTGAGTAGGTCATGCATACTGACGGATCATCATATAGACGTCACCACAGCAGAGCGTCATCCCTCTCAAGGATATCACGAACATCGAACGTGTCGATCTCAAGCCTTATTGTCTACTCCTTGAAACCAAGGATAAACGATACCATCTCGCCCTCAAAAATGACGAAGAACTTTACGGATGGCAAGATGATGTATACTCTCGCAGTCCATTGATGGGCTTTAGCAACCCGACCAACTTTGTGCACAAGGTCCACGTTGGATTTGACCCCATATCAGGTGCTTTCACTGTGCGTGCATGCTACATTCAAAATGCCATAATCTTTGTCTCACTCACGTCTATGTTCCAGGGCATGCCCGAACAATGGAGCAAGCTTCTTACAAAGTCTGCAATTACTCGTGAAGATTACGCTAAAGACCCTCAAGCCGTCCTCGACGTCCTCGAATTTTATACTGATCATCAGAAGCGTGAGTTGGAAGAGATGGGTATGAACTCGATATCACGGTCTGTCTCTGGGACATCTGCAGCTTCCACCCTCGTCGGTTCTACCATATCAAGCAACACTCTTTCACCATACGGTGTAGATGCACCTGCTCGATTCGGCGGCACAGGTCTCGGCGGATCTAATCTCCCTAAGATCACATCTCCCCTCGACACAGCCCGCAAGCGACAAGACTCCGCTCCAGCAGAGACGGGGACAAACGGGCTCTCTACAACTGCCCTCGCTGCTGCACGCGTTGCTGAGCTCGTCAATGGCTCACACGCCCAGCACGCCAACACCATTTCTACCGCCTCGCCTTCCGCACCTCCGCGCCCCCCAATCCCCCAAATGTTGCAAGCATCAACCTCCTTGCAGCCTTCCCGACCTGCCCCTCCGCGACCATTGTTAGCAGCCACACGGCCCGCACCTGCCGCTCCCAAACCCCCTGTACCAGACCATACACCCTCGACTGCAGACCTTCGTGCGCGAGCGCAGGTTCGTGATCAAGTGACCGGGAAACCTTCGTTGGACCAGGCCCCGAAGCGAAAGGAGAGTATGGATGCTATTGGACAGCAAGAACGGGAGCGGAAGGACAGGGAGCTACGGGAAAGGGAACGCCAGCGGCGCGAAGAGCGTGAACGTGAGCGCCAGCAAGTGAAGGAGCAGCAGGCTGTGGCTGCCGTCGAGCGGCCTCCCTTGGTACCTTCTAAATCTGCCCCGGCTACTTCTGAACTTGTGACGGAGCCTGTGGCAGGTGTCACTGGAGCTGTTGCTGGTCCTCCACCTGTAAAGCCGCTGCAGACAATGAAGAAGAAGGAGCCGCCGGCACCTGATGTTACTGTCACTGTACCCGAAGGCGAAGACCCAGGTGTTGCAGCCGCTGCAGAGGCACTGCAGAAGAAACCCAAGGAAAAGGAAAAAGATAAGGAGAAGCGGATTAGCGCAATGACCGAAGCGCAGATCATGGAGAAGCTCCGGAGTGTTGTATCTGACGATGATCCGAAGACCTTGTACAGTAAGATTAAGAAAGTCGGACAGGGGTGAGGCTTTCATTGCATTAGCTACTGGCGAATATTGACGAGTTATCCACAGCGCTTCTGGACATGTGTATGTCGCAAAAACGCTTGCCACAGGCAAGAAGGTTGCTATCAAAGAAATGGACCTCTCACACCAGCCTCGCAAGGAACTAATCGTGAACGAGATCCTCGTCATGAAGGAATCCCAGCACCCCAACATAGTCAACTTCCTCGAGTCGTACCTCGTAAAGAACAATGAACTCTGGGTCGTCATGGAATATATGGAGGGCGGTGCCCTCACGGATATCATAGAGAACAATACACTGGAAGAAGATCAGATTTCTAGCATAAGTTTGGAAGTGCGTACCTTTTTTATTTGTCATAATTCGTGGGTGATACTCACGCACCGCTAGACATGCAAGGGTCTGTGTCATTTGCACAGCCAATCCATCATCCATCGTGATATCAAATCCGATAATGTCCTCCTCGATGCCCAGGGCCGCGTTAAAATTAGTACGCATCTTCTTTTTTTGCAATCTTGCACTGGTCTCTGATGTGTTGCACAGCCGACTTCGGTTTCTGCGCTAAACTCACTGATCAGAAATCCAAGCGTGCGACAATGGTCGGTACCCCATACTGGATGGCGCCGGAGGTCGTGAAGCAGAAGGAATACGGTGCTAAAGTCGACATCTGGTCACTTGGCATTATGGCAATCGAGATGATCGAGAACGAGCCTCCTTATCTTGATGAGGAGCCATTAAAGGCACTGTACCTGATTGCGACGAACGGGACGCCAACGCTCAAGAAGCCCGAAGCACTGAGCAAGGAGCTGAAGAGCTTCCTCAGCGTATGCCTATGTGTTGATGTCAAAAGTCGCGCCAATTCGAGCGAGCTCTTACAGGTATGGAAGGTTGTCTCCCCACGTCTCATTCCTAATGTTTCTGTGCAGCACGAGTTCTTGAAGAAGGCTTGTGCGCCATCCGGTCTTGCCCCTCTCCTGAGATTCAGGACCAAACCGTCATCATGATGTTTCGTGCTGCCAGTCTCGTCAAGGTTTTTGGACTTACTCAGCTTCATTCGTCGGTTTGTCTCTGCACCACCTTCTTTTTGTTTGTTCCACGTCTACGATCTATGTATAATCCGATGCTACCCCCACTTTCACTCGTCTCGCTGTTTATAATGTTTTGATGCGTACGAAGTTGCAATGGAAGTCTGTTGTAAAATCTGTAAACTCACTGGCTACTGGCGCTGTGCGTCTTGTGATATTTCGTCATGCAAACATTCACCGACCGTTAATGCTACAAGCAGGGGTACTTTCACTTGTATGTCTTTCTGCCCAAGGATCCACGTTGGAATCGGATGGAGGGTGTTGATTCTGAAGATACCTGGGGTACGTAGTGTCCGACTGTACGATCATCACTGACGTTTCTTCATGTCATGAGTTTTTGACGAAGGCCGGTGCGCCATTTATTCTCACCCGATGCGGTCCAATCTCGGTATTGGATTTCCTCAACTTCGTAGGTCGGTTGTATCTACACCCACTTGAATTCCTGTGGCCACGTGCTGCCCTCACCTGGACGTATTTCCGAGTCGGTATTCATATGTTTTGTTGAGTACCAAATTGCAATGGTACGATCGACATCGCCGAAACGTCCACGTGTGGTCATCGTCTGGCCACAAAACAGCGTATGTACACCCAGCGGTGTCGAGAGGTGAACACGAAAAATGTTTTACAATATATATACGGAGGTGTCGAAAACTGGACTGAATATTCTACATAGTAAGTCCCATGAGGTCGCTCGTCACACAAGCAAGCTTCTCCAAGCAAGTCTCTACAATATCTATCATATCCATTTTCTCCTTGGCTTCAGGCTCAATCACAAGCAACCCTTTCACCTGGCTCTCACTTGGTTCGCCAGTTTCAACATTTCCATCCTTGAATAGGTCCTGATGCGCCGCAACGTACTCAGGATAGCAGACAATATCCCAATAACCTTCTGGATCAATCCAAGGTACTATTTGAGAACATGGTACCATGAGTGAGACACATTCGACTGATTTGCGGAAGCTTGCGTACCTCCAGGTTGTGGCAAAAACTGAAACTGCATTTCACGCCGCTTCTTCAGTATGTGCTTTGGTGCGCGCAAGAAAATGCACACATCCAGCTGACGAATAACGTCCTGAAAATGAATAGTCCCGAATCCGTTCTGAGATAATATTGTTTATCGAGGGGCATTACAGACCTGATCCCAGTATAACATGAATCCGTCAACTAACACCCAAATTACTTTGGTGTTAGCAGCAACCAAACAGCGTTGCTCAAGATCTTGAAATCGTGCTTTCCAGGCATCTGCCTTATTCTCATCGATGGGTATATTTCTTCCATCACCCCAAGTATCGTAGCCTATATGGTCGGGTGGGATGTTACCGAAGCTCTTCACGTCCCGGAGAAACTTCCGCATTCGAGACCAGTCTATGGCGCTCGGTGCGTCCCAGTTTTTGGTGTTGAGTTCTTGGTGAGTGGAAAGCATCTCTTCCGGCTACGGGTCTCCGGGTAAGCACGCCAGATCAAGCTAAGCGCCATATAAAGTCTTTCCTACCAGAAAGAAATCCTAGTCGGCGTATCCGTGAGGGATCAACGTATACACATTATACATCAAGATCAATACACACATCCTGGTGAACGATGACACTATTCGGAATAATGTCCTTCATGTGTTTAGTCAGTGTTGTCTTCCCCGAACATGACGCGCCTCTTCAAAGTTCAGCGTCGCGTGGGTCAGTCAGTATCGAAACAGTCGAACCAGAACTTACCCAATGCCAACTAGGATGACTTTCGTCTTGATATTGGCCATCAGATCTGACATTTAGAAGTTGGATCGCTGGTTGTTAGAAGGTATCTCAAAGAGATGGGAAATACCTGAATGAGCAGTCATCCCGACGTTTTGGGAAGTCGCAATGAACGGTTCTTCGGTTCCGGCTGCGGGGAACCAGGGAGGGCCCTATAACGACGCAATTGTACTAGGCGCATTCTGAGAGCCCGTAAACTTAGATAGCGAGCTGTTATGGGATATATAACCTTCGATCCTGTGACAAGTATCACCAGGTTGACCCTGAGTTGTGAATGTAACGTCTCCATTCGTATCACTTTCAGTGGCAGGATGCGATTGAACGTCTCAGTAAGTACTCACTGCTGGCAGGGTGGGAAAAAAGGAGTTAATAAGTAGCATAGCAGTAGGCTACACCTCATTCGTGTAGTACAGAAGCTTATCGATGACCATAGTGCAGCCGCCATGTGTCCCTCGCAAAATGACGAAGACAGCGTTTTTTGGCATACCAATTTGATCAGCTAGAAGAGTAATAGGGTTGTGGAACGGGCAAAGGAATAATTAATAAGCAAGGGTCCTGAGTCAGAATATTTCTGAACAAATACAAATATCTCTTGATCCGCTGAACAGAGTTACAAAATTCGTGGAGAATGCGGCGGTACGACGCTTGTACATGCATGTACGATGCAGATTCATCATTCCAGAATGTTCATCTTTTTTAGAGGGATCTTGCCTTGATTACATAAACCACACTGTACGGTATGCGTTGATCAAATATTGACATCACACTTTATCTCATTAGATCAGGTCAAGCTTTGAACCGTTAAATTTCATCTTCTAAACATACCTGCATCTGAACTACAACACTATGCAAACAGCTGAATGAGACATGGCATAAACTGGGATCATATGAGTGCGGGACATATAGCTAATAGTAAAGGCATGTGGTAAGTAATGACGTGTGACCATGGAACGAGATGAAAACATGCATAGGATAAGACAAAAATTGCTATATCATGGCGGTGTAGAAAGGGTCATATCTACCTGATGCTAGGATGCAATACAGAGCGTTTGCCTCTTCGAAGCGAGAGTGGCGTAAGGTGAAATGTGACATTTCAGTTGAATCTGCATCGGAAGCGGCGTCCACGATCGAGAGCTTGAGCAATGAGGAATAGAAACGACAGAGCTGCAAAAAAGTAAGGCAATGTGCTTCGAAGATGATGTGAAACCAACATTTTGAACCCCCTTCGCAAATCGGTCATCACTGACGAGCCCCTCGTGTTCGTCTCTCTCAGCATTGTCAAGCCACTTGATACTCTCATGAATAAAGCGTCCCAGGACTTCGGAACGTACGATGTCTGCTATCGTAGTTTTGCCACCAGTCGAATAATCTGGAAGAGCTGACGTATCACGAAGGAGACGGCCAAGGAGGTCAAATGATGGGAGCGTTGGAGGGAGTAATGTCAGGGCGTCCAAATATACAGAAATATCTTGTGCAAGGTTATTAGGTGCCATCAGTAAAGCGACGACAAGCTGGTAAGCTAGGTTAGGATTATACGAGACGATGGGCGGTAGGTCCACGGAAGTTATCATCGTGGGAGAGGTCAGGTGGGGTATTAAAGGTGTCAAGATCTGCACGATGGATTGTCAGAGCAAATATCAAACTGATTCACGATGCTTACCCGTTGTTCTGTGAGTGTAAGTGCTCGATCACGAGCTGCAAGTACAAGTTTCATTGCTTGGGCGATGCGTTCATTCTCTCGATCTGTTTCTCGTGTAATCCTGGTCTCTGTGGCCGGCGGGAGTAATGATAACGAATTCTTGGAAGCGCCTTGCTCGGCAAATTGCTTCGGTTCTCCTGCCGTGATCGTGGATTTGGCAACAGAGTGATCACTAACAAATTCGGATATAGAAAGATCGACAGGAGTGAAGTTGCTGCTTACGGGTCACTTTCCATGAAAGTCTCTTCATCCAAAAACAGACATGAAGCCCTCAATTCCGGAGGCAGGGGTGATTTTGTCAAGGTACTAGGAGAATAGGGACCAATCTGGGTGGCTGTGAGAGAAATAAAAGGTAGGACAATATCGGATTTACATCATTACCATCCCCCTTCAGGATCTTCCAGAGAACCCAAACCAATTGCTCCCTTTCACTGAACCCGCCCTCGGTTGAAATTTCTATGGCGAGTTCTCTCTCCTTAACGAATGTAGCGTACAAGACGGACTTGAAGGGATTGAGAGAAATCGGATAAGGAGCATACATGGAATAAAGAATGAATGAAACCGGGATGCGTTGTGCGAGCTGGCACATCGCAGCAGAATAGTTATAGAGGTCAGCAGCAAGAACCTTGATCACTATTGACAGAACTCAACTGACATCAGCGGCTGAAGTAAGGAGAGGCAATAGCATATCAAGAGCTAACTGAAATCTCGCAGTAGGTTGTACGAGCTGCATGAATGCCTGAGAAACCGCCGAACATGGAAGAGAATGAGCTCTAGCCAAGAGGTGAACAACAGACGCCCGAGTTGGATCCCCTGAACCTTTCTGAGTAGTAAAAGTTTGAGAGGATGTGGAAGATTTTGGGAAGAAACGCGAGCCAGCCATCGTGATGACTGGGCTGGCCCTTGAAGTCGATGTGAGCGGCAACGGCGAGCTCATCCAAGTCAATTTATTGTCCATGCTCATTAGATTCCGAAGTTGGGTTTCGGGCCATTGCCGGTACAAGCACTCACGTGCATGGCATTGTTGAAGCTTTGGTTTCTGTGGCGTGTACATACACTTTAAATTAGACTTCATCCCCCACCAACCAGCCACCAAAATAAACATGTTCACATGGACACATGCAGCAATGCTTATAGGAAAATGCTGCGCACACGAGTGTGAAGTCGACTAGCAGCCTCTCCAAACGACTTTCATCCCCTTGAGTTCCATGGCGCCCTTGGGTCGCTCAGAAATTTTAGCAACCGATGAGAATCAGAGTACTACTAGTGACTCCACTTCTAACAAGGTCAGCTATCATCAACCTATCACTTTCCGACCTCACGGGCTGACCATCATGTGAATATTTATTTCAATAGATCTACATTATCATTGTCGTCGTTGCAGTGCTCCTCTTGATGGCAGCAAGGTGCGCCTGGGGACTTCACGTGAGGCGCTTAGAAGATATTTACTAATCTTTATCAAGGATATATATTGTGCGGAGGAGAAGACGATCTCTCAGGTCGTCAAATCCTTATGACAACTCTCAGGCTCCCGAAAACAATATATTCAGTTCTTCATATCAACCCTCTTATCGGATGCATCGTCTTACCCCTCTTCCATCGGTTTATCACCCTGATCGCAGAGTCAATGCTGCGGATACTGATTCTGCCGGGCGCAGAACTGGGGGGCCTGATGATCCAGACTGGGATGGGAAAGATATACTTCCTGCCTACAATAAATTTGATCGCCCTCCCAAATACGACCTTGGTGGAGTGCTACCCGCTCAAGGATATACACCATCTGCTGGGAATCACCCACGCAACGACACAGTTATGGCAAGCACTGAAGCCATTCCTGTTGTCGAAGATCAATCCATGGCTTCTGTAAGGACTGGTCCCTCTGACGGAGATGATTCCGCTCTGTCTGCGCCGCGCCACGAGGCATCTAGCTAATGTTATGATTTGTAATCGTTACATTACTAATTTACCGCACCGACTTGGCACAGACTGTCTCGGACTCCGGACTTCATCGATCATCTGTTGTATACTTTACCACCAGATACCCTTTACGTTTTCTCTAGCACGATTCTACGGGTTGTAATACATCACTAGGTTCCTTCTGTTCCGTGTCCATCAGACATTACACCTCAAGGAGTGTCAATAAGATTTATCTTGAGCTAAACCCCATCCTTGTTTCGAACTAACAGCCATTGCTCCAATCTTCCTCATTGTTTACATATGAAACCCTTTCAAACTCCACATTCTCGCCTCTTCTCCCTCCCTCACCCATCCCATGTAATCTGCGGTCAACACGGCTGCTCGGACGAACATCGAGCCGTCAAGTTCCTCTGCCCCATCTAGTTCAACTGGCGGAACAGCGGGGCTGTTTGGAGGGTTCGGCACCGCGGGTGTCGACTCAAAAAAGGATCTGAAATTCAGGGAGGATCGGCCGATTACCACGAACCATGCAATAGCGCTTGAGAGGTATGCGCGGAGAAGTAGGACTTGTGCCCGAGGAGACAAGTAGGCGACGAGTGAAGGGAGGAAGAGACTTGAAGTGACCAGATGCATCCTAGGATCTGAGAAATCGGATAAGGAGTATACATGGAATAAAGAATGAATGAAACTGGGATGCGTTGCGCGAGCTGGTGCATCGCAGCAGAATAGTTATGAAAATCAGCAGCAAGAGCCTTGATTACTATTGTCAGAACTCAACTGACATCAGCGGCTGAAGTAAGGAGAGGCAATAGCATATCAAGAGCTAGCTGAAATCTCGCAGTAGGCTGCACGAGCTGTATGAATGCCTGAGAAGCTGCCGAACATGGAAGAGAATGAGCTCTAGGGCCCAAGAGGTGAACAACAGACGCCCGAATTGGATCCCCTGAACCTTTCTGAGTAGTCAAAGTTTGAGAGGATGTGGAAGTTTTGGGAAGAAACGCGAGTCAGCCATCGTGATGACTGGGCTGGCCCTTGAAGTCGATGTGAGTGGCAACGACGAGCTCATCCAAGTCAATTTATTGTCCATGCTCATTGCTCATTAGATTCCGAAGTTGGGGTTCCCATTGCCGGTACACTTTGTCGAGCGTTTTACGATCACGTGACATTCGGGTTCCGCCGGATTCCCTCCCTGTTGATCCCTTTTGTTTTGGAGTGTCCGTTCAACGACACACTGCGGTCGTCTCTATTGAAAACAAATCGAATTTGCGGAGGCCCAAAAACAGACCTGCAATGTTGATCGACGTACGAACAACTCTCACAAAGCAAAAACTACACAACGTCGCAGAATGCGAAGAAGAAAGATACCAATCCGGTTGTGTGTGTGTGGTCATGCCAGCCCAGCGACAGTGAGTGTGATATGCTACAAATACGTGCGTGGACGGGGGTGATACATAGACGAGTGTTGGTGGATATACAGACCCGGAAATATGGTGATGTGGGGCCGTGGTCTTATAGTCTCAGCGGGAGGAGGACGCTCGAACTTCTGGGCGGCCGTTCTTACTTGCCCGTCCAGTGATTTCTCCCTGTCCCTCGCGCTGGCGCTGAATTGCATCGAAAAGTGGCTTGACGCCGCGGGTCGCCTCAGGGTATGCTTCCAGAAATACTCCCTGGTCCCGCTGCAGCCTGTCGAAGCTCGTGATGAGTTGCAAGCAATCAAGTGCCGCTCTTGAACCCACAATCGGCGTGAAGGCTACTCACCGGTAGAACTCGACAGCGATCACCTTGGGGATGTTCCGCTTCACGCCAGTGACCATGCGCATAGGGCCAGTGTACCACTCCTCGGGCCAATCCTTTAGTGCCTTGCCGCTAATAGATGCGGCAGGGTCTTCCCACTGCTTCACGGCAGTGCACCATGCCTCGTGCGAGGTCCGGGATGCCGACGCCAGGGATGGGAGCTTGCTTTTGTGCTGCAGCGCTGTGCCGGCGGCTGTTGGAGGGTGGCACCTGTAGTGTAGGAATGGCGCGAGGCGAGGGACGAGGTCGAGTCCATGGGAACCGGGGCGGGTGTTGTAGAAGCTGTGGCCTGATGGCACAGGGTTGGTTGTAGAGACTGGGAGGAAGAGACCCTCGCCAGTGTCGCCACCAATCAAACACCAAAATAAATGTCGTTCACATGGGCACATGCAGTAATACTTATAGGAAAACGCTGCGCACATGAATGTGAAGTTGACTAGCAGCCTCTTCAAATGACTTTCATCCCCTCAAGTGCTTCCATGGTGCTCTTGGGTCGCTCAGAAGTTTTATCAACTAATGAGAATCAGAGTACTAGTCACTCCAATAATAGCGGCACGGATCAGCTATCATCAACTTATCACTTTCCGACGCACGAGCTGACCATCATGTGAATATTTGAAATTTGTTTCAATAGATCATTGGCCTTGTTGTATTCCTCGTCTTGATGACAGCAATTAATGGGTGCGCCTGGGGACTTCACGCGAGGCGCTCAGAAGATATTTACTAATCTTCATCAAGCACACTTTTTGTCCGAAGGTTCCGGAGAAGACGATCTCTCAGGTCGTCAAATTCTCATGACAACTTTGAGGCTCCTGACTCTGAAGGCAATACATTCAGTTTTCCAAATCAAGCCTCTCATCGGATGCATCGTTTGACCCCTTTCCCATCGATTTATCGCCCTGATCGCAGAGTCAATGCTGCGGATACTGATTCTGCCGGGCGCAGAACTGGAGGGCCTGATGATCCAGATTGGGATGGGAAAGATATACTTCCTGCCTACAATAAATTTGATCGCCCTCCCAAGTACGACCTCGGTGGAGTGCTACCCGCTCAAGGATCATCTGCTGGGAATCACCCACACAACGACACAGTTATGGCAAGCACTGAAGCCATTCCTGTTGTAGAAGATCAATCCGTGGCTTCTGCAAGCACTGATCCCTCTGACGGAGATGATTCCGCTCTGTCTGCGCCGCGCCACGAGGCACCTAACTAATGTTATAATTCGTAATCGTTACATTACTGCACAGACTGTCTCAGACTCTGGACTTCAGCTATTGTATACTTTACCTCCAGATAATCTTTACGTTTTCTCTAACACGATTCTACGGGTTGTAATGCATCACTGGTTCCTTCTGTTCCGTATTCATCAGACATTACACCTAAAGAAGATTTATCTTGAGCTAAACCCCATCCTTGTTTCGAACTAACACCCACTGCTCCAATCTCCCTTGCTTACGGATGAAGCCCTTTCAAACTCCACATACTCGCCTCTTCTCCTTCCCTCACCCATCCCATGTAATCTGCGGTCAACACGGCTGCTCGCACGAATAGCGAGCCGTCAAGTTCCTCTGCCCCATCTAGTTCAGTTCCAGCAAAGTATCCTTTCGGCCGGGCCCCATAGATGGTGGAGAAGTGTGCGAAAGCTCGTTGGATCTTGGCATAATGGTCACTGGGGTGCATTATGGATGATTGAACGAGAGGAAGGAAAGGGTTGGGTGTCTGCGCGTTCTGTGCTGGGATACCTTCCACTGGCGGAACAGCGGGGCTGTTTGGAGGGTTCGGCACCGTGGATGTCGACTCAAAAAAGGATTTGAAATTCAGGGAGGGTCGGCCGATTACCACGAACCATGCAATAACGCTTGAGAGGTATGCGCGGAGAAGTAGGACTTGTGCCCGAGGAGACAAGTAGGCGACGAGTGAAGGGAGGAAGAGACTTGAATTGACCAGATGCATCCTAGGATCTGTAAGTATAGAACATTTCTGAATCGCAATCGATACTCACAGAAAGAAATCGGCAGTGAAACCGTTTTCTCCACCCTCCGAGAGCATACATTACCGAGGAGGTCCAAATACACTCTCCTATCTTACGTTCGATCTCTCCCGGTTTGGAGAGATCCACTGTCCATTTCTGGACGTGCTCGCGGATTGTGTCACCGTGAGCCACAAGTGTGTCGGGATATTGGCTAGCGAAATTTAATTGACCTTTCGACGCAAGGCTGGGATCCTTGAGAACTCGAGCAAGAATTGAGAAAGCGTGGGTGTCTTGTCCGCTTGGCGCCTTGAGAGGCATCGCAGAATCGAGCATCAATGACGCAAAACTGTTCATCACAGCGCCGATGCCATCACTAGGCTGGGCGACAAACATTGATCGTGGAAGGAAACCCGGGATATAAGTATAATGCATCGCCGCCAACGAAAGCCCTAACCCAGTTCACCGGATGTAAGTCTCTTCTTCCTTTGCACCAACGTGTGACTTACCCTCAGCAAGCATGCCTTTTAAGCCAAACTCGACGCCATATCCACAATGAATCAATGAATGAAAGACTCCATTTACGAATCGGCACAGCATTTCCGGCTGGCTTTCCGCGTCTCTTCCAGGTTGGAAGTTATACTTCTCGGAAAAGATGAATTCATCCAAAGTTGCGGAGGCGCCCTTTTCTTCGATGGCCTTAGCAAAGAAAGTGGTGTAAGCTTCGTAGTAGCTGTCGATTCCGAATATTAAGAACATCAAGATCAAGGCATAGGGGCAAGCATTTGCTCACTTTTCATCACCAAGATGGTCAACAAAATTCTGCGTTGTGACGGGATGGGGCGATACAAAGGCGGCTCTCTGAAACTTGCTGTCCTGTTTGTACAATGCTTCAATCACGGGTCCGCTGCCTCCTAATGCGTATATTGCAAGTGCTCGATGGGCAACGTGGCTAGGCGGATATGTCATAAATCATCGCTTAGTATAGTTTTTCTATCGCTCACTTGTGAAACCTTATATCGTTCCAGAAGATGTGATATCGGGTGTGGTTATCAATCAATACGTGCCGCATCGTGGCTAATGATTCGGGGTTGCATCCTGGCCACCTCTGTGGACAGAGTGCTGTCGGTGGAGGGGATGGAGCCGGGAAGAGTTTTTTCTGCCTTCTCGTCGTAAACCTTTCCGTTCATTGTGTTATTGGGAGTTGACTGATCAACGATAAGGACGAGAGTGTGAACAATCCTGCGTATTTAAAGCCTTTCTGAGAACCATGAGTCCGATGACTGGTCTCAATCCTATCCCTCTTGTTCAGGGGCTAGCTTCTTCGGCACTGATCCGTACTTCAAGTATCACGGTCTCCGAGAAGCACCTGACACTTGCGTTTATAATTAATCTGCAGTCGTGTGATCCAAAGTTCCTCCTGAAACTTAGAAGAGGCACGCCCTGCAACATCCCACATACCTTCGGTATTCGTCGATTCCTTGACGGTACCTATGGAAAGCGGAATGATCAGGCACATCGGGAGTGAGCAAATGGCATTTGTTCGGCTAGTACCCCCGCCACCCCTAGCCAAGTGTGCTCGACCTCCCACCTTGCTCACCGGAGAAATCTCCGTTCTATTGTCAGGGCGTGAGTCTTATCTGACAACGTCACACCTGACCAAAATCATTGCTGATCCATTGATAGACTGAGTGGTTGAATGATGTTCAACATGACCCTCGTTATCCTTTCCGTGGAAATTCTCGTGGCCCTCTGTACCCACATGATCATCGTTACCATGTACGCCATCGTGAGGTCTTGAACCAGAACGAAGTAACTCCGATTGTTGACCGCGACTCTCCTGTGAGGTGAATAACTTCGTTGAGTGTCTCCTCGTCGCCAATGGCGGTATGACAAGCGGATAAGAACGCAAACTCTGTGTGCGGAATGTCTTTCTCCACGATATCGAGCAGCGTGATGTCCGTCTCTCATGATGAAATGGGAATTGTAACGCTGTGCAGGGTCCTGCTTGCCATCACACACCAGGTGCACCCAGGCGTTCTCTTGCAAAGCTTCGAGTGCACCTGCTCGTGTGGCTGCGTCGCCAGAAATAGTGGTACGATTGGCCATCGCAGGGACAGGTTTATGGACAAGCTCGAGCTCGCTGTCCACAGCCAAGAGCGCCTTGCCTTTCTCTGCACCCAGTTGACCTTGACCGATCGCCATGAAGGAAGGAGGCATATGCTTCTTCATAATCTGATCAGAGCCGAAATTGTCAGCGTAAGAACAGATGTAGAGATCCCCCTTTCCCAGAGCGAACCTATCTGCTTTTGTTTGAAAGGGGTGAGCTGCGTGGAGAGGAATGGATGTGAAAGCTGCAGTTAGACACAGCCAGATTCAAGAGCAGCACTTTAGTTTGAGGATGTGCTCGAGTACGTTGACGATGGGTAACATGATTTTGTCACATATATGATCATGCTACCCATCGTCAACATCTGCGAGAGCACCATTAGATCCGTCCTCGACTCCGCTAGGTTCATCCGAGATGCTTGTCGTATTGTTTCCTGTAGTTGTGAGGGGAATATTCATTTTTATCTGGAAAGCGAGCTCGTGGGTGTGGCAGAGGATACCGGTGATACCGGCGCAGGTTCGTTTTTCAGAATACCTAGCGATGATGATGCAGATAAAATACGAGCAATATAATCCTCCATACCTGCAGGCCTGGGAGATGCGGTTGAGGCCGGGAACATCGATATTGAATAACTCCGTGACAGCGTGTCCGGCGTTGTCGGCGGCATAGTGTAGGATGAGTTAATGGGAGGGAAGATGGGTTTTAGCGGAGAAGGACAGCAGTGGCCATAGGGGGACATTGGCGCTAAAAGGGCACTTCAATCACTAGGGCAGCGAAAGTGACACGTTGACGGACGTGTAGAGTTTGGTGCGGTGAAGGGCGATGAAACTTGACTTGGGAGTTAGATGAGCCAGGTGGCGGGTATTCTGGACAAGTAGAGTGATGGGTAATTAGTATATTGCATAATGAACAACCCGACTCAGTTGTAGGTTGATTTGATTGAGGTTTAGTCGTTGCTGTTCATATTTTGCATCAGCGAGTGCCAGAAAGCTGTTCCGTTCTAGACTCTTTCTTGCCTACATGCGTTGAGATGTTGATTCCTGACGCCAAGCTGGTCACGAGCCTAGTCTCGTTCGTGGCCAAGAGATTTTACCGCCGCTGTTCCTCAGGCCAGATTGTAGAAGATCAATCCGTGGCTTCTGTAAGTACTGATCCCTCCAGTGACGGAGATGAGTCCGCTCTGTCTGCGCCGGGCAACGAGGCACCTGACTAATGTTATAATTTGTAATCGTTACATTACTGCACAAACTGTCTCAGACTCTGGACTTCAAAGCTTCACCTTTACTTCCAGATAATCTTTATGTTTTCTCTAACGCGATTCTACGGGTTGTAATGCATCACTGGTTCCTTCTGTTCCGTATTCATCAGACATTACACCTAAAGAAGATTTATCTTGAGCTAAACCCCATCCTTGTTTCGAACTAACACCTGCTCCAATCTCCCTCATTGCTTACACATGTAACCCTTTCAAACTCCACATTCTCGCCTCTTCCCCTTCCCTCACCCATCCCATGTAATCTGCGGTCAACACGGCTGCTCGCACGAACAGCGAGCCGTCAAGTTCCTCTGCCCCATCTAGTTCAGTTCCAGCAAAGTATCCTTTCGGCCGGGCCCCATAGATGGTGGAGAAGTGTGCGAAAGCTCGTTGGATCTTGGCGTGATGGTCATTGGGGTGCATTATGGATGATTGAACGAGAGGAAGGAAAGGGTTGGGTGTCTGCGCGTTCTGTGCTGGGATACCTTCCACTGGCGGAACAGCGGGGCTGTTTGGAGGGTTCGGCACCGTGGATGTCGACTCAAAAAAGGACTTGAAATTCAGGGAGGGTCGGCCGCATACTACGAACCATGCAATAGCGCTTGAGAGGTATGCGCGGAGAAGTTGGACTTGTGCCCGAGGAGACAAGTAGGCGACGAGTGAAGGGAGGAAGAGACTTGAAGTGACCAGATGCATCCTAGGATCTGTAAGTATCGAACATTTATGAATCGCAATTGATTCTCACAGGAAGAAATTGGCAGTGAAACCGTTTCTCCACCCTCCGAGAGCATACATTACCGAGGAGGTCCAAATACACTCTCCTATCTTACGTTCGATCTCTCCTGGTTTGGAGAGATCTACCGTCCATTTCTGAACGTGCTCGCGGATTGTGTCACCGTGAGCCACAACTGTGTCAGGATATTGCCTAGCGAAATTTAATGGGCCTTTCGACGCAAGGCTGGGATCCTTGAGAACTCGAGCAAGAATTGAGAAAGCGTGGGTGTCTTGTCCGCTTGGTGCCTTGAGAGGCATCGCAGAATCGAGCACCAACGACGCAAAACTGTTCATCACAGCGCCGATGCCGTCACCAGGCTGGGCGACAAACATTGATCGTGGAAGGAAACCCGGGACAGGAATATCATGCATCGCCGCCAACGAAAGCCCTAACCCAGTTCACCGGATGTAAGTGATGTCTCTTCTTCCTTTGCACCAATGTGTGACTTACCCTCAGCAAGCATGCCTTTTAAGCCAAACTCGACGCCATATCCACAATGAATCAATGAATGAAAGACCCCATCTACGAATCGGCACAGCATTTCCGGCTGCTTTGCCACTTCTCTTCCGGGCTGAAAGTTATACTTCTCAGAAAAGATAAATTCATCCAAAGTTGCGGATGCGCCTTTCTCATCGATGGCCTTAGCAAAGAAAGTGGTGTAAGCTTCGTAGTAGCTGTTGATTCCGAATATTAAGAACATCAAGGTCAGGGCATAGGGGCAAGCATTTGCTCACTTTTCATCACCGAGATGGTCAACAAAATTCTGCGCTGTGATGGGATGGGGCGATACAATGGCAGCTCTCTGAACCTTGCTGTCCTGTTTGTATAATGCTTCAATCACGGGGCCGCTCCCCCCTAACGCGTATATCGCAAGCGCTCGATGGGTAATGTGGCTGGGTGGATATGTCATAAATCATCGCTTAGGGTAGTTTTTCCATCACTCACTTGTGAAACTGGATATTATTAAAGAAGATGTGATGTCGGGTGTGGTTATCGATCAATACGTGCCGCATCGCGGCCAATGATTCGGGGTTGCATCCTGGCCACCTCTGTGGACAGAGTACTGTCGGTGGAGGGGATGGAGGCGGGAAGAGTTTTTCTACTCTCTCGTCGTAAACCTTTGTGTTCATTATGTTGTTTGGAGTTGACCAGGACTGATCGACAATAATGACGCAGATTGAGGGAGTGTGAACAATCTTGCGTATTTAAAGCCTTTCTGAGAACCGTGAGTTCCGTGGCTGGAGTCTCAATCTTACCCCTCTTGTTCAGGGGCTAGGAACTTATTGGCACTAGTACTGATCCGTATACGTCAAGTATCACGGGAGAAGCAACGTTGCATTTTCATTTCTTCGTAACCTGGTTAGAATGTAACATTTGGTGCGAATCTCGAGGTTCGCGCCACATTCTCACTTCGTATAATGTCCTTTTTTCCTCAGTGAACAGACACTTGCGTTTATAATTATAAATCTGTAGTCGTATGTTCCAACGTTCCTCCTGAAACTTAGAAGAGGACGCCCTGCTAATTATTTCATCCCACATACCTTCGATATCCGTGGATTCCTTGACGTCACGAAAGCGGAGTGATCAGGCGCAGCGGGAGTGAGCAGCTCGACAAAAATGGTATTTGTTTGGCCAGTACCCTTGCCACTCCCAGCCAAGTGTGTTCGTCCTCTATCGACCACCTTGCTCACCGGAGAAATCGCTGTTCTATTGTCAGGGCGTAAGTCTTATCTGACAACCTTACACCTGACCAAAATCATTGCTGGTCCATTGACAGACTGAGTGGTTTAATTCACCATCGAGCTCGAGTCATGCCAACTGATCTGTACACAACCCCCGCGAGCCTCTCCACGACCTTCGTGATGAGCCTGTCCGGCGCGATCCTCAGAATGATATTCAATATGACCCTCGTTATCCTTCCCGTGGAAATTCTCGCGGCCCTCTGCACCCACACGATCACCGTTACCATGTGCGTCATCGCGAGGTAGTGAACCAGAGCGAAGTATCTTCGATTGTTGACCGCGACTCTCTTGCGAAGTGAATGACTTCGTTGAGTGTCTCCTCACCGCCAATGGCGGTATGACAAGCGGATAAGAACGCAAACTCCGCGTGCGGAATGTCTTTCTCCACGATATCGAGCAGCGTCAGATGTTCGTCTCTCTTGACGAAATGGGAATTGTAAAGTTACGCAGGGTCTTGCTTGCCATGACACGCCAGGTGCACCCAGGTGTTCTCTTGCAAAGCTTCGAGTGCACCTGCTCGTGTGGCTGCGTCGCTAGAAATAGTGGTACGATTGGCCATCGCAAGGACAAGTTTATGGACAAGCTCGAGCTCGCTGTCCACAGCCAAGAGCGCCTTGCCATTCCCTCCACCCAGTTGACCTTGACCGATCGCCATGAAGGAAGGAGGCATATGCTTCTTCATAATCTGATCAGAGCCGAAATTGTCAGCGTAAGAACAGATGTAGAGATCCCCCTTTCCCAGAGCGAACCTATCTGCTTTTGTTTGAAAGGGGTGAGCTGCGTGGAGAGGAATGGATGTGAAAGCTGCAGTTAGACACAGCCAGATTCAAGAGCAGCACTTTAGTTTGAGGATGTGATCGAGTACGTTGACGATGGGTAGCATTGGGATAAAATCATGCTACCCATCGTCAACATCTGCGAGAGCACCATTAGATCCGTCCTCGACTCCGCTGGGTTCATCCGAGATGCTTGTCGTATTGTTTCCTGTAGTTGTGAGGGGAATACTCATTCTTATCTGGAAAGCGAGCTCGTGGGTGTGGAAGAGGATACCGGTGATACCGGCGCAGGTTCGTTTTTCAGAATACCTAGCGATGATGATGCAGATAAAATACGAGCAATATAATCCTCCATACCTGCAGGCCTGGGAGATGCGGTTGAGGCCGGAAACATCGATATTGAATAACTCCGTGACAGCGTGTCCGGCGTTGTCGGCGGCATAATGTAGGATGAGTTAATGGGAGGAAAGATGGGTTTTAGCGGAGAAGGACAGAAGTGGCCATAGGGGGACATTGGCACTAAAAGGGCACTTCAATCGCGAAAGTGACACGTTGACGGACGTGCAGAGTTTGGTGAGGTGAAGGGCAATGAAACTTGACTGAGGAGTTGAATGAGCCAGATGGCGGGTATTCTGGACAAGTAGAGTGATGGGTAATTCAATAATGCATAATGAACGACCCGACTCAGTTGTAGGTTGAGTTTAGTCGTTGCTGTTCATATTTCGCATTAGCGAGTGCCAGAAAGCTGTTCCGTTCTAGACTCTTTCTTGCCTACATGCGTTGAGATGTTGATTCCTGACGCCAAGCTGGTCACGAGCCTAGTCTCGTTCGTGGCCAAGAGATTTTTACCGCCGCTGTTCCTCAGGCCAGATCTAGAGGTCTTATCATTAGTGACGTTATTGCGTTACCCTGCACGTTACAGCACCGTGATACCTTGTTTTGGGGAGCCAATGTACTTCGGAAGGCCACTGCAATGTGCATCACTCGAAGGAACCAAGTGGTAACAGGGTATGTTTCAGAAACCGGCTCGAGTATTATTTATATGCCGTCGCGATCTGCCACGTCACTTCACTTAGCTGATGAGGCTATATGCGGAACCTCACCTCCCCGGTACCTGTAGTGCTACATCATCACACTTGTTCGATGCTCTTAAGGCGGGGTACTGACGCACTTTAATCGGCAAGGAGTAGCTTCACAAGGGTGGTCACTTGTTGGAGCCTGGCCGTGACGGGCGGTTCCGAGTCGGAGCCGTCCGGCCTCCAATTGAATTCATGAGACCCTAGCCTAGTACTGCAAGGTTGCGGCACCTCCAAATCGCAAAACGGCAGTAATGCTAATGCCATTCTCAAGCTCCCAGTTGGTTGAAAAAATTGCAGGGTAAAGGTCTGAAGGTGAGTCTGCCACTATCATCGACTCTTGTTGGAATCGAGCTTCTAGTTGATGACCTTAATCTTCAGAACTGTGATAACGTTATGACGGATGTGAAGATTAAGGTCATCACATCATTGCCTGTGTATCACACTTTTGGTCTACAGTATGCGCCCTAGAAGGCGACAGTCACGGCTGTTCCTCCATTTTATTGGGTCGGAGGTTTGTTAGCCTCGATATCCATTGGTCCTTCATATAGATCAGATCACTGATCCAATCCACATGCGATATTCAAACTCGATTCTATGGGCGCTCCGCCGACGACCGGTATGTTCCATTCCATTCTCTATCAAATACCGCATTGACTTGGCGTTCTTTATGGAATACATGTACAGGTATACGCTTACGCAAGTCTCCGCATCAACTTTGCTCATCAGTCACCTGTTAGAGTCGGCGGTCAGTTCCGCGTAAGGGGGGCTCTGCCTGCGCGCCTGTTGCATGCATATAAATGTAGCTGGTCACACTCAATCTCTTACCGCTCTCTAACATACTCCGACAATGAGCTCTGTTGAATACCACTATCCCGTGATCGGCCGCAAGGGCACTGGAGGCGTATTTGATCGCTTGCCCATCCAGACACTGGGGAAGGACCAACCCTACCAATTTGCATTGTTCATCCTTGCTTTCAGTGCGATCCAGCAGCGTTCCGATGCTCCCCACATTGAGCCAGCAGCCACCTTCATGGAAATTGCGTCAATTCACGGAAAGCCCTATGTTGAATGGGCTGGTGACCGCAACAAGGACACCTCAGCTGACTATAGCCCAACTGACAAGAAAGATACCAACCCTGTTCCTTCCAGATTCGGAGGTATGGCCGTCGTTTCCACTGTTGTTTCCCACAACCTGACAATATTGTGTGACAGGTTATTGCAAGTAAGTCATGTACACCCTCTCGCTCTGTTCATTTGAAACCGTTCTTTAGCCACGGCGCCGTTGTCTTCCCTACCTGGCACCGCCCATATGTTATGCTTATTGAGGTATGTTCAACAGATGATCATGCCTGACGCGCTGTTCAATTGTGTTACAGCAATCGATCGGAAACATTGCTGAACAATTGGCCCATGACATTGAAACTAATAACCCAGGTGAAAATGGAGTGTGGATTAAGGCTGCCAAGGAACTACGTTTTCCGTGCGTGCTAAGTCATTCCCGACGCTGATACAGACGTTTACATTACACGCAGATACTGGGACTGGGCCGATAAAGATGTACCCGAGAATGGCCTTCCTCCTGTTCTGTATGAAGATAAAATCGAAATCATGGCTGCTGGAGGTAAAAAACGAATAGTCAATAATCCGCTCCTCATTTTTCTCGTATGTCGATGGAATTCCATCCGACTTTACCGACGAGACGGACGACTCGGTATGTTATATTTCGCTTTCCAGATCACTGAACTTGCTCAAATGTGGTCCGAAGACAGGACAAGTGGCGTATTTCTCCAAGTGGCAGAGGACGTATCGCCACGCTGATAGTACCCCGAACCCTGAAGGCAGTCATATAGACTCGCTACAAACGTGAGTATCCATGGAGACATATGTTGCGTGAAGCTGGTGCTGATGTTACATTTTGTAAGGGCGTTCAAAGCCGGGGCAAAGGATCTGAGGCGCAGAGTCGCTCAGCTCTTTACGTTCAATGATGACCAAAATTCTGCGATAACGCACGTCTTAGTTTCTGCTAGGATTATATATGTATTGATAAATATGCTAACAGCTGGGACGACTTTTCTAATCATACCGCGGAATCGAAGAGAGAGATGGACTTCGTCAACAGTGGGTCGCTTGAAGGCGTGCACGACACTGTTCATATATTGCTTGTGGGTGGAATACATTTGTTCTAACTTTGATGCATGCTTACTCCAGCGATGAGCTAGGGTGGGAATGGACAAATGGTTAGTTGTAAATACTTGCGTGCGAGAGGTGTTTGTTGATCTATATTAACAAAATTTGCAGAGTTACCCAGACTACGTGAGCAATTCTGACCCTCTGCAATGATTTTGGCGCTCATCTTCACATAGGCCGGTTTCGATCCTATCTTTTTCCGTATGTGAACAGGTGATCACTCGTATGCATTACTTACGTGGTTTCCTTTAGTTCACCATTCGAATGTCGACAGGCTATGTATGTATATTTCGTTCAAGGGTGTTGTCTTGTTATTGAATCCCCCAAGTGGCTCTGTGGGAGTGGTGCTACACACCGAATATTGGATGGGAAGCGGATATGAACACGATAATGAACAATATCCCTGGACACAGGTATGGGTTGGACGATGTTCTCGCATAGATACTCAATAGTTATCTCTTAGGCACGTGGCACGTACGCGCAAGTTTACAACGAACAACTCCTTCCAGACGGGCCACTCCAGCCATTCCGAACGGAACAAGGAGACTACTGGACTTCCACTCAGGCCCGATTTTTGGATGAACAAGGCTACCCCAAGTGTACGTAGCAATCTTATCCATTGGATGACATAAGTTCACTTTGAATAGACTATTCGTTTCCCGAGTTTGAAGGAATCAAGGTCGATAAAGCTGCCACGTCATCCCAAGAGCGTGCTGCGGCGCGCAAAAGGGTGCAAGCCTACTACGATTTTGATCCGCAAACCAAGGCGAAACAGGTGGCTTCGCACGCTTGGAAGCACTTACCTGTTCCAAACAAGGAAGACCCTGCCGTGCCAAGTGATCATACCGTTATTCCTAACTATCGCACATTTGTTGTGCATGTGAAACTTGTGGAGCACGCATACAACCGCTCCTACTCATTCCAGCTCCACCATAAAGGGAATGTTCATTCGAGTCCGCAGCTCGTAGGTACCATCACAGTCTTTGCAAGGCCAGACAATTCTCCTTGTAAAGCATGTGCTATGCGTCGTGAGGCAGGATCTGTAGTTCGCGGGATGATCCCCATTCCTCCGGAATTGATCGACAGTATTATCAAATCAAACGGAGGCGCAGAATCAGGGGTTTCGTTCAATCAGACCCTCGCTCACATCAAGGGGGAGTTCGTTGGAAAGCTTGTGGATGCTACTGGCTCACAGCTTGCCGGAGCTGAGGGAGGGGTGGAGACGACCCAGGTGCCACAACATCGTGCCACTTCTCGTAGAGTCACTCCCGTGGAAATTTCTCTGGTGTCTGCTGCTGTTGCCGAGCACGTAGAGGACAAGGCTCGTCCTGTCCACTTATGTGACTGGCAGCTCCATGACGGTATCTTCAACGTAAGCGTATTGTTCTTTATTTTGGCAATCCGCTGAATATCCTTTCTGACAGGGTGGCTGGCTGGCGACTCACAAGGATTCGGAGTGATGCAGCATGCTTGGATGAGTCAACTTGTGAAATACTTGTATTTGATTGGCCAAATTCAGAACAATGTCTTCGGAAATGTGTTATCCCTGTACAATATGCAGTCGTCGAAGTGTTTTATCCCTGTATAATATATAGTATGGAATATCGACATTACTTCTTGAAATTCTTCCCTTCATTTGGTCTTGGGCGGCGATGTCAAATTCTGACACATGTAGAAAAAAGTGTACAAGAGAGATAGTTAGAAGCATAAAAGCGAGAGAGCACGAAAACGAAACGCGAGGGTAGAATGGTGAGAGACAGCACTCGGTTGTCGGACTTGCTCTCCAACTCTACTTAACCTAACTAACTCCCTCTAGAACGTAGGGGGCAGCGGGACCAGCGGAGCCATGGGTCGTCGGCTCATCACTAGTTCGTGCAATGGGTCGGCTGATGACTTGGTGGTTCAGTGTATGAGATGCGGAAACTTGCAATTCAGAGTCGAAAGCCATCGTCGTTGAGAGTAAGTACCAGGTTGAATTCAGGCCATAAAGCGAGAAGAAATGCGCAGACATAAGCTGAATCTTGAATGCATGATCTTCTGGTTGCAACATTGCGGACTGAATAAGGTCGAGGAATGGTTGGAGACCTTGCTCTTTGACGAAAGAGATGAGAGAGCATCGAGGAAGCCGCAAATGTCCGAGTCCGGCCGAGGGCAGCCATATGCGATCCACCAAGCGAGAGTCGATCCAAAGTGTGAGCGAAACAATATAACTTTCGAGTTTTGCGGCAGGTAAGACAACGCGGATTGAGGTGGCGAGATGCATGCTAATTTTTGAGGGAAGGGTGAGGGTGACCGTAACCGTGACAGCCTGAGGAGGATGTGATGAAAAGGCGTAGCCCAAGGGCTAGCGGGCCTTCAATTTGGTTATGACGCGCGCCACCGAGAGTCTCGTTCCTTGTTTTCGACCTTGTCTGTCTTACCATCGCAGTTCTGTAATAACAATATTATCCTATTCTCCTCCTCGGATCTTTATCTGAGCCCCAACAGCAGACTTAGGGTGTTGCTGACATTAGGTCGAAAACAATCTCTTCACGCCCAAAACCATTATTCCACTCTACCCCTATCATGTCTTCAAACAATAACTCACTCGATGTTGATGAAAATATGTCTTCCCCTAACGGCGCTGATGGAAACACCCTTCTTCAACTCCTTGCACAGTTGGTGCAAGGGCAGCAAGACTTTGGCCAGGTTGTCGCACAAGTTCTAGCTCACCCTGCTCCAGTACCACAAACTCCGACTGCGCCGACTATCCCTAAAGCATCAATTGCTGAACCAGATGCTTATGACGGGAAGTACGAGACGTTCGACGCATTCATGAGTCAACTTTTTCTATTGTTTTCCGGCAATCCGTCGGTCTATGCTAATGACCAAATGAAAATCATTACGACCTTGTCCTTTATGAAGAAAGGTTTCGCGGGTACGTGGGCGACCAATATCACGAAGCAGCTGAGGGAAGGCACTCTTGTCTTTGCGAGTTGGGCAGAGTTCGAGAGGAAGTTGAGAGGTGTATTCGATGATCCGAATAAGAAACGGCTCGCGCAGGTTAAGCTTCACACGCTGAAGAAAACTTCTAAACAATCCGCTGATGAATATTTCGCCGAGTTTGATCAACTCGCAACAGTCGCAGGCTTCAACGACGAAGCCTTGCTTGATATACTCCATCAAAACCTTGACAAGCCCACATTTGATGCAATTGTGGCTGCTCCGCAGGTTGATAGAGAGTTGACGGCATGGAAGGACTATGCGAAGAAGTATGATAGGAATAAGAGAGCGAACAAAAGGAGTGATGGAGGAGAATTTGCAAGTGGAAGGAGGTTTGGTGAAGGAAGAGGAGGACTGGGTTGGTTTTGGCCACAAGGAGGTATAGGACGAGGATCTCCCCATACAGGTACCACTGGAACGAGCGGCACCACTACGGACACTGGGAGTCACGCAGGCACAGGCACCGGGGGCACCAACACAGCGGGGGGCTGGCGCACTGGAGATATCACCTTTAATCACTGTCCACTTGCTTGCCGTGCTACCTTTGGAGGAGAGATATCACATGAGCCAGAAGATGAACCTTGTAAGGAGAAGCGAAAAGTTGAGCAGTTAGAAGATGGAGATCGCATTTTTGTCACTAAGTTTGAGGTTGAGACGTTGGAAGAATGGCAGTATTGGGAGAAGGCTAGAAGATGTGAAAAGATTAGGGCTGTGGAAACATGCTCTCAGAAGTTGGCAGAGGAGGCACTTAAGAAGGGGACAAAGATGTCGTTGGAAGAATTACTTCCCAAACACCTTGAAGATTTTATGCCGGTGTTTGAGAAAGCCTCATTTGATCGCTTACCTGAACGACGTCAGTGGGATCATGCTATTGAACTCAAAACCAGGCATCGAACCTTTCAATAGCAAGATTTACCCGCTAAGTCTTGTTGAGCAAGCTGAACTCGACAAGTTCATTGAAGAGCATCTGCACACAGGACGAATTCGACCTTCGAAATCCCCTATTGCTTCCCCATTCTTCTTCGTCAAGAAGAAAGATGGCTCTTTGCATCCTGTACAGGACTATCGCAAATTAAACTCAGCTACCATCAAAAATCGGTATCCCCTTCCTCTGATTTCCGAAGTAATCCACAAACTCCGCAACGTGCGATATTTTACCAAGCTCGATGTTCGATAGGGGTACAATAATATCCGCGTCCGTGAGGGAGACGAGTGGAAAGCTGCGTTTACAACCAATCGGGGACTCTATGAACCATTGGTAATGTTTTTTGGCCTCACAAACTCACCAGCTACCTTTCAGACGATGATGAATGATTTATTCCGAGATCTCATTAGCCGTGGAGTGGTGATTGTTTACATGGATGACATTCTCATCTTTACCGAATCCTTCGAAGAACATCGACGAGTCACACGTGAAGTTCTTCAAATCCTTCGTGACAACCACTTGTATCTGAAGGCCGAGAAATGTGCCTTTGAACAGACGGAAATCGAATATCTCGGACTCGTTATTCGTCACGGCGAGGTTTCTATGGATCCAGTCAAAGTGAAGGGTGTACAGGAATGGCCTCGACCTACTATGAAACACGAACTCCAGCAATTTTTAGGATTTGCCAACTACTATCGTCGTTTCATTCAAGGTTTCGCTCATATCGCTCATCCTCTTCACCGCTTAACTGGTAATGAACAATGGCATTGGGGAATAGACGAAGAAAAGGCATTCCAAGGCCTGAAAACTGCTATCACCACAGCACCCATACTTATCCTACCCAAAGACGATGCCCCGTTTCGTGTTGAAGCTGATAGTTCTGACTATGCTACAGGAGCAGTACTCTCCCAACTCCAATCTGATAATCATTGGCACCCTGTCGCATTCCTTTCGCGTGCACTATCTGATGTCGAGCGCAATTACGACATCCATGACAAGGAACTGCTCGCTATTATGCGAGCTCTTGCTGAATGGCGACATTATTTGATGGGTGCGCAACAAACCATCGAAATTGTCACTGACCACAAGAATTTGGAGTATTTTACTTCGGCAAAGAAACTAAACCGTCGTCAAGCACATTGGGCCTTGGAACTCGCAGAGTATGACTTCCGACTTACCCATAAGCCGGGAAAATCCCATGGGAAGCCTGATGCCCTCTCGAGACGAGCAGACCATGGACGGGGGGAGGAAGATAACGAAGATCGAGTTTTATTGAAAGAGGAATGGTTCCGAGCAGTAAACAACGGAGATAGAGATGGAGGGTGATGAAATCTTGTCGAAGATTCGCACGTCGAAGAGGGTTGAGAGGTTTGTAAGAGAAGCAATAAAGAAAGGTGAGAGAGGCTGGAAGGAACAGAACGGATTGAGGTTGTGGAAGAATCATATTTATGTGCCGAATGAACAATCCCTCCGAGATCAGATCATCCATTCTCACCATGACCTGCCTGTATCTGGTCATCCAGGGCGCTACAAAACGGCAGAGTTAATCTTGTGGACATATTGGTGGCCACGAATTCATGCGGATGTAACGCGTTATGTGAGTGGCTGCGAGAAATGTCAACGTACTAAGACCTTTCCCACAAAGCCATTCGGATTACTCGCACCTAATCCAGTGCCAGAGCATAACTGGCAGTTCGTATCAGTGGATCTCATAACTCAACTTCCCCAAAGCAAGGGAAATGACGCCATCCTCATTGTTGTGGACTGACTGTCCAAGATGATACGTCTCGCGCCGACAAATGGAGAGTTGACTTCTGAAGGTCTTGCACGTTTGTACCGAGGACCGGGTATGGCAGGATTTCGGTGTTCCTGAACGTGTCATCAGCGATCGCGGCTCTCAGTTCGTGTCTAGCTTTATGCACGACCTCAATCAGTTGCTCGGGATCCAAACCAATCTATCCACAGCATATCATCCACAAACAGATGGTCAGACCGAACGGATAAACCAAGAAATCAAGCAATATCTTCGTTTATTCACCAATTACCGTCAGAATGACTGGGCAGAGTGGTTACCCCCTCGCCCAATTTAACTATAATGACAAAGTGCAAACCTCCACTGGATATTCCCCCCTTCTTCCTAAACTACGGTCGTCATCCTCGCAAAGGAATTGAACCCCGCTCTAGTGTGAGGGCGGAAAGCACAGACGTCTTCACTTCACGAATGCATCATCTTGCGCAGGAAGCCACTAGCGCCTTGACAAAAGCAGCGAATGACATGAAACGTTATTATGATGAACACCGTCGTGAGGCTCCTGAATATCAGCCAGGAGATTTAGTTTACTTGGAGGCCACCAACCTTAAATCTGACCGCCCTTCGAAGAAGCTCGATGATCGTCGTTTTGGTCCTTTCAAAATCATTCAGAAGGTTGGAGAGCGAGCCTACAAACTGGATTTACCTCACACTTGGAAGCGGATCCATCCAGTGTTCCACACTGTTCTTCTTCGTCCCTACACACCACCAACTTCCCCATTGCAACAATCACCCGCCGCTGCCATCACCAGTAGACCTCGGAGGAACCCCAGAATATGAAGTTGAGAATATATTGGATAGTCGAGAGAGACATGGAAGAAGAGAATATTTGGTAAAATGGAGAGGACAACCAAGAGAAGAGAACACTTGGGAGCCGGAGCAAAATTTGAAGAATGAGTACGGAACCAACGAGGCGTTCAAAACTTTCCTGGCGCGTGAACGAGAACGCCTCAAAATTCGTATACCACCTCGGGGAGAATGGAGATATGCGATGCCGAATCGAGGAGTGTACGATTGGAGGATAGGGACATTTAGAGAGATCGTCGATGAGGACATCGACCTTGGGAGAGGGTAATGTGATGAAAAGGCGTAGCCCAAGGGCTAGCGGGGCCTTCAATTTGGTTATGACACGCACCACCGAGAGTCTCGTTCCTTGTTTTCGACCTTGTCTGTCTTACCATCGCAGTTCTGTAATAACAATATTATCCTATTCTCCTCCTCGGATCTTTATCTGAGCCCCAACAGCAGACTTAGGGTGTTGCTGACAGAGGAGTAAGAAGGAGGGGGTAAGAAGATGAGGGTAAGAGAGGATGAAAGAGGAAGGCGGATAGGCAGGAACTTGAAGGAGGGTCACTACCTGTGAAGGAGAGTGTTGAAGGAGAGTGTGAAGGAGGAAGGAACCCGACTGGGACACCAAATAAACTTCTAATTAATGTGATTGTCCGCTCTTCACACGACAACGTGCAGAAACAGGTGGACAGTGCCGATGTAGAACTAGCGACTGACACTGGGAAACTGAAAATTTGTCAGGGACATGGACTGATGCTTTCAAGAAGGTCGCCATACTAGGACAAGAAAGGGTTTAGGGAGAACACACCATCTTAAACGCAAACCCATCAGCTATTCATACTATACTTACACCCCATACCCATAGTATTACAATATCTCTCATATTAGGGCACCGCGTCCTACATAACAGTTCCTTTGCAATTTGTAGCGGTACTGACGGCCTCTCTAAGTTAAGGATCTGTTTGCGATGGTTTGTCACACCGCTTACCTTTACCTTCCTGGGTCCAAATTCTGTCGTGTGTCCTACAAAAATGAGGGGGTGGATCACACCCTCAATGAACCCGGCCAACATATACATCATCTTTGGTTGAGTGAACGCGTCTCGTCCTTCTTCAATTCCGTGTACATGGGAGGTTTACTTGCGTAGTAAAACCATATAGAAGGAAGACGGCCATTCCCTCTATAAAAGCGGAAATCGAACGTACTACGATATCGATGCTGCCAAAATATGCACAGTCCAGACTCGCTGAATCGTATGTACTCACTGTCAAGTTGTTCAATTGCAACTGTCGTCAACAGAAAGTCTACATCGCAGCATCTCGACAAACACTCTAGTGGCACTCGGAAGTCGGAAGGCGCCCCTGGGCCTTGCTTTGTCCCCATCAAAAACGTGCTTCAGGCAAACCCCGATGTGATTCGCTTGTGCGTCCACAACGTCACACTTGGTGTCCTAGACGATGCTTACACTCTCAGCCGGAGTCTTAAATCTGTACACAATGCAGAAGAATTGTGTCCACAGAAATATGGACCACAGCTGTGGGTGGAAACTGCAGGATAAATGGAGAGCGAACAGTATGTGTGCGTTTTCGCATCCTCCCCACTTTCTTACCCTGCCTCGTATCTATCATCATCTGCATCTGCATCCCCAGCAGATTGTTTTTATTTATTGCACAATCCTCATCGTCGCTCTTGTCGCCTCTACTTGATCACTGATCCATATTCCGCTTCCGCCCAGCTTTCTAGCGACCGAGTTTATCTTGGAGTTTTTAGTATCACCATGAATTCCCCCACATCCCCGAAGGCGTCCTCCCGACCCGTGCTCAGAATCACTATTCCGACGGTTAAAAATACAACTCCATGGCGCGCCATGGCACTAGTATTGCAATCGTCAAGATCTTCTGCGTTTTCGTGGAGACGATTGCTTCGCCCCTCACGAAAGGACCGTAATGGCGGAACACATCTCACCGAAGATCCTGCCTCACCTTCGTCTGAGACGCTTGTTGGGTCCCCGGTCGAGGAGAAATTAACTAGTCCGAAAGTGAATATTTACTCTTGGAGTATAACCGATAGTTTGCTAACTTCGTTCTGCGCAGCTGGTCCGTTTCGATGACTCGCCAACGTACTTTCGCACCAGGCGCCGAATCAAGCCTCACAATTCCCCCATTCCAAAGGGGGGACTTGCGCTCCTGTCTTGTTATAAATGTATGTGTACTCTTCAGTATCATTTCTCACACCATTTGACGTCACTGTTTCCAGAACACTGACCCCTTCAAAGAGCTTCTTTCGGATGACGATGACGACGTCTCCGTATATGAAGATTGTCTTACTTCTTACCCTGGCTTCTTCAAGGACATGGAGGATCTTCTCGAGCGCGAACATTTCAAGCAGATGGAAGTTGAAAAGTCCCGTTCTCCGTCTTGGGAGCTCACTGAATTTGGCTGCACGAAGATGGATCCGCAAGAGTACTTACGCTCCTGCTTGGCTAAGCAAGCAGAGAGAAAATCACGACAAGACATCGAAGGGTGGAGGAAGGTCGTCTACGACCATCCGATGACCTTACGCTGGCCCAGCCGGGAGATCACTGAGCAGCCAGTTAAGGAATCTCCAGTCATTTCGATAACGCCCCCGCGCCTTTTCGTTCCTGAGCCCACACCGGTAACTCTCAATTGGCATCAGCAGATTGCAAGCGACGTCATTGATATGCTGCTTTCGTTATGCTTTGGACTTACCATTTACATGTGCATTTATATTTTTGGCATATATTGTTTCTTTACTGGCGTTTCTCTGGATGAAGAGTAGCAACCGTCATTATTCAAGGTAGTATACCTATGTAACGCTTAGCACTATTGCAATGTACCATAAATTGATACCTAATAACTTGCAGTGTGGTCGGTCCAGTTGTTTGTTTGGACTTATTGAAACCACAAGGTGCTGCCTTCCTTTTTCGATACATAGATTTCTATTTAGGTACCACCGTGTACTACATGACTATCGATGACCGCCCATATCAGTCTGCCCGTATAACATGTCAGAATCAAGTCTCCTCACCTCAGAATCATTGCGTGCTCGCGGGAGAGGGTCGTGGAAAGTCCCGTGGCGGTCTAGGAAAGTACCTCCGCGCGCACGAGGTCGTGGTCGAGGTGGCCGTCCAGCAGAATTCCACAAGCGCCTCGTACTAGAAGGCAAAGAAACAGTCGATCTCGATCCCTGATTCCGAAGAAGCGAAAGAACTTCAACAGAAGTACGCACGACGACACCTTGGATCTAACGCTGATCGTTACTATGCGGAGCCCGAGCGTGAGTTAGATTCGGATGGTAAGTGGTGAGTGGATGATGTGTTGAGTTTATGTTTGATACAGTGTAGGAGAGGAGATTCGTGAGCCGGAAATAGACCTTTCGTCGTTTCTTGCGAGACAGCGGTTATCGGATGTGCCAACTGTCGTTGCGGTGCCTCGAGTGAACTAGCACATATCTCATCTCATCGTGTCCCACCTCCAGCATCTCAGAAGGGACGCGTGCAGGCCATTGAATGGGATGCGTAACTTGAGAAAATGAGTCGCGAAAAGGCTGCTGCAGATGCAAATCGAGGTGACTTCAACTTATGATAGCCGGTGTGTAGACTGATTGTGGTTGATAGATTTGAAAGCGCGATTCCGTGCAAAGGGTTGTCGGAGAAGCTTAAAGCAAAACCTCTATTTGCATGTGACATTGCTTTTTCTAACAGCTGTAAATCAAATTGATACTTTATTGAGTGGTCACAGGTCGTGGTTGTAGGCAACGCCTGAAGCTAGTAGTGGCTTGAGCGAAAAAAGGTCTGCCCAACCAGAGTGTGCATTCCCACATATCTTAGACGCCCATATGACAGGCTATGAAGCGGCACGGACGTCTGGGTGACGCATTAACTCGATGATCCAACTAAACTGTGTGGTAGCCTAAGAATAGAAGGTTAGAGTCAAAATTTTAAATGGATCAAAGCTCGTCAAGAGTAATGGGTGATTTTCAAAAATCGAACCTCGACATTTTACTTATTGTATGCGAATGAATGGTGACAGAACAAAGACATGTCCACAAATACTGTACCCACAGTGCAGTACGCTATGGTTCCTGAAACGGCAAACTTGGAACGTCCACAGTCGCTTGAACAAACGCGTCGGACAAAGAACGGTGGTTTATTTGGACCTGTTGAAGCCAACAAGCTCGATATATATAATCTTATTTAGGTACATCTACATCATGACTAACATCCACCTCGATCTGCACATGTAACATGTCAGAATCGAATTCTTCGTCGACTTCCGAACCACCGCATACTCGCGGGAGAGGTCGTGGAAAGTCCCGAGGCGGACTAGGCAAATACCTTCGTGCACGAGGCCGTGGGTCGAGGTGGCCGCCCAGCGGAATTCCGCCAGCGCCTAGTGCTGGAAGGTGAAGAGGTCGTCGACCTCGACCCTGATTCGGAAGAGGCGAAAGAACTTCGACAGAAGTACGCACGGCGACACCTTGGATCTAACGCCGATCGTTATGCGGAGCCCGAGCCTGAGTTGGATTCTGATGGTGAGTGGTGAGTGGATGATGTGTCAAGCTCATGTTTGACACAGTGTAGGAGAGGAGATTCGTGAACCGGAGATCGACCCTTACGTCATTTCTTGCGAGACAGCGGTTATCGGACGTGCCGGAGACTCAGGTAGTGGCGGTGGCTCAAGTCGATGATGATGATATCGACCATGAACTCGCGCATATTTCATCTCATCGTATCCCACCTCCGACGTCTCAGAAGGGACGCGTACAAGCAATCGAGTGGGATGCAGAACTTGAAGAAATGAGTCGCGAAAAGGCTGCTGCAGATGCAAGTCGAGGTGACTTCTGCTTAATTGATAGCTCGAGTGTATGAGACTGATTATGGTTGATAGATCTGAAAGCGCGATTCCGTGCAAAGTCGGAGAAGCTTAAAGTAAAGCCTCTGTTTTCACACAAGACCAGACAAGGTAGAGTCCTGTTATCTGTGTCCATTATCTCACTGACATTTTGTTTCACGCATCTGCCAGATGATAACTATTCTGAGGCGCCAGCTCTTCCTAATGACACACCGGGGAAGTCGCCCCAAAGTGGAGATGGAAGATTTTCTTGACGATCTTCTTGGCTAATGACCTGTATCTTGCGCATGACACTCATGTTCACGGGGTATTTGCACGTTGATTCTCTTCTTACTCCAAGTATATGATCACATGGTCAAAGGCCAGGTGGCCTCGGAAGGTCATCAACATCCATTATCAGCGCCGACTCTTACACATTCATGTTCTGAATCCGGATGTGGTGGAGACTGTTGTTCATCTATGGCCGCGTGCGACAAGCTCCATGGCTGAGCACGGCCCACTGAATGTTGTCGATGCTTCCGCGTTTGCAGGTCGTTCATTCTGCTGTTACTGGCTGATACTACGATTGGCCATCCACTCGTAATACATAACCCAAAGCAAGAGGTGGTACAGTAAGTAGGGCGTCGATTTGCCGTGAAGAAAGGGAGGATTGGTGAAAGGACAAAAGAGGAGACGATCGAATCGAAGCAAGGACGAAAACGGAGACGATTGGAGAAAGAACACTAGTAAGTAAGTGTCTGAGGCTACATGCATGCAGCAGTAATTTGACCGAGTGACGAAGCATCTCGAAAGGATAAACAAAGTGTACACCGGAGGCATGATCGAAGCTCATGACCGATCCGGGTGCATCAAGCACGAGGTAAATACTTGAACAATAGGGCATAAATAGCATATCCCAGGACAAGGGGAGTAACTCACAATAACGTTTCGAGGGGCCGAAACAGCCTTGGACTAAAGGAATGGAAGTGGTAGAGCATGTTGAGAAATCTGATTCATCAAACATCAGTCGGACGAAAGGACTACCAGTGCGAGGCGAAACAACTCACAGATGTTTACGAGATGATACAGTAAGTCTCTGGTAGCCAGTAACAGTCCTGATCCAGGGGTATAGAGGTTTCCTCGTCACCTCCATCATAGTGACTTGGGGGTGATAACATCATACATTCCATATCGAAGGAGTCCATGCTGCGTCGTAGGATGTCTCTTAATTTCTGAGCAAGTAGATAATGTAAAGGCGGCGCGAGGGTATGTCTGTGCAGGAGCTTCCGCGCAGAGTATCTGCAAAAAAAAAGGGTATTTCGTGTAGAGGGAAATAAATAATGGGACCCATAACGGTCCATCACATCACGACTTTATAGATCTTTGCCCCTCAATTGTTACCCACAAATGCATTGTCCTTTCATGTACTGGTGATTACATAATACGATTTATCAGCAGTACAATTCAAACACCGTTCCTTTGTGCTCTGCTCCTTTGTTCATTGCTTTCTCAGTATTTGAAATTGCACACACCCTGCTTTTTGCAGTTTAACCTTTTGTCGGATCGGATCTGAACGTCAAACATTCGTCGTTCGATGGACTACTCTCTGAAACATGTAATGCAACACAGACATGACGCGGACGTTCGACGGCAGGCGGCAACCTCGCAGCCCCAGGCTCAGTAGGTTCGGATAAACAAGAATGTGACTATGCGAGTCCCATAAACAGGTAAGGTTGAGAACACTTGTGTACTCGTATTTGATTCATGGTTCTCAACTTCAATTCAATTATGCTCAAGTGACCAAGAGTGAGGACAATGACTTGTTAAGCTACGCGCTACTAGTACACTTTCCACAAGCTTTGTAATGCACGACACGGTATCAACAATCGCACTCGGCGACACATGGACAGGAAACAGGCTGGGATTGGCCCGAAAGTAACTCGGCACAAACACGAACAGAACAGGAATCAGAACTTGACTACGTGTACCAAACGAAATCGAAACAACAACGAAAGACTGGACGGTACACGAGCCGGGAATCGATGGTGAGGGAAGATGAATAGTTTCGAGTTGGAAGCTCCGGAGGCCTCAACAAATCTCAAATAACTGCCAAAATGCACTTCAGCGATTGGCGAGAAATGGATGAAGGAGGCTTACATTGTCGCATAAGCAACACCATGTCGATGATCAACATCAAGCAACGACACAAAATCCGCCCGCCGCCATTGGGTTGCGCTCATGGTCAACGGGGAGCCCGTCGTACTCCTCTGAAAGATCATCATCCTCCAGTATTATTATTAATGGATAGAATTGCTCGGTGATAGATGTGAATGCGTCCATGGGATAAATAGTAGCAAAGGGGTTTCACGAAAAGCGAAGAACGAGGTTAGAGCACAGTATGTGAGAGTCAACGACCGTAATGACTGTGAGGGTTTGGGGTTAGCAGCTCGCGAGGGTAATTGGACAAAATCACTATACAGTTGGTTCTTTAATACCACTGACAAGGTATTACAAAGTATTACAAGATATTACAATGAAGCCTGTTCGTCATTGTTCGATCAATGGGGCGGTACACAAGTCGCCTGCATTGTTCTTAGTCCTTGCTCCGTAAGGTAATACCGGAGCTAGAGCCATGCCAACTTCTGCCGAAGGAGCCTCATCACTTCATGCAGGGTAGACGGCTTATACTATAACTGTAGCCTGAGCGTCCCATGCAGTCACTACCAAGTACATGATATATCTCTGCACGCAGTCTGCCGTTATCCATTCTAGGGGTAACATGTGGTTCGTGTGCCAGGCACGACATCAAAGTTAAAACTTTAATGTGTAGGCTCATGTAGTGAGGATGGATCGTCTGATCATAGACACAGTGACTCGGAGCACGTCGGCTTGGACCGCCCGGTCTAGCTCCTCGATCAGTTGACGTGCTTACCATGACGAAAACAACGACTCCGGTTTTTTGATGCGGCCATCGATTAGCACGGAACTGGCTGCATGCAATCTGGACAGGGACAATTCAAGAAAGTTGCTTGTCTTTGTGCCACGCCACTCGGAAACAGCGAAACCTTACCTTTGTGCCTGCACCGAACTGTTGGCATCAATTTGTAAAAGTCGTGATTACGCAGATGAATCTACCGAAATGCAATGCTCTTGTATAGAACAGGATTGCGTGAGCAGGCTGCGGCTCTCGATACCATAAGGCTGGCAGACATGTCGCTCAATGGACAAGGAGCCTATGGAATTGGAGAGGTGTAGTGTCCTCGCTAGGTGTTGCCCGATAACCAAGTTGTCAGTTGTCGTACGTGAGCCAAAACAGTACTTACTGATTGGATGATGAGATTAGGAACAGAAAAGCGTGCGGTACTACGCCACTTTGGGAAGATAATTTATACAAAAGCGACCAACAAAGGGGAGAAAAAACAACAAACAAACCGACAAAGCGAGAGAAACCACAACGAGGCATGCGAAGCCACCTCCCCTTAGCACTATGACGCCATGCATATACAAAAGATTTGGCGGAGAGATAATTTTAAACCCACTACTCATGGGCAGCGGGAATTTGGCGAAGGTGAAACCTAGTTTCGAGTCAGACGTTCTGGGAAGGGGATTGAAAATAGCACCGCTTACGCTTCATGACTCGATACAGGGCTCCCCTATCGAAACTCTCCAGACCTTGAAGGGACCGGAAGAATCCAAAGGAGGTCCTAGAGTTCTGTCTCGTTCGAGACCAGGTGAAGACGAAGCTTCACTAACCAGTGACTGATTGATATCTTCTCCGAAGACAAAAAATCACATGAGGTTAATCCGGAAGATTTGTGACAGACTAGAGAGGTGGGAGGATAAGGGTACTTTGCAAGCATTAATATTCTGACAGCGGCTAATAGCAGAGCTCCAAGTCCACTACTTCTTTCCTGAAACTCGGCGTAGCCATTCGGACAATGCTCGACGCTTCCGAGTCAGTGGTCATTCCAGGGAGGTGAGAGACTCGAGACTAAGGCTACTTCTTGAACCATGATTCAGTGGATCGATCAGAATGCAGAAATGGCAAAAATGTGTGGTTTGATGGACAAACCAAACAAAGGATGAATTGATGACGGTTCTAACGCAGTGGATGATAGTCGATAATCCCAGCTTCATTGCATACTCCCAAAAGGAAAAGAGCACAGAAAAGCAACAGAAAAGCGGCGGAGATTGACAATACCCACTGAGCCAGGGGTGGGTGGATGAGATGGGTGAGAATCTCTTTGGTAAAATTGTGGCAATTTGCTTTGAGCCAAAGCAACTTTTGAAGCAACTTAAGTAAAAGTACACGGTGCTACTAGTTCCCTTTGTTGAACCCAAAAGGTTTTATAAGCTATCATTCACGGTGTCCATCCTTGAACACGCTCCGGCTCTACTCTTTCTCAACTACTACTATGACTGGGTTGGACTATCCTCTACTTCATTTTCGTCTTGGCTTTGTAGTCGCATTTATACGTCTTCCTTGGCATCTACAAGCATAGAATTCGGGAGCATGATTTACACGGCGTTCTCTTGCCTCAACCAGTTCATCAACTACATCGTTTGGAATAACAATATTCTATCAACTTTGCGTTTGCTATCGTTGAGCGGTCTTAGTAGTAGTAGCGAGAACGAAAGAAAATGTTTGCTTTATTGAAGCAGATAGTTTTTCGGGTGGAAGCCCCGAAGGGGCGACCCGGCCCCGATGGCGGCCCCAACCTGTGCGAGAGAGAGCCGAGGTGAGCTGCGATTCCCAAGTGTTAGGAGTGAGAGCGACGCAGCGAAGTGAACCTCGGATCCCGAATTGTAGGAGCCTCAGAGCGACGCTTCGAGGTGAGGAAAGCGGCGTTGGAAAGAAGAGATAGTAGCTTGAGGGCGTCCGCGTTGCGGGCATCCGCCTGAGCAGAATTGCGGGCATCTGCGTGAGCAAAAGTGCAGGCATCCGCGTGAGCAAAAGTGCGGGCATCCGCGTTAGCAAAAGTGCGGGCATCTGCGTGAGCAAAAGTGCAGGCATCCACGTGAGCAAATGTGGGCATCTGCGTGAGCAAGGTGCAGGGAAGAGCAATGGGAGGGATAGAGTAAAAACCAGTATGCAGGACGATCTACTTCACGACAAGGTGAGTAAGCAGATAGTTCCCTCCCTTTATCAGGCTCCTTGCCCTGATGGGCGAAAAAGGAACCCGACGAGAGTTTGCCACGGCAAACTTCCTGCATGAGTAAACTTGAGAGGGCGGCGCAGAAGCGTTTTTGGGTGCCCTCTACCCATGGCCAGCTTCCCCGCCGGGCTTGTCTTCATTGCATGCGGATGCGTGCAAGGATCCAGGCCCTCAGAGCCCACCGTGTTGCCAAGTGGCCGGCGAAGATAGCCTAGAAAATAGAAATCAGGCCAATAAAATTTTGAGAGTCACCTAGGGTCACGAAAGATTGAAGAGGAGAGGAAACGTAGAGAAAAGAAAAGCAGAAGGCAGCAGGCAGGTTTGAGCCTGCTGGAGCGTGGCGCGAGCACTGCGTGGTGCAGAGACAAGAGAGGCCACGTGCTGCACTGCCGCTGCCGCAAAGTCCTAATTCTAACCCTACGCTCGTACCTCGCTTCGGGGTAGAATATCAAACTGGGCACCTGGTGTGACATTTGTAAGTGATGCTGTGCAGCGTTTCTACTACTTGTTTCCTGAAACTCGGTGCAGCCATTCGGATAATGCTCGGCGCCTCAGTGGGCATTCCTGCTGGGTCATGATACATCAATCCCGGGCTATACGGCATTGTGAAAGTTCATGTGGTCAGAGTCACGAAGGCAGAGGTACGCGTCTTCACTGGACGAAAATTGGTATCAAGAAATCTGCCCAAAGACAGCTTTACGGCCTCATATACGATTATGAGGGATCATCGATCATCGCTATTGTTCGACAATTACAGGTGCCTTCTCACTTTTGTGTTCAAGAAGCACGTTGGAGACGTCCATTGTCTTTGGAGTCAGAGCACAAAACTTGGTGACATTTCCATTAATATTGTTCTAAGCGCAAGTACTACAAAGCGCTGTTCGTGGAATTCTGTGATCATTAGACAGGCCACTGCAGGAGAATAAAGACAGTCGGCGGCTCCTATAATGACATTGGTTTGATTGGGTGTAGTTTTAACCGACGGGAGTCGCTCGTTTGATGCGGTTCAACTCTACTCTTTACTCTCATTCGCTTTTACGGAATTATATGCTGGGCCGTGCGTGCTATCATATATATGATTTGGACGATTGTATCTTCAAGTTTCAGCTAGTCCATCAATTCATGACTTATGGCATAACGATCGACGCTATCAATGAGACACAGGACACGGTCAGTACTGAGCTCCATATACTCATTGTTATCTTTGATTTGCGCATAATAATCATTCGCCGTACAGGCATGCGACGTATCCAGTTGTCTATCACACTAGCATATAGCTTGCTTCGCTGCCGTGTTGCTCGTCCTCATATGTAGGCTTTTTGCTTGCAATTAATGGGACTCCCCGGCTCGCACTAGTTCCTAGTTGAACAAATGTCGACTAATGATGTATCCCAGTAGGACAGTGGGATCAATCAAACCACCGTAATCTGCGATCAAGCGGGACAGGGTGGATCAATCAGACCACCGTATTCTGCGATCAAGCGGGACAGAGTGGGATTAATCAACCACAGAATAATAGAGCGGGGTTCAATATCTGGACTAAAGCACAGAATGAGCCCCCGAGGGGAGAATAAATAACAGACAAAGATGAAGGTCGAACAAATGACCAGAGTAGGGCCAAGAGGAGTCTGGGAATACCATTAGTCCTATTTGGTTATGAAATTACGAATGGCAGCTAACCATCGCGTCATACGGAGACGAAATAAGGGTCCCGTGCTGCAAGCTGACACGAGAGAAAGGTCCAAGTAAAGAACGAATAGTGGCGATGGCCGAGTGGGGTATATTGGCGACCACTGGGAGTATGGTCAAGAGACGGGTTTTAGGAAACCATCAGTCCCACTTGTTTGTGGAGTCACGAATATCAGCTCACCTGGACAAAAAAAAGGGTCTCACGCTTCAAGTAAGACAAGAGAAAGGCGTAAATAAATAACGAAGTCGACGAAAGTCGAATGGGGTATATTGACGACCAGGGAATGGTCAAGAGATGGATCTGGGGAAACGATCAATCCCGCTTGCTTGTGGAGTTACGCATGGCAGCTCACCCGCCCATCGCGCCTGCGCAAACGAAAAAAAAGGTCTCGCGCTTCAAGCTGAGACAAGAGAAATTATAACTACACACCGTTAGACAAGTTCAAGGGAAAGGTAACGACTGACTTGCCACTAAATAATTATACAGAAACCGTCCTGCGCGCAATTTCCCAGATAATATTCGTCGTCTACGAGTATGGGGTCATCATTAGCCATAGCGCATCTCGGGGGTTCGCCATCCAGCGATCCAGCGTTAAGAAAATCAGATATTGAGGCCAATACGTCCATGATAATATTATGATCAGGGGTGTCGCGACTACGAGATTGAATGAAGGAATGGGATTGGTTACAGTTGCTGTGTCCACTGATTGACCCTTCGAGTTTTCTTTATGAGACCAGCTAGCTCCATTGTCACCTTAAAGTGGCATGGCAGTTTATCCATTGTTCTCGCAATGGAACTAAATCATCCATTGATGCATTATGAAAGATTGATCAAAAACAGATGCGGTCCGGGAAGAGGATTGAAAACAACACCGCTGGGGTTTCGTGACTCGATACAGGGCTCGAAACTCTCCAGACTTTGTAGGGATCGGAAGAATCTAAAGGAGGTCCTAGAACATCTCAGACAATATAACTTTCTCACCAGCCAGTCCCTTGATCATGATGGCCTGGTTCGAGACCAGGTGGCAACGAAGTTTCACTGGCCACTGGTTGATATCTTCTCAGACAAAAGATATACGAAGTCGATCCGGAGAACTTCGTGCCAGTGACAGACTAAAGAGGTGGGAGCTGGGTGGGAGAGTAGGGCTACTTTTGGGACCATGAAGCCTGTTTGAGTCAATCAGAGATTTAGAATGCAGAAATGACAAATGAGACTCTGGTTTGGACGTATCTAACAAAGGATGCCAACGGTCCTAACGCAGTGACGATATGATCCTTGGTGCGTGGTGGTGGATGTGGGACCATAGTGCGGAGCCGTTGAGAACTCTTGTGACAATATTTTAAAAGGGGAGTTCAAAGCTGGATTTCGAGGCCGCTTCGATCGGACGTGGATTTGGACGTGGATTTTATTTTTCGAAAATTACGACGCGATTGTGAACTTAACTTGATTCAGAAAACAATTTTGGGCTATGAGAATGCTGAATCGCGTTGAATCGTCGAAGCGCCTTGGACCATTCGGAGGTGAACAATATTGACCCTGAGGCCGACACACAAATTGGATGTATTGACGTAGCTGCTAGACATGACTCCATGGTGGCTGGAGAGTCAAAGGCCTAGCAAGCATTTGCTGCATTATATACAACCTTACAACTTCTAAGTAGTGCTGCTCAGGCAGGATGGATCATCCTGAAGCATGTGGGCACTGGAGACAGAGAGATAACATACAAGTGAAAACGGACGTCTACGCCCACTCGACAGCCATCGTCGAGGACGCCGCATGAATACTTAGCGAGTATGTTCACTTTTCAGCCAGGACGGGATTAAACTGTACACTCGCGTGCAGAGAAATGTGGAGAGATGATTTTGTATTCGCCTCCCACTAGAACAGTACATGGAAGTTGGGGATTGATTTCATTGTAATCCAACCGTGCTAATAATGGTCGTGTGGTGGCAAAAAGGGAAATCGACGAAAACAAAGGGTTAGATTGTAGTGCTTGTAATCGGAAGGGAATGTACGTGAAGCGATATGGTGTCCATCAATGTCACGCAGACGAAATGCATTGGAAGATGGAGATGAGTCTACTCGAGAGTAATGTAAAGTGGAAGCGCGAGTAGTGTGGGTGGCTGGGAATGATTATGAAGAACGCTTGGCGATCAATGAACCGTCAATGTCTTCCCAGAGAAAGAGATACGTGAGGCTGATTTGGAGGATTTTGTGACATATGAGATTGGTAGGACAGTTGGGCTACTTATCGAACCACGAAGCCTGTTTCAGTCAATCAGAACGAAGAAAGGTAGATGAATGGTGTGATGGACATACCGAGCAAAGGATGGCGGTCCTAACACAGTGGGATAATGCTTGGTGGGTGGTGGTAGACGTAGGACCATAGTGCGGAACCACTGAAGACTCTTGCGATAATCCTTCATTGCCTCCTCTCCAAAGGAAAAGAACGCGAAAAACAAAACGCTAGATATCGGTACCACCCACCAAAGCGCGTAAGTCCATGCGAGTGTGGTGGGTGGAATAATGACTGTAGGGAAGTACGCAATTTGAGAAAACCCGTCGTGGACGTTATCCCAGCTTATCCAAGGGCGCAGGCCATGCTGGCACGTAAACCACATATTCAATGAAGTTACGAGTAAGCTCCAGAACATCTCGACAACGGCCATGCCCATCAACCGAAAATACTGTGAAGTGGTTAAGCCGGTCTTGGAGTCTCGAAGTTGCTTCGCAAAAGTAATACGACGGCGGAAGAAATACATTAGGGCGACGCCTTCAAAGGAGCAATTACTTTACATCCAGCAGCAGCGTGAAATGGGACAAACCAGCATAGCCGACTGTCAGAAGAGCCACGGTTATTGGGGGGACCCAAATCATACAGATGGCAGCGATGGACACGTAGATGGTTGGTCGACAGCCAAAATCTTCGACTATATCAAACCGGTGACCTTGTACGATATAATCTAAAAAAAACATTCAATAGACGCGCGCGTATATAGTTAATGTGCACATACGAAGCGCCATATAGATTATGGGTAAAAGCCAGCAGATCGCAGTATCGACTAGCGTTCTGCGCAATTTGTTTGTGTAAGTTGACTGAGCTTGGCGTACAGACGCAATGCGTGCCAGCTGGATGCAGGTACACAAACAACATGCCGGGAGCGCCATATTTGCCCCGACTTGAATCTTTGTAGCTGGCCCCGTACATTTTAGCACCAATCGAATTAAACATAATGAGCAACACACCAATATCACACCATACAGGTGCAACGTTCATAATATTTCCCGCCCATATGACAGAGTTGATGGCAAATATGATGTTGGAAATGAAGAGCCAAGCTATCATGGAAAGAGTAGCAACGTTTTTGGCTCTCCAATGCCACGGTAGAGGAATGAGAACAAGAGCTGCAGCTATAAACGCACCAATGGGTAGTTCGACTTGCATGGTGTTATACAAGGAGCGATCATTTGGCCGTCCATTAGGTTTATAGGTTCAATGCAAGCCATTGTGTCCGTTAGAATATTTACTGCGAACAAAGGGAACATGAACTTGCCAGAAATGGATAGCGAGTACTACTTCAAGCTCCGCAATGATTACAAAACAATGACAACTTGTAAGACACCACATCGCGATGTGTCATTGTCTGCATAGTTTGCACCAGCATAAGCATTACAGCTGTATGATATCTAGATTAACGGTGAGTGAAGTAGTCCCCGAATAGTTAAGAAGGTTCTCACCTTGATCTGTATCCGATCTTTCCATTTGGTAGGACAATGTGCGTTCCTCTGCTTATAAGATCTTCACAAAGGACGGGTCTCGAAATTACCAGACCTCACTTCCCATTGAATTTTGCCACCGCCGCCGCCGCCGCCTGCGCTGATGGACTCACTACCGATATATTTGGAAATATTTTTGAAGTCGCCACCGGACTTGTATGAGTCCACTGACGACCCAAGTTGCCCTATCGACGAAGAATATTATAGCCTTGCGCAAAGCGGGTTCTGCACTATATCATAATACCTTTCATGTGAGTCTTGTGCAGGCTCGATATGCATTTTCTTTGAACAACGCTTTCTCCAGACCAGCCTTGACATTATTGTCGGCTAGTATTCGATCGTTCGGCTTCGTACTGCCTGCGTTTGGTATGATTAAATTTTCCTCTTGTCCGTCACAAGACTCATCTTTTGGCAGATACGGTGGGCTCGCTACTCGTGCAGCATTTTTTCTGCTTCGATCTTCTTATACCCCCGTGCTACTTTACCAGTAGAACTTCGGTTATCTTATCGCCTGTATCTCTGGAGATTTTTGGCAGCTCTTGTTTAATTTTTTGGGTTCACACTGCCTCTGTTTGGTATGATCTAATTTCCTCTTGTCCGTCATACGACCCATCTTTTGGCAGATACGCTGGACTCGCTGCTTGTGCAGCATTGGATATCCTTTTCGTTCGTGACCCCATGCTACTTAACTTGGTAGATGCGGTTGGACTCGCTGCTTGTGCAGCATTACATATTTTCGTTCGTATACCCCAACTACTATCCTATTAGTACTTATCTATTCGTTTTTCCTGACTCCTTGCTTATCTGCTGATTGTGGTTCTAGCTGTCGTTATTCTTACTTACGATGTAGCTGCCGCTCTCGCATTGTTGTCATCTGACTTTTTTCTTTCTTTTTTCTTGTTTCAGATTATAGTCTCACCCATGTTGACTCGTCATAAGCTTCCTTCCGTTCAGTAAGGTTGGATGAATTCTATCCGGTAGATGAGAGAGACTCGTAGGAACGTTGACTCGTGTTCCGCTGCACCCAAATTCGAACCTGGGGACTTGGAGTTACAATTGGATGTTTACATCCGTCCAAACTAAGACTTTAGTACGTAGGACGCACTAGAGGCTAGAGCTGTCTGTCGGAGTTCTTGGTGTTTTTATCATGGATATTGGACAGCCATTATCGGCGATATATACGTATCTAATGTATGCATACGTAGGAATAAAGTGACCTTTATGATCACGAGGTGGAAATAACACGAAATAAGTCTAGTTGTCTGTATGTATGTCAACGTGCATGCGAGACGGTTAAATAGTACCAGACTTGCGAAAGTCAAGGAGGATAGCAACGAATTCGGGAAGTCGAGTTCAGGAAAAATATGAATCGAAGAAAATGGAAATTTGGGCCCAGTAGCCACAAAGCAATAGATATAAACGACGTTGTCTTTTGTGGACAACAGACACACAGAGCAAACAAAGCACAGCCTAGCAAAGCGAAATAAATAGGTTTCATCGTCTGTTGTAAACGAAGTATGACTTAAAGTCTTAAGCTGTGCGTCGCTTCCATTAGTCTGACGAATGGAGGGGCGACAGGCGAGCCGCAAACGTACATCACAGATCATTTTCGAAACAGTGACAGGCGCCATTACCCGCGGCCTAGGTGTTTGCAACGCCATAAAAGTAGCCGGAGTCACTGCTGTACGAGAGTTCAAACACCATCAGGACCGGTTCAGTGGGATTGGCATCGGGAGAAGATGTTTCGAAGAGCATTTTATATTCAGGGAAGGAACAAAGACTCAGGATCGTCGAATGAGTCCGTCATCGGGTCTGACGGTGGACCCGATGACGAGATTGTCTGTTAGAGTAAGAGTGATAGAGCTGGGTGGGACGGGAGGGGTTGCAAGTGTTTTTTTTGGAACGGGAACCTGATGGCAAGATTCTGCTAACGCAAAAATGAGTGGCGTTGAGTGGCTCGGCAGGAGTGGCGGGCGTTGTCGGGCTCGACGCGTGACGCGTGTAGGTGATATTATCACAAAGGGCAGAATATTGGCAGTCATGGTGATCTTGTCTTTCTTTATACCGTATAGACCACAATGGTATTTAATCTCCAGCGGCGGCCGAAATTTGGCCAAATCTCTGTCCGGACTTAGCATTTTTGAGTCTTTCGGAAGGCTGATGAGTCTGTCCGAAGTTAGCATTTTTTGAGATATTTCAGGTAGACTCTCTACCACGTAAGGAAAAAACCATTTGCGAGCTCAGTTGGTGCCTTCATCCTCGACAAAGTCACTGCAGCTTGTTGGAATGCCCTTGCACGTCCCTCGGTGAAATGAGTCATACTGAAGCTTCCAATGGTAGCAAAAGGATTATCTAAGAATCCAGTTAGAAGTTAGATGATATTCCAAAGTACTAATAACACACCTCCATACTTATCTATGACATATGTACACCCAGTTTTGCAGCTTACTAGTGTGAGCTGAGAGCTCGGACGCGAGAGCGTCACAGTTTGGCGGAGGTCATGCGCGTATCACATCACGTGACCTGACACTGGATTAGATAGACAGGGAACTTCAGGGGGCTAAACATTCAAGGAACTGCGGGGGCTCGGAATTGGATGCTCACACCCGTTCAAAGTAAGTCACGACTTAGTACACAAAATTGAGTGTCAGAAAATGCGTCGGTATTGTAGTAAAATTAAGGACAGCATATAAGTAGTTGGCATATTGAAGGTATATACGCGTAACGCAACATGTCTAGACAAATACCAGTGGATGTACATGACTAGACTCGTGACCAGTCCTTAGTATGCGGCCAGGTTCAACTTGCCTCATAGCAAGGACTGATCACGAGTCTAGTACATGACATAAAGGATGGGAGGTGGATTGGGATCTCACCCCACAGTCATTTGCCCGACGGTGTCGCGTACTACGTAGATGTAAAGTGATCGTGATGATCAAGGAGTGGAAATGAGTACGAAATGACTCCATGTCGTCTGCATGTATGTTAACGTACATGCTAGACGAATAAATAGTGTGAAAAAGTCGAAAAGACAGGAGGGAATTCTGAGATGAATCCAGAAAAAGTAAGTCCACAGAAATTTGGGTCCTAGTGGCCACAAGAGCAGAAACAATAAATAGAACGTCAGTGACTGTGGACGAAGGGCAGACAAAGAAAACAAAGCAAAGCATTGAAAAGCAAATAAATAGATCCCATTCAGTCTCTTGCAGACGAAGCACGACTTGAAGTCATAGGCTGTGCATCGGTTCCATCAGTCTGACTCCGAACGGAGGAAGCAACGGGAAGACGAACGTACATCACAGATCATTTTCGAAACAGTAACAGGCGCCGCTATCTACGGCACCCGCGTTATGCGATGCTACAAAAGTAGCCGCTGCCGCCATCATCGTAGGAGTATTCAAACTCCAAAAGAACCGATTCATCGGGATGGGAAGTAAGAGAGGATGTTTCGAAGGGCATGACAGATTCAGGAAAGGAAAAGGACTCGAGATCGTCGAATGAGTCCATCATCGGGTTTGACGATGGACCCGATGGCAATATTGTCTGTGAGCACAGAAATGGGTGGCGCGAGAGGGCTTCCAAGGATTATTTGGGACAAGGCCAATGATGATATTAATTATGTTGGTGAGCGCAGGAGTGGTGGCGCTGAGTGGCGCGACAGGGGTTGCAAACGATGTTTGGCTCGACGCGTATAGGTGCTCGCGCAATAATACTATCACAAAGGGCGCAAAATTGGCAGTCATGGTGATCCTTTGTCTTCCTTTATACTATGCTGGGAACAATGATGTTTATTTACTCTCTCTGCATTGACCGTCATCCATTGTTGATTGGTAAGAGAATTACCATTTTCGGTCATAATTTGCAATCATTGAAGTTCTTCCTTCAAAGTTCGCCCTTGTTCGATAGTAATATGGTTCCGCATCTTATGAGCCCCATTTGGTGGGATATTGTTATCGTATCTTTCACTCACACAATGCACCGCGAGTTCTCGCCAGTTGCGTTCCTTGCAGCTGTGTCACTGCTGCACCTCCCTCTGCAATGGCATCGACGAGCACGGAATATTGCAACACTCTTTGTCATACTGGTGCGGTGCGATATCAGTGAACACCATCGTAGGGTCTGCATTGGCCCTCCGAGTCCTGGCCACTTGCTTGTTGCATTGTCATTCATTTCGAGTGTGTCGGTTTCGTTCGATAGGTACTACGCAGCGCGACCAACGCAACCACCAGCTTTTCGAGCTATCAACGCACCTTGGAGCATGTTTTTCATGGGACTGTGTATGAACATTTCTATGAAACGTATTGCCATGCCGGCTACATTTTCCATTTTCCATGATCCGTAAACCCCCTTCGCAGCCCTCTGGACTGTTGGTGCAGTCCTATTTGTTCACATCGGTATTACATCGTCGCTCATAGGCACCCCTCGACCCGCAGTTCTTGCAAATTTCCTGGACTTCTATGCCGTATCAATCATTGACCACATTCATTTTCTTGAAAAGAATGGCAGTTTGAAATGTGTCGCCTATGAGCGACAATATAACAATAAATGGGACTGCACAAAAGTAGTTGGACGGACCACACTACTTGCATTAAATACAATGAGAGAAGAGCAACCTCAGAATATTCATGTCCGAAGGGTGGTGGAGGAATGTGTTATATAATGATGGACACCCGGTCATGGTGCTACCTGCGCTTGCTGCACCACCGCCCGAGCAGCGACGGTTGGATCAAATCGAGAGACTATTAAACATAATATGTCCATCATATGGTTAGTCGGCAGGAGAAGCGGTACTTTGCTCAATTGCATCGCATCTTCCCTTTGTCGATGAATAATACTTGCTCGTCTGTTGTGTACAATGTTTAAGATGAGACTCTCGCGCGCTGCATTCACACAGAGCCTCATCGGAGCGGAGGTTCAAATCGTTCCTTTTGTTGCTTACTAATATTGAGCACAATTGATCCAACAGTCGATCAGTCATATATTGGACATCAAGCCATGGGCCACAGGACTGTGCTTTGGCTGGCTGCCCTTGGAGTGTTAAATGCTGGCCTAAGCTTTGCGTTCTGAACTTTTGGTTGTCTTGCTATTCTGTATTTGGAACTCACACAAGAGATTATCGACGAAAGTTCAGTCATTCGTTTCAGCATAATGACTTTGGTTGACCTTTCAAGCCAACAATGGTGTATCGACCCATTGTTCCCAATGTCCGTCCACCGGGGTAAGCCACAACTGATTCTCTATTTAAACTGGACCTATTTTTCCTACGCGCTTCAATCAACACCCTTCATACCATATCCTCGTACTTGTAACACGTTAACGATATACCCAACTTTATACGCTCTTTGACTCGGAGCGTTTTTGCGACACCTATCCCTCCATTGTAATACTCAGTCCCCCAAACTCGTACTCATCACCTTCATTTAGCACTTTGCACCCTTCAACTCGCGCTTTACACCCTCCAACTCACACTCATCGCCTTCCATTTTGCACGCATCTCCTTCCACTTCACGCTCACTACAAATCTAGTCCTGTTCGTCTACGATGGACTTATTCGATACGATTCTGGATATATCTGAGCTATTCGATTCAGATCCGCTGCTCTTCCCAGATGAGGGTTATGGCAGTGGTGACGAGTCTAGTCAATCCAGTGATGACGAACAACCTTTGTTAGTGAACACAGACACAAAGTTTGGTTATGCGGGATATTGCATAATAACATAACGCGATGCCATCTTTCGCGAAGCATGCGTCCATCGTATAAGTAAGTTGACGGTCATTATTGTCTGATCATTGGTTCACCTTCTCTCCATAGACATCATATGGTTTACGATGCTGAAGCATGTTAAGTTAAGGCTGGCCATGCGGGTGAAATTCTCGTGACCCCGAACGGACCGACTGGGGCTGACTACGTCAGTTGCTTGAAGTCCTCTGAAGCTATCACAATTCACCAAAAAAGATCAAATTTTTTTGCAGAAACTTTTTTTTCGTCTGGTGGACTTCTCGTTCCACGAACCTTCAAACCTTTGGTACTGCCGGTTTCATTTTGGCCACAGTTTGCTTTTTCCCACTTGTGGGTTTTTTTTATCTCGAACTATACCGTACTACGGTGTACATCGAAGATGCAGCAATGTATTTCCTTGTGGCTGTAGGATCAGCGCTCACACGTGCGAGTATATACTCCTGTGGAAAACGAAGCGAATCAGCAAGGATCACAATCCTTACAATCGACACTCCCAGGGGTCGGCAGTCGCGCTTTTTTCGCAGGGCAAAATGTGATGTCGGACGGTGACTCATTGCCACGAAGTTATCACGTTTTCCTCCTAAAAATGTGTGACCTGCCGACTTGTGGGGGTGTCTTTCTATAGGTAATGACAGAGGGGTGGTACGAGGAATCATGTGAAGGCTCCCAGTAATGGACAATAGAGGCCCTGTTTTCACTAATAACTTGCGTGCAAGCTCTGACACTCCCAATAAGTTTTCTGGGAGATCGAAGCAACCACACAATTCGGCAATTTGTATTTAATCAAGTTGTTCTCGTGCCGAGTCCCGACGCAGTCAGTTAGTGATTACATAATCCCATATTGTTCTCCACTCACGCGCTCGCGGTGCACCACCGCGACGTACCACACTTCTGTCTTGCGCTCACGGCAGGCAACGACAGACTAATATCCGTATATCTCGCGGCTCGGACGTTTCATTTCTTCGAGCGCGATCAAGCTTATACGCCCCACTTTAGTCACGAAGCCATGGACCACTATCCGGAGGTCAAACGACCATTTCTTGACACAAGAGCTTTATCATCCCCGCTTGATCACGAGTCAGAGAGCGAATCTAGCGAAGTTTCCGGTTCAGATACGCCTTCTCCGTCGGTCAGACCTTCTGCCCGATCCCCTTCGTTCACTCCTCCGCACGAGGAGAATGGGAGTTCGGAAAGGTCCCCTGATGTTGAGCCCGAGATTAGTAAGGGGTGGTATGAATTTGACCTTTCGGTCATACTCGCGCTTGTTTCGCCCATCGGAAACTGGTTGACAGGAGGAGATCACGTCAAGAATATCCTTCTCATTCTTCTCTTGATATTCTATTTGCATCAAATCATTGAAGGTAAGTACTTTGTTTTTATTCTGAAACAGAAAATATGAACATGCACAGTACCGTGGAGCCTCTATCATCTCTCCAGACCCAGACGTCGTTCCTCTGATGTACCATCCCATCAAATGTCTGAGGAGAATCCCTATCATGAAATTGCTTCGTCAGAGTTACGCAAACTCGAAATTTTCTACCTGTTCCTCACCATCTTGTCGCCGTTACTCGGAGTCGCAATCCTTCGTGTCGTCATCCTATCTGTGGCTGGCCCGGAAACTATATCATGGTTCAGTACCTCCCTCTTTATCCTCGCCACCGGTATGCGACCTTGGAAACACGCGGTAGAGCGACTCCGTCAACGCACGAAAGACTTGCATACTGTGATTCATTACCCTCCAGCCAGCTCACCAGATACGCAATCGCAGATCAAAGCTCTGACTGCGCGCGTCGCCGAATTAGAGACTCAGCTGAAAGAATGCAATGACACCGTGAAAGCCCTCACCGAAGACGTTTTTGACCACGTGGAGGGATCCGTCGAAGGGTTAGAGAAATCCATGCGCAAGCAGGAGAGGAAGAATGATGCTCTCTACTTGGCGCAGGAATCAAGGCTCGCGGCGTTGGAACAGAACATGGAAGCGTTACTGGAAAGGACAGAAATTTCGGTGCACGGTTCGATTCCATCCTACAGCCTTGCTTCTGCATTCTATGCGACTTTGGCCGAACCACTCGCACTCGTCTTTCCAGAGTGGGCACGCAGCTCTCGCCGGGGTAAACACCCACCATCTCCTCGCTCTTCCCCAAAAATCGGACATTCCCGTATTCCCACTAAGCTTGAGACGATACCAGAAGGTGCCACTTTTACACCGAGGAGAGCTCAATACCGCTTTCCCTCCCTCCGTATTCCGGGTTTAAAATTTGTCCTGCGAATTGGCGATCTTGCAACCTTACCCGTCCGTCGGGTAGTGGCTTATCTTCTCATGGGCCGCATCTATGCGCCTAATGCACCCGCTTCCTCTCTTTGAACAGTGTTAAGGTTTCTTTCTTATAATCACTGTTCTATTAGCATTGCATGGACATGTTTTTCACGTCTTCTTGTATTTTATCCACGCATCGACATTCCGACCATCCGTTTTTCCTCATGATTATCATGGCATTCACGAATAACCGTACTGTACGCTTGCGCGTCGAATATTTGTATTAATATCCAATTGTAAGCAGACTTTTGTTGTTCCTCCCGTGAAACTTGGGCCGCTCTATAATTTACCACAGGTGTCCCAGCTGAGATTTATTTTCCCATTCTTCTATGTAGACCGTTACCCGTACAGCTTCCCTCATACAAAAATCACACAGTTGTTTTGAAGCTTTAGAACATGCCTTTTTGGGACATTTGTTTGACGCTTACTGATTGTGATCATCCCCTGTCATGTGGGTGGTCTCTCGGTCAAGCATGCCATGGTATGTGTCCTTGTACTTTCTTCGGCCAGGAGCTTATCAGATCTAGAAAAGGCGAAGTATACAGATTTTGTGGCATCGTGTCCTTGTACTTCGTTTGCACACTGCTTTCAAGGGCGCAGTTCATTGATTAAAAGAAATGCAGCAGACCTTCACTCAGACCTGTATGCTCTTCTTGTCTCCCCAGACTTTCGTTCTTTATTGAAATGCAAACAGAGATACCGGTACTTTCGTTCATTTCCGCGGCACTGGTTCTCTTTCCATTGCCTTGGTATTGTCGGGCCGGTAACATCGCTGCAATGTCTATTGGAATTTGGCTCTTTGTTGTGAACATGATCAATGCTATAGATGCCCTCCAGTGGACTGGGGCCTACCAAATACCATCCTTATTCTGGTGTGACATCAGTGAGTGTTTGACATCAATTCTAGACGACAACTCGAAATTTCCTGTAGCTTCAGCGCTGATAACAGCCGTAAATGTAGCAATACCCGCGGCATGCCTCTGTATTTGCATTCACCTGGAACGGATGGCGTCTTTCTGTCAAACATCCACCTCTGTAACAAAGCGACGCCGTATCTTACTTGAATGTTCAATATGTTTCGGAGTTCCATTAGTATATGCAGCATTGCGTGCGTATCTGCTACGGACTCCCGCACGATGTTTATTGACATCGTCAATAGATCTAATTGTTCAACCCCGACGCTTTGATGTGTATGAAAATTTTGGATGTCGCTCGGCGACATATCCCTCTGTGATAGCTTTGTTTGTGGTCTGGATACCGCCGCTTGCACTTTCTCTTCTTACTATATTTTTTTGTGGTAAATCACTTCATTATTGTATGTATCCCTACGAGGCTGAGTCTTTGCAGGAATTACTTGGCGCCACTTCCTCCTTCATGGCGTCCATTTTTCGAGGACACGCGCATCTTCCTCGCTTACTTCTGGAGCCTACATTCGGCTCGTCAGCATGGCCGTTTCAGAAGTCATCTGCACTATTGCCGCGACTGTAGTGGCCATGACATTCAATCTAAGCTCAGGGCTGGCTCCTTGGGCGGACTTCACCCGAGATTTGACAAAGGTCTTATCATTTAGCTCCGCTGAGACACCTAAATCAATCACTGCGATGCTCATCACTGAATGGGCGATCATGGTCGCGCAATCATTCTTCTTCATCGGATTGTTTGTGCTTGGGGGGGAGGGGCGCAGTCGATTACATGAGGCTCTACAGGTGATGCGCAGGGCCCTCAGTTTCAGTGGGGGACGATTGACCTGTATCGCCGAACTCAACGGTACGTCTATGACGGAATGGTATGTTCCTTTGTGCCACTAGCAGATTTCTTCTGAATACATCTTATCAGCGACTTGACACCAGTTCCGTCTCTTACCGTCCTTGAGTTCAAGAGTGCTACCTCTCAATCTAGTATGGCATGCACCTACCATGGTTATTCAACCGAGAAATCCCTTCCGCCTTCACCTGCCCCCTCGCGGCCCCCGTTACTTGACCTTACGGGCGCGAAGCAATTGGAAGAAAGTCCTGAATTTATTGATCCCACACTCCTCCCTCTAGAATCACCTGCCATCTACTCTACTATCGCATCTTCACATAACTCTCTCCAATCAAATTTTGACCCGCAACAACTTGTTCTATCTTCGACGCAGTGGCCCACACCCCCATCAACAGTCATTGTTCGACCACGCTCGGCGAGGTCCCCTTGCATGAACTTTCTTCACGCCGAAGGTTCACCATTTTATGGGTCTGCAGTGCCACACAATTACTCGAGGAATTCAAAGAATCGTAACACTATCTACATGACGATGGTTAGGGAGGTCCAAGGAACATATTAGCTGTCGGTTTTCTTTTCTCATAGATCCTTTATATTGTCCTTCACGGTCATTGACTGTGTCGGACAATATTATGCGTAATATGTCGCTGACTTTTTGCTTGCATATTCATATTCCCGAGTCCTAAAGTATTTGTCGTTCTTTTCTTCGCCTTCAAATATTTGTATGACTTTCTTTGTTGTGGTAATGTATTTCAGGTCCACTAACAGTTTGTATCAATAGTCAACGTGTATTACATTTTTTTCCCGGAATGTTAAAGCGCCTTAGCTGGCCGTGTTATTTTTTTGTACATCCCTTCTATTAGACGTCCTTCGAGGTCATTGACCCTACTATGTCGGACAGTATCGGACACCGACTTTTCGCTCGCATGATAAAGTATCTGTCGTTCTTTTCCCCAATTTCAATCGTATAGATTCTTTGCTGTGTTGATGTAGGCTACTTTAGGCCCCACTAACTTGAACTCGAGGGCCTGTTTCGATAGCTAACGGGTCACTACTTATTACAGTCTTGTCGTCGAAATGTTAAAGATTTTGAACTAAGCAAATTTCAAGCAACACCAGGATGCCGGTCAGCCGTCATAGTAAACTGTTCTCATTCGTCTACGTAGCACTAAGGGCCATATGGGGCCTGTCTATAAGGGAAGACTTACTTAGTTACTAAGATGCCGCGGAAAACATACTGAAAAGGGGAATTCTCTGAATTCGCTCGATTACGGCAACTGCCGCTCTTATTGTCCGTCGCTTTGGGACTATCGCTATTGTCTTAGAGACTCTCATATAATCGTTAGTTCATAAGAGCCATGGTTGAGGAATTTTCTTGCTTGCGAACCCACACCATCTATGCAGCAGCGCGCTGTCGGTCCTTGAAGCTTTAAGGTGAAGTTGCGGGCCTGACATTGTCCTGTCGTTTAGTGCCTGGCGTTCAATCCGGCTCTCCCTTCTCTTATATTACTACTGAGGCTTGGGGCGCCACTCCTTGGTAACGCTTTGTATTTTGCAATTCAGGTGTAGACTGGCAAAGTACCCGCAGCAGCCGCAGCGGCCGGCAAAGTTCAAGTCTCATCAGTTATTATTTTCGAGCCAAACAGAGAACAATCGGAGTGTTTGAAAAGTACTAGGTGCAGAATTCGCTGATATTTTCGATCATTGACCGGTCCTGAATTTCAGATTTCGTTCTTCACAGTTTACACGACACGGTACTAGTGGACCAGGATAATCATCACTTGCCTTCTTCTACCGTGGGTAATGTCCATTCCGGGACGATCTGACTGGTCTTATCACTCGATTTTCTTGCAAGCAGCTCTCATCGGAACTTTCTGATATCTCATGATCATGGGACGTCGGAACATGTGCCGCGCTCTGTCAACGAAGTTCTTCGGTGCGCCATTTGGGCGCACTCTGAGCGCACTTCATTCACACTTCATTCGGTTTACCTTTTTGGTAAACAAACATGCGTCCATATATGGACATCAGTTTGTTGCTCAAAAAGGCGATGCCGATATCTGCAAAGTTTGAAAACGTTTTACCGCACCCGCGCACAAGGGGATGTCCAAATTGGATGACAAGGTGGATTGTGCTTTCGAAGGGTTTAATAGCCTTGGCTTCGCAATGCTATGAACCGTAGCTTCACCCGTGGACTTTACTGGTCTCCGTTTCCTCTGCTCAGCTGCATCACATCGCAGGATAGCTAGCCAGTCACCCCTGTCTTCACGTGCATCAACAACTGCGTTGTCAAGATGTTCGACTCACCAGATTGGGTTTTCACTATGTTTGCTTTCCTGGGATTCCTGTGCTGCATGATCCCGCTTCCCTGGCATTTGGAGGGTCAGTTATTTTACAGCATTTTTAATCGTCCAATACCTGACCGATACTCCAGCATGGAATACTGGAACTTGTCTTTACATGATCTGGACCGGTCTATCGTGTTTAATACAGTTCATTAACTCGATCGTTTGGCAGTCGAATGTGGTTAACTGGGCTCCAGTGTGGTGTGACATCAGTAAGAATTTTCTCCGTGTCCTCACCGCGAAAACTCATGTTTATTTCGTAGCCTCCAAATTCATAATCGGGGCCAACGTTGCCATTCCTGCTTGTTCACTTTGCATCAACCGTCGTCTCTACCACATCGCATCAGTTTCTTCCGTCACGAAGACGAGAGCTCAGAAGAGACGCGACATTATGACCGATCTCGCTATTGGCCTCGGTATCCCCGTCCTGGAGATGATTCTGCGTACGTTCGTTTGGCGAAAGGTGTCGGGACTGTGATTGACGTGATACCCCAGAGTATATCGTGCAAGGACATCGGTTCAACATTTTTGAGGAAGTTGGCTGTTATCCAGCCACTTTTAACACCCCTCCCGCATATGCATTGGTATTTACGTGGCCCTTGGTCCTCGGGTGTATCTCTGCTTACTATTGTGGTACGTTGATTCTGATAATTGGTTAACCCGACGTTGATCATTTTGTGATTCAGTCCGCACCATTGTCGAACTAGCCCAGCGTAGGGCGCAGTTCATGGAGTTCCTTTCTGTGAACAAGAACCTGAGTTCCAGTCGTTACTTCCGCCTCATGGGTCTTGCTGGCATTGAAATGTTATGCACGATTCCTCTGGGTGCCTATGTCATCTACCTCAATGCCACTGCCCAACCAATTTTACCCTGGATCAGTTGGGCGGACACGCACTCCAATTTCTCTTTTGTCGGAATAGTTCCATCAGTGGTATGGCGCGCGAGCGGTCCTACTGTGTTGTCGATCGAGCTCAGCCGGTGGCTCCTCGTCGTCTGCGCATTCGTCTTCTTCGCTTTCTTCGGGTTCGCCGATGAGGCCAGGAAGAACTACCGCCTTGCCTATGTTTCGGTTGCGAAGCGCGTGGGTATTTCGACAGCTGGTACTATGTCGACTGGAGGAGGGTCTTGGACAACTGGGTATGTTGTCACACCTCAACACTCAATGATACGATCTGACGAGCAAATGTTTCTTTCAGTTCAAAATCAGAGATGGCATGCAACAGCCGCACTGCCACTATGCCCGTGTTCGTCACTCAACGCACCGAACAGAAGCGCGATTCTCTCACTTCGTTCTCCACCGACAGCTCCATGGGCGAGTTCAACCTGGCATTCAACGATGCCAAGGAGATTCCATACTCGCCAACAGAAACGGCCGCGGGTTCTATATCAAAGGAGTCGCTCCCGAGCACGCCTGTTGATGAACAGACAGTTCATCTACCAGATACACCTGCTCTTCCCCAGTATATCGTCGATTCGCCTGAATCGCTGCGCAATTCAGTTGATATTGTCTGATCTATAACCACAAAAAACGGATTTTTTTTGGCTTTCTCCTTCCATTCCTTACGCGGTTGGTTTATTGTATTGTTAGCACAGTCACTCCCTGGAATCTCGAGGTACCCACTCCGTTATCTGTTTGTATACCCACTAGTTTCAACTACCTTTATCCCTATTTGTATGAGTTCGGTCTCATGTAGACAGTGTAGCAATCTTTGTCGGTCGGCCCAATAGAATATTTTCAAACGAGCGGAATATGTTGGGATTTCACATGAGTGATTGGAACAATCGCCAACAAATCGCAAACACAGGCTGAAGATACGGTTTGATTGGTAGGTCGATTTGGATGCTAACTAGGCCCGATATGTTATGCAGTGCTGGATGCACTTCAAGTTCGTCAACAATTCGTGCACAGTACGAGTCTCGACTCTCGGCACGATGATCGATCGTTCAGTTCTACCATGTCATCTAAGAAATCCAGAAGTCTGCTATCTCACATTCTTAACAATTGGGTTTTATCTCGAGTCACGCAGATCGCCTTTCTTCGGACTTGTAGAATGCAAAGCAGTGGCTATCCAAAATTAAATTAGATGGCAGGGCAAGACGATCTCGGCAAGCGACACTTCACATAAGGTCCACTAAATCTGTGAAGAACGGAGCTCATAGATCGTCACGTTCATCAGCCAGTTTCCCGGATGAGTAACGGCTCAAAAGGCTATAGGTTTTCGAAGCTCGAAGGGTATGAACTGTCAAACGGAAGAGGCTGCCTGACAGAGCAACAGAGTGATCTCGACTCTCGAATCTTGAAGGTGCTGAGACCTTAATCTCCGAAGGCACTGAACTTCCACATGCCTCGATCCAGTTAGTGGTTCATTCGATGATGAATCCTTCTTCGTGCACTGGTTTGGTGACAATATTGATTTCTGGTGACAGTGCGGTCTGCATGCGACCAGGCCCAGTTTGTGTGATCATCGACTAGGCTCACGAGTTCTAATAATGGTGTCGCGGGGATATATGGGAAGGTGACAGAAAGCACGCCGTCGTGCTCGGTGTTATGTGCACATGAGTTTTGGAATGGAAGTTGTACTTGCGAGTGTTTACCTTTGTTTTACACAATCCCAAAACTCACGCTTGCCAGCGGAGACATCGCTAGACCGCGGAAACTCTACGATCAGCAGCTGCCAGCTGTAACCAGGCTGTGTCGAGGCTATGCTTGTGTTGACTCCAAGTACCTTTGTTTCCTCCCTTGCTCAGTACTAGTAACGGTATGGTTGCGGCTAAAATCTGCTTGCTTCTCTGTGCCACAGGAGCGCAGTATTATGCCATGACACCCCCAAATGCCAGACCTTCCGCAAAGGAAGCTCTGAATCCCACTGGTTTGGAAGTTGTCACTCCTTGGATACATATTTTGGTCAAGGTACTTTCTTACGCCAATCCCGGAACATCCTGCACAATGTTACTGACTCGGAATACTTGCCCTTTTGATCAAGAGCATCATCGGTGTCTGCGTTTTGTCAGATGTTATTCTTGCATACGCAGCAGGAAAGGAATCGACTCCCATCCCGAAATCGCTCACTACACTTCTAGTCCGCAGTGACTTTTGCTCGTTACCGAGCTTAGACCATACCGCATCATCACCCGCACTTATAGTCGGGTCTTGCCTGAGTATCATCGGCAGTGCCATCCGCATGCAGTGCTATTCCACCCTAGGCAGATTCTTCACTTTCGAACTCAGTATCCGCCAGGATCACAAACTAGTCACATCTGGTCCTTATGCCATCGTTCGACACCCCAGCTATGCCGGTGGACTATCTGTTTTTCTGGGCATCTTGCTCTGTCATCTCCGTACCCGATCATGGCTGGTTTCTTGTTCGGGCATGTTTCCTTCATCTGACCAGGGGGCTAAGTTGGCTTTGGGATGTATTTGGGCGGGTTTGTTTAGTCTTCTTTTTTCGGGACTTGGGGGACGGATCGAGAAGGAGGAGGCGATGTTGGAGGGGAACTTCGGAGACCAATGGAAAAGTTATGTGAGAAGGGTACCTTACAAACTAGTCCCATGGTTATTCTAGATTACAGTCATTTATTTAAAGACGCTATCAAAGCATTAAAATACTGCAAGGGTAACTTCTTGATCACTGGGTTACGGGGGAACGAATGACAGGAGAAAAGTTATTTAACCGAACGCTCCAGGAGGCAAGAAATGATCATCAGCACGGGATGTAATGGTGTCGGTTATCGTAATAAGAGCCGAGAAAACAGGGACAAGCTAGTAAGAAGGGATGATACGCACAATCAGAAGCCGAGGTTCAACCTCACATCAACCCGTCGGCTTTGCCTTCATCAGATGGAGCTGCAATCCCCCCTCCACACACTGTTTCAGACGTTCTCTCAGCTCGACAATTGTTTTATCCCGCGAGTCCTGCCCATAGTCAAATGCGGCGATCTGCAAGCAAAATTCTCTTAACTTCGGACTAGCACTGCACCTCGACTCTACAAGCTCCGTCACCCTGTCGGTAGAAACACGTTTTGAGCATTTGAGACTCAATGATTCGAGTCGAGGACAGATGGAGGTGCCTTGAGGTGCTCCGGACAAAACGAGGCTGTCCACGAGGTTGTGATTGAGTTGAAGGGGGCCAGGCAGGAAACGCAGGTGTTTTAAGCGATGAAGCTGGGAGAGACATGAGAGCATGTTGACATCAGATATATTGATTGTGTCAAAGGATAGGTTCTCGAGAGTCTCCGCGCTCCGTGAGATGAAGGGGAGGGGTTCCGTCTGGCTAGCGAACGAACCCATGGCGAGACTGACGTTCTGAAATTCAAACGTGCGCAGCTTCGGTGCGTGGAGCGCATCGAAGAACTGGTGGGTGTAGAGCGTTTGACAGAAGAGGCGTACTTTCATTGATTCGAGGTTGGGAAGTGTGACAGGTGCAACCATATCTGCATCAGTGTCGAGTATTGTCATTCCTATTCCGATGGAGCAACATTTGAGATTAGGACATTCACGAAGTGTAATGAGGTAGTCGTTGTGAACGGCATTCCAGTAGGGGCTGGCGTCATACTGAAGAGACAACTGTGTCAATTGACTCCAAGGGACGCAAAACTGAGTGGTGTCGACACTACCCCACGCAATGGAGAGGCTGCGGAGGCTTGGCGCATCATGAAGAAGTAATGAAGGTGGGTTGTCACTACTAGGAAGGGGGTTGCTGTTATGAAGCTCAAGACGCCGTAGGTGCGGGAGCGGACTTTGGGTGAATGTCAACAAGGAGCTGAGTGCCAACGGAGAAAATCTGAGGCAAAGCTCTTCAATGCGGCATCCGAGAGTCAGGATCTCCTTGTCAAGTGACATAAGCGCACCCCACGTGATCGGGGAGTTGCTTGGGTGCTGGAGGATTAAGGAAATTGGAAGAGCTTTCGCACGGGATATCCACACGTGCATGGACATGATCCTTGACTGCATAACGTTCTCCCAGTTTGGGGTTGCGGATGGAAACCCAACCTTGAGGGTCCTCCACAAGTAAGGAAGAGAGAACATGAGGTCTCGCCAATCGCCGCAAACTTGACACAATAACAAAGGAGCCCGCAGAGGATCGGGCTCCTGACTTCCTTCGTCCTGGACGCATTGCTCGAAGACTTTCGTCATGATCTCTATTGGCATGCGGCGGACGGGGGATCTTAGCGCTTCCAATTTTTGGACCATTTCCATGGATCCAAAATATTTAGCCTCGAGGCGTGAGACCTCCGCGCGGGCGCGATCTAATTCCTCGCTAATAAACGAAAGCTCCAGTTTTTGTTCTTCAAGGAGATGGCTGATACGCTGCGTATCCGTTGGAGAGGGAACGCAGTTCGTCTGTAAAAGTCGTACGATAGATGTCTAGAGGGCGTTGAGCCAAGTTCATATATATGCGTGTCACATACTGGAATTTTTAGATCCATAGAGGCCTTAACGGTGTCTTTAGGCCGTTGGTTGGGACGGTGTTGCGCTATAGAGGCGCTGTTTGAGATCTGGAGGGAAAAAGAGGAAGAAAAGAAACGCACGAGGACCATGCGACACTTTGCAACGCAGCTTTCTATCTACGCGCAATTCGCCTGCTCCTTTACGTGTTTTTTTTCCTGGAATGGGACAACGTCGAAAATAACTTACAATTGGCTCCTTTTCGTGCCAACGGATGCACTTTTGAAGGAAAGCTAGCGCGCATAACACAGACTTGCATTTGATGCCATCGATATGCCGTTGACATATACAATATACATAGAACAAGCAGGAACGTCAGAGAAGTTAGGAACACTGTTTGTCTAGAATCAGCAGAATCGCATGGGCACTGGTACTGATGGACAAGTACTGACAGACAGGCACTGGCCATATGGCCACATGACGATATCGACTGGTCAATTGCAAGTATGTCATACCTTGGGTGACATTAATTGTTGTGAAGGATTTGGTACTGTTATTATTACCTCTTGCCAAACAAGATAGCAGAATCACTTCATGAAGCACGAAGAATCACTCCGTGCATCCCTTGTTATTTTTTACTCTCAGGTCTACTAACTTGGTAGGTCGTGTCAACTTGTTGCAATCCATGGTACTAAATCGTCGCCGTGCCAGACCCCGGCTCGCTTATTCCTGGCCTGTTTTGTGTCCATCGAATTAAATACAAACTGCACGAATCTTATGTGATTCAACTGTAATGCATGATTTTCTTCGACTCGCAGATGTCCATCTTGACCACTGGCAGGCTTAGCCAAGTGTGGTAGTAAGTGTGACAGGACAGAAACCTGTTGCGGGTTCGAAACCTACTCAACAATATTTTTCCTTTTACCACGCCTTGAACGTTTACTCATGGATGGATCCTTCATTGAGTGTCTATCTTGAGTCATGCTAAGCCAACTGACACCAGAACAGATCTAGATTAGAACTCTGCTCTCTCGGGCGGACCCGAAACCTGCCGATGACAAGGTTTTTCTCTTTATCATTCACTCATGGATGGTTTCTTCGATGACTCAATGTAACTGGCCTTAGCCAAGTGGTAACCACAACAGAATCAAAATCTGTTTCTCTTGTATCGCACATGTTCGAAACCTGTCGAGGACAAGTTTTTGCTATCAGAACACACCTTGATATTCACTCATGGATGGTTTCCTCAGCCGTTCATCTAAGCGGTCCTAGGCAAGTGGTTACCACAACAGAATCCAAATCTGTCTCTTGTACCGCGCAGGCTCGAAACCTGCTGACGACAAGTGTTTTTCTATCAGGACACACCTTGACATTCACTCATGGACAGTTTCCTCAGAGTTGCATCTAACAGGTCTCAGCCAAGTGGTTACCACAACAGAATCCAAATCTGTTCCTCTCGTAACGTACATGTTCGAAACGTGTCGAGAACAAGTTTTTTTCTATCAGAACACACCTTGACATTCACTCATGGACGGTTTCATCACAGGTTCATCTAAGTGGTCCTAGGCAAGTGGTTACCACAACAGAATCCAAATCTGTTTCTCTTGTACCGCGCGTGCTCGAAACCCGCCGATGACAAGTTTTTTTCTATCAGAATACACCTTGACATTCACTCATGGATGGTTTCATCAGGGGTTCATCTAACTGGTCTTAGCCAAGTGGTTACCACAACAGAATCCAAATCTGTTTCTTGTACCGTGCATGCTCGAAACCTGCCGGTGACAAGTTTTTTTCTATCGACACACACCTTGAAATTCACTCATGGACGGTTCATCGAAGCAGATTCGAAACCTGCCAATGACAAAGTTTTTTTTTTCCATTACGGACATACCTTCAATGACATTCACTCATGGAATGGATGGTTTCCTCAGAGGTTCGTCTAACTGGTCTTAGCCAGGTGGTTGTCACAACAGAGTCCAAATCTGTTTGTTTCTCTTGGCAGTTGGTTCGAAACCTGCTCATGACATTTTTGCACTGTAGATCCTCAGAAGTCCATCTTAACTAGGCCCAGTCATCGCCCCGAAACCTCCTTTCGATGTAATAGTTTGTCCATGAAAAGGAATTCACCTTCATGCCTTGCGAGTGTTGTCTCAGAAACATAAGATATATCTCCGAGGTGCGTACATGCCAATCTAGATACTCGACAGACTGATCAACCAAAACAGTGTCGGGATTTACCACCAAACAAAAGATGTTGACGGAACTGGAGGCCAGAAGGATACACAGGTGTAGCCAGCAGAGATTGTAGAAGACGGGAAACCGATGGTGTTTGACAGGGGTACTCCTCCACTAACGTCGAGAGTCGGGGATAATGTACTCACTAAGCGCTATAAACAGGTTCAGCATAGAACGTTGTGACTGTCAAGCCTATACGTCAATGCAATCAACGCTGAGCGCTGAGCAGCTCATACTTGAATTCACCAGTGAGCAAGCGGGACTTCTGGTCCGCAATCGTAAAAGGCATTTTGTGGAGCGTTTTATCAGTTATTCTCATCTCGTATCTACCAGGCGCGGTGTACCCTTTTCACGCTGTTCACCACGCAGCAACGCTCCATGAACGTCAACGATTTACTCTGGAAAAGTCCTTACTACATCTGCTCGTACCGTAGTGTGAATCCTTCGCAGCTTTATACAACTATCTTCGCGATTACTACATCAAAACAAGGTTTACAGTAATGCGCATCTTCTGCTGGAGAACATACTCATAAGACCAACAGCGTTAGGGCAGTTGAAGAGCACTTACAGCTAACATCATGGATCAAACTAAAGTAGTACAAAGTACCTCTCTATCGGCTGAAGCGCTTCACCTTCTCGAGGACTGGGTAGCGTGATCAACAATCGCGGCCAGGTAGTTAACATAGGTGAGACGGACCGGTTTCATATGCAACCTCCGTCAAATCCGTTCCCTGGATCTCCGCACCAATCCCTTCTAGCGACTTCCGCAGCGCGTCCTTTGAGGATGCGTGGACCATCTTTGCCCGAATGGGTGCATTGTCTGGTGACCTGTGGTTGTGAGTTAAGCACATAAGTTGGCATCATCGGCCAGATGAACTGCGGACTTACCAGGAGAGGAAGCAGAGCTTGTTCCTCGGGGACCCATCGTCCGACGTATAGCTGAAGTCATAGACAGCCCATTTGCAACCATCGGAAGGCAAGTTCCCCAGAAATTCTTCGTAGTCAGAATTATCCGAAGTCTTGTCAACAACGATCTCTGTCCGTTTATCGTTCAACTTGAACAATATGTACTTCAACGATTTGGACATCTTCAGTTCTCCGAATCTTTGGAGACATTCGGGAGATGCTATCACTCCGGACGACTGTCGAGAGCCTATCAGGATAAGCCTTGATATTGTGTGTGCTGCTCACCATGTTGAATAAGATAATGAATGAGAGAGATGCAGTATGCTAGTAACAATCGCGATCAAGATAAGTGCGTGTGGATACTGAAACGGCAGTTGCCAGCTCCGATCCAACAATCACATCACGTGGCGCTGCATCCGCGGGCCGCAGCTGCCAAGGAGCAGAAGTACTTGGAAAGTCGCTTGGCCAGGAGGGATACGCAAGCTGGAAGAGTGCTTTCGGTGTAAATATATATCAACGGTCGAAGTTATCGTATTCTGACCACTAATTGATCCACCATCATGAGTATTAATGGTACCAATATACCAAGTACTACGTGTAGCAGAAATCAGTTCACGCCACATGATTTACCATTGACCTATCCTCCTTTCCAAAGGCCTGATGTACCAAAACCACGTGGGTCTGCTGACAGTGGCAATCCAGTGAGTGCAATCTTATTATGGCTGGCACGGGCCATGTGCTGCAGATAAGTTAGCCTATGAAAAGATTTTGAACACTAAGTTTATGAAATTCCTCCCTAACCGTTAACTTATTCGTCGTCTAGGCATACCTGGCCATCATGACTGGCCCCCAATCATCATCACCATCATCTGGATCGCAGCCACAGTCAAGGTGGCAATCATTGCACTATTTGACGCTGTTATTTTTGAAGGCTCTTGTCAAACAAGGCCAAATTGTCGCTACCACGCTTCTCCACCTTGTGTGGCACAGGACGTACGCGTCACGCATATTTCACCGCAACACTCAAGTCTCATATATCACAAGGACATTAAACTTGGGCCACGTTGCTTGCAGTGAGGAAACCATGCCATCATCCACATCAGTGCCAGTAGAGCTACCCAAACCGCCGAAACTGGATCTGGATAAGTTCATTGCAACTGCCCTGTCATCTACGCCAGTGGAACTCCACCCGTTTTTTGAATCTTTCGGCAAACTCCACACGAGAAAGTAAGAGGGTGATTGATGCAGTATACTCACTACTCACTGATCACACAGACTATGGCACCAGCTGACACTCAAGCTATATGAGTTTTTTGATCATCCGTTGTCACGGCCTTTCCGTGTAAACGTGTTTGAGCAGTTCGTGCGCGACTTTGAGTCCAAATTGAACCAACTCAAACTCGTGGAGATGGGGACTAAAGTATCGAAGGAGATCGACAGTAGGTTTGACCCCCAATTCTTGAATGACCCAACCTGACGTCCCATCAAGACCCGCAAAGTCAGCTTCTGTTCCTCAACTCCATACTTTCACGGATCGATGCCGAAAAGTCACAGGAGGCATACGTGCTGCTACTTGCAAATATTGCATATGCAAAGCTGGTGTACGGTGATTTAGAGGGTACCAAGACGGATATGGATACTGCCTGGAAAACACTCGATCGACTGGAAGGAGTTGACACTGCCGTCAATGCGTCGTATTACAAAGTTGCCGCTGACTACTATAAGGCAAGAATTTTCGAGAATACTGTAGTTCACCTCGTTGACTTTCCGAAAACAGGCCAAAGCAGAATATGCGCCATATTATAAGCATTCGCTGCTGTATCTGGCATGTGTCGATGTAGCAACAGACCTTACTTCAGAAGAACGTTTGCTGCGCGCACACGACCTTGGCATTTCGGCATTCCTCGGCGACACTATCTATAATTTTGGGGAGCTGGTAAGCAGATACGTGAATTTGAAACACCCACTTTTGTTGGTCACAGCCTGAGGATGATCGTTGACTGACTACATCGGTGGTAGTTGATGCACCCAATACTCGACGCGCTGGACAACACGCAGTATGATTGGATCAAGAAGCTGTTGTTCACATTCAACGAAGGCAACATTGGCAAATTCGAAGCACTGGCACCACTGTTTCCGCAGGAGGTACGTGCATGTTGTTGCGGAGACTCGCGCCGACTCGAGCCGACAATCTGACAAATAAGCTCTGCCACAGCCGATTCTAGATGAGAACTACCCCTTCCTTCGACAGAAGATATGTTTGATGGCGCTGATCGAATCAGTATTCAAACGGAATGCGAATGACCGAACGATGTCTTTCCAGACTATCGCCGAGGAGACGCGACTTCCAGTAGACGAAGTGGAACACCTCATCATGAAGGCACTGAGGTCAGTGCATTCTTCGTTGAATTGAAACATGGGCGTTGCATGTGCTGATAATCTAATTGTCATCGGTACTTGCCGTTAGCCTCAAGTTGATTCGAGGTTCCTTGGACCAGGTGGATCAAAAAGCGCGCATCACGTGGGTTCAGCCTCGTGTTCTGTCGCGCGCACAAATAGGCGAGCTGGCGACGCGGCTTGGAGCGTGGATAGATAAGTTGGGGAGCGTGGAAGAGAGGATGGCTCCACATGTGTCTGCGGCGGCATGAGTACGTTCACAGTACTGTAAGGTAGAGTTGAGCGCCAAGGGGACCGTGCCGGAGCAAGAATGATCGATGTGACATGCTGCATTTCATTGTACGAATTTTTAGAAGGAACACGTTTACGGTTCCGGATCAGATACGAAGGTTGTAACGGTCGTTTGCGAGCACGTTGAGGCACGATGCAGATTCTGAATGACATAGAGGGACTGATGATTGGGATATGCAATTGATATGAGTATGTTTGAACCGTAGGGACGGAGGGTTTAAGCCGTAGTAGGGGAAGAGGCACTGCTATCGAATGCAGGCTTCCTCATTTAGGGTGTGAAGTACTAACAGCATGCTGTCCAGCAACAACCTAAACTAGTTTCAAAGAATCTGTTAGTTGAATCTGGTACTTCATCCTCTCCGAGTTCCTTCTGTCCTCATTGCAATCCACGACTCAACGATTCGAACTATCTGAGCAGGCTGTACGGTACAGTGACAACGCCTGTCCATCAACGTGTCCGGTGATACCCTCACGCGAGGTTTGCCTCCTGCAATTCATATCCGATTCTACTTCTCCCGGCTTTCATTATAACACTTCAAAAGATTATCATTTTCATCCAAAGTCTTGTCTCTGTCGAACATCGGCAATGTCAGAATCAGCAGACCTGACTTGCAAACCTCCAACTGCTGTCACTTTTTCTTTTACAGCCCCCTTTCCTGCAGTGTCGTCCTCCATTTCCTCAGCATCGTCAACCTCTTCCGCGCTAAAGCAAAGACGCGTGTCACTTGCGCTTCCATCTTCCCCCAGGCTTGTCCCAGCGTGGAATTTTCGTGACGACACCGGCCTCACTTCGCATGTTGCTGAAACTTCTGCACCAATGCCGGAACGTAAGGGAAAGATGCGCAAGATCGCTGGTGATGGCGACTACCGTGAATCAGTTGGCGCTTTTATAATCCAGCAGAAGAAACCACGCAAGAAATGGTCCGAGGAAGAGACCCAAATGCTCGTCGAGGGTTGCAATACGGTACATATGACTTTCAAATAATGTCTCACAATATTAATCTTGTTTCCTCAGTGGGGCGTCGGCAATTGGAAGGCTATATTGAAAGATCCGAAGCTGACTTTTGACAACCGCTCGCCTGTTGACCTCAAGGACCGGTTCGTACTCCTTAATTTCCGCCTGTTCATATTTATACCTGACCTCTAGATTTCGCACTTATTTTCCTGACGCGTACAAGGAGCACTACCCCAATGCGAAGACGCATCTCTCCAGTAAAATTCGATCAACTCTCCCAGATGGACGTTCCATCTTTGAGAAAACGCGTAGTAAGAAGCGGCGTCCGTTTACTGAGGAAGAGGACCGCGCTCTCAAGGCTGGCTATGAGAAGCACGGTACCGTATGGGCAACAATAGTCAAAGACCCTGTCTTCCAGGAGCAGAATCGACGCTCGACTGACCTCCGTGACCGTTTCCGCAACGCGTTTCCTGAGCTGTATCAAGCAGCGGGCTATAAGCCACGGAACGCGCCCAAAAAGCGGAGAGAGTGTGTTCAGCCACTTCCCATTCGCTCAGCGACTGATGATCAGTTGACTGCGCACAGCAGCCACATAGGCCCTGCCCGCAAGAAGCGCGTGCAGTCGAGGCAGGGTATGTTCAGAGGTGGGACGAAGAGCGTCCCAGAGAGCCCAACATGCTCCGAAGATGACGATAGCTCAGGTGGCGAGGAGGAGGGTGGCACCAGGCTGTTCAGATGCCCACCGATTATGCACGACCCGTCTCAGCCTGATGATATGTCTTCGCCAGACGGACTCGCAGTGATGGACATGGAGACGATAGACCCCTTGTCCGAGCCACTATCTATTCCCGACTTCATGCCTAGTGCATCGCAGTCTCTCTCAGAGCTCACGGACTCCTCTCAGTCGCAGACTTGGTCTAGCATAGACACGCCTCTCAATTCCGCGACATGGTCCGCGACCACTGCTTCTCCGACATCATCACATATTTCTTCTGATTATCTGCTTGGTCACTCTCACTTTGATCGTCGCTTGAACACTATTGGAAAGTCGGCTTGGGGTCCGCAGGACTGGTTTTCTGCCAACCCCCGACTCGACACGTCTGCTTTCTCCAGTAGCGGGTCATCATTTGCCGACGGGTTGTCTCCTGCACCATCATCTCCGTTTTCCTTTCACAACCTCAATCATGGCGTCGTCGATCGCTACGACCTGTTTCCGAGTTCCTTTCCAAACGACTTCACCTCTGATGTCGGCGTTGGGGACTCACATTCCACATTTTCGGACCATGAGATGTTCGCGTCGAGCAGTTTCAGGGGGTTCACACATCACTCCAACTATGCCGGTGATCTCATCTTCGGTGCACGGACACATCAACCCCAGCAGTCATACTACGGTCCCGGATTCGGATTTGGCACACCTGGCCTTGGACTGTCAGGGATGCAGCAAGCCACCGGCCTACATCCTCTCCAGATCCACACCCCTGCACTGCCAGGTATTGACGAGATCGAGCTGGCGTCGATCACACTCAATGACCAAGCGGAGATTTCGGCCGATGCCGCTCAGACCACTAGTGAGATTGGAGTGCAGAAAGATGATTCAGAAGCGTCTTTGAGCCTGTCTGCCCTGGAAATATATACCATGTCGCAGCAGAACATGGATGATATCGTCGACTTGACGCATTCCACTCCCCCTGCAACACCCATCACCTCGACTCGCCCTCTACGGGGTCATCCCCACATGCATGCATCGTCTCATCATGGCCGGTCTATCTCGGTTCCCCCATCCGAACACCGGTATATGTCTACCCACATGTCGCAGGGTCATGGTGCATCGCAACCACAGATCACGAGCACCCGCTCCCTCCCTTTCTTCGACACTGTCCCGCTCACACATCCCTCCGATGTGGCATCTATGCATGTACAGTCTTCGTCACCACCAGGGGCAGACTTTTGGCGACCCTCAAATCCTACTGATTTCCATGGCGTTCCCTACCTCGATTTACACTACTTCAGCAGCCATGCTACTGACGGACATGATGTCAATCCCATGACCATCGACACTTCGCGTCAGGGACAAGCGTTAGACCTTGCTCGTTCGCATCCTTCTCAGAAGTCAGCTCCTCCGGTACCATACTCCACAGTTTCTCAGGAACTTCAGACAGCGCAGGCGCTTCTGACAGGCACCGCTGTACGTCAGTCACACTCGATGCATCACCGCGGGACAAGTTTTGTCTCCCCGCAGGATCTACATTTCCGCAAAGCGAGCGATAACAAGCGGAAGAGAGCGAGCTGGGATGGCGGGGTCTTCTAGCTCATTGATTATTTTGCTCTGATTCGTGGTCCCGTAAATTCTTCATCGAGAGACATATTCGTCTCTCTAGCTTCTTATCTCTTCATTCCGTGATTCATCACCATAGCATTGCATGTCTCCATCGCATCGCATCCCATAATCTATGTTTAGCTCCAGTAGCAAGCATCATGTTTCCGCACTCGTATGAAATTTATGAATTTATGTAATTATATAATTAAATGTGGAAGGTGGTTGAGGCTCAAAATGGGAGACTCGAAGGTCCAGCTTCTGCATTAAGCTGTTCATTCCACCCCGTTGGTTCCACTTCCATAGGGATCTCATCGCTGGGTTCTTCTGAGGGAAGAAGGTATTGGATCTCCTCGAACATATGAGGGAACAAGATGGCCAGCATGTCATTGACTCTGGCGCCCGCACGTGGTAAGCATCTGAAAATAGCACATTGGGGTGAATCTTACTTGAAGATGAAGTCGCCCTTTTGTACCTGCTTCTTCTTCCCTGAAGATTCGACGGTCTTCTTTCCGGCGTCCATGGCGAAGGGTGTTAAGTTGAGTGTTCCAGCAGAATTGTCCTTGGTGTAGAGTGAGAGGCCTTGCCGAGCTGCTAGGTCGAGAATATTCTTCTCCACGGTATCTATTAAAGAGAAATTAGCCATGAAAAGCAAAATGACATCTTGGACTAGAAGGTAATACCTTCGGCGTAATAGCAGAAGACTAGAAGGTAATAAATTGAGAAGCAAGTAAATAGAACTGGTTGTTCGATACACACCTTCCGTCGGTTTAGCCTGCCCCATACGATCGATTCGTGCAATAGCTGGGGTGGATTGGTGAGATGGTTGCAGGGCCCCAAACCAAAAGCGAGCCAACCTTGAACTTCGAAACCATGGTTGACCACGCTTTCGACGAGGAACACACGGGAGGCACAAGTCACGTTCAATCCAGCATTGTCTCTCTCCCTGAAAAGGTGTGAAGATAGAGGATGAACAAGTATGCGCCAAGGGCGTACCCGTGTAGTAACAGTACTTGTAGGGCAGGGTCTGTGCGGAATTTCTTAGCGCCACTGTCTTTGCCTTTGCCCTTTGCGTGGTCGAGTCTTAAATATAGGATGCCTGCGAATCGGTCAGAACGCTAGCCAGGGCAGCTGAGAAAAACTCTGACCATTGCAGTTGAGGGCATGTTCTATGACTGTGAAAAGAAGTTGTTAGATCATTACAGAGGAGTAAAGCTTCGGAAAACCAACTCTGCAGTGAATCAGCCCACGCCGAGAATACAATACTCTTGGCACCTGGGTCGGTGCACTGGATATACAACAGATGTCTGACCAGTGCCTGTATTTTGCTGCCGTAACTTCCATTTGATTCCATAGTCTGTATCTCCTCAAAGATTGTAGGGTCTAGTGGCGCACATCAGATAAGCCACAAACCGAATAACTAGACGTGTCCTTACTTATTATGTTGTATTGGATTTCTCTTCGAGACACCGGGACGGCCTCTTTGTTCACCATGACGGGTTTAGCAGGGGCAGGCTTGTCTGCTTCGACTGTGAAACGCTGCAATTGATCGAGATTGATAATGACGCTAGAAACGCAGTTCGTCATGATGTATTGTTAGCGGACAAGGGACGCACCGGCAAACCGGGCAAGCTCTTCCCGTTTTGCGAGTGACCCAAGCCTTCATGCATCCCTGAATGTGTGTGGGGAAATGTTCATGACGAAAATGATAACCGAACTTACCTCACAGAAAACATGCGCGCTGTATAAGTACTGCATTGGTCCGCATTCCTGAAACTCTAAAACACGGTCGACTTACCATTGTGTAATGAATCCTCGCTTAAAGTCGCATCTACACAGAATGCAAGCCTCGTCATCCTCGTCAGTGATTCCCTCTTCTTTGTTTTTTGCTAGATGGTTCAAGTACCGCTGACGCGCGCGGGATGTGTTGATTTTGCCTTCCAATTCCATTCGCTCAGCTGCGCATTCCTCCATAGCCAATACAACGGGACCCTCCCATAGAACTTCTGTGACAGTATCAGAAATCTCCTGCAGTTGACGGAAATAACTGTGGGTGTGTGCTTAATTAGTGTCAGTATCATCCAGCGTCCATCGTGAACTTACAGGATACGCTCGTTGAAGATCTTCCGCAGTTGACTCAAGTCAGCATCAAGCTTGTCCATGAGCGTCACTGCATTCATAGTGAGTATGAAGCAACTACAACATCAGGGTGACAAACCTTGCTGCGTGATCAAGGTCCGTAATGAGGTTGCGCCGTCCTTAGCGATGACCTTCTCAGGGTCCTTCTCAGATGTGATGCGAGCTGCTACGGCACTCAGATCGACCATGATAGATCGGAGTGCTCTCCCTGAAAACTGGTCATGGAGATCTTTACGCTGCTCTGTGAGGTCTCTGTGCAAGATTTCATGCTGAGGTTGAACTTCGACATCCTCAGGAATCTCGAAATCTTCCGACATTGCCCGAGCAGCTGCTCTTGCGGCTGCTTTCGTTCGTCGGACCTTGTGTTCCCGCGCATCATGGGCAGCAAGGAGCGTTCGTTCGGAAGAAATCGCCTCTCTACGATCCGCAAGCAGTGCGGCATATGCCTGCATATATATCTCGGCCTCGCCCTGAGTTTCCAATGTACGAGAGTACTCCTCCCCATCGGCCTGGTCATTATTTGCTGCCAACTTCTGAGTTAGCAAAGTATAGATGCAAGTGCGCCACTCCCACAGAAGAGCGGTCTGTTCATTCAATGCGAGCTCTATGATCTCGTTGGCTTCATCAAACTGCCCAGACTGGTGTCAGTATCGATACAAAACGGAATACCCCTGGGAAAGGAGCTCACGAGATGCGTCGACTTGATTCCGCTTTTATCAAGAAGAGGAAGAGGAATTTGTAAGGACTCCTCGGTAACGCCTCGTCCAGTAGCGTCGACACGCAGGAGGTTCATTACTTTGTTGGCACTCTCTTCCGTCGCTACGTGCCTTGTCAGTGGGAGCGTAAGGAAAGCTGTTGAAAATGCGCACATTTCAGCAGATTTTTTCGCAGCGTCTCGGCTGCAGCATACGAAGCATCTTCCTTATCTGATTGCGATGCACCTAGAACATGATACACATCTCCCTGCAAAAATTTGACGCGGTGCAAAACTATCAGACACTCTCGTAGCCGCTGCTGCAGGGCTCGTCGCTTGATACTGTGCTCTTCGCCTGCGGGGGTCTTGGGAAGACCTCGGTCTTCAACGTCTTCAACGTCATCCATGTCCTCATCTACATCGGTGAGAGGTGACATTGCTCGTTTTCCTTTGCCCTTGTCGATCTTTGAAAGGTCTGGAAGGTTCTGCTGGCGAGATTCTCTGAGAGCTCGTGCTTCATTTTTCAGCGCTTCTCCTTTGACTTGGTGTTCTGCTATGGTGGTCTTAATGTCGTCGATTATCCCGTTTGCTTCTTGCTCTGCCGTTATGAGGTAATCCGAAGCACGTTGGTATCGATCAAGGTTCTGCTCGTTGTGTTGCTGGAGCTGGGCAAGGCGAACAAGGGTTTGAACCTGGAGGGATGGATCAATTCTTGCAAGCACGGATAACAAGAACGACGACGCTTGCCTTCGCCTTACGATCATCCATGAAATTACGCCAGTTCTGGTCTCTCATAGCCTGTCATCTATGAGCCCAACAGATTAGGAAAGGAGGAAAACACATGCCTCGAGAACGTCGCCGATGCTCTTGAGGGCACCAGGCTTAGCTAGCTTATCACCTGGCCGCTGCAATTGTCCGACTTGAGGATGAGTACAGATACCACGAAGCTTTCTCAACACATTCCGCAGCAGAGCAGCATCAATCTGCCACCCTTCAGAAGTAGCGACTCCGCGTGCGTCCAAACCAAGCTCAACTAATGCTGCCTCGAGATGGTGATCGTAAACCTTTGATACTGTCATATCTTGTCTCTCAACGAGTGTGTCATGACTTACGTGGCGTTCGACTCTTCCTAGCTCAATACTAACAAGATATCTTCGTTGCTGCGGGATGGTTAATTCGTCTTTGACTGCGGACTTGAGTGTTCTAGGGTGCGTTTAATAAGGACACGCAAGGTTCCTTCGTCAAATCACTCACCGAATAGCATATCGTTGAAATAGGTCGGCGAATTGTTTCTTGAATGTGTGCTTCATCAAACGATTCCACACGCGGGTCGGACCGACGACATCGTCGACACGTAAGAACCTGTCACGGTGGTATTAGTGCATCATCAGAAAACCGTCAGTTTATCTAACCTTAAAACACGAATGAGGTCAGAAACCTGGGTACGGGCTGGTGTTCCAGACACCGCAAACGAAGATAGTCGAGGGACCAAAGACACCATCTCTCTGAAGGCCAGAATTATCCAGTAATTCCACTGATAGAACAAGAGATCCTACTCGGATTTACCGGTCCCCATCATTTGTACTTCATCCATAATCACTCTATACCACTCGCACATGACAAGGGGACTTCTAGGACGGTCAAGGTTCGAGTACTCCACTTGTGCACGATGAGGACGTTTGGGCGGTGCGCGGGCAACAGTCAAGTCTTGACGGAGTACGTTGTATGTCGTGATGCAGACATCAAATGTGTTCACATAGGAGCACCAATCAAGTATGTCGTCCTCTTCATCGTCAATCGCCTTTGCCTTCCCTTTCTTGGTCTTTTGAACTTTGAATCCGTTTATTCCAGCTTTGTACTTCTGGGCACTGTAACGTCGTTCTCGTTCGTCTTCGACATCATCCAGAGTGATGGGCACGCCGACTTTGGACCAACCATCGTAGATGAGAACCTTGAGTCCTGGGGCATGAACAGCAAGCTCGTCTGCCCATTGAGGTGCGAGTGCAGGGGGAGTGACAATGAGAGTAGTCTGTTACACGTTTATATTAACTAATCTTCCAAATGGCACACAAGCGCACTACCTTGATCTCCTTCACTTCAAGCTTAGCTTCGGCATCCCACCGTGTGTTGGTAGGATTGCGATCTGGTGCGGGGTTCAGTAGAATGAGAGAAATACACTCAATTGTCTTCCCGAGCCCTGTACGTCATTAATACAATGCGAGTGGGATCAATAGTATTGCGAGGTACCTGGCTCTTCTGCAAGTATTCCCCCTAGTGCAGCGTTGTCTTCTACAGGAGAAGGGCTTACGATGCCGACGAGTGTATTAAAGAAGTGTTCCCGGCCCCCAAGAAAGATCTTGTCCCAAAATGGAGGCATGAGTGACCGGGACTGAGGAGCAGTGTAGGGCATGACGCCGCCTTCCTGAGTCATTGTCTTCCCTTCGCGTAGGAGCATCCACTGGACACTACGCCGTTGGAAGGGTAAGAGCACTGGCAACAAGCCCTCAGGCTGGAGAGACTCATATGTCACGCCTTGCGAAAGAGCGGGTGCTGGGCGAAGAATGCTGTAGAAGAATGGAATACTTGTGTCCCCTCTTGTATCATGTTCACTGTCGAATAGCGGGTGGTCTACCGATGTTAGGGTAAAAAGAGCAATCAAGCGTCTCTGTAATCCTTCGAGTTCGGAGACGCGCTTCTGGGAAATCTTCTTGGTGTCAAATGTTTCATACAATCTAGGCACAATGATGGACACGTTGAACTGTGCGCATAGCCGAAAAGGTAACTCCTCTGCAGGGTCGTAGTCACCCTCAGGAAGGGTGATCACATGAACGCTTGTCTCGATTTTCGCACGACCTAACGACTGAAAGGTGAAGAGTGCCTTGAGAAGATCACCATGCTGTTGTATGCCATCCTCTTCCTCTTCGGGTGCGTCTGGCCATGCAACTTGAGGAAGGAGGAAGAACCACCGCTCACTTTTCTCCTTGATTTCCTCAGGATAGTGGTTCACGGGGCAGTCTGGCTCGCCCGAAAGAGCTAATAGGCGCGTTTTGTAGTTCTGAACCCAGAACCTGCCAAGGTCAAATGTTTGAGGTTGAGAACGGTCAGGGCATAGCGCAGTAAATAGAGATTGGAGATCATGTTCCTCCTTAAGCCACCCAAGTTTCTTCGCTGCTTGGTCGGGCACATAAGAGCCGTTGTCATCACCTTGGGCTGATTTCGTGTAACGCATTTCGAAAGAGTATGTGAAGACTGGTAGAAACTGGCTTTCGGGATCAACTTTTGGTTCCTCGTAATGACGTTCTTCACATATGCATGGGTACACCTGCTTGTAAGCTGGGTCTTGCCAGTCGTCTTCGCATCCATAGGAGCCGTCCAAGGATGGTTCTGAGTCTTCTGACTGATCATCAGCATCCAATTCATCACCGCCCTCGGCAACCTTCCTTCTCTTGCTCTTTACAGGTGATGCAGAAGCAGAGCGTCGTCGCTTGTTCCCCATGTGTTGTTCAACTTCGACATCAGCTTCCCATACGCCTCCGTCGACTTCAAGTGCTTCATCATGTACGTCATAATCTCCTTCGCCTCCTTCATCGGCATTCTCTTCCTTCAGAGGTTTTAAAAGAGTAATTATCGCGTTCAAGTTGATTGCAGGACGAAAGTTGTCAAAATCTGATGGTCTGAGCTGCAAACCCCAGAAATACGACTGTTTGTGACGAGCAGACTCTGTATATTTTCCGCTGATAGTACGGATATCCTCCATCCCAGAAAAATACTTGTATACGCGAGCGCCGAGGATGGTGGTGGATGGTGGTTAAAACTTAAAAATGATGGCGCGACGTGCGCGGGGATATGCGGCTGTCACGTGATCCAAATACACTTGGTGATGAACGAACTTTCGTGCTCCAAGTCATCGCGTATCCTCGATCGGATCTCGTCCAGTTCTTTGCTGCTGTCATTGCCGCAGTGGCTTTTCCTAATGTCCAACTTGTCGTTTAAATCCGTACGCGTTACAAAGACACAAGGCTATCAGGATTCTAAGGTTTTTTAATGGGACCATCGTTGAGTTTTCTTTGCTAGACACCACAAGATACGACGATTTATCTCTGTACGTTTCATCCAAGTTAATTACTCTCAAAGTCTTCCGCTGCTCACGCGTTCATCATCCGCTGCTGGATGGTGCATTCAGCTTCTCAGATTGCGACTTGTCTTGTTCTCGCGGACCGTCCCTGGTGTTCCACAATGCTCTCGATCATACTCCCTCCACGGACGTGGTATAAAATCATTCGGCTTCTCTTTGCGCGCCATCTTCAGTGATTTGAACGTTGTTTGCATTTGCCATTACCTTGGGAAATACACTCGATTCTACATTTTGCATTTGTGTGCTAACTGAGTCTGAGTGGTACGACTCCATGATACGAGTCAAGGAGTAGCAATCAACACAAGACATTCTAAGACTTACACGTCCATTTCAACCTTGGCATGCGGCCAGTTTCGCTGAAGACTCACCATGACGTTGTTATTCTTCCACTAATCATGATTGGTAATCTCAGTTTCCAGTGCTTGGTGCAATCATACCAGCGTCTATCGTGCCGAACAGCCTTGACAATATGGAAATACACCACGGTGCAGCATGACCTGAACCATCAACTCTCCCTTTCAGCCGAACTCCATCCACAGCTCTGCCACCCGTCTTCCCCTCCCACTCATTCTATCCACCACTCAGTCCACCACTCAGCCCATCCTCCATCCTCATCATTTTGCTCCATCGCACCATCATGCCTGGTAGCTTAGAAACTCAATATATCAGGCTTGAACGTGAGCCCCTCCATATTACTTTCGTATCTGTTCGTGATCTTCACACTCTATCTACAGTCATCAGCGGAAAGAATCTTCGAGTCCCCTGCTGGCGCATTCCCGCTGGCATCTTCCCGCTGGCATCTTCATATCCATCAATGTCAACTCCTGGAGACGCTGGAAATCGGCCATCAGTGTCTTATCATCTGATCGATCTGTAGCGTGGGAGAATACTGTAACTCTGTAAAGTCCACGCAGACTTTCTGACGCGATTCAAGAATTGATCTTTTCTTCATAGATCATCGCATGCCACCTGCGTTATCAGTGGAGATCAGGGCATCCTATGAACTTGGTCGAATGCTGGGCGGTGGAGAGGTCATCGGGGAACTTCGAATGTCGTGGGATGAGCTATTCGATGTGTGACTTGCTCCTCATTCATGCGCATATCCTAATATCTCGGAGATTTATCCTTCCCACACGTGCGCGGTGTCCAACCTTTCCTCACACTGAAGGCCGCTGTTGTACATGCTTGCGACAATCAAAATGGCGCACTGTCTGATGTGAGTGACGCTGCTCTCTGTCCCGTTAGCTTTTGCTGACATAACACCGACTATAGTCACTCGTAGACTGCAAGATTTCTCGAGACACAGATGCGGGCCACGCAAGACTTGCCAAATACATGGAAAGCGAGAGTGTCTCTCACTTGAACGCTGCTGTAGAGCATTTTCAGTCGGTTCTGGACCAGTGTCCTGTCAGTCATCTAGACCACACGACAGCTCTCACCAACCTTGCGTATGCGCGCCTTCAAGACTATATTCGAGATGATCTTCAAGACATCGACTCCACCACTTCTCTCTTCCGCGACGCCCTTGCATTGCGTCCGCAGCGCCATCCCGATCATCCCTTATCTCTATATAATCTCACCCTAGCCCTGACTTGGCGCCACAACAAGAGAAGTACTGCTGCCGACATCCGCGAAGCTGCCCAAATCTATCATGAGCTACTTCCTCTCTGTTTAGAGGGCACCTACCTTCGTAGCATCGCGGCAGGGGCAAATGGTGTCGGTCATGTGATCGATGGATGTGACGATATTCCAATAGACGCATCTGACGCATCTGATGAAGACATCCACCTTGGACAAGTCGTCCTCGAACTCTGTCCTCTGAGCCATCAACTCCGTCCGAGAACACTTAGCAATCTTTCGTGTGCTCTCAGATCACGCTTTAGACAGCATGGCAGGATCAATGATCTTGACACGAGCATACAACTTGGTCGTTAAGCCGTGTCTCTGTGTCCCGAGCCACATGCTGACCGTGATTTCTACCTGGACAACTTGGCCTTATCACTCGTGTCCCGCTTCAATCACCAAGGCAGGCCTAGCGACCTTAATGAGGTCATCTCTTTGTATGAAGAAGCGCTGCGTCTGTGCCCTGTTGGGCATGAATCTCGTGATTACTCATTGGACAACTTAGGGAGCGCCTGCTTCACCTTTTTCTTCAAATGCGGCGACACTGATGCCCTCACTCGAGCTATCAGCCTCTATCGCGAGGTATTGACGTTGCGCCCACCTGGGCATCCATGTCGTGACATCACGCTTTACCACCTTGCCCTCGCGCTCCAAGGCATCCTACTCGAGGATTTCGAGAACGCATTATAACAGCCCAGAACTGGGTCACCACAGCAGAGCAGTACAGTCATACATCTGCACTGGAGGCCTACAACACACGTTTCGACCTTCTTGGCGATCATTTGGCAACACGATCGTGGGCAACTTCATGACATTAAGCTGCTGCTGTATTCCATTATATCAGAACACTCCCTGTAGACGCAGCATCATGTGCCATCCGCTGCGACAATCTACGACAGGCAGTGGAATTTGTGGAGTATGGCCGTGGCTAGCAATGGTCACTGGCATCTCGACTCCGGATACCAGTTGAAGACCTCGAGTCAGCAAATCCGAAACTGGCGCACAATTATTTAGAGCTGAGCAAACGCGTTTCCAATTCCACCCAGAGTTCCGCAGCCATCACCAACAGAGCTGCTACTGATCGGGAAGCAACAGTGTATAGGAGACTTACGGAGCAGTGGGCAGCTGCAGTAGCTGAGATACATGATATTCGGGCATTCTCGCGGTTCCCGCTCCCACATTTGTACGAGGACCTGCAAGCGGCAGCACGCTAGGGTCCGGTCATCATCCTCATTGCCAGTAAATACTCGTGCAGCACCATCATTGTCCAGATGTCAGGAGACCCCCGTCACGTTCCCTTGCCATCTGTTGCTCTCGCAGAGCTGACCAATCTCAAGGATCGCTTCTCCAAGGCAATACGACACGCATCTATCATGAGCGCCCAAAAGAGTCGCGGAACGATCTAATGGTCCTTTTGCGGACAGTATGGGACGAGATCATGCTGCCCATCGTCAATGTCCTCTAGCATGATCTGAAATTAAAATTCCACTCTCGAATCGGGCTGTGTCCGACTGCAGCTTTCACGTCTATTCCTCTCCACGCAGCTCACCCCTTTAAAACAAAGGCAGATGGCTCCAAGGAGTCATGCCTGGAGGATCTCTGCATCTACTCTTACACGCCGGCTCTCGTCAGATCTAGGCAGATGAAGAAGAAGCGCGTCACACCGTCCTTCGTGGCAATCGGACAGGGTAAAGTGAGTGCAAAGAAAGGCAAGGAACTCTTGACTGTTGACAGCGAGCTCGAGCTTGTCCATAAGCTCGTCCCTGCGACGGTCAATCGGACTACTATTTCTGGCGACGCTACCACACGAGCAGGTGCACTCGAAGCTTTGTAGCAGAACACCTGGGTGCACCTTACTTGTCATGGCAAGCAGGACCCTGCGCAGCCTTACCATTCACATTTCATGAGATGAACATTTTACGTGCTCAATTTCACGGAGACATTCCGCACGCGGAGTTCGCGTTCTTATCCGTTTGTAATATCGCCGTTGGGGATGAGAAGACGAAGTGATTCACCTTGCAGCCGGTCTCCAGTTTTCGGGGTTCAAGAGCGCCGTTGGCACGCTGTGGGAGGTCGATGATTCTGTCGCAAAACACGTCGTTGAATACATATATGTTCAAAGATTTGAAGGATGGTGGTGTCATGGACTGTAGGAAAGCGGCCTGGGCACTCAACTGTGCTACGCACGCCGTGAAGACGAAAGTGCCGTTCGAGCAGAGGATGGTTTTTTATTCATATTGATGTGTAATTAGATCTATCGCATGGCTTTCATCAGTCTCTAGTACAAGCTGTTGATCTTTCATCCTGTTGGTGTACCTGGCCCCTTCCTTGATACTGACGGGCTGGGCGAGGTGCGCATTGTGAATATGTTGAGAATGCGGTTAAACTGGCCTGCGGCAAGCTATGGTCGAGTGACACGAGGGAAGGGTGGAACTGGAGGAAATTTTATCAAACCTGATCACGTTCAAGTCATCAGCATCTCAAACCGCTCATGCATGAAGGCATCTGCTGTACTGCAGCTTCGAGGAACAAGAAGTGGAATTCATTTCATGAATATATGAATCAGAGTGATCATCAGAACATGGAGAATGCAAGCTTAATATGACAGTGAGAATAAGTATTGTTGCAGGGCCCTGAAATGAGGATGAGGGTGATCACTTTAAGTTAGTATTTTCAATAAGGCTTTTGCGCATTGTAAACACCGACTGCACGAACCTGTTAGACAAACACAGATAGTGACATTGCACGTCCTCCCATGTTCGAGGTGAACTCCTCTCGACCCCTTCCAGATATCAGGCATTCATCCGCTGCTCTTCTCTCCCCCTAAAAAAAAAGTCCAGTTTGTCGTCATAAGGAGAAAAGCACCTCGTTCGTCAAGGGAGAGTCATACTGTTGGCCTGTTGGTGGCACGTCATTCAGTGCGATGGGTCGCCCTGCCTAAGCTGTAGTTCTAACTCCAATCGTCGAGCTCGAACCGTGAGAGCACGTAGTACAACAGGACAAGAAACTCATAAGCAAAAGAGATGTCCGGACGGTTGACGATACTGTCGAATGATATAGATATGTCGAGTGGTGGGACTCGAATGGCTGCCTGCAAGTATCTCCTTGATGTACAGGGATGTGAACTTTGATATTTTTGGCGTAGAAATAAAGTGGATACTACTAAATGAATAGCGACATCAGATGTTGAGTGACCTACCTGATCCGACCAACCCGGAGTTCAAGCTACGACGCAATGACACATCGTGACGGCAGACGACGATGAATTGAGAAGGGGTAGAATAATGGACTAGTGGTAATGACGAGGCGCTGAGCATGAAGTCTTCACATGTGGTCAAAGTAAGAACGGAGAACAGGGAGGGAAGAGATCGATGAGTGACCCATCTTTGGATTTCTATATGAGGTCAGGACTTCCTTGACAAAATTAGCGCGTTTCAAAGGGAGGGTTCACACCTTCGATCACGTTTCTGATGGATTACGAAGGCAGCACCCAATTGCAGCTCTGGGGCCCGGCACTAGTAGCTAGCTGTTGGAAGCTTGGACATCGATTCATCTTGCAGCGTTCTCATTTGTCATGTTCTCGCAATCCGTTATTGGTGTTTCCACAATATTAATGCTTTCAATCACCTGGGACTGTTGACGAGTCAATCCCGCTTTTCTTTGTGTGCCGTCTTTAGCGGTTTATACAATCCTGTTGGCATTTACCATTGCCTTACGAAATACACTGCATTCTACATTTTGCCTCTGTGTGCTAACTGAGTAGTACGAGCAGCAATCAACACAAGACATACACTGAGTCTCGCATGTCCCCTTGGCGCGCCGCTTTCGCTGAAGACTAATCATCACAATGTCTACTTCTATACCACAGATTTCCCCCACTAATCCTGGTTGGTGATCTCAATTCTCAGCGCTTGCTGCAATCCCAGCGTCTACCTCTTCTCCTCTCCCTCTCAGCCGGACTCCATCCGCAGTCCCTGTATCCTTACCCCCGTCTTCCCCACTCAGCCCATCCTCGATCCTTGTCATTTTGCTCCATCGCACCATCATGCCTCGCTCAAGACGCCGATATATCAGACTCGAAGGCGAGTCCCTCCATATTACCTTCCTGTCTGTTTCATCCTCACATTCTATCTACAGTCATCAACGGAAAGGATATTCGAGTCCCCTCCTGGCGCATGCCCGCTGGCATCTACATATCCATCAATGTCAACTCTTGGAGACACTGGAAATCGACTATCAGTGTCTTATCATCTGATGAATCCGTAGCGTGGGGGAATACTGTAATCCTGTAAAGTCCATGCAGACTTTCTGACGCGATGCGAGAACTCATCTTTGGTTCATAGATCATCACATGCATCACCTACCTTATCAATGGAGATCAGGGCCTCCTATGAGCTTGGTCGAATGCTAGGCGGTGGGGAGGTCATCGGGAAACTTCAAATCTCATGGGATGAGCTACTCGATTACGGAGACGAGCCATTCGGTGAGTGGTTTGCTCCTCATTCATGTACATATACTAACATCTCGTAGATATATACTTCCCTCCCGTGCACGGTGTCCATCCTTCCCTCACGCTGAAGGTCGCCATTGTACATGCTTGTGACAATCAAAACGGTGCACTGTCTGGTGTGAGTGACGCTACTCTCGGTCCTGTTAGCTTTTGCTGACAGAATACCAACTTTAGTCCCTCGTAGAAACCAAGATTGTACGAGACACAGATGCGGGCCACGCACATCTTGCCAAATACGTGACGACCAACGCAGTTTCTCACCTGAATCATGCTATGCAGCGTTTTCAGTTGGTTCTGGACCAGTGTCCGGTCAGCCATCCAGATCATGCAACGGCTCTCGCCAACCTTGCGTATGCGCGCCTTGCAGGCTATATCAGAAACCATCTTCAAGACATTGATACCACTACTTCCCGCTTCCGCGAAGCTCTTGTATTGCATCCGCAGCGCCATCCCGATCATCCCTTATTTCTATATAATCTCACCAGAGCGCTGATATGGCGCCACAACAAGAAAAGTACTGCTGCAGACATCCGCGAAGCCGCGCAACTCTTTCATGAACTACTGCCTCTCTGTCCCGAGGGCACCTACCTTCGTAGGATCGTGATCGACGTATGCAACGATCTTCCAATAGATGCATCCGATGAAGGCATCCACCTTCGAAGAGTCGTCCTCGAGCTCTGTCCTCTGGGCCATCAACTTCGTCCTCGAGCTCTTCACACACTTTCATGGGCTCTCAGCTTACGCTTTGACCAGCACGGCAGCATCGATGATCTTGACACGGGCATACAACTTCGTCGTGAAGCCGTATCTCTGTGCCCCGAGGGACATGCTGGCCGTGATGACTACTTGTACAACTTGGCCTTATCACTCGTGTCCCGCTTCAATCACCAAGGGAAACCTGATGATATCGACGAGGCCATCTCTTTGCATGAAGAAGCGCTGCGCCTGTGCCCTGTTGGGTACAAATATCATGATTACTCATTAGACGGCCTAGGGGACGCCCTTACCACCCGTTTCCACAGATGCGGCGACATTGATGACATCACCCGAGCTGTCAGCCTCCGTCGTGAGGCACTGATATTTCACCCACCTGGGCATCCACGTCGTGGCACCACGCTTAGCAACCTTGCCTCCACGCTCGACACCAGATATATAAAATTGCATGTCAGCGAGGATCTTAATGAGGCAATTGATCTGTATCGTGAATCCCTTCAGTTAACACGGCTTGACGATCCAGAGCGCCATGCAACTCTTCACAATTTGAGCTCGGTGCTCTGCTATCGTTTCACGCAAACTCAGGAGAATGAAGATGTCGAGGAGGCCATTGCTCTTTGCCAAGAATCATTGGCGGCTCTGCCTTCACTGCACCCAAACAGGTTTTTCAGCTACATTTGGCTGCAGATGGCCTATTTGTCTCGTTACCGGATTCTACAAGACCCTGCTGATTTGTCGCTCGCAGTGGAGAACTTCAGACTGGCATCGCAGCATCCCACTCAAGGATTCCCAGAACGCATCATTCAGGCATATTATTGGACCGATGCAGCGGAGGAGTATGGTCATGAATCCGCACTAGAGGCCTACTCGACATTTTTTGAGCTTCTGGATGCTCATTTGGCAACACGATCGTCGGTAACTTCACGGCGCGAAGCTGCCGCTTCCTTCTATTACGCTAGAACACTCCCCGTAGATGCAGCCTCATGTGCCATACGCCGTGACAATCTACAACACGCAGTGGAACTCGTAGAGCAGGGCCGTGGCCAGCAGTGGTCGCTGGCCTCTCGACTCAAAACTCCAGTTGAAGACCTTGAATCAGTAAATCCGACACTGGCACACGATTATTTGGAGCTGAGCAAGCGCGTTTCCAATGCCGCTCAGAGTTCTGCCAGCATCACCGACAGAGCTGCTGCTGATCGGGCAGCAACAGAATATAGGAGACTTACAGAGCAGTGGGCAGCTGCGGTAGCTGAGATACGTGATCTTCAGGCGTTCTCGCGGTTCCTGCTCCCACCTTCTTACGAATATCTGCAAGCAGCGGCGCGCCAGGGCCCGGTCATCGTCCTCATTGCGAGTCAATACTCATGCGGCGCCATCATCGTCCCGACAACAGGAGATCCCCATCACGTTCCCTTTCCGTCTGTCACTCTCGCAGATCTCAACAATCTCAAAGATCGCTTCACCAGGGCAATACGACAAGCATCCCGGATGAACCCAGCGGAGTCGAGGACGGATCTAATAGTACTCTCACGCATAATATGGGACGAGATCATGCTACCCATTGTCAACGTACTCGAGCATGTCCTCAAACTAAAGCGCCGCTCTCGAATCTGGCTGTGTCCAACTGCAGCTTTCACGTCCATTCCTCTCCACGCAGCTAATCCCTTCCTAACAAAGGCAGATCGCTCTGGGAAGGAGCCATGCCTAGAAGACCTCTACATCTGCTCTTACACGCCGACACTTTCGGCTTTGGTCAGATCCAGACAGTTGATGAAGAAGCGTGTGCCTCCGTCCTTCGTAGCAATCGGACAAGCTCAACCGGGTACAGGGAAAGGCAAGGCTCTCTTGGCTGTCGACAGCGAGCTCGAGCTTGTCCATAAAGTCGTCCCTGCAACGGCCAACCGCACCACTATTTCTGGGGACGCAGCCACACGAGCAGGTGCACTTGAAGCTTTGCAGCAGAACACCTGGGTGCATCTTGCTTGTCATGGCAAGCAGGACCGTACACAGCCTTACGATTCGCATTTCGTCATGAGAGATGAACATCTGACGTTGCTCGATATTATGGAGAGAGATATTCCGCACGCCGAGTTCGCGTTCTTATCAGCATGTCATACCGCTGTCGGCGATGAGGAGACGCCCGACGAAGTGATTCACCTCGCAGCTGGTCTCCAGTTCTCAGGGTTCAAGAGCGTCATTGGCACGCTGTGGGAGGTCGACGATTCTGTCGCAAAACACGTGGTTGAAGCTTTCTACAAATATATGTTCAATATGAAGGAGGACGGTGTCATGGACTGTACGAAGGCGGCTTGGGCACTCAACTGTGCTACGCACGCTGTGAAGACGAAAGTGCCTCTCGAGCAGAGGATGGTTTTCATTCATATTGGTGTGTAGTTCTACGTCGGATCGTTGTCATCTGGTACATTTCCACTAGTTGTTGGTCTGTGATCCTGTGTTGTAAAAATGGCCCTGATATATTCTTGCGCTCCAGCTATCTTGTTTTCGTATACTCTGTCCTGTTTTTGTTGACTAGATTGTTCACCAAGATACTTATATACCCGATTCGTTTGCAGCCTCGTTTCTGCTCGAGTACTTTGATAGTAGGAACCGGGCCAGTCAAACCGACCCACGCGGCGCCTTCCAGTCATACCATCCATGTTCCTTCAAGCTTCGAGTCCTTCTGCATTATGGAACCTCGACTAACCACTGCCGATGTGATCAATGCCAAGTTAGAAGCCGGGCTCATTCAACTAATCCGCGCACCCGTCGGAGTTGGTGGTTTCGTCAATCCAGGATGGCTGCGTTGACTTATCGCCTATCTGTGCACCGCTTACTACACCCACTTCGACATCAGCGCTAATCTGCTAATGAGGCGTGAACTTGGTTTATGGCGGCATTTACTGTTCATTTCCTATGAAGTATTCATAATTTAATACTGACTACTAGTCGTACTTGTCAAGGGTTCGACAATCTCATAGTACCTCCTCGACTCATCCTCAAGCCTACTTCCCGTTAGCGTTATAACGAAGTTGTGATTTTCTCTGCGATGGACGCATTCACTGATGGGCCTGTCGCTGCTGTCAGGCTTTCTGGCACATCTTACGGTCGGTGAGCGCGCAGGAATCGCAGCTAGACGTGGGAATGGCTATCAGTATTCCAGATAGATAGATTCGAGGCAGTGAGTATAGCTCTGCACACTGTGAGATTAGCCTAGGAGATCCAACAGGTGCGAGGGCACATACGTATGCCAGCCATGCAAGCCTCGGTTGTAGAAGTGGGCCCAGGGAATCCTTACCAACGTGTAATTAAATTTTATTCGCTAGTGTTTGAACCAAACCGTCCAAGTTCCAAACACGGAACCAATCGAATGGGTCATCTCAACACGGAAGGCGTCGTCTATGCTCCTGTTAAGACAAGTCCGCCGGTGAACATTGAAATAGACTGTGAAATCCCACGAATGGAGCATCGCGGATGACTTGAAGCGGATCTTGACTCCCAATTGTGTTTGAGGTGGCGTGACGGTGAATGGAGTATTTGAATACTGGCTACTCATTTCTGGTGCCAGTGCGCATTCAAGGCTGTCGGATTGCCAGCGGGAGGGACGAATAATCCTGGTAAATATGAATTTCTGCATAGAGGTCCGGGAATACACACGGATTTGCATATAATGAAATCCGAGCGGCTTCATGGCCACACCAGATATGTTTCATGTACTTGGTAGCTGCACGGTGAACGAAAAAAATGCACATTTGGAAGCCGAGTCAGATTGATTTCGAATAGCATCAATTCGACAAAGTGCAAGATCAACGTTGTTCGAGACTCGTTGAACACATTGAGCTGTGCAGCGTGCAAGAGGAGAATTCAAATATTCAACGTCTATCAAAACACATGTTGTTTAACTTTTGTTTGTACAAGTTAGATTTCCACCGATCTATTATTAGGTATACCATATCAATCTCCGTCCGAGGGCATCCGACCGATTTTCACTGGGCGTCGGTAGTACTGAGCGCTGAGCGACATCCTACTGGTAGTTTCAGACGGATCGAATTGATCTACTCCAAATACAATCCAGATTTGCAAAACTTTCTTGAAAGCCCTCGAAAATATTCTCTCTCCACCGAGCGTCCTTCTGAAACGGAAGAATTTCAAGAAGTTCATATCCAAGTTGTGATACGCCTTGGTCGATAACGCCCGCTATTATAATATTGTTATCATCCACTAGAAGGTATCTTACAACCAAATTTCCGGTTCTGACTTGCTGTATATGCCTAGAGATTCCATGCACATCGGCCAAAGAAGCTCAGCGCAGATCAATGCACGAGCCTCGAGGGCATCCCAAGCCACGAGGCATTCTGTTTGTGTTCCCTTGTGCTCCTTATAGCCCCCTACTTTCAACCCACATCCACAGATCGTCCAATCTCAGAGCTCTTAAAAAACTTACACCAAATATCGCAAATCAAGGCTACTTGACATGTCTGTCACCTCAGAATCCTCCGAGACTGATGTCTTGGAGTATATCATCACCCATATATTTTGTCCCATCAAATTGCCGCAGCACAATGATCATACTCCTGAAAAAGATCGCTCTCTCCTTGATGTCGTGCTCGGCTCGGCTCGCAAATTTGCGACTTCTTTGCCTAACGATGATCATGAGCAGTGGAGGCCTTTGTTGAAGATGCTGGAGAGTCTTACCGTTACAATGAATTTTCCTTCCCTGACCAAGGAAGTGGTCGAGTCGCAAATTAAATCCATGCAAGCAGGAGGTATGCACGCAGTTTTGGCGCCGGGAATTGACACCAATCTCAAGATTTCTTTATAGATATTCTCGCGTATTTGATTCGGGAACAAAATGCTGCTGTCGTGCTTCGTAGGCTCGACGCAAAAACCACATTTGAATCCTTTGAAGTTTCTCCACCAGCTCCTGCTGTGATGGCGGCAAAGGGGAAGCTTCTGTGTTCATATCCAGGGCCCGCAATTGCTGTATCAAACTCCGTCATGGATAATCCTACCTTTCCTCCCGAGTTGGCGAACTTTCTCTCCCACATGAGCTATGATGTGTTGGATCCCATAGGCTTCCATGGAGAGACCACACATCCTCACTATATCACCCAGCTTCTCACCGACATTCTTCGCGCATTCGGCGAGCCCGCTGACATTCCTCGTATTCGAAAGCGTATAGGCGATGATGTTATAGACGATGATACTTCAAATGATGATACCTCACAGTCCAACGTCACGCTCCCATGGCGAAGATCGTCCCTCTGGCTTGTCATAAGGGTTGTATTGCAGACATCGCTCGAGCGCACCAGCCTTGGACGAAACGGTTACAAGGTGTTCATGGCTTCGCTCATGACAGACCTTGTGTCCAAAGCACTTGAAGAGGATATGCCGAGCGATCTACTCTACTTCATGTCCACTAAAATTAGTCGGCGCTTAGTCAAGCTTCAGGCTGAAGACGGATTCTTAGCAATCACGATGCACAAGGCTACTGAAGACATCAAAAGCCGACTGGAGTTGCGCTGGAAGGATATCCAGGCTGTTCAGGCGGATTCCCCTCATTGGGATGCCTCGGAGGTACACATAATCAGAGACACCAGGCTCTCTTTGACCGAGAGCGAGGAGTACATCACTGCTGCCTTACATCCTACCAGCGTCCAATCCGACGTGTCAGACTTTAAACCTCCTCATTGCAAACGGGGCACTATACACGACTTCCTTGGTCCTGACACCAACTTCTTCGAGAGCGCTTATACCAAAGACCCCTTTTTAGCGCTCTTTGATTTCGAATATGCCATCGAGCGAGACATTGATGGCTGGGTGAATCGTGTCATGAACCTCGATGCTACTTGCATTGATGCCGCTTGCATGACCATTCAAGCGCGCGCTGCAAGTTATTCTGCCAGTGCGCAACTATCTTATTCCAAAAATCCTGAGAATATATCCATCATGCTACTCACGCGGTTCGAACTCTGGGTCGCGCTTGACAAGCTGGTTGTGAAGTCAATCCCTCTCCTCATGGAGTATCCCCCAGAGATCCCAGCTGCCATTTTCGATCACCTTCTCCTTCAACAACCTGCCACATTAGAGAGACTCAGACTTCTTCAACAGTATGTTGCTACTCGCACCCGCAATGCTCGCTCGGGCTGCTCTATCTTCTCAGATAGTGCAGACGTAGATGCATTCGCAGTTCGTTACTATCACCAATCTGAGGAGCTGCAGTCGTGCAAGCAGCGCATTGAAGACGAAGCAGATGAGGAGCGGAAAAGGCGCATTGCAGATTTTCGCGATAAAAGCAACAAGTACTCGCTTTTGACCAATGAACTCGACGCTCTCACGTGCGACGCTTACATAGATTGGCGAGGTCGGACGCAACATAAAGCTAATTGCTGTTGGTGCAAAAAGTCGCTGGAGAGGGCTAACCTTTCTATCGAAGTCCATGAATGGCCACTTCCTGAATGCGATAATGATGCAGCGGTAGTTTTATTCGAACTCGGTGCCCCGATTACTTTCAAGATGTGGCGATCTCTCACATTCCACTTTCTTCACGACATATGCACTACAGATTCAACTCAAGTTGCAAAGCAGCACATGCTGCTCACGCATTATCAACCACTCTCACACCATCACACCGAGCACCCTGGCCAACGCATTACGTTCGGGCTCAGAGACAAAGTCCTCCCTAGCCACTCTCAAGTCCTTTCCATGCACTGAAAGCGACATCATCGTCAAAAATGAGCTGCATTTCCGCATCTATGATACGACCAAACGTGTTTGGGCCTCAAGTTCCAATCGAGAGTATAATGTGTCTAATCTTTGCACGTACGCACTACCGGAAGGTCCATATCACGGACTGCAATGTTACCTTTCGGGTACCCAGCACACTTCCAATGAGGTCTTGGCCAATCAGGCTGCATGTCATGCCGAGTTGACGCTTCACGAATTCATCGCTTTTGGTAGCCTCCGTAGTGGCAGCCTCCTGCAATGGATCAACGTTATTCGTGAATTGAGAGCACGCACGCTCACGTTTCGCGATCCCGCAGTCCATTTGCTACTACTCCAGGCTAGTTTGGAGGTGGGAGAGCTTTCAGCCGATGGGTCTAGGGTATGGCATGATGAACTGAAAGTCTCGAACTTTGGGCACACCCTGATCAATGAGCTCCAGAGCTTAAAAGTAAGCGTGGAAGCCAATTGGCTGGAGGGCACAACAATGGCAACGATCTCTGCCCTGGTGTCCCGCCTTCTCTCCTCAGCGGAGGATTTCGACGTCATTGAGCGATCATACAAGTTACTGCGAGCTGTCCGGAGTACCACTTTCAAATGGGTGCAAGAGCTATCCAAAGCTCTCCAAGAAGCTCCAGACGAAGAATCTAGTCGTGAACGCCAAGCTCGCGTTCGTGACATGGCAGTGATCTGTCGCAGCACCTATGATGTTGGCCCAGACAATATCACGGCACTCCTTGAATCACCACAGGACTTGGAGATATTGGTATACTGTTCCGTTACAGTGAAGGATAACGTGCCTCTAGATCTAGGTCTACACACTCTCCCGCCTATTTCAAGGTTACTTCTTGACCGCAACCGTCGGTTGTCACACTTTTTAGTGACCCATTTCCGATGCCATGTAGAAGACGACCAAGAAGGTCTTGATCGGGCTATGAAACATCTTTGGTCTGCATACCGGCGCCACACACGCTGGACACTTGAATCTCCAAACTCTCAGTGGCTTAGATGCGAAACAGCGCCATCTGATGATCCATCCCGCCAAATCATACACCTCGATATGTTGACGGCTCGCCTATTGGTCGATGGCAAGCCGCTAACCAGGCTGCCGGATTACATTCAGCAGCATCCTAGTTGCATCTTACTCTTCTGTCATGTGAGTTTTCCCGCCTGCTGGTCAGCCAGCTATCTGATAACCCCGAATAGCAAGTGCTTGATGTTTTCCCCTCCAAGATTCCGGGCGTAGAATTTGTTACCAAGACCAAGATACATGGCTTTCAAGTGAGTTGGTACAGTTAAGGACGACGTCCAAAACTTAGCTATCATTTTGCAGATATTTTTCGGGATGCGCAACGGGGACGTTGTCATTCAGTCACAATGTGAGAATGGGAACCTCCTTGAGCTAATACCTCGAAAAAAGCTTCTGCCAGACATCCCGGTATCACTGGTCAAAGATCACGTGCACTGGCTTGACTTGACCACTCGTACGATCGAATTTCGTCCAGTGAAGGCAATGTGGAAACCGTCCGACAATAACTGGGTGTTGCAATACACGAAAGGCGGGCAGTCGGTCGCACAACGGGGCCAATCAACTCTTTTTGATATTCACAGCCCCGCTTTCCATATGATAGCAAAGATACTGAGCCCCATGGAAAACTCTGAATACCTGATTGTCACTGGCAGCGCGGACGCAGGCCAGACTGTAGTCAAGGTCGATCTCCCTCGGTTTGGACTCTCTTTCTTTATTGATAGGGATGGAGAGTTACATTCGCGCGACCAGAGGGGCATGGTTGTCGACAAAGATCAGTCCACTGGCACAATGCTTGGACTTGTTAACCAGCTTGTTCTGCGTCCCAAAGATCGACACACTTTCAGCGATCGCCGCGTCATCATCCCACAAGGCAACGTTGTAGTAAAGCACGACGGTCACCATGTGCAGGTCACCATCCAGCCCAATCCTAATCATGTCCGCCATCACTATCATTGTTACACCGTTGACATGGAACTCTGCCGTCTGACGGGAAACGTTGGTCTCACGAACAAACTTTACAAGGCATACTTACACGCTGTGTGTAGCGCCCATGTTCCAGATCCATTGACTAAACGCACCGGTGTAGAAGAAGCCATGGTTTTGCTGCAATCTGCCGCATGCTATTCCTTCATGAAGCTAGACCCATTTGATTGCAAGCTTCTGGTTCTGATAAGCTCCTTAACTGTTCATCGGACATGGTATACCGGTCACAAGAGCTCACAGAAGGTCCGCTGGCAACATGACTTATCCTCTTATATCCAAAGTTGCGCATTCTACCATGCTGCCAGGAACATAGTCCAATATGCACAGAAGCTGCAGGTGCTTAGCGAAACACCAGTCACAGTTTGTCCAAGCTTTCCAGTACGCGACGAGTCTCTCTTGGAACGTGCCTCTCAGTTGTCCATTGTCCTTTACTCCTGTGATCTAGTCAACTCCTTCTATCCCAGCGAATCGTCGAGCAGTGATTATACTTCCAGGGATGTTTTCTGCAGCTCAATAGGCGACCAAAAGGCATTTGATTGTGCTTGCATGGTGCGCGACTGGAGTATCACGCTCAAGCCTTGTCAGGCGCTCTACGGTATCTTCGTTCAGTGGAATGAAGTTTCTGGCAAAACACAAGACGTAACCCTTCAATATGGTCGAGAATGGTTGAAGCCTGACTTGGCTAAGAGATGGATGACCGTCATAGAACTTTGCCGCCATGCAGATCGGGAGACTCACACATTCCAACTCACTTTCACATTATCGGCCATGACCTACTGCTCCCCCAAGAATATGGGACTCGCCGCGACCATATTCGCGTTTGCAGCTATCCCTAAGCTCCGAGCCATTCGTTCCCCCGACTACGATATATATGACCTTTCGTTTGGGATCCAACCCCTTGAACAGGATTTATGCCGTCACATTTCTTTCTATACTTCTTTCCCCAATAGTCCCGAGGCGTCGTGGTCTAGTTACAATGGCGAGTCACCCCGCGACTTTAATAATCGGCGACAAAAGCACTTCCAATCCGAGTGTCTACGTGAACAGAAAGCGGCGGTCACTATATTTCTTGAATGTTGGCCTTGTCGTTCTGTCCCTGCACGCGCTTTGCAGTGTCTGAGCGGCTCCCGATACAACAAATCCACCCTTAGCATCATCCTCGAAAAAAATTACTCAAACTGCTATCGCAACTGGTGTCTGAAGACGTATCTGGATCGTGTACAAGATGTGCTTGATGAAGCGAGGCAGACTTCAACACCATCCATCAAGCATCCATACACATTCATCCCGAGCAATTCAGATATTATATCATTCAACACCGCGATCCTCACCAAACACTTGTTCAGAAAGCCTCCGCCCCTTATCACATTACTTCCTGACCCACTCAAGCAAATTCAAGTGTCACCGAGCAACAGAATCTCTGGCGGTGGGCTTGATTCGTCTCCACTGAAGGATGTCATCTCAAACTTCAAGTTTTCGCGGCGTCGGTCGGACCAGTTCGGTCTCCAGTATGCTGCACATCTAGAAGACAGTAGGATTTATCTAGAGAATGAACAATCACCCATCACACCGCACCCAACTTGCTGGACAGTCGACATATTGCAACATCATCATACGCGGTGCAATAGGCTTTATAATAGCACCTTTCACAAATTGGAAGAGCATCTAGCTCCTTCGGGTTTGGCGGAGGAGAGTTTATCCAATTCTGGGCAATGGCCTCGCATTACAGTCACCTTTTTACTCGGCCTTCTCGCTTCCACGTCAAAAACGCCTCTTTGCAACTCTTGGAAAGCCTCTTTGACCAATTTCGCACATATCCTTCTTCGATTACAAAGATCACAGCGACTTCTGAAGCTGAAGTTGGCAGCCAATGGGGACAATGAGGAATTCCTGAAGGAGCTGATGAATGACGGTCACCTAGGATTGGATGGCACACAGGAATACGTAGACTGGCTTCTAATTCAGGTATTCGATGGTCACCCACAATTGAAATTATCGGTGACTAACGGTACCAGGCAGAGAACCGATTTCTGATCCGTCCTACACAAGCTAGCGTTGCAATGGAGATGATTTCCCCAAGTTCTGGCAAGAATACTGCTCTGCAGCTTCATATGGGGGAAGGAAAGTCTTCCGTGATCGTACCTATCTGTTGCACTGCACTAGCAGATAGCAACAACTTGGTGCGGGTCGTCGTGCTAAAGCCTTTGGCTGTGCAAATGTTTCAGCTGCTCGTGGAACGGCTCAGCGGCCTTACCAACAGGCGAATTTTCCACCTACCATTCTCGCGCTCCTTGCGCATCACTTCCAGCATCCAGTCATTCTTTGAAGAGTGCAAAGACGTTCGTGGTATCCTTGTTGCTCTACCAGACCACATCCTCTCTTTCAAGATGATGGCCGTGGAGCAGCAGCTTTCCCGTGCGAACACAGTTGAACCAGGTCAATCGGTGGCTATGCCCCTGTTGAATAGCCAGCGATGGCTTGATACACACACTCGTGACATATTGGACGAGAGTGATGAACTGCTGCATGTTCGCTTTCAACTTGTCTACACTATGGGCGATCAACAGCGTTTGGAAGGTTATCCTGAACGATGGACCACGACACAGCAGGTGATGACCCTTGTGGCACAACATGCTTGCCTCCTTCACCAAGAATTTCCTTTTGGAGTAGAGTTCCACCCAGGCGCTATCGGAACCTTCTCACATCTCAGAGTCTTGGATATTGACGCAGGCAAAAGGCTGGTCAAGCTGGTTTCTGACGACATCCTTGCCGGCAAACTTCAAAATTTCGCATTCGAACATGTGCCATCTCATATCAAAGACTCCATCCGCGAGTATCTTACCCAGTTCACTATTGAACCGCAGCTCCTTCACGAAGTCCGCAGCTATTGTGCTGGGTCCAGTATGTGGAATGGACTACTGCTCATTCGAGGACTACTCGCACACGGTGTACTGATATACACGCTGAAAGAGCGGCGATGGCGCGTAGATTACGGTCTGGATCCTCGACGCACGATGCTCGCCGTGCCATACCGAGCCAAGGATGTTCCCTCATCTAGGGCAGAATTTGGACATCCAGACATCGCAGTCGCATTCACATGTCTTTCGTACTACTATGGAGGCCTCACTGAGAAACAGGTGGCCTTCTGCTTCCGGCAGCTACTCAAGCAAGACAATCCCACATTGGAATATGAGACATGGATTGAGGGGTTGTCTTTAGACTCGCTTCCAGAAAATCTGCGACACCTCAGTGGAATCAACATGGAATCTACTGAACAGTTCACTGCCTGTTTGGTACCTATCTTCGGACGCAACAAGGCTGTCATAGACTTCTTCTTGGCTCAGATCACCTTTCCACAGGAAGCGAAAGAGTTTCCCAACAAGTTATCTTGTTCTGCCTGGGATCTCGCAGAGCGAAAGTCTTCCAGATTGCCTACCACGGGTTTCAGTGGAACAAACGACTTTCGCTACTTGCTACCCACCACTATAACGCAGCATCCACTAGACCACCAGCGCGGTACGAATGCCAGAGTCCTCAGTCACCTTTTGCAGCAAGAGAATGATCATTATGATCTGCTTACTGCCGGCGGAAACGCTGGAGAGCTCCTCAATGTCATCACAACGCAGTCGCCTGAAATACGCGTCTTGCTCGACGTGGGTGCACAAGTGCTTGAGTTGCGGAATGACGAAGTGGCGAAGATGTGGCTGGACATCAATCAAGATGCTCAAGCGGCGATTTTTTTCGATAGGCACGATGAGCTCGTGGTGTGCACTCGGGATCACGTTATAGAACCATTCTCTGCATCTTCCTTTGCTCAGCAACTGGACCAGTGTGTATTTTATCTGGACGATGAACACACCCGAGGAACGGACTTGAAGTTGCCTCGTGGATTCCGCGCAGCTGTCACGTTAGGCCCAAAGGTCACCAAGGATCGCCTTGTCCAAGGTGAGGATTCGATGTATACGTTCATTGATGGCGTTTAGTAACTTATTGCCAGGTTGCATGCGTATGAGAAAGCTCGGCCACGGTCACACAGTCATGTTTTTCGCACCTCCAGAAATAGATCGCAGCATCCGAGCCGTAAACAACAAGCCCGATGATGAAGACATTCATGTGTCGGATATCCTCGTGTGGGCAATGACTGAAACGTGCTCAGACATTCAGCATCGTGCTTCACAATGGCTTCAGCATGGAGTGGATTACCAGTCTCGCCACAGTGCATGGTCGTCGTTCTTATCTAGCGATACTACGCCCACTGAACTCGCCCGTTCATGGCTACAGCCAGAGGCCAAGCACTTGGAAGAGCTATACACTCCAGCTTTGACGGACACACCTGCTTTACAAACATCGCTAGATGAAGAGCTTCTGGAGATATGCAGTAACCTTGGTTTGGACATTTCGCCTGACAACCGCCTGGACGAAGAGCAAGAGAGAGAAGTGGTACATGAGATTGAGCGCGAGCGCGAGGTGGAGAGACCGCCAAAAGTGTCGGCTGCCACCCATCGCATCGACGAGGACGTCCGGTACTTCATCCGAACAGGCTGCATTCCGGATGGATCCCGTGTGTTCACTGCTGTTTTCGACACCCTCACCACAACTGCGGCTGCTTTCTCGGGGAGTCAGCCATGGTCACGGGACGTGTTTGCCTCGAGGGATTTCGCCACAACGGTTTTGGCCAGAGACAAAACGGACAGCTATATCCGCCCAGTCAACTGGATTCTTTCGAGTAATACGGTATCCAACGTGCCAGTGCTAGTCGTCGTCAGCCCCTTCGAGGTTAACGTTTTATTATCTGAAATTAGGGCAAGTAAGCAAGTTCACTTGCACGCTTATACACCTCGCGTCATCAAGATGATGAAGTCATGTGATGACCTGCGCCTCTATATCACACCATCACTCCCCGCGCGATGGATGCCACATGACACCCTCATCCGCCAGCTCAACGTCTTTGCTGGACAATTATACTTTCCTCATCAGCGCGCATACGTGAAGCTGTGTCGTTTCTTGGGGGTTTATACCGCAGATATCGAGGACCAGGGTACATTTGAGATTCAAAGCGATGGATTCATCAGACCGGAGCATCGGCCTCCTATTGCGAATGTCCCCAACAGCTTCCAACAATCGCCTATCCTTATGTTGAAGGCTCTTTTCAGTATCCGTCGCAAAGGAATGGGGTACTTGCCTACGCACATCGGGAAGCTATTGGTTGCTCGACGGTTGACAGGCGCGGACTTCGAAGACGCAGCTCGATCAGTAAGTTAGAGTTCTTCTATTGCTTACGTTTCATTGACAGTGATCCCGTTCAGTGATTGAGGATGTGATACTGTTGTTCGTCATATTCACCATCTTCTTGCAGGTCTTTCAAAATACACATACCCTCCATGCAATGCCACATCAATCACAGGCATGAACTTGAATTTGCTAGTCGCTCGATCAATATACCATATTATAACTCGTTTAGATTTTGTGCAGTATTCAGTTAGAAGTTAACATTGTTTCTAGTACGAGCAAGCCAGTGCCAGCCCATTCTACATCCAACTTTTACAATGGCGCATCTCTCGCTGGTGAGAGGCACAAAGCCCTTGGCACAGAGTATCATGAAACATATTCGCCATCTAATGCTCACCTTCTCAACACTTACACCACTTCCTATATCGCGCATTCAACAACGACTTGTATCTTCAGAGGGAGTAGCTTTTAACTACGAGCCGAGTGTACTTCGGTGGGGGTATGCTGTGCCACCTTTCCATGGCAAAGCAGGCCAAGTACGAAGTTGGAAGGTGCGAGGCCTGCATTGGAGATCCATCGCATGAGTGGAGCTCTGTCATATGTCACCGGCGGTATACGAGAGAACAGTCTAGGCTACAAATCTTTCATTGCGATAACGAACATGAGCAATGATGGCGCCAACTATGAACCATCTGTTCAGTAGTCAGTCTTTTACGCAGTCCTCCAGTGGTTGTAACCTTCAAATGACCATACATTGCAGTTAGATAGACAAATGAAAGAGCACCGACTGAATGCATACATAATCCGGCCTTAAATAATCATCAATGTCAGGAGACTGCTCTGATGTTGAGTGGCCTGAACATTGCGACTGAAACATTAGGTCAAGGGATCAGACTTAAGAAAGGACTGACTGCATGTCACACGGACCAACATATCCTTGACTTCATCAAACGACATAATCGCCATCAAAGACCTTTTCTGCCCTACAAGGTCAACCTGCCTCACGTCGAGCGCGAGGTTCTCCCGCTCAGTGGTCCGCTGGAGTTCATCTAGCAAGTCCTGTGTATACTATTCGATGTTATCGTGTATCTCTTTGTTCGTGGATGTTCCCTGCGTGTTATAGCTACAACTGAGTCAGACCGTTAGTTTCCAACAAGTAATAGACTTAACGCACTGTTTCTTGATGAGTGTAATCCGTCCTGAGGGCACAGCCATGCTTGGAAGAGTTGAGGTGCAGCAGAATCGGTAAAAGTATGACTTACTCATGCATAGGAAATGTCAGTATCATAGCAGTGACGGTAGATTTGGAATCACGACGGGTGATTTTGCAAGGTCAGCTTTCAAGTAAAGGCAAGAGACAATAGAAGACTCATGCGCACTGAGGGGTCAACTTCTCGTGCTGCCTGACTTCAGCCACAACTGTAGGGGCTACTCTGGCAAGCCACTGTGCGAAACAGTGTGAGGAACATGATGGTTGATAACAGGATCTAATATCGGCTGGATAGGCGAAAGAAGTCATATTCGGGGATCTGTGATGAAACTATGGACACTTACTGGGGGAATAGTCAGGTTATTTGTATGTTCGATATGCAGCTTGCCGACTTTCTGACTCGATAATTGATCGTGGAATGGAGGGATCGGTGCCCACCGACACACCACTATCTCGCGTGTTTGAGAGTTGGGCGCCGAATCCCTCGTGGATGGTCCAGTGTAAGAATTGTCTCAAAGAGATGGAGGCTTTGCGGAAACTTCCGGTCCCATGGATGAGGAGAAGACTTGAGCAAATGGGTACGTCTTCTCCTGCGCTTGAGATTACGGGAGTACCAACCGGGGAAAACAAGTGATGAATCTCCGATTTCCGAACTGGAAATGACCTGCAGTAAAACAGTGGAGTAAAGACAAGACGACAAAGAATAAACGGACTGAGCGAGGTGCGAATCGTGAAATCCATTTCTACAGTAAGTTGAGAATGCGGGTGAACTGGTCTGTAGCAAGCTATGGTCGAGTGACACGAGGTCGGAAGGATGGAACTAGAGGAAATTTGATCAAACCTGATCACGTTCAAGTCACCAGCACCTCAAGCCGCCCATGCATGAAGCATTTGCTGTACTGCAACTTCGAGGAACAAGAAGTGGAATTCATCTCATGAATATATGAATTAGAGTGATCATCAGAACATGAAGAATGCAACCTTAATATGACAGTGAGAATGAGTATTGTTACAGGGCCCTAGAATGACTCAGGACGAGGTTGATCACTGTAAGCTAGTATTTTCAATAGGGCTTTTGCGCGTTGTAAACGCCAAATGCACGAACCTGTGAGGCAAACACACATTGCACGTCCCCCCATGTTCGAGGTGAACTCCTCTCGACCCTCTTCCAGATATCAGGCATTCATCCGCTGCTCTTCTTTCCCCTCAAACAAAAAGTCCGGTGTGTCGTCATAAGGAGAAAAACGCCTCGTTCGTCAAGGAAGAATCATACTGTTTGTGGCACGTCATTCAGTGTGATGGGACGCCCTGCTTAGGCTGTGGTTGGAATAGATAAAAAGCCTATGCTAACGATGTAGATCGTGTGCCGCTCTAAGTTCGCCCCTTGCAAGTCAAGAAGACCTAATTATAGAGTCATCGAGCTCGAACTGCAAGAGCACGTAGTACAACAGGACAAGAAACTATGGAAAATCATAAGCAAAAGAATGGGACTCGGATGGCTGCCTGCAAGAATCTCCTTGATTCAAGTTTGACGTAGAGGAATGTGAACTTTGAGATTTTTGGCGCAGAAATAGAGTAGATACTACTAAGTGAATAGCGAGATCAGATGTTGAGTGACCTACCTGGATCAACCGTCAAAGCTACGACACAATGACACATATCGTGACGGCAAACGACGATGAATTGAGAAGGGGTAGAATAGTGGACTAGTGGTAATGACGATGCGCTTAGCATGGTGTGTAAAGTAAGAATGCGGAGGACAAGGAGGTGAGAATTCATGGACTTCCTTTGACAAAATTAGCGCGTGTGTTCACACCTTCGGCAAACACCGACGAAAATCAAATTGCATAACTCACCTGCTCTCAGCAGCATCATGAAACCACTCGTCCTTTATTTCACGTTTCTGATGGATTACGAAGGCAGCACCCAAGCTCTGGGTCCAGGGAAGCTTGGACATCGATTCATCATCGATTTTTCTTGTGGCGTTCTCATTTGTCATGTTCTCTCGGGGTTTCCACAATGCTTTCAATTACCTGGGACTGTCGACGGGTCATATAGAATGCATCCCGCTTTTCTTCTTGCGCCGTCTTTAGCGGTTTATGCGATACTGTTGACATTTACCATTGCCTTACGAAATACACTGCATTCTACATTTTGCCTTTGTGTGCTAACCGCCAGTGAGTAGTACGATACAAGTCCAGGAGCAGCTATCAACACAAGACTTAAACTAAGTCATGCATGTCCCTTTGGCGGGCCGCTTTTGTTGAAGATGAATCATGACAATGTCTACTTCTATACCACAGGTTTCCCCTGGTAATCCTGGTTGGTGATCTCAATTCCCAGCGCTTGCGGCAGTCTCAGCGTCTACCTCTTCTCCTCTCCCTCTCAGCCGGACCCCGTCCGCAGTCCCGTCTTCCCCTCCCATTCATTCCGTCCACCACTCAGCCCATCCTCGATCCTCGTCATTTTACTCCATCACAGGCTACAGCATCATGCCTCGCTCAAGACGCCGATATATCAGACTCGAAGGCGAGTCCCTCCATATTACCTTCCTGTCTGTTTCATCCTCACATTCCATCTATAGTCATCAACGGAAAGAATATTCAAGTCCCCTCATGGCGCATTCCCGCTGGCATCTACATATCCGTCAATGTCAACTCCTGGAGACGCTGGAAATCGGTCATCAGTATCTTATCATTTGATGAATCTGTAGTGTGGGGGAATACTGTAATCCTGTAAAGTCCATGCAGACTTTCTGGCGTGATGCGAGAACTCATCTTTGGTTCATAGATCATCACATGCATCACCTGCCTTCTCAGTGGAGATCAGGGCATCCTATGAACTTGGCCGAATGCTAGGCGGTGGAGAGGTCATCGAGAAACTTGAAATGTCGTGGGATGAGCTGCTCGATCATGGAGACGAACCATTCGGTGAGTTATTTGCTCCTCATTCATGTACATATACTAAAGTCTCGTAGATCTATACTTCCCTCCCGTGCGCGGTGTCCGTCCTTCCCTCACGCTGAAGGTCACCATTGTACATGCTTGCGACAATCAAGACGGTGCACTGTCTGGTGTGAGTGACACTACTCTCTGTCCTGTTAGCTTTTGCTGACAGAACACCAACCATAGTCCCTCGTAGAACCCAAGATTGTACGAGACACAGATGCGGGCCACGCACATCTTGCCAAATACATGACGAGCAAGACAGTCCCTCACCTGAACCATGCTATGCAGCGTTTTTAGTTGGTTCTGGACCAGTGTTCGGTCAACCATCCAGACCACCCTTCGGCTCTCACCAACCTCGCGTGGGCCCGCCTTGTAGGCTATATCGGCAACCATCTTCAAGACATTGATACCACTACTTCCCTCTTCCGCGAAGCTCTTGCATTGCGTCCGCAGCGCCATCCCGATCATCCCTTATTTCTATATAATCTCACCAGAGCGCTGATATGGCGCCACCACAAGAAAAGTACTGCTGCAGACATCCGCGAAGCCGCGCAACTCTTTCATGAACTACTGCCTCTCTGTCCAGAGGGCACCTACCTTCGTAGGATCGTGATCGACCTAAGCAACGATCTTCCAATAAATTCATCCGATGAAGGCATCCACCTTCGAAGAGTCGTCCTCGAGTTCTGTCCTCTGGGCCATCAACTCCGTCCAAAAGCACTTGACAAACTTGCATGGGCTCTTAGGTCACACTTTATCCAGCACGGTAGCATTGATGACCTTGATACGAGCATACAATTCGGTCGTGAAGCCGTGTTTCTGTGCCCCGGGGGACATGCTGACCATGATATCTACCTGAACAACCTGGCCGCCTCGCTCGTGCACCGCTTTAATTATCAAGGCAAAGCTAATGACCTCGATGAGGCCATCTCTTTTCACGAAGAATCACTGCACCTGCGCCCTGTTGGGCACGAATATCGTGATGACTCATTGGACAACCTAGGGGGAGCCCTCGTCACCCGTTTCAACAAACGCGGCGATGTTGATGACATTACTCGAGCTATTAGCCTCCGTCGCAAGGCACTGATGTTAAGCCCACCTGGGCATCCACGTCGTGACACCACGCTTGACAACCTTGCCACTGCGCTCATAACCAGATATGACAAATTTGATGTCAGCGAGGATCTTAACGAGGCCATTGCTCTGTATCGCGAATCCCTTTGGTTAAAGCGGCTTGACCATCCAGAGCGCCATGCATCTCTTTGCAATTTGAGCTCGACGCTCTGCTCTCGTTTCGCGCGCACTCAAAAGAATGAAGATCTCGAGGAGGCCATTGCTCTTTGCCAAGAATCATTGGCGGCTCTGCCTTCACTGCACCCAAACAGGTTTTTCAGCTACATTTGGCTGCGGGAGGCCTATTTGTCTCGTTACCGGATTCTACACGACCCTGCGGATTTGTCGCTCGCCATGGAGAACTTCAGGTTCGCATCAAGACATCCTACTCAAGGATTTCCAGGCCGCATTGTAGCAGCCTGGAACTGGGTCTTTGCAGCAGAGTTACACAGTCATACATCTGCGCTGGAGGCCTACAACACATGTTTCGACCTTCTTGACGGTCATTTGGCAACACGATCATCGCCAACTTCACGGCGCGAAGCTGCCGCTTCCTTCTATTACGCCAGAACACTCCCCGTAGATGCAGCATCATGTGCTATCCGCTACGACAATCTCCGACACGCGGTTGAACTCGTGGAGCAGGGCCGTGGCCAGCAATGGTCACTTGCATCTCGACTCAGAACTCCAGTTGAAGACCTCGAGTCAGCAAATCCAAAATTGGCACACAATTATTTGGAGCTGAGCAAGCGCGTTTCCAATGCTGCACAGAGTTCTGCAACTATCACCGACAGCACTGCCGCTGATTGGGCAGCAACAGAGTATAGGAGACTTATAAGGCAATGGGAAGCTGCGGTAGCTGAGATACGTGATGTTCGGGGGTTCTCGCGGTTCCTGCTCCCACCTTTGTACGAAGACCTGCAAGTGGCAGCACGCCAGGGCCCGGTCATCATCCTCATTGCCAGTCAACACACGTGCAGCGCTATCATTGTCACAACGTCAGGAGACCCCATCATGTTCCCTTTCCGTCTGTCACTCTCGCAGATCTCAACAACCTCAAAGATCGCTTCACCAGGGCAATACGACAAGCATCCCGGATGAACCCAGCAGAGTCGAGGACGGATCTAATAGTACTCTCACGCATAATATGGGACGAGATCATGCTACCCATCGTCAACGTACTCGAGCATGTCCTCAAACTAAAGCGTCGCTCTCGGATCTGGCTGTGTCCAACTGCAGCTTTCACATCCATTCCTCTCCACGCAGCTAATCCCTTTCTAACAAAGGCAGATCGCTCTGGGAAGGAGCCATGCCTAGAAGACCTCTACATCTGCTCTTACACGCCGACACTTTCGGCTTTGGTCAGATCCAGACAGTTGATGAAGAAGCGTGTGCCTCCGTCTTTCGTAGCAATCGGACAAACTCAGCCGGGTACAGGGAAAGGCAAGGCACTCTTGGCTGTCGACAGCGAGCTCGAGCTTGTCCATAAAGTCGTCCCTGCAACGGCCAACCGCACCACTATTTCTGGGGACGCAGCCACACGAGCAGGTGCACTTGAAGCTTTGCAGCAGAACACCTGGGTGCATCTTGCTTGTCATGGCAAGCAGGGCCGTACACAGCCTTACGATTCGCATTTCGTCATGAGAGATGAACATCTGACGTTGCTCGATATTATGGAGAGAGATATTCCGCACGCCGAGTTCGCGTTCTTATCAGCATGTCATACCGCTGTCGGCGATGAGGAGACGCCCGACGAAGTGATTCACCTCGCAGCTGGTCTCCAGTTTTCGGGGTTCAAGAGCGTCATTGGCACGCTGTGGGAAGTCGACGATTCTGTCGCAAAACACGTCGTTGCCTTTGGCCCGTTACCCCATTCCCCTGTTCTCTCATTCAAATTTTCATTAATTATTTACTGCACATATTAGGATGCAGCCAAGGCCAGGAAGCCAAAAGGAGTGCGAAGCACTCCTTTTGCTTCCTGTGCCGAAGGCACAACGGGTGTTGAACTAGTGATGGATGGCTGTGCATACAATTACTATGAATAGATTTTTTTACATCATCCTTTCTCGTGCCGGTTCAACATCTTCCCCCTGGCCACGGCTGGACGAGTCGTATAGAATCATTCAGTTTTTAAACTTTGTGCGCTATCTTCAGCGGTTTGAATATTGTTTGCATTTGCCATTACCTTACGAAACACACTGGATTCTACATTTTGTCTTTGTGTGCTAACTGCAAGATACAAGTCAAGGAGCGATTAACACAAGACACTCTGAGACTCGCATGTCCCCTGCAACCTTGGCTTGGTGGGCCATTTTCGCTGAAGACTGATCATGGCATTGTCTACTTCGTCAGCACAGATTTTTTCGCTAATCCTGGCCATTGGTGATGAGCCGATTACCAGCACTTGGTGGAATCATACCAGCGTCTACCTCTTCTCCTCTCCCTCTCACCCGAACTCCATCCGCAGTCCACGTATCCTTACCCCCGTCTTCCCCACTCAGCCCATCCTCGATCCTTGTCATTTTGCTCCATCACAGCATCATGCCTCGCCCAAGACGCCGATACATTAGACTTGAAGGCGAGTCCCTCCATATTACATTCGTATCTGTTTCATACTTATACTCTATCTATAGTCATCAACGGAAAGAATCTCCGAGTCCCCTCCTACCGGATTCCCGCTGGCGTCTACATATCCATCAATGTCAACTCCTGGAGGCGCTGGAAATCGACCATCGGTGTTTTATCGTCTGATGAATCTGTAGTGTGGGGGAATACTGTAACTCTGTAAAGTTCATCCAGACTTTCCGACGCGATGCGAGAACTCATCTTTGGTTCATAGATCATCACATACATCACCTGCCTTCTCAGTGGAGATCAGGGCATCCTATGAACTTGGCCGAATGCTAGGTGGTGGAGAGGTCATCGGGAAACTTGAAATGTCGTGGGATGAGCTACTCGATCACGGAGACGAGCCATTCGGTGAGTTATTTGCTCTTCATTCATGTACATATACTAAAATCTCGTAGATCTATACTTCCCTCCCGTGCACGGTGTCCATCCTTCCCTCACGCTGAAGGTCGCCATTGTACATGTTTGCGACAATCAAGACGGTGCACTGTCTGGTGTGAGTGACACTACTCTCTGTCCTGTTAGCTTTTGCTGACAGAACACCAACCATAGTCCCTCGTAGAACCCAAGATTGTACGAGACACAGATGCGGGCCACGCACATCTTGTCAAATACGTGACGACCAACACAGTGTCTCATCTGAACCATGCTATGCAGCGTTTTCAGTTGGTTCTGGACCAGTGTTCGGTCAACCATCCAGACCACCCTTCGGCTCTCACCAACCTCGCGTGGGCCCGCCTTGTAGGCTATATTGACAACCATCTTCAAGACATTGATATCACTACTTCCCGCTTCCGCGAAGCCCTTGCATTGCGTCCGCAGCGCCATCCCGATCATCCCTTATCTCTATATAATCTCACCATAGCGCTGAAGTGGCGCCACATCAAGAAAAGTACTGCTGCCGACATCCGCGAAGCTGCCCAACTCTATCATGAGCTACTGGCTCTCTGTCCAGAGGGCACCTACCTTCGTAGGATCGTGATCGATGGATGCAACGATCTTCCAATAGATGCATCTGATGAAGGCATCCACCTTCGAAGAGTCGTCCTCGAGCTCTGTCCTCTGGGCCATCAACTCCGTCCAAGAGCGCTTGACAATCTTTCATGGGCTCTCAGGTTACGCTTTCGCCAGCACGGCAGCATTGATGATCTTGACACGGGCATACAACTTGGTCGTGAAGCCGTGTCTCTGTGCCCCGAGGGACATGATGGCCGTGATGACTACCTGAACAACTTGGCCTTCTCACTCAAGCTCCGCTTCGTTCACCAAGGCAAACCTAATGACCTCGATGAGGCCATCTCTTTGTACGAAGAAGCCCTGCACCTGCGCCCTGTTGGGCACGAATATCGTCATATCTCATTGATCAACATCGGCGGCGCCCTCATCACCCGTTGCTATAAACGCGGCGACATTAATGACATCACCCGAGCTGTCAGCCTTCATCAGGAGGCACTGATGTTGTGCCCACCTGGGCATCCACCTCGTGAGATCATGCTTAATAACCTTGCCCTCGCGCTCAAAAAGAGATATGATGAATTGTATGTCAGGGAGGATCTTAACGAGGCCATCGATCGGTTTCGCGATTCCCTTCGGTTCACGCGGCCTGACTATCCAGAGCGCTACAAAACTCTTCATAATTTGAGCTCGGCGCTCTGCTCTCGTTTCGCGCAAACTCAGGAGAGTGAAGATGTCGAGGAGGCCATTAATCTCTGCCAAGAATCATTGGCGGCTTTGCCTTCACTGCACCCAGACAGACACTACTCCTACTTCAGGCTACGAGCAGCCTATATGTCTCGTTACTGCGTGCAGCACAAGCCTGCTGATTTGTCGCTTGCAATGGAGAATTTCCGACTGGCGTCAAGACACCCTACTCAAGGATATCCGGACCGTCTTGTTGATGCATACAATTGGACTGTTACAGCAGAGGAGTACAGTCATGCTTCTGTGCTAGAAGCCTACGTGACATTTTTCGAGCTTCTTGATAGTCATTTGGCGACACGATCATCCACCATTGCACGGCGCGAAGCTGCCGCTGCCTTCCATTATGCTAGATCGCTGCCTGTAGATGCAGCATCATGCGCCATACGCCGTGACAGTCTACGATACGCAGTGGAACTCATGGAGCAGGGCCGTGGCCAGCAATGGTCGCTGGCCTCTCGACTCAAGACTCCAGTTGAAGACCTCGAGTCAGCAAATCCGACACTGGCGCACAATTATCTAGAGCTAAGCAAGTGCGTTTCCAATGCCACCCAGAGTTCTGCAACCATCGCCGACAGCGCTGCTGCTGATCGGGCAGCAACAGAGTATAGGAGACTTACAAGGCAATGGGAAGCTGCGGTAGCTGAGATACGTAACCTTCGGGCATTCTCGCGGTTCCTGCTCCCACCTTCATACAAAGACCTGCAAGCAGCGGCGCGCCAGGGCCCGGTCATCATTCTCATTGCGAGTCAATACTCGTGCAGCGCCATCATTGTCCCGACGGCAGGAGACCCTCATCATGTTCCTTTGCAGTCTATCACTCTCGCAGATCTGACGATTCTCAAGGATCGCTTCACCAGGGCAATACGACAAGCATCTCGGATGAACCCAGCGGAGTCGAGGACGGATCTAATAGTACTCTTGCGGATAATATGGGACGAGATCATGCTACCCATTGTCAGCGTACTCGAACACGTCCTCAAACTAGAGCGCCGCTCTCGAATCTGGCTGTGTCCAACTGCAGCTTTCACGTCCATTCCTCTCCATGCAGCTAACCCCTTTCTAACGAAGGCAGATCGCTCTGGGAAGGAGCCATGCCTAGAAGACCTCTACATCTGCTCTTACACGCCGACACTTTCGGCCCTGGTCAGATCTAGACAGTTGATGAAGAAGCGTGTGCCTCCGTCATTCGTGATAATCGGACAGGGTCAACCGGGTGCAGGGAAAGGCAAGGAACTCTTGGCTGTCGACAGCGAGCTCGAGCTTGTCCATAAGCTTGTCCCCACGACTGCCAACCGCACCACTATTTCTGGTGACGCAGCTACACGAGCGGGTGCACTTGAAGCTTTGCAGCAGAACACCTGGGTGCACCTAGCGTGTCATGGCAAGCAGGACCGTACGCAGCCTTACGATTCGCATTTCGTCATGAGAGACGAACATCTCACGTTGCTCGATATCATGGAGAGAGATATTCCACACGCCGAGTTCGCGTTCTTATCTGCTTGTCATACCGCCGTCGGCGATGAGGAGACGCCCGACGAAGTGATTCACCTCGCAGCTGGTCTCCAGTTTTCGGGGTTCAAGAGCGTCATTGGCACGCTGTGGGAGGTCGACGATTCTGTCGCCAAGCACGTCGTTGAAGCTTTCTACAAATATATGTTCAAAGATTTGGAGGATGGTGGTGTCATGGACTGTACGAAGGCGGCTTGGGCACTCAACTGTGCTACGCACGCCGTGAAGACGAAAGTGCCGCTCGAGCAGAGGATGGTTTTTATTCATATTGGTGTGTAGTTCTACGTCGAATTGTTGTCGTCTGGTACATCTCCAGTAGTTGTTGGTCTGCAATCCTCTGTTGTAAAAATGACCCTGATATGTTCTTGCACTCCAGCTATCTCGTTTTCGTATATTCTGTCGTGTTTTTGTTGACTAGATTGTTCACCGAAGTCCTTATGTACTCGATTCATTTGCAGCCTCGTCTTCTGCTCGAGCACTTTGATATAGGAACTGAGCCAGTCAAACCGACCCACGCGGCGCCTTCCAGTCATACCATCCATGTTCCTTCAAGCTTCAAGCTAAGCTTCAAGTCCTTCTGTGTCATGGAACCTCGACTAACCACTGCCAATGTGATTAATGCCAAGTTAGAAGCCGGGCTCATCCATCTAATCCGCGCACCGTCGAAGTTGGTGGTTCCGTCAATCCCGGATGGCCGCTGCGTTAACTTGACTTATTGCCCACTGTGCACCGCTTACCACACCCGCTTCGACATCAGCGCTAATCTGCTAATGAGGCGTGCACTTGGTTTATGGTGACATTTACTATTCATTTCCTATGGTGAAGTATTCATAATTTAATACTGATTACTTGTACTTGTAAAGGGTTCGACAATCTCACAGTACCTCTTCGACCCACCCTCAGCCTACTTCCCGTTAGCGTTATAACGAAGTTGTGATTTTCTCTGCGATGGACGCATTCACTGATGGGCCTGTCGCTGCTGTCAGGCTTTCTGGCACATCTTACGGTTGGTGAGCGCGCAGGAATCGCAGCTAGACGTGGGTCAGTATTCCAGACGGATAGATTCGATGCAGTGAGTATAGCTCTGTACACTGTGAGATTAGCCTAGGAGATCCAACAGGTGCGAGGGCACATACGTATGCCAGCCATGCAAGCCGCGGTTGTGGAAGTTGGCCCAGGGAATCCTTACCAACGTGTAAGTAAAATTTATTCGCTGGTGTTTGAACCGAACCGTCCAAGTTCCAAACACGGAACCAATCGAATGGGCCATCTCAACACGGAAGGTGTCGTCTATGCTCCTGTTAAGACGAATCCGCCGGTGAACGTTTGAACATTGAAATAGACTGTGAAATCCCACGAATGGAGCATCACAGATGACTTGAAGCGGATCTTGACTCCCAATCGTGCTTGAGGTGGCGTGACGGTGAATGGAGTATTTGAATACTAGCTACTCATTTCTGGTGTCAGCGCGCATTCAAGGCTGTTGGATTGCCAGCTGTCCCAGAATTTTGGCCAGCGGGAGGGACGAATAATCCTGGTAAATATGAATTTCTGCATAGAGGTCTGAGAATACACACGGACTCGCATATAATGAAATTCGAGCGGCTTCATGGCCACACCAGATATCGTGACCGTCAAAAAGGCTTGATCCAGAAGGTGACCGGTGAGATGTTGTCGATGAGATGATCGCCGTGCGGCAGACTAGATCTAGGATGGAGATGATGTATGCGCACTCAGACAGACTCAGACCGGCTCTGACGGCAATCAGGTGAGATCGGATCGTTCAAGTCACCGGTATGTAAGCGCACCCGTCTTGGTCCTGTAGAATATCACGCTGCCATATTTACCATCAAAATGATAAACACCCACCTTCCAAAGGCTCTCTATGCAGCTCGTCATTATCACGACCTTCAATAGGCACCATGTCAAGATCTCCGGGTAAGCCATTGAAGTCTGGATCTGGCATGTATTGATCATGGTTTGGACTGGCTGGGGGATACGGAAGATTGACATCCTACATCAGTGAACTGATGAACAAATTCGAATATCATAGTTAACTATGTATTGGTAATAATCACTACAATCTCCGTAAATGTGGAGGGGGGGGGGTTACACAGAAATGTTTGACCTTACGAAGGAACGATGACTGAGCAAAGTGGTTAATCAGGTTGTCCTAGGTTCGATGTACTGTCTTCCACTTCGATTGCCATAGAAAGGCACAATGTAGCCCAAGCCAACGAAGTGAAATGCAAGTCCATAAGTGTCAAGATAAACCCAACAGTTACTACCGAGTATGGGTGTTAGGTCATTCCATCACGCACTAATCGGTGAAATAATGCGCCTGGTGTGGAAGCTGCAACATTTCATACTCGTTGGAAATTTGTTCTGTTGATTTTTAGTTGTTTAACACAAAGCGTGAGGTTCGATTTTCACAATATGCTGGCTTGGTATAGCATAGCGTACTTCATTCCTACTTGGCAAACACTTGCCTAGGCTGACTGAGATGTCCATCGTGTGCTTCAATTGGAGTCCTGCGTCGACGTCACATCAGACACATCATCAAAGTATCGTGTCGGCGATGTGCTTCGGGCACTGCAAGGAAAAGTGCGGGCAATGCATAACACTTGGAGTTGTGCCTAATGTTGCTTGTAGCGTCGAATTTTCAAAATTGGGGTGTGAGTGAATCTTTGTAAGCAGGTAGTCTAGACTGCGGGATTGAACCAAATATTGCCAGACTGCCACATCAAACAAGATATTAATGGGTCTCAAAGTGAAATACAAAACTCACAAACAAATAAAAAACTTCGGCATCACTTGAAAATTTCGGCACCTTCAGACTCCGACAGAGCCAGTGCCAGTGCATACTCGGGAACATAATCGTTGCCGTTGCCGTCGTCGCCATCGTCGCCGTCGTCGTCGTTGTAATCATCATGGCTGGGGTTGTTAGTGGTCGTGGACGTGGATCTCGAGGTCGTCCGGCGAAGCGTGGTAGTCATGGGTTGGTCACCGAATCTTCTACTCCTCCAAGTGCTAGCCCGCCAATCAGCGCAGGAGCAGGAGAGCGATCCAAACCACCTACCATACACTGGGACAAGAAAAATAGTCCACGCACCGCTCGCCTTATTGAATGGTGCAAAGTCAACCAGGAGGCTCGACTCAAAATCTTCTCAGATTCTACGAAGGATGCAAAAGAGGAAGGGCGCACACGCCAACAAATGACGACACAGAAGAATGCATACCTGCAGCAACTTGCGACAACCATTTTCCAACATGATGAAGATCCGAAGGTTAGGGAATACTTTAGAGTGCATCCCCTTGCCTTTACGAAGCCCATTCAAAGTCGGTTTACATCGTGAGTCCTGGTTATGACCACAACAAATATCAGTACCGATCTGGCCACTAACTAGCTACTTTACTAGGCTACGCAAAAAGTATAACGAAATCAACATGCAACTCGGCCAGACTGGTGCTGGTCTGTCTTTTGAGGCTATCAACGGAGATGAGAAGATGAAGAGCATACTTGGTTTGTACTTTCCTTTCTGATGCCAGCATACACTCTAAAGGTGTTCTAGACCGGCTCTTGGTGCCATTCCCATGGTGGGTCGATCTCCATGGGTGGTGGAGAACCAATCCCGCGTACAACACCTCATTTTCGACGGCTGATCCAGGCCAGGATTTTGCGGCCGAGGCCGCAAGTCTCTTTGGGACAGGCAAGGGCAAAGAGATCGCTCTGCCGATGGATGATGAAGACCATGTGGATGTGGATGAAGACCGTGCTGATATGGATGAAGACTGTGCAGATGTTGATGAAGACCGTGCGGATGTTGATGAAGACCGTGTGGGTGTCGATGAAGACTGTGCCAATGTCGAGGAAGGGATGAATCAGGGCGAGGATGACGATGTTCGTATGGACGATAATGATGTCCCCTCCACATCTCACAATGGCGAAGATCGGGACTGGCCTGACTGGGATGATCCAACCGATCCATCGTCACCACGGCTCACTCAGCCCGAGCCTCAGGCATCATCGTCCAACTCCTCACTCGTTATGCAGCCTCCCCCAGGTCTTCAACCACCAGTGTCTACCTACCAACGCCCATTCATATCCTCCATCAACACGAATTGTACAGTGCAGCGAGGCCCTACTATTTCTCTCAATTCTCCAGAACCTGATGACGGCCAGCGAAAATTTCCCTTACCATCCACCATTTCCTCAGGCAAGACCAAGGTCGCCGTCTCTCAAGACATGCAGATAGATCCCTCGTCTGATGACTCTGATGCAAGCACAAGCCGGATGATGAAATCCCTGACCATGCATTCACGCAAAACCGGTGGCGCTCGTCATCTTGGCCACACATCATCTGATCAGGATTCTGATCTTTCCTCGACTACATCTAGCAGATCTGTCTCTCGCAAGCGGCCACGTGATGCAGTATCCGAAATTAGTGCAAAGCTAAACGAGGCATCAGGGTCCCTTGCTAAGCACATCCAGGAGTCATCTATCGCCAAGGCTGAACACAAGCGCTTCAAGTTAGAGTCCAAGATGGCTGGTATGAAGCTCAAGGGCCGTCAACACCAAGAGGAGCGTGAACACATATTCCGCAGTACTACCGCAACTCAGAATCACGAGCGTGCTATGGCAGATGAACGGACGAAGCAACTTGAATTGGAGATAAAGCTAGAGCAAGTGAAGTTAGAGCGCTTGGCTTTGGAGAAGGAGATGTCTCGTCAGGGTAACTAACAGTCATGCATCCCACGTCAAATCATTTGGTGTTTTTCATTCGTTCTCACAAATTCATACTGCATTTCTAGGCCCATTTTTTCATTGTAGCTAATCATGTATCCAAGTGTTTGAATTGAGCCCCCCTCGCTTTCCTTGCATCGCTCATTCAGATCTGCGCAATAGCTGACCCATCAGTGTGTCCCGAAAAATCTGCCCTTCTGAACCGATGAAGCTCTCATCTCCGGCACCGTCTTCGTTGTCTTTGCCATCTTCACCACCTTCTTCCTCCCTGCTATCTTCGCATCTACCCCATTGTCTTGCTTCACGGGCAAAGTGCCCAAATGAATCATCAGCAGTAAGTTTTTCTTCGATTTCAATGATCATGTTATGAAGGATCAAACAGCACCGCGTCCACATATTTGCCTCGTCAAGATCTCGCTGCGTCTGTATTTGGATCCGCAGTTCACGAAGGGACTGGAAGCGTCCCTTCAGTGAACCGTAACCGTGTTCAGAGCGAACACGGACCTGGAAACGTTGTGAGTTGATTGGTGTGTGACAACGGTTTGTCTTACCTTTGACAAATGATAGTTGAATGTTTTTTGATTACGGGTCAACCCGCCAGCTGCCGGCCGCTTAAAGGGCACGACACACCATGGACGAGAGCCATACGCTGTGTCTGCCCAAATCCACTCATTCCCGCTCAAAAAATTTTGGGGATTGCGCGCAACCCGGGCCTTCGAAAATGCGTTAGAGTCGTGCACACTCCCAGGAACTCCAATGACATAGTCGACAATGCGCAGGTTGTGTGGCATGATTACGACCTTTTGAACATGTGAGTTTGTTTTTTTTTCATTATAGTTCATGGCATACCTGAGCTGATAGTGAGTAGTTCGATTTGCGATCGTAAAAGCCCTCTCCGTGCCATCCGGGCTTTTGAAATAAGTTAAATGGTGTGCCGTCGACACAGAGAAAACCGCCCCTCCACTCTGGGCATGTTTGTTCTTCGACCCACGTCTTTGCCCTCTCCCTCTCGATCTGATCGTCCTCATAGAGTGGGTCGAAATGTATTACGGTGTCATGATGCTGAAGAAGCGCGATCATTACACGTTGGTGACAGTTATAAACTGTCCCTGTCGAGATGCCTGCCCATTCTGCTATGTCTTCCGTTGTCGCCGCATTTCCGTAATGACCCGCACTATTTAGGAACACTGCCAGCTGCACCGGGATAGGCAACTGTGGGTTATTGGAGTTGTTGTGGAACACTGGGTGGGCAATGATTAAATTAACAAGGTGCTCGAAGACAGGGGGATCTACGCGAAGTTTACGGTGAAATTTCTCGGGATGATCCAGCGCCCACTCCTCCAGCAGATGGAGCTGTGGTGCACGGCTCGATTTTGGACGTGCGAAGAGGACGCGACTCTTCTCGACTTCGTCGTGCAAGGCTTCGATCGTGTCACTGAATTCAGTGAAACTACGCGACATCGTTAGTATCTCGGTCGCAGAGGACGCCGACATCGAAAAAAGCGACTCGGTGACGGAGGAGGTGGACGATATGGATGACACATCCATCATGCTACGAGTATCATCCGAGTCTGGAGACTTGGATGATGAACTTGAACTACTACTACTATCCCACTCATCAAGTCCTTCGATTGTGGTCTTGGCTAGTTCCAGGTATCGAGCAAATTGTAAGTCTATTTGGTTGGTACGTAGTGCTTGTAGGATGTGTTCGCAAGCTGAGGTATGAGGCATTGTTCATTGTTATCGATTACCCCGCGATTGTACTTTGTATTTGTTATCTTATCAATTATGGCGGAGCTTCAATACGGCTTGAAGCCGTCATGTTTTAGATCTATTTTTTTTTTTTGTTGCTTTGATATTTTAACTTTGAGACCCACTATTGCAATACCGCTCAATCCTCTACTAAAGATTATGAAATTCAGATGTCGTTCAGCGAAAAAGTAATCCGCAAACTCTAACATGACAGATGCGTTTGGTGGGCAAAGGAGCTGTGGTAGCTGTTGGCACACCAAAATACACGCCAGTCCATAGGACAATCGTCTAAGAAAATACAGCAATTGAATATATGTAGTCTAGTCATCAGCATTGGTGATTCATTCAAGAAACAGTAACAGAGCAAATTGCACGAACGAGACACCATTAATGCATACCTCAGATATTTTGGTACTTTGTTTGGAAAACATATTCAATGCGCTACCTTGCCGCTAATACTTACTTCAACACAGAGGCGCACTGTTCTGGAATTGCCTTAAAGGAGCAAGTTGGCTTATTTGGATCAGCCTCGGCAAAGACAAATACTGACGACAAAAATTATGGCTTTGTGCCGCTGACGCTCTAGATACAACAAATGGGGTGCAGAATAGTAATTTGCTGCTTGGAGCCTGAATAACTGATTGATGGAGTTGTAAGGAGATAGTGAGATATGTTTAGTAATTTATTCAGCGAGACATCACGAGCCTTCACTCAGATCGTGGCATCCTCAAAGAGTTGCAAATTTTCACCACTAAACAGATTATTTTCCAGAACAGTGATTTTGTTGGTTGAATTTGCTATCTGCTCACTTATATCTTGATGTACCGGTCTCTGTCAGGGTTTCGTTACCTACCCAATTCGCCTCTCATGTTGGAACTTTCAACTAGTACTCTTCAGTCGGGAGGACTGCAGGTAACTTCATATACCAGGGGCATTGTAATTGGACAACTGTCCGCAGTTGATGTCACACACAGGGAACTTATCATCGGTTGCCGCAGTCATGAATACAGTGTTTGCATTCAAAGCGTCCCTGCGTGTTGGCAGGATCGGAAGGCACACTGAAATTCGCACTAAATGGCATACCGACTAGTATGCGCGATCATCACCGAAATGCATCCTGGTCCAAAAAGATTTCCAATACACACATCAGTGAATCATTGCGACATTACAGTTATATTGAACAAATCAGTGTAAATACACGATCAAATGCCAAAGATAATCTTATTGCGACTCATAATCAGCGTCCTCCAGCGCCCTTCTCTGGTCTGCTAATGCGGTGACAGACATCTGAGACACTACATCTGGTGTCAGGTCCTCATGATGGTTTCTTCCGAAAATCTTCCTAAATGGTAGAGTTAGACATATGATACACAAGGCATAAATCATTATGCATTACCTGGTCCACCACTCCAGAAGTTGGGTTACTCTATGTTGTGCGACAGGGCCAGGGACGTTTTCGAAAAAGTCGACAATGGCATTCCAAAACATCTTGTAGTCGAAATCACCGTCCATGGTGCGCCAGGATGTGACGCCGGATAGGGCGAAGCAAACCTGCCAAAGTTTATATATCAGATACCTACAATGGGGTAATCACTATACTCACTTGACAGACAATGTAAGTGATAGTGTGAGGTGTGACTTTTCTCATGTTAATGATTGAGGCAACGCACATTTTAACCTTGACCTGACTTAATGCCTGCCGGGCGTGCCTGTTGTTTTCGAGGATGTCAGCTCCATCGCCATCACCATCAGCTTCTCTTGCGGAAGATGGGGACGTGAATGTGGCTTTGAAAGCCTGGCAACATAACAACTCTGAGTGAATGTTTATGACTACAACACAGGCTACTAACCTGAACTAGGATCTTGGATTTGAAAAGGCCATGCTCGAGGTTGCTAGGGTTGGTCGAGTAGTTCTCATACAAGAACCGTGGCCAAGAATTTTTGGACACGATATATTCTGAAGTTTGGTCACGAATGCCAGCCTTCACGCTGGACAACCGTCCAAGTCAGCGTCATGTTGCTGGACAAAGGTTGATACTCACCGGTCATTGTCCCAGTCCCACTCCACTGGGCAGAGTAACTTCCCACAAATGTCATGTGCGAAGCCGCTGTCTTAATAACCGAGGGTCTTATATAAATACGTGTAAGAATGTAATGACACCACAATTACACTGGATAAGACTTCTTGCCAGTCCTCGATTAACACGGTCTACGACTTTTCTTCTTTCGTGGTAGATAACGTGTGAGTTCTTGGGAGGCTTGCTAAACCAATCAGTCAGATTAACTTAGCCGGAGCTTTATTATCTCTGATTGAAACTATGGGATTGTCTAGGATATACCGTCTAGACACTTGAACTGGTTTCCTGAATATACGGTTAACTGTTGAGAAGCTGGTCTCAAATGTGACTACGTGGACCAAAGCTCGTGTTGGTCAATATACAAATACCTGGTGAGAACGCTGGTCTCACAAATAACAACAATGACAAATAAAAAAAAAACAATGACAAATAACAACAATGACCAAAGCTCGTGTTGGTCAGTATACAAATACCTGGTGAGAACGCTGGTCTCACAAATAACAACGGTGACAAAGCTCGTGTTGAGTCAGTAAACACTACGTGGTGAGAACACTGGTCTCACAAAACTGGGTTCTATCACAAGAAACTTACGTAATCTCAAGGGAACACTTTCCCTGCACTTGCCTGGGACAGTTCTTACAAAGGAAATGGGCTTGTAAGCAAGCAATTTGTTCAGACTGAAGCTTCTTAGGTGAGAGTTCAATTTGCTCAAGAGGGAGGTCTTGAATGAAACAAGTGGGAGATCTATTGTTTTGGGGGGAGAGAATGGGCTCTCATTATATACATTTTGGTGGGAAGTATATGTAAGTAAATATGTAAGTAAACAAGGTGTAGTAATGACTTCAGAATGTGAGAAGAATATTCCAAAAACTGAGCAGAATGTTCTAGCAGGTGCCCCCAAAGAACATTCCAGAATATTCATGGTGGGATAATGACATCATTCTGAGTCACTATGAGTCACTATGAGTCATTATGAGTCAATTGGAATGTTCTAGCAAATTCCATGGAACATGATATCATATCTTTCAACCAAAATACCTGCAGGAGTGTAGGTGAAGTCCTATGACATCATTATGACATCATACCCTGTAGGTACAATTTTATGAAGCATCTGATTAGTCAGAGCATCCTAATAGAAAAGTAAAGTAAAGAAACACTAGAGAAAACAACTCAGAAATAATGGAACAAATAATAGTACACAATACGCGGGCTTTTTAGATAGGTTTTTGTTAGGCTTTGAACTTTTCTCTATGGGTTTCTCTAGCCAAAGTGAATAAGCCAAATGAAAGGCAATACATTAACCTTCATTTTGCTTCTCATATCAACTAGGTCATTATGTGATTCCCATCTCACATATGACTTTTCTTCAAAACATGGTGGATTCATGAATCACTGAGGGAAAACTGAAACTATTGGACCAAGGTTTGATACCAAGGTATGGGTTGACTAGTCTGAGGACTAAGCTAACAGACTTTGTCTTTTAGGGGGATACCTAGTAGTCATGTCCATGCCATGATTATTGTGTACTATTATTGTTCCATTATTTCTGAGTTGTTTTCTCTAGTGTTTCTTTACTTTACTTTTCTATTAGGATGCTCTGACTAATCAGATGCTTCATAAAATTGTACCTACAGGGTATGATGTCATAATGATGTCATAGGACTTCACCTACACTCCTGCAGGTATTTTGGTTGAAAGATATGATATCATAGTGATGTCATAATGATGTCATGTTCCATGGAATTTGCTAGAACATTCCAATGACTCATAATGACTCATAGTGACTCATAGTGACTCAGAATGATGTCATTATCCCACCATGAATATTCTGGAATGTTCTTTTGCACCTGCTAGAACATTCTGCTCCAGTTTTTGGAATATTCTTCTCACATTCTGAAGTCATTACATCACCTTTTTACTTACATATTTACTTACATAATATTCCCACACAAAATGTATATAAGGAGAGCCCATTCTCCCCCCCAAAAATAGATCTCCCACTTGTTGCATTCAAGACCTCCCTCTTGAGCAAATTGAACTCTCACCTAAGAAGCTTCAGTCTGAACAAATTGCTGCTTACAAAGCCCATTTCCTTTGTAAGAACTGTCCAGGCAAGTGCAGGGAAAGTGTTTCCCTTGAGATTACATAAGTTTCTTGTGATAGAAACCCAGTTTTGTGAGACCAGTGTTCTCACCACGTAGTGTTTACTGACCAACACGAGCTTTGGTCACCGTTGTTATTTGTGAGACCAGCGTTCTCACCAGGTATTTGTATACTGACCAACACGAGCTTTGGTCATTGTTGTTATTTGTCATTGTTTTTTTTTTATTTGTCATTGTTGTTATTTGTGAGACCAGCGTTCTCACCAGGTATTTGTATATTGACCAACACGAGCTTTGGTCCACGTAGTCACATTTGAGACCAGCTTCTCAACAGTTAACCGTATATTCAGGAAACCAGTTCAAGTGTCTAGACGGTATATCCTAGACAATCCCATAGTTTCAATCAGAGATAATAAAGCTCCGGCTAAGTTAATCTGACTGATTGGTTTAGCAAGCCTCCCAAGAACTCACACGTTATCTACCACGAAAGAAGAAAAGTCGTAGACCGTGTTAATCGAGGACTGGCAAGAAGTCTTATCCAGTGTAATTGTGGTGTCATTACATTCTTACACGTATTTATATAAGACCCTCGGTTATTAAGACAGCGTGACTGCTTCTCATCAGGCCTAAGAAGGTCGAAAATCTTGATTGACCCAGGTAGCGACAAGATCCTTGAGAGTAGATGTGTCGTCACTGTGGGCCGCATCTGCACCTTTTTGAGCTATAAGACTATCAGTATTCGTGCAAAAGCCTTAAAGTTGAGAGCATGCACCTTTTCAGCATGTCTTCGGCGTCATCCATGTCAAATACTGTAAGCTTTTCATGCAGCCATGGCAGGATCTGTGCGAGTGCGATGTAGCCACGCTGCAAGCGATCTTGTCTGAATGATACTATTAATTGTGTTATGGTGAAAACAGTAACGACCTACTCTGGGGTGCTGGGCTCTGTCTGCTCCTCGTACCTGCGATCGTTTTCAGCGATCAAGTCTTCTAGGCTGGTGTATAGAACAATCATCCGGCAAATTGCCCCTACCTTGAGCAATGAAGTAGGTTGTTTTCCTTTGACGATCAATAAGCAAGAGGCATAGTGGGTGAAATGATGTGTGAGCACGACGAACCTTTGCTTCGTTCCTCGTTCCTGCTTCATCATGTTGAGTTCCTCTTCCAACGCAGCAATGCGACGCTTGGCTCTTGCCTCGGTGGAGGTAGGGACTGCCCCAGACTGATCTGGAAGTGCGACACCATGTGAATTACTATGGCCTTGAGGCTCTGGCATACTAGACATGACAGAAGTGATGAGTGTCAAGGCGCGGTGAAGTGAAGGGAGAAAAATAGTGAGCGGCAAACAATAAAATAAAGAGCAACATAGAGAGAACTAAAGAAAAGACACAAACAAGAAACCTATTTGTACCGTCCTCGCTAAACATCAAGACATATAGGGCAATCCCTAATGAGGATGTGGCGGGGTGTGTCCAACTGTCGCTTGCATATCACCCCTTGAAATATGGCGCCATAACGTACTACTACTACCACTAGTAGTGGCACTAGGTCACTGGGGAGGCTCGGACGACCAGTTTAGGGTGGTATTTGGTAGAAGAAGCTAGCGACTACGACTTACCGATCAAATGCCTTGTGAAAATTTATATGTTGCAACTGTTGTGGTGATATTCGCGCGTGATGGATGTGCAAATCAGGCCCTGCACAGAGTATTGATTAGTAGGAGTAGTCTTGTACCAGCCATGACCTACCCAACAATGTCCGAGTCGTATGCAGCGCACTGCGCCGCTGTTTCCATTTTCGCTCCACGTTTGATACCTTGGCAACTGTCTGTCCTGCCTCGCACGCTGCGTCATTAGCGGCGCAGGGTGTCATGAGCCCACTTATTTGATGACATCAAGAGGGGAAAGCACGTTCCACAAGTGGCGAGCCGAGGATGGGTGGAAGATATAACTAGAAGAAATATGGCCGCCGACAATCAACATTAGGCCCTTTGTTTGACACTGGAAGCTGCGCTGCATGCAAAGATCAGTTTATCATAGCTACAAAAGGCATTAACCATGCGAACATTTTGGAAGTGGGGACATACATTGGGATTCGCTAGGTGAAATATAAGTCTCCACTCGCAGCTCCAGTAACCGCTCAGACATCACGAAGTCCACAGCCTTGGCTGAAGAGGGAGGTCAAGTCAATTCAACGACTAGATTTGCATGTTCGGTAAGTAGCCTGTCGAGGAGAAATTGACGAACACTTACCAATCAAGATCGAGGTGAGCTTCATGGCACGCAGTGGACATGCCATCCCTGGCCAGAGGTGTTGATAGTAAGGGGTGTCAGCAGAAAACAGGGATGCCAAATGACATACTAATGCTTGAGAGCCCAGTCACCGCAGAAGTGGAAATATACCTCGCTAACACACAAGGAATTCGGATAAGCTTGAAAGAGGCAGATAATGCTCAAAGAACTCCAAGTTCGGATTAGAAGGATGCTCAATTTCGTGGGTGTACCAGATTTGAACGTTACGCAGTCCTCCTCAGGTAATCGTGACTCTCTTGAAAATGCTTCACATTTCTGAGAAGAATAAGCACCATGGAGCAAAAGAAGTCATGCAACTTACATCGAGCTTACTATTGACCAGGCCACAAGTATCATTAAAGCCAACTGCAGTGACGTAAGGCCAAGCTTAGCATCGCCAAGAGCCAGTCTCGCATAGCAGTAGCTCAAAATGTTGCTCAGTGTGTAGGCCTTCCCCTCGATGATGTACTACAACTGGCAACAGTGGATGATACCCCTATGCGGTGGTTGCCCTTCCCACTGGGTCCTTGGTGTCATCAACTTCGACAGAAAGACATGGGGAATATATGACAGCATTCCCGAGCTCGAGTCAATAACCTGGGCACAACCAGTAAGAAACCTAATTTTCTTCCTGACAACTCCAAACACATACCTGTTTAGTTACGTGAAGCCTCCATTTATGCTGTCTCGGCACTTTCTGTGAAGCACAAAGTCAATCTCAAAGATAGCAGTTGGACAGCAGAAATATACTCACCCGATGAACATGAATGTCAGCATGACTCTTGGTCATGTGGATCTCTTCCCATACAAACCTTTCCCAGCCATGAAGCGTTCTGAAAATGCAAAAAGCCACAGGTAGCTATTCTAGATCTGCAGAATGTCCCATGGGACGCAAATCGCAATTTGAAGGAGAACTTGAAGGACTGGACAAGAGATGAGAAGAAGAAGCTGGACAAGAGTTTGTTGGATTGGGCACAATGGGAAGTCGATTGCGCAAACAGTTTTGTTCGTTCTTCCCAGTGCAAACGCAGGACTTCAAACCAAGACGGAATATGTGATATGTGCAACGACGACATCTGACTCGGAGCAGAAGACAAAGGAATCAGAGTTGCCGGAAGAGGAACAACTTCTGGCACGTGAGAAGTATGCCCCTAATACACTCTGCACCAGTTGCTGGTGACTGCTCAAAGGTTCAACCATGGTTAGCATATTCTACTGATTTCGGAGGCCATATTCTTGGCTCAACTCCAATGTTATGCATAGTCTACATACGTAGATGTCATCTTCCACTCGTGTCTGCAACGCACGTTAGTGTGGTAGGAGAAGTACTCGTCTGAAAAAGACTTCACATTCAGTTCAACTTGATACAAAATTAGCGATAAAGCATTGATATGATCAATCTGTCGAAACATCCATCTTCACAATCCCTTCCTCTATCGTCAACCGCTTGTTCCTTCTCTCCGTTATGAACACATCGATTTGTGCTTTAAGTTCCACATCTACCACATAACATTAAACATGGTAAACATGCATCACAAAAAAACAATGTACTGGAGATAACATCCTCTATCAACATCGGCACCCAGTTGAAAGGATCTTTGGAGTCAGAGAGCAGATGAGACTTGATAGTCAAGCGATCCACAATGGCACGAGAAGATGGAAGTGTGATTGGAATTGGATCACGCATGATCATGGCCATGAGAGGGTCTGATGAATTCACCATAAGCCTTTTTCCATGACGAGGCACAAGAAAAGAACCAACCCAAAAACTCCTCCGGTACCTCACCCAAATCTTCCTCTGCCTCAATTGTAGTTTTCATCTCCTCCACCTTGGACACAAAAGACCTCACAACCCCAATCTCAGCCTCAGTCTTCAATGGCACTCGTCTAGCAGTCTCCCTCGCCTGCCTCAAACAATTCCTTCCTATAACTCCTCCCGTCATTTGCAACAGCTCTCACAAACTCCTCCTGATCGCTAAGGTTGATGTACACTTGCAGAATATCGCTCAGGAGCTGACGGGGATTGAACTTGTATTTCTCTGGGTCTTGTACCCTTCGCCGCACTTGGGCCCAACGAGCGCATCAAGGTTGTAATCCAGCATAGCCGCGAGCTTGTCCATGATTTTGGGCATCATGAATGGCCCCTTGGTTTCTGCTGTGAAATCTTTCAAAAGACTGACGGTAGACCTACCCAGCGTGATATACCCAGATGCGTGCCGTTCGAGGCCACGGAGCGTACCTTCGCATTCATGTCGGTACTGCTGAGGGCGATCATTCCAAGCAGTTTGGTCATGCATCTCGGCCTGTATGTTGTGAATCTGTGTGAGCTCGCTAAGAGACTCATCCATGAGATAGGTGACATCGTTGATCATGAGGTTGATGAACCGGATGAACTTGTCCACATTCCTGGAGGATAAAATTGGTCTTGTGTGAATATTATGAGGGAAAATAACATACTGAGCTTCCTTATTCAAAGCATCTCTGTGAACAGGATTATCCCAAACCGCTTTCAAAATGTAAGCAATATTCCTCCTCGCATCAATGTCCTCAGACTCTATCTATTCATTGAAAAATCACACGCAGTGAATTTGTCATAAAACTGCGAACTAGCACCCATTTGCTCGACCTCTGAAAACATCATGAGCAACGCTCATCCAGCTTTTGACGACAAGACATACCGATATAGAAATGAGTCAACGCCGGTATCAAGTTCTTGAGCGTGACGGGGTGTGTGTTGAGCATGTGTCCCCAAATACCGTGTCTATTGTTTCCATATGGCAACACACTGTAAAATACCGCCTGTCTTATAGTCCCAACGTCAGCGAATTTTCGTGGTAGCAAGCGAAAAGGGGAAACGCACCTCATGGATATTAGCTTTCAAGAACGGGTTCTTGATGTACCACGTTGAAGTAAGAAACGTCAGCGCAAAGATCACAAGCTCGTCCTTCCCAGACAAGTTGAGACTCTCTGGCGAGTGCCTTCAAGCCCATCAGCTCCCATGTGCATTTCACAAAAGCGACGAAAAACATACCGCACAACAAATAAAAAGAACTCTACCACATCCTCAATAATAAACTCCGGAAGGACTCAGAACGTCATCGGAACGTCCTTCGGAAGGGGCAGCCTGCCGAAGAATGGCGCCCATCAGCCACCACGCCAAACAAAACCTCTCACTCAAAGCTGAGAAACGCACTCAACAACATGAATTGGATGCGTCCCCTGCGGATCAACGCTCCGGATCAACCAAGTCGATGCAAAGTTTGTGAACCCTATATACCAGAACACAAGTTCAGGGTTGAGCAGTTAAACGTGGTACGCAAGTTGTTGGGACTGGATCTTTGACATTTCGTTCTGTTTTTTATTTCGTGTGGGATATTGTTATACTCAAGCCATGGGGTGATGCATGAGAAAATGCGAACCTTAGCGTTGTCAATAGCAGCTTGTACATGCGCTTGTTGAGGTGTCTACAGATACTAGAAGGGAAGGAAGTGATCATCAAAGAAAAGAAAAATGCACCCCCATCCACGACCCATCCCCAGTAATCATATCATGACGCCTCTGGTAATCACCAAGAGTCTTCCCCAAGTCCTCGTACACCTGAATCGTGCATATGTATCCATAGTGTCCCAGCGCATTGCAGAGATAGAAAATGTCGGAGATGAAGTTGGGCGTTGCAGCTGAATGAGATTTAAGTGCGAAATGTGTACGAGCACATAGTTGCATTACGTGTCGAAATTTTTTTGGTGGAGGATACGCATCAATAAGGAAACATGTGTTAAGGTAAGGGAACACCCACCCTTTGACTTGCTCTCCTCGACCTATTGTGCAGCTTCATCGCTCGTCGCCTTGATCCTCGTTTCCTCCTTCAGATCAATTCGGGTAGAGACTGAAAAATAATAGGGGTCTATACGGTCCATCTGTGCTCACAGAACAGCACCCAACATGCATTTGATCACACAATAATTTCACAGGAATAGAAGGATAGTAGTAAGTCATGAGGGAGTCTGGAACTCATTGAGAGGATAAACGAACAAACCTTTGTATACCTTGCATCCATAAAGGGCTCTGCAAATCTCAGCAGCACGCTCTGTAGACTGACCATGAAGCCGTCCTACGCGACGGTGTCGGGCTCAAGCTGCGCATGTGTTTATTAGCATCCCACTGCGCAGGAGGAAAAAGAAATATACCTGCATTCCTGCACATTTTACGTTGAGACATACTACTGTTGCAAAGTATTCTAATACCCACTCACGCGCCTCGGGAGACGTGCGCACAAGGGTATTAAATGTTTGGAAGAGGGAGGACTGAACCACGGGTGCGAATAAAAGGACGCGAAAATGAGCAAAACAATACAATGAAGCATGAGCCAAAATCACTCGCCTGCAAACTCTTCAATGTCCCTCTCAAACTTGCATTCAATGATTCAACATCCGCATCCACACGACTGTGTTTTGTCGGGTCACTAAAGTATATCTGCACAATACCTGGCTGTTGGTGCACGACGTAAGTCAGACACGTCATCATCCAGAACACATCACAGCACAGCACTCACCCACTCCTGACCAACCTCTCAAAATTCGCAGCTGTCATTTCCACCCTGAAACCCTCGCCGAGCCATTGCGGCATTCTTCGTGATCATATCTGCGATGGGCTTTACTCCAACGAGGGCTTCCATGCCGCCTATGACGCCATGCCATGCTGAGTTCCCGCCGCTTCCGCTGATGCCCTCAGATGGCATGATGAGGGAGTGCGCGACGAGGGTGTGGATGATGGTGCTCAGTGTGTTTAACAGTTCATCCTAGAGGAAGATATAATTTTGGGCTTGAGGAGAGAATGTATGTGGTCTACGATAGAATGTTATAAGGTAAAGTACGCGTACTGGGTCTGTGAAGCGAACGGCAAGGTCCTGTAAGAACAGCTAAACCTTTGTGGGAGCTAGTGCGGTTTGAGGGGTGGTTGTGGATGCATACAGAGGCGTAGATAGGGTAGAAAGGGAGAGCAAGGGTGTGAGCAGCTCGTGTGAACCGAGGGTTGATAGTGGGCAACTATAAATTTAAGAGAAAGTAAAGTTGGAACAGGCAGAAGAGAGAAAGGGTAACTATTCCGAGTCAGTGACACGTTGATTAGATATGAGGAGAACGCACTCGGCGGGTGGCGGGAACATTTCTGGCTCCTGAAAGATTAAGACCTGTGTAACTGATGATGAGGTCTCTGAGCTTGTCGAGGAGTGCAGTGGCTTGCTGGGTTTCAGAGACAGAGTTCTGGGATTTTGTGAGATGATTTATCCAGGTGTAGAAGAAGTGAGAGTACCTTCTTGAGTAAAGTTGATTTGGCAGTGTTGATACGCTTCCAGCAGCCTACAAGGTACTCGAAGACGGAATGAGGAGGGAGAGAGGCGAGTAATGACTCGGAGGAGTGATCCATGATATCGCTCATAAGAGTCATACAAGCTATTAAAGCTATGTCAGTGAAATTGTAAGTGGATTGTAGAAAAGATGTACGGTAACCCTCAGACTCAAGCTCAGCCTGAAGATGTTTGAGCCACACGAGATCATACTCGTTTGCCTCAGCGGTTGTTTTCTGTTCGCCGATTAGATACAATTACTACAGCAAAGAAGTGAAGGGCATACGCTAAGTGTAACCTTAAGGACTGTAGACATTGTGTCGTTCTCCCATGTCTGGTAATCGACTGTGGGAGTAGGTGTGGACTTCCTCTTCAAAGGGACATGACATTGAGGGGGCAGGGTTGTTGATTGAGGTAGAGTAGAAGGAGGTTTTTGTTTTGGGTGTGGGAGCTGCCGGGCTAGTACGGGGGTTGAACTTGAAGGCCCAGGTGAGGCAGGTGAAGGGGTTGGGGAATTACTAGACGTAGGTCCTGCCTGTAACTTTGCAAGGCGCTTTGCTCGGATCTGGTGCACGAATGATCAGTTATCTTCACTATAAATAAATGAAATAACCATATGCGATCAGGCCATCGGTGGGTTCGCTCCTGATGAGACATTAGTAGTAGATGATCAACAAGCCAATGGTGCACGATGCTTATTCCCGCTACGGCAGTAGTGGGTTTTGCCAGTGCCATGGGCCAAAAAACAACATCGACCAAAAATTTTGGTGAAAAATGCATTTCACTACAAAATGGTGATTTGTTCGCACAGTCATGTGACTTTCTTTCTAATCGACATGTGTGGTTTCTGTGTATTATTTCGATCTTCCTTACTTGTCGCCTACTATGTCTTTTATCTGTCACGAAGTCCTTGGATCCTTTGCCGATGTTCCTGCTCTTATCCGTGTCAACGGTGCAAGTTCTGATTCCACTGTGTCCTTGCCTTTCCTGCACAGTTGCAATGTGCCGCGTTCTGTTGTTAATCATAATGGGGTGGCTGTGGAGTCGAGTTCTGGACCCTGGTCTAGCACGTGTTCCTACTGTTGACGGTTGGTATAATTCTCGGCAGACCTTTCGCTCCGTTTATCTGAATGGGTGCAACGTTGACTTGGTCGTGATTGGCTCACGTTCGTGAATGCAAGGTTCGATGGCTCTCGCTTTCTTCGACCTTCGGAGACGGATCTAGCGCAGCTTTCTGTCGCTCATACTTGGAATGCTCAGCCTGGAGGTACGCGTGTTCTTCCGAATCATATTGATATGACTGAATGGGGGTTTTAAGGCGATTTGTCCACTTCTTTGTTCGTTACCCAAGCCGAATCATGTTTAGCTACCCAAGCGGGTTCATCATGTGTTACCCAAGCGAGTTCATCAGTGTACTCAGGGTTCATCATTGTTACCCAAGCGGGCGTATCTTTATCAAATGATAATGATCATGTTGTGGATAACTTTTTTGATGGGTATGAAAGATTACGAAGACCAGCTCTGAGTGCATTGGTGACCACCCATGGACTTTCGGTACCTGCAAATTTGTCCATCGAAGAACTTCGAGAGATCATTTCTCATCATGTTGCTACTGGACTTTGTTCTTCTTCTTCACAAGCATTCGAAGGATGTGATTCGCTCCGAAAACAGTTAGGCAACCATTGTGAAGACGAAGGAGAGGTGCTTTCTGGCTGAATCGCGTTTTTGACAGCTGTATTGAATAATATGAAACGACGCCCTTTGGAACAACTACTGAAAGCAAACGGAGTTGAATTTGAACCTGGATCAAAAATGGGACGACCACGTTGCACATTGAAAAAAACATATCCAGTCAGCTACGAAAAGCAAAGTCGAAATCCTCTAATAAAAATTGGACACAAGCTCGACAGAATGATCATGAAAACCGTCAAAGTCAACTTTGTCATGAATGGCCTCAGATTTTCAAAGTTCACTTTGATTTGTGGCACTCGCCTTCATCTTGCGACTCGATTTCACCGTGACGCTATCGATATTTGGGGCATTCACTAAAGTTCACCTGTATTTATAGTACTCACTTTCATCTCGCAGCTTGTTCTACCTGTACAATACTTGTTATTTTTCGCTGTTCTCGCGACTCGTCTGGGCTGACCTAGTTTGAGACTTGTATCTGTATTGCTAGTAGCACTTCCAATCGATTTCTCGTTGTGACGGCTCGAAATTTAAAAGCGACCATAGCGGGCTCTGCCGCTGTGCGGCCTTGCGCGTTATTAATCAATCAAAGAGAGCATTTGAATTGTGGCAAGTAGTCTAAAAAACAGTCAGGGGTGAGGCATACTACGTAGACTCAGATGCGGCTGCTAACATAAACGATTCATATCTACTACAATGCGACTATGAGTATTTGAATAACGTGACTTCGCTCAAGCCGAGATGCAAAATGCGTGACATGACTCAGATGCGTTCAATCGCATGATCCCCGCTAAGCCGCCTTTGGGATTTTGAACCTAGACGAAGGAAGCTCAGACATGCTCGAATGCTTACACTCGGAGCCTTCATTGATCATCTGCTCTTCCTCACTTTCCTCCTGCGAATCAACGTAAGATGCATCGTCACTGTCCTCAGTCTTGTTGAAAAGCGACTTGTGCCAAGCAAGATAGCGCTTGTGGGCAGTGATATCCGAGGTGGACAAGATTCGTTTCGATGAACCGTACCAGTCAGTGAAAGATGTGACACGGGCTTCTGCGAGAATGGTGCAGTCGAGGTCAGGGATGAGCTGCTTCTGGAAAGTGACACAAGAATCTCTGATCTTAGTCACCCCTCACTCGAGCATCTCAGTGATGGCGTCCATGTCTAACGTGGGCACTAAAGTCTGCATCAAATTCGTTAGATTGATTTGAAAAACTGAGAACGATGAAAACTTACACCGTACACCATGTGCGCAGGGTCATTGGAACGAATATCTATCGGCCCATCATCACCCTTCACCCAAACGAAGTACTCCACCGAAGAGAGGTGGCACCAAGTGTGATCGCCGATCACGGTGGGCTCACCGAACGAACGTGGTGTAGTGCGTAGATTAATGAACTCTTTGAGAGTTAGCGGTTGCAGGTCACTGTCAGTGCTGCCAAGTAGGACTTTTAACACAGTATTTAACGCGGTGTAATCTTTCCCGGGGTTGGCGTACAATGTAGCTTCGCGTACTAATACAACCACCACACAGATGGTGTCCGGATATGCTAAGATCACTTTCTCCGTCTTTCCAAACACGTGTTTATCAGTCTCTGAGAGCGCGCACTCCCCAAAGAAGGGGATCAGAACGACTTCCGTTGGGCCCTCCAAAGCAGTGATGGAAATAGTCATATCAGGATTGACTACTCCGTCTGGGATGTCGAGCGGCCAGTTCATATGTATCTTCGGAGAGATGGTGGTGCGATCATATGGAAGAGCCCTGATAGAATCGCCGACATAATCCTTCACATCATCGAACGATGCTTCATGGAGAACAGTAGGCAACATGATGATGAGAATGCGAGTGTTGCAATCATAAGTCAGCCTGGATAGGTTTAGAATTGCCTGATACAGTCAAGACTTAATGACGTGCCTGGGCTTAGTCGATACTCGGGCCGCTTCCTCCAATATTAATCCGAATTCTCGCGCTCCCACACCATGGAATTCCTGTGGTATTTAGTAAGCATACAAGCACAGCATCGAACAAGAGGTCATACCATGTAATTCTTGCGTGGTTTGGATAAATAATTCAATACCCTCCGTACTACATCTTCAGCCCGATTAGAATATTGTCAATTAAAACTTAATTCTCATTGAACATACTGGAGGAAGAGTGATCAATTGACCGCTGGCAGACATCACGCAATGGGCTGGGATCTGTGGAAGCAGGGACATGTAACTGAACTGCGACTGGTGTGTTCTCTGGTGCCTCCTCTTTCCCAAAAGGTGATTTGGTAGATTCCAGACCTTTTTCGGTGCTGTCTTCTGGTGACAAACCTGGGGTTGCTGGTTTTATGAGGTTTGAAGTTTTGTAGTTGGGAGATGTCATCTGCGAGGCAGAGTTGTTTCTGGTTTCATAGTGCCTGTAGGGGTGTTTGGGGTGCTTGGGGGTAAATGAGCTGCAGTAGGAATTTTTGTCATGCTGAGCCACTAGGGTAGACATGACTGTTAGGTGCTGGATGCTGATTCCTGAATGTTTGACTTTGTGTGGCGAGCACTGACTTGTAGTGAGGTCGTGGAAGCTCTGGAAGAGATAATCAAGATTACAAATTGATAAGCTGCGATCGATCCATCAACCAGGAACGGCACGTGCCATACTCATTGATTACTTGATTTACATAATTGTTTCAAGCATGTCACTTCATCAAGCTGAACGTCTATTCTTCAAGTTGTTCTTCCCCACTCTTCCTTGTAAGTTCGTCCGCCAGCGTGCTCTGATGTATTGCAATCTACTCTCATCAGTTATGAGCTGTCCACCACGGTGTTCTGGCCCTGCATGTAGACTCTTGTTCACTCTCATTCTTCACGAGTCTCTGATGCTACTATCTCGGCGTCACCACCTGCAGGAATTGTCAGGACAAAAAATGTAAGTCAGTATAATTCACATTTGACTTTGCTGATAGACGAGTGCAATGAAGTTCAATGCCAGATACTTCTTCAATGGAATAGATGTAGGTTTCGCATCCTCGCATGACCGTCTCTCAACGATGCTACGAAGCAGAACACTTCACAAGAAGAGCGCCATGACGTTGAATGCCAGACACTCTTTAAATAAAGAAAATATAGATCTATATTTCCCTCACCATCCACACCTTCTGCTACAACTCCCACAACGTCTTCGACACTCTCGCAAATTGATATGACATCGAATAACGATGCAGTTCCACGTGCATGCGTTAGATTAGGGAGTGTTGAAAATTAGGGGGAGTGATACTCATAGTAGCAACCCGGTTGGTGTACCCCCATACTCACAGATTTTCGCAGGGTCATTGCCCAGTGAGGGATGACCTGAAGTCTCTCAACCCTCGATCCATCAGAAAACCCCAGGATTGGAGCTCGAGGTCTCGCAACCTGGTACTCCTCAATTTATCGACCAGGGAGTTGTATTTCCGCTGTTCGAGGCTCTAGCCAAGGTTCTATTTGGTATGTACTAGGTGTCAATACAGTTTCGACTGAACAGCATCCATCAGGCCAGGGAGCATCGTGTGGTAAGTTCCGAATACGCCCATTAAAATTGATTTGAATGTTCTGTGACATAAGTACCTCAAGGTTCAAACACTGCATTATAATATGTAAGTTTCCTGCCACGGTACAGGTAGGATTTAAATACCCTCCACAATCTTGGACAAACGATTGCAGTCGGACCTACTTGCTGCTGTCCTCGTTCGTGTGGCATACTAGTAGTAGTACTACTACTTGGAATAGGACTCAGACATGCCCCCACGTACGTTTTCTCCCTTCAATTTGATTGACACAAGGCATCATTAACTCAAACTCATGACGACTGGCAGAACGTAACAATAATAACAGTGACAAAGGCCTCGAGTTCAAATTCTACAAACCGGCAGGTGCGGCTAGGGCGCAGCGCACTGTGAGGCAGTCGTTTGCAGTAGCGGTGGACAACACAATGTTCTATTATTACCAGCCTTCAGATTTGTCTCCGCAGCTACCTGCCCGCTCTTCATCACGCCAAGTACTATCGAACTCTCCATCCGTGTTGCCACCTCAACCACCACCACCATCACCACTGCCACCACCACCACCACTACCTCCATCACCACCTCCTCCTCCATCACCACCTCCTCCTCCATCACCACCACCTCCACCATCACCACCACCTGCTCCACCTCATCCACTGGTAATACCCTCGCCATCACCTGCATCGGTGACTGGTGGGACAGACGGGTCCGAGTCATTAGCTGACGCAGTACTGGCAGGTGCCAGCCCCCAACCTGAACTTGAAGGTGCGGCCAAGAAGGCTGAAACTGGCGAGTCAGACAAGACATTTGCAGAAATGTGGACCTCTTGCATTCATTTTGAGGAATAGTACTACCTTGCTACTTGTATAGTTGGACTGTTTGTAGAGAATTCAGTGGATAGATTCAGTGACAAGATCAGTCGGAGTCTTCTCGGAGCTTAAAATGCAACGCACAAGTTCGAATCGCGATTCGCTCATCCTTATTTGGCATTGCCAAATATATCCACGGGTACCAGCAGGGAATAACTTACATGTCACCCAGACCATTTGGGGAGAGCTTAAAGCAAGGCGCCAAAGATACCGATGAGAAAGATGTGGGGAAGTTGATAGCTAGTTCATTACTATCTCTGCATCGCATGAGTATTGGTGAGTGTGTTACTAAGTACGCCCACCACCATTTTGATCTAAGACATGTCTTCCGAGTCTTCGCAGATCTCTTCACAACCATGACCGTGAATGCCTGGGATACTCAGGCTACCATACTAAGCGACTTTCTCAAGTGCAATACTTTCTCAAGAGAACGAGGGTCTCTCTCTTGCACCTACTGGTGCTCGGGCCATTTGTGGACACTTTAAAACGAAAGACCTTCAAGTTCCTGCAGAGGTTACACACTCTCAAGCAAATGTGTGCAGGAAAGTGCGAGACAGTCCTTGCCTCTATGCAACCACTGGCAGTGCTGGAATTTCAAAGAACATCGGCGTGGTGGTCACACTAATGGAGACGTTTGGATCTTATCTATTCCAGCACACCGACTTCGCTGTGGTGTGTAACCCTTCCTTCTTTCGTAATAGTACAGTTTCTAACTGTTGGCAGAGAATGTATAACATGTTTGCTAAAAATGCATTTCGCATTCTGCAAGCTTTTCCTCAGGCAATCTCTGCGGTAATGTCTCGTCGGAATGATGAGGATCTTTATGTGGAGCTACGCCATGTTTTGCTAGTCAATGCTTCCCAACAGATCGACATGTTGTTGTCACTGCTGGACTGTTATTTGTGCCCACATATGGCCCAAATATTCACGGCCCGAGGACGGCAAGTTAGATCGCGTCATAGAGCACCTGTTTATTAAGGTGCTAAACGGACACGTATCGATTTCTCGCAGCAATTTCGTAGAGTCTCATCCATGCACAGAGTGAGTCCTCCTTTGGTCTTGGTGTTTGACTGTTGAATAGACCTTTTCCTCTCGGAGAATGGGCAAGATATTTTGTTCTAGACGCTCGTATCGTCGTTCTCATCCACTACTGTAGACGATATTCTGTACACAACGAATGTGCCATTCACTGGACTAGCAAAATGTTGATACCGACATTAAGACTCCCTTCCAACAGAAGATTTGGGACGTCCGGAATCCTGTTCGATCTCCCTTGGTATTTGATGGCGCCGTCCCCACCATTACCGGTTCTCGGGTTCAAGCAGAAGAGCAAGAGTGTTTATATGATCATCGATGTGGTTTGCAAGTACCTTCTTGAGAAAATGGACCACGGTCAGTCAGTCATTCATCATCTAAGTAGAGATACTTCATTGCTCAGCAAGAACATGCAGTCGATATAGATGACTCTGACTGAAAAACTCGGCCATATGTCGGTCGGGGCATCCAAAATGCCCTGTCTCTACCCGGATACTAGGCGCGCACATGACTCCAAGTCGGAGGTCAAGCCCGAGAGCCCCGAGTCTGATAGCTATCCGAGTCATGATGATCTGGTGTCTGTACCTTCTTGGCGTAGGAGACAGCTTTCATTCTTGGACTTCACTGTGATTTACCCATTACCCATCTAGATGGTCATAATGGTGTGGATCATGTCCCCGACCTCACTGATGGCCTCATTATGATTCACAACCGTAGTACTAGTACTACTATGAATTTGAGACATTTTAAAACACTGCATACTCCGATCAAAAAATGTCTTCAAAAATAGATGACTGATAGTCTGCTTCTGCTTTAGAACCGAGAGTGCTAGTACGCCGCGCAATGTTGTCATCTCCAATTTCAACGCTATCGCCACTTCCCTACAATTTTGAATGCTCTCTTAATGAAGGCAGCTCAAGCAATTTATCCGTTCAGTCTGATCATCTTTTGAAGATAATATGTGCTGGTCATAGCCTTGAGAAGTGGATATATATAGTACGAGGGTTTTCCTTGTTTCACTTTATGGTCAATACTGAGTTTGTGTAAGTTGTCGCTTGACACAATTGACACGAACGACGATGAGCAGGATAAGCTCTTCACCATGTACAGCATTGACACCGTGCATTCAAGCCACCTGGCGGCAAAGAATTGTGTCCACCAATACACCCAATTTGTGGTGCTCCTGAAGCATGATGAAGATGCATGGGCACAGAGACTTCAGGAGGCAGGTTATGTAGTGATGGAACAGGGTTTGTGTAGGGTGGCACTCGATGGAATCGAGGTGGAAGATGATGAGCAGGATATGTTACTCAAGTGCACCACTGACACAGTGTTTGCCAACTATATTGCAGCCCAGCACAGAGTCCGCCAGTACACCCAATTCCTGACCATTCTGAAGGGTGAGGAAGAGGCATGGGCACAAAGATTTCAGAAAGCAACCTGTGTAATGCCGGATTACCAGCCGAGGTGCCAGTGCCAATGATCACCCTACTACAGGAAGACCGTAGTGTTCCGTATCTGAAATTCTGCCCCTTCTCGTTTCTCATCATTACTTTATCTCAATAACCCACCGTACTCTTAAAACAGCTCGTCCCGTTGTCAACTGCTATCATATCTATGTGCCTCATCAATGTAAAATGGACATCATTCTACGACAAATATGGTGATGCTTAATGAGGACGCACAGATATAGCTCAAACGCTCGGGCCAGCGATAGTATATACTGCAACGATGGTCACGGTATTTTTCAAGTAACTGTTGTACTAACCTCAGTAGAAGCGGAATGCGTCTTTTTCGACCACATTGGACTCTTTTCCTTATCTTGATACTTTCGATGGTGTCCTGCGGTGCATTACGCTGCTCTTGGAAGAGGGATACAGATTTTCGGGGACTTAGCAGGCATCGCACTACGTGCAAGCATTACCAGAAGGCAAGCACATTAGCCACGCAGAGAAGGCGGGATCGGGCCAGAGAGTTGATTGAAGCATTGCAAAAGTCGACCCTGCAGCTCACAACTGGTACTAGTACCTGCCAATGTAAGTCGTAATATCATGATATTGCCCACAGCTCTCATAATCTGTCTCGCCTAACCTTCTAACCTATCATGCAATAGCTCGGACCGATCCGACTCATACAACGGGACCGCTGCTTGAAGCCTATAGCTTCCTGTGAACCTAGGACATCCTGGACACAACCTGAGCCTATCAATACTGCAGGCGGCACCGATTGTGATTATGATAGCATCCCAGCTTGTAGTACATTTCATGACTCGGACGTCTTGGATATTGCAATGGACGATACCACTAAATGAGATCATGCTATTTCAGGTGTGCATCTCCGTAACATTTCTTATCTGTGCCATGATACTCATGAATTTCTAGCGGACACAGGTCAACATTCTTCACGACGGATGGTTAGGCCACCCCCAAAAATATTCGAGGATTTGCTACCTGCTGATGAAGATATTAACCCTTCCAATTCTTCTGAGAATGATCCGTCTCCCGTAACGGAAACTCAGAATCCACCACAACACAGAATTCAGAGAGTCCTTCTGACCCTGCACGATTCCCTCCAAACAGCATTTAATGGGATCGGTCTCTGTCGACAGTACCCTAGGCGGCCCTCGTTCGAGCCGGATAAATTTATCCCATCTTCACTACTAGCTCACTCCTGTCCAGTGGCCGATGCATATAATACTGAGAGGTTCGGATCCATTTCCCGGTGTCTCTGAGCCGCCTTATCCTTTCCCTAACATGACTATCTACCTGCCTCATGACATGGATGAACACTGGCAGTCATCAAAAATCGGAGGCTGAGGTAACGTGCCTTATTAAAGACGTGATTCAGGCGCAGGACTTCAACCCCAGGGACTTAGATGAATTTTCAGCAAGGAAGAGTTTACATGCATTGGACAACGACGGAGGGAAGAGCGCCGTCACTTTTCCGGACGACTGGTTAAAGACAGATATAACCCTCGACATACCTACGAGGTCGAAAGACGACCCATCCATGTCATTTAGCATTCCAAGCTTTCATTATCGGCCACTTGTGGGCGTGATTCGTGCCGCGTTCGCTGACATCCAGGCCAGTGCATTCCATCTTCTTCCTTTTAAGCGCCTGTGGAAGGACCCCTTAGACGACCATCAAGAACGCGTGTTCGACGAACTCTACACCTCCGACTCGTGGCTTGAAGCTCAGGATGACCTGCAAAGGCAGCCGAAAGAACCCGGCTGCTCACTCGAGCGCGTCATTGCTGGACTGATGTTTTTTTTCCGATGCGACTCATCTCGCAACCTTCGGAACAGCCAAGGCAGTGGCCGCTTTATTTGTACTTCGGAAATTTAACGAAGTATGCGCGTTCAGCACCTAAATCTGGTGTGTGTCATCTCGTTGGATTCTTACCTTCTGTAAGTCAATTGCCTCCTGTGTTGTTATGTCTCTCTCACGTTGGACTTTTAGCTCCCAGATAATATCAAGGACATCTTCAGCAGCTTACCTCGGATATCGAAAAGCGGAATGGCCACCCTCCATGCGCATTGTCGGCGGGACTTGTTTCAGGCGTGTTGGAGACATTTATTGGACACGGACTTCCTCAATGCATACCGCCATGGAATTATAATTTGGTGTCCGGATGGCATATTGAGAAGAGTCTTTCCACGCATATTTACTTACTCGGCTGATTATCCAGAGAAGCAAGCACTTTTTTCATTTCCTTATTCAAATACTAATCAATGTTTCTAGGGTTCTAATAGCGACAATCAAAGACATGGGCATTTGCCCATGTCCATGCTGTCTCACGCCAAAAGCCTCGTTCGACCTCCTGGGCCTGTTTAGAGACATGCAAGATTGCCTAACTAACTTTCAAGCTTATTGTTTGGAGAAGGTAACCAAGGCCCGTGTATTTATCTATCGCGAGGGAAATACTGTCGACAGCTCGAAGGTACAAACCACTCTTGGAGTAGGGTCATGGGTGCTGACTGTGGTGAGTGCCTTCGAAATAAATTGCCTTCAATTGATATCTAATTTTCAACTAGAACACTTTTGTAGAAACACTCGGGCCATTAGGATTCGACTGCATTTCGAATGCTTGTGGTCGATTTTATGCATGAATGTGAGCTGGGTACATGGAAGGCCTTGTTTACCCATCTTATCCGTCTACTATATGCGCTTCCCCGAGGTGACCACCTCGTTGCATGTCTCGATAACAGGTTTGTCAACCATTCTCCTCACCGATTTGAAAGTGATTGCATTAAATATAGATTTCAGTCAAATTCCGCTGTATGGTAATGGAGTTATTCACAAATTTGCGAATAATACTTCGGAAATGAAAAAACTCGCAGCACGAGACTTCGAGGACATTTTGCAGGTTTGTCGTAGCGCTGGTTGAGTTGCCGATATGCATCATTAATATTCTATCTCAGTGTGCTATGCCTGTCTTCGAAGGGCTGTTCCCAGGAGACCATGATGCAATCGTACAGTCACTTCTGTACAGGTTTGCACAATGGCACGCCCTCGCAAAATTAAGGATACATTCCGAAATCACCTTGTTACTTTTGGATGCAATGTTCAAGAGACTCTCTCGTCAGTTGCGCAACTTCCGAGATTTCACCTGTACTATTTTTATCACAGTTGAATTACCAAAGGAAAAGGCCACTCACGAATGTAAGGCTGCGCGTGAACGATTAGATTCCAACAATCGAGATCCGGCGAGTGGCGGTCGAAAAGGTCAAGAAATTCAATCTGAATACTTACAAATTTCACGCCATGGGGGATTATCTACAGTCAATCCGGCTCTTTGGGACAATAGATTCATTTACTTCACAAATTGTACGTGACTCTTTGCTACTTAATGTCTTCCGATCTTGGTTTAATTTCGGGCCAGGGAGAGTTGGCTCATAGAGCACTGAAAGCTTTCTATCCATTGACAAGTAAACTGGATACACCAGCTCAACTTGCGAAGCATGAGCATCGTCGTCGTGTCCTTCGACGAGTGATGGAGACAGGTCACAGCTGCGAGCAGGCACTGGTCGAATTGCCTGCTGCAAGGTTCAAAGACCACTACTACATACCGAAGCTCAGCCGCAATAATACATTGCATATCTTCAGTTTTCTGCGAGATCACGATAATGACCCAGCTGTGGCGGTAAGTGCCGCTCTCTTCATTGTTCATCTTGGCTCACCATAATGTGCAGATGTTCATACCGAAACTTAAAGATCATATATTATACTGGCTTCAGAAGTTAGATGTCAGTTATTGCGACCATACCTTTTCAGATGATGAGCGCAACTCGGTCGTCATCTCAGACAATAGACTATACTCTGTTCAAACGATGCAGGTATGTTAGATGTGCTGTGAATTTTAATAGTGTACGATCCTTCAACTTGACAGGTCCATTATATGACTTACGATCTTTGACGAGAGCATGACACTATAAATCCTCGGACTGCACTCTGACATCATGGTACTATCCGGAGAAACAAAGCCGCGACATCCATATTGGTACGCCCACGTCCTGGGCATCTACCACATGGATGCATTAATCAACGTCGAAGGCACGGTCAAAAAGCACGAAATTGACGTACTTTATGTTAGGTGGTTGGCACCCTTGATCGACCACCAGTCAGGCATGCACCACACTCGGCTTCCAAAGCTTGCTTTTGTTGAAGAATCCGACTATGATGCTTTTGGAATTTTAGATCCTGGCCAAGTCATCCGAAGTGCTCACCTACTCCCGGCTTTCATTTCTGGGCATGGAACAACCTCCCTTCGGCCTGGAAATTCATTCGCACGTCAAGATGGCAAGTTAGATGATTAGGAGGCGTACTATGTTGGCATGTGAGTGTAATCTACCATCCTGCTGTCTTTACTCAAGCTGGCAAACGCTCAGTTTCGTCGACCGGGATATGTTCATGAGGTACACACCCTATGGGATTGGACATCCTACTGTCCTGCGCGAGACGACTGAGGGATTGCATCAACGCAGACCTCACGGATAACCCAGGATCAGAGGACGATAATGATGACAGCGAGATGGGTGGAGGTGATGATGACGACGGAGGAGGAGGACTCAGAGGGGAGGGAGAAGGGGAAGAAGGGGAAGAAGACAAAGATACAAATGAAGAGGAGTGTGACGACGATGAGAGTATCGGTGATTCGGATGACAGGGAGATGGAAGGCGGCGAAGACAACATCGACGAGGAAAACGACTGCATATATTTCTAACAGTTGTGATTGATGATATGGGCGGGCAAGAGGGATAATGAAGACCCATCTGATGTAGTAATGGCCTTATGACCACCGTGACAAGATTCGATATATCATGATGGCCCTTGAAATGCTCCCACACACTGAAGTACTATACCGTGACCTAGTACATGTGCATGATCACTGGCGGCAGGGGTTAGACTTAGTACTACATCTGACAGACTCCGAGTCAGACTCGGACTTGGAAGACGCAAGGTCTACACTGATAGTTATCTTGCGCATCCAAACCAATGCAAGAACAGGACACCCAAAGGATATAATTGCAACATACTATATATCTGCAGGATGATGATGATCGGTCAACTGTGAAACGCAGAATATCATACCAGCAGCCCACCACAGGCCAGCACTTCCGAGTCCAAGTCAAGTTAGGGCTATGATTACTAATTTACACAGCAGCTGCTGGGTGATTGCATAAGCATCTCAATCGAAACCTTATTTTCTGCCATACTGCTGGTACTATACTACTACGAGTCTTCAGCACACTGATTCCTTGTACAGCCGTTATCATGTCCTGGAATGCGTCAGTCTTCACCTCTGTGTCCTCTGATACAGAGCCTACTGTAGTTGTCACCTTTGGCTCTACCAGGCACATTGCCATTCAGTGAGAACTCTATTCGCACATTCTTCCAGAGCATGAGGAACTGAAAGAAGACTAGAGGAGGATTCATGACTTCTGTAGGCACACAATGAGCCAACCGCCTTCCAGGTGAGTTTGATCTTGATCTTCGGCAACTATTTCAATTGTTGATCGTCTCTTTGATAGGGTTATTTCGGACTCAGGGATTAGCACTACCGGCCTCAGTGTTACCAGGAGGAAGCCTTCATCTTCTCATGTTGCACCGTCCTTAGTCATAGTCATATCTTACCCCCGATTTCGACCCTGCCATGCTTGTCTGTGATATAGCACAGGAATGACTTCGACATACTGCTGCCAAACCTGCTACTTTATATGAAGGTCGAACTGTATCGCCCAGCCATCAAGCCTCACATTTTAACTGTCCCTTACCTTCGCTTGTGTGGTGGTTAGTCCGTGGGTTCATGGAAAGTTTGACGTGACCAGTAGAGGCGCTTGGTTTCAGGGCTGGGGCTGTTGTGTGCACTGATTGCAAGGGGAGAGACGGTAGTTATACATGGGCAGTGATGGGGTGTAGAGAAGTGTTGAACCGGGTGATGTTGTTGATGTTAGTGAAGATCCTGGGTGCGTTTCTTGTCGTGTTCTGTTTCAACAATTGGCTCTCGATTTGGGAGATCGTACTGACACTGGTCATGCCCAGCACAACATACATCCCTTCTTTAGCCAAAGGCTTCGAGAACAGCGCGCTCTCAAAGTGTTAGGGTAAGAGGCAGGAGAAGAAATATCATACACCGAGGGTCGTGTTCCATCTGAGCTCAACGTAAGTCAGTTATGCTCCTCTTTCACCTGCCTCATACATTCACCAGGGATATTGGTTTGTACAGCTTTTCCGAGGCACAGGTGAGTTGCTTGTAAGACTCTTCATCATCAAGGTCAACTCCTCCGAGTCAGGATTCAGTGGGCGCTGTCGTTCAAGTTATTTCCAGATCTCCAGCTTTTCCATCTACTCAATCCCCATTCTCCTTGCTCGAATAAGAATCAATTTCCAGAGCGTTCTCGGCTTTAGTCAAGAATAACCGCCATATTGAACTGTCGCACTAGCTTGCATCGTATCTGATGCTCAAACCTTGTGAAGGGGGTCACTTTCTCATCCCTCACCTTCCTGTGCAACATGCTGTACCATTTTCACCTCTCACCGTCCTACATTCACCTTAGCGTTGTTTTTTTTAGTTCGGACTTGGGCCTCATTTAGGCCCGAGATCTGTTGTACTCAGAAGATCTGTTATTTGTTCATCACAGTTAGCGGCTTGCCTCGTTCAGGTGGGCGCCTCCTTAACTTGGAGGAGATTTTCTTGCTTGCGCTGTCTGGTAATCGATGGAAGAGGACTTGGTGGCGAGCAAGCTGTTTACCGTAGCCTTTCCTTCATGGACTATTGAAGCAGCAGTACTGAGATTTGATGTAATATAAATCCAGACTTTCAAATTGCCATGAGTGGGCAGGGTGCTTGTAATGACCCTGAAATGCCTAAACTAAAATGGGGAGAACCAGAACAACAGACCAGGTTGAGAAGTGTGGGCTGCCATCCCTTATCTGCTATGATGGCAGCAATTTACAATTTTGTGATGATGTTCCATGTGCAGCTGACCAGTGCCGAAGGGCACTTCTCTTGAGTCACACTGTATACCATCTTAAGTCAAAACATGAGGAAGGAAAAATGAGAACCATCGCAGGGGTTAAGAAGAGTGCGCTACCATCCGTTGCTTATCTTCATGGTACCAAGTGATAACTTTATTGTGTAGTCCCAAGCTATCATACACATGCTGACCGGTGCCAAAGGGCATTTCCCTTGGATAACATCACATACTGTATTAATTAAACACATGAAAACCAAAGAATGAGGACAACAAAAGTTATTGAGAGGTGCGCGCTGCTGTCTCTCGCTTGCTTTCATGGCGCCATATGACAAGCTCATTACAAACTCCCACGCTATTCTCCATCTGCTGACCAGTGCTAAAGGTACTTGCCAAGAGAATGTATTAAATAAGGTTGTAATTCCAAACATAAATAAGGCAAAACGACAATGGTCACAATAATTGGTAGAAGTATTCTACCAACCTGTATCGGCTGCAATGTAGGAGTGTCGCAATTTTGTCATGGAGTGCTCGTGTTACTCTGGATTCGCAAGCATCGATGACCATGTATCTACAACTCAAATTTTTCACGGTGTAGATGATGATATTTGGCAGGAGCAGAATGATATCCTTCTGTAATTCCCACGGCTACCATCTCAAGGAATCATCCGTTCACTGATGTACATCAGTAACTATCTAAGACATGACTATGTACTAGGCGCCGGCCCTGCCGACATTCACCTTGCTCCGTGGCACGCGCACACACTTTGTTTTGTTTTTCCACAACTATTGTATTGCAAACATACTTGGTTCTGAGTCACTATCAATCTGCCAGCCATTTTGGCAGCCAGGACAACTGTTTACACTTCACTCACAGTTTGTACAGTAATCCCCGTGTTGTTAATGAGCTACTTGGGCTATTCATTCTTTGGACGAGCCAGCAGTCGCGTTATGGTGCACCTTTTTTGCCTGGGGTTCTTCTAGTGACTCATCTAGATTGGTGCGTTTATAATTTGATTTGTGGTGGTAGGGTCCCAGGCAGAGCACAGTAATCTTTTGCGAAGTCGCTTGGAAACTATCATAGTCTTTGATCTTCCAGTGCTGTACGGTGAATTCTACCTCCACAATGGCACCATTTAAGACGTCATTAACATTGGTAGGGTGAACGGCGACCCCTTCATAGTAGACAGGGAGTCGTTGGGCGCGAAAATGATACTTCATTCCTTCGAAATCTTTCATGAACTCATCACGGAGCAGAATTTGATCATAAGAACTTGAATTTTGACATTGTTGCTGAAAGGTTGACAGGAATCGCTAACATCATTTCCAACGATCCTGGGACATCAATTGTGTATGCCGAGTCACTTGCGTTGGCCAGAGATTTGGTGCACTTCGCGTTCACTGGAGAATTGATCAATAGGGATGTGCAGGCAAAGTGAAATTAGGGGTCAAAAGTGGGCACAACATATGAGCATGTACAGAGAGAATAAAATGGAACAGTTATGAAGTATTTCACCGTCAATCGTGCCTGCTACAATCCATGATAGAGGGTTGTCAATTTATCCAAACGATGTGGTGAGTTTATCGAAGCGAGAAAGTCACGTGGATGAATACGTAATCACATAAAAACTGACATTTGAACATGACCTTGCGGAGCAAGGTGATGCGGGTTTCGGTGCGAAACTTATGTAAACAACTTGAACAACCGCTTTCGCAAATTTTCGACAAACGCCGAAAAGGCTGGGCTCTTTGATCACGCTCGCGCCTCTCAAATTTAAACCTTGGTCATCGGTTCGTCATTGAGTTTTCTTATCACGCATCAGACATTCCTTCTCATATTACATGCATTTGCCATTACCTTACAAAATACACTTGATTCTACATTTTGCCTTTGTGTGCTAACTGAGTACTGCAATACAAGTCCACGAGCAGCAATCAACACGAGACACTCTATGCGCTAGAGACTGATCATGACATTGTCCACTTTAGCACAGATTCTTCCAATAATCATTGTTGCTGATCTCGATTCCCAGCGCTTGGTGCAATCATACCAGCGTCTACCTCTTCTCCTCTTCCTTCTCAGCCGAATTCCGTCCGCAGTCCCCATATCCCTATCCCGTCTCCCCCTCCCACTCATTCCGTACACTGCTCAGCCCATCCCCGATCCTCGTCGTTTTGCTCCATTGCACCATCATGCCTCGCTCAAGACGCCGATATATCAGACTTGAAGGTGAGTCCCTCCATATTGCCTTCGTATTTGTTTCATCCTCACGCTCTATCTATAGTCATTAACGGAAAGAATCTTCGAGTCCCCTCCTCCCGGATTCCCGCTGGCATCTACATATCCATCAATGTCAACTCCTGGAGATACTGGAAATCGGCCATCAGTGTTTTATCGTCTGATGAATCCGTAGTGTGGAGAGATACTGTGACTCTGTAAAGTCCATACAGGCTTTCTGACGCGATACGAGAACTCATCTTTGGTTCATAGATCATCACATTCCTCACCTGCGTTATCGGTGGAGATCAGGGCATCCTATGAACTTGGTCGAATGCTAGGCGGTGGAGAGGTCATTGGGAAACTTGAAATGTCGTGGGATGAGCTACTCGATCATGGAGATGAACCATTCGGTGAGTGACTTGTTCCTCATTCATGTACATATACTAAAATGTCATAGATCTATACTTCCTGCCTGTGCACGGCGTCCACCCTTCTCTCATGCTGAAGGCTGCCGTTGTATATTCATGCGACAATCAAAACGGCGTACTGTCTGGTGTGAGTGGCACTACTCTCCGTCCTGTTAGCTTTTGCTGACAGAACACCAATCATAGTCTCTCGTAGAACGCGATATTGCACACGACACAGATGCGGGCCACGCACATCTCACCAAATACGTGACGAGCAAGACAGTCTCTCACCTGAACCATGCTATGCAGCGTTTTCAGCTGGTTCTGGACCAGCGTCCGGTCAGCCATCCGGATCACGCAACTGCTCTCACCAACCTTGCGTATGCGCGCCTTGAAGGCTGTGTCGAAAACCATCTTCAAGACATTGATACCACCACTTCCCTCTTCCGCGAAGCCCTTGCATTGCGTCCGCAGCGCCATCCAGATCATCCCTTATCTCTATATAATCTCACCCTAGCCCTAACATGGCGCCACAACAAGAAACGTACTGCTGCCGACATCCGCGAAGTCGCCCAACTCTATCATGAGCTACTGCCTCTCTGCCCAGAAGGCACCTACCTTTGTAGCATCGCGGCAGGGTCAAATGGTGTCGATTGTGTGATCCGTAGATGCAACAATCTTCCAATAGACGCATCTGATGAAGACGTCCACCTTCGAAGAGTCGTCCTCGAGCTCTGTCCTCTGTATCATCAACACCGTCCAAGAGCACTTGACAATCTTTCATGGGCTCTCACATTACGTTTTGCACAATACGGCAATATTGAAGATTTAGATGAAGGCATACAATTTCGTCGTGAAGCCGTGTCTCTGTGCCCCGAGGGACATGTTGGTCGTGATTATTACCTTAACAACTTGGCCTTCTCACTCGTGGCCCGCTTCGACCACCAAGGCAAACCTACTGACCTCAATGAGGCCATCTCTTTCTACAAAGAAGCGCTGTGCCTGCGCCCCGTCGGGCATGAATTTCGTGATACTTCATTGGATAACCTAGGGGGTGCCCTCCTCACCCGTTTCTACAAACACGGCGACATTGATGACACCACCCGAGCCATCAGCCTATATCGCGAGGCACTGACATTATGCCTACCTGGACATCCACGTCGTGACACCACGCTTGGCAACCTTGCCAGTGCGCTCAAAACCAGATATGATAAATCACATGTCAGTGAGGATCTTAACGAGGCCATTGTTTGGTATCGCGAATCCCTTCGGTTAAAGCTGCTTGACCATCCAGAGCGCCATGTAACACTTCGCAATTTGAGCTCAACGCTCTGCTCTCGTTTCACGCACACTCAAAAGAATGAAGATTGTTGAGGAGGCCATTACTCTTTGCCAAGAATCATTGGAGGCTCTGTCTTCACTCCACCCGTCCATGTTTTTCAGCTATACGCGGCTGAAGGATGCTTATTTGTCTCGTTACCAGATTCAACACGACCCTGCAGATCTGTCGCTCGCTATAAAGAACTTCAGACTCGCATCAAGACATCCCACTCAAGGTTTCCCAGGACGCATCATTCTGACATATAATTGGACCGTTGCAGCGGAGCAGCATGGTCATGGATCCGCACTGGAGGCCTACTCGACATTTTTTGAGCTTCTGGATGCTCATTTGGCAACACGATCGTCGGCAACTTCACAGGCGTGAAGCTGCTGCTTCCTTCCATTATGCCAGACTACTCTCCGTAGATGCAGCATCATGTGCCATCTACTACGAGAATCTACGATGCGCAGTGGAACTGGTAGAGCAGGGCCGTGGCCAGCAATGGTCACTGGCATCTCGACTCAGGACTCCAGTTGAAGATCTCGAGTCAGCAAATCCGAAACTGGCGCACAATTATTTGGAGCTGAGCAAGTGTATTTCCAATATCGCCCAGAATTCTGCAACCATCATCAACAGCGCTGCTGCTGACCAGGCAGCAACAGAGTATAGGAGGCTTACAAGGCAATGGGAAGCTGCGGTAGCTGAGATACGTAACCTTCGGGCATTCTCGCGGTTCCTGCTCCCACCTTCATACAAAGACCTGCAAGCAGCAGCGTGCCAGGGCCCGGTCATCATCCTCATTGCAAGTGAATACTCTTGCAGCGCCATCATCGTCCCGACATCAGGAGACCCCCATCATGTTCCCTTTCCGTCTGTCACTCTCGCAGATCTCAATAATCTCAAAGATCGCTTCACCAGGGCAATACGACAAGCATCTCGGATGAACCCAGCGGAGTCGAGGACGGATCTAATAGTACTCTCGCGGATAATATGGGACGAGATCATGCTACCCATCGTCAACGTACTCCAGCATGCTCTCAAACTACGGCGCTACTCTCGAATATGGCTGTGTCCAACTGTAGCTTTCACATCCATTCCTCTCCACGCAGCTAATCCCTTTCTAACAAAGGCAGATCGCTCTGGGAAGGAGCCATGCCTGGAAGATCTCTACATCTGCTCTTACACACCGACACTTTCGGCCCTGGTCAGATCTAGACAGTTGATGAAGAAGCGTGTGCCTCCGTCCTTCGTGACGATTGGACAGGGTCAACCGGGTGCAGGGAAAGGCAAGGCGCTCTTGGCTGTCGACAGCGAGCTCGAGCTTGTTCATAAGCTTGTCCCCACGACTGCCAACCGCACCACTATTTCAGGCGATGCAGCCACACGAACAGGTGCACTCGAAGCTTTGCAGCAGAACAACTGGCAAGCAGGACCGTACACAGCCTTACGATTCGCATTTCGTCATGAGAGACGAACATCTGACGCTGCTCGATATCATGGAGAGAGATATTCCGCACGCTGAATTCGCGTTCTTATCTGCGTGTCATACCGCTGTCGGCGATGAGGAGACGCCCGAAGAAGTGATTCACCTCGCAGCCGGTCTCCAGTTTTCAGGGTTCAAGAGCGTCGTTGGCACGCTGTGGGAAGTCGACGATTCTGTCGCAAAGCATGTCGTTGAATCTTTCTACAAATATATGTTCAATCTGGAGGACGGTGTCATGGACTGTACGAAGGCGGCCTGGGCACTCAACTGTGCTACGCACGCCGTGAAGACGAAAGTGCCACTCGAGCAGAGGATGGTTTTCATTCATATTGGTGTGTAGTTCTATCTCGTGTGGCTTTCATCATAGTCGCTAGTACAAGCTGTCGTCATTTCATCCCGTTGGTGTACCTGGCCTGTTCCTTGATACTTGCTTTGCATTCCCTCTCGTCCTATTGTTTACTCTTAGAAGCGTCTTTTGTAACTTCATTCATTGCTTAAGTATTTGAAGTACGTCCTTCAGACACCGCCGTTGCTGGGGGAGATACGTCAGGAACTTAAGCAGGGAGAGCACTAGTCCTTCTAAGTGGCTTCAAGTTGTTTAACCCTTGGCTTCTACATGCTGGCTTCGACTATAATTTCGAACGAACGACTATTCCATTTATTTGATAGGCACTGGGAGACTACTACGTCACCGTCGATTCCCCGTGCGCTTGACTGCGGCGCTCGGCCCTCAAACCACCTCGAAGTCCTTCTCCACGACCTCCAGATTCAGTGTTTTTGATTATGAGGTCCTGATCGCTTCTTCCTGTCTGAACCAACTACCGTAAGACACGGGAAAATCAAATAGCATCATTACTGACCGTGCAGGTGATTGATATACTTTGAACCGATGGTGCGATGGTGCGAAACAAGTGATAAGTCCAGGATCATACTTGTAGTGCTCGCCGTAAGAGATGTAGCTTGATGTCTGAGTGGCATTTCTGCCACCCTTATCGACGCTGTTCGTGGAGGAAACCCTGACATTGGCATTGAGAAAGACACGCATGTCAATGAAAAGTGAACTGACCCAGGAATTGGAGTTTTGAAGATGCCCTTCAATTTCAGAGAGAATTCGTGCCCCCGTGACACGCAAACAGTTTCGTTGGAAAAACCTCATGCATTTCCTGCATTTGATTCATGGGGTATGAAAAGGGGGCCGGACAACGACCATGAGCAGTGATGGCGCCAACCGTCTGTTCGGTAGACAGTCTTTCACGCAGTCCTCTCCATGATGATTCACAGCGGTTTTAACCTTCAAAGAACCATAAATTGCAGCTAGATAGACAAATGGATTCGAAAGAGCATCGACTGACTGTATACATAACCCGGCCTTAAATAATCATCAATGTCAGGAAGGGATCGCGCTTGATTTCAAGTCGCGCCAATGACAATGGCAATGTGACATCGTTCTATACGCTGGTCTGTAGCGGGACAGACTTCGAGCAGAGGGGTTAGCACACGACACCTGTGAGGAGGTATCAAATTAACGTACCTTTGAACCACAAAAAGGTGATTTCTGATTTTAATAGCACTATCAAATGTCGCAGAAGGTTAGTCCGATGTTGAGTGGTCTGATCATTGCGACCCAAACATTAGGTCAAGGTATCAGGCCTAAGAAAGGACTGACCGCACCTCGCGCGGACTAACATATCCTTGACTTTATCTACAAAGTTTCGTGCTGGGCACAGGCTAGAAATATAATCACAATGTCTGCATTGTATGTTGGTTTACCTATATACAAATTTCGTTAGGAATGGGACAGTGAGGCAAACAGTGCTGTGCGAACCTTCACTAGGACGCCGTCTGGGACAACAGTAAAATGTGGTCTTAGTACATAGGCTTCGGCAAACACCGAAAAGCAAATAGCTAACGCGATTACCTCAAACCCGGTCAGATATCGATACGCCGGTAGTACGTAAGTTGGGGTTCTGTAATCTGTAGTTTACTATTTCCATCCACCTATCTTCTCAATTTTCTTTGGGGTCACTGAACGACGTCCCGGTCTCAGACATCGAACTGAAATTATCTACTCCAGATGCAATCCAGATCTGCAAAAATTCTTTCCTGAAAGCCTTCGAAAATATTCTATCCGGTGACCGAAACCCTGTTCGCGAACCATCATTGAACGGGAGAACTTAATATCTTTGTGTGCGATACGCCTCGGAATTGACCCATTATTATAAGATTTGGCCGCTTATCGTCCACCAGAAGGTATCTTACACCCAAGTTTCTGGTCCTGACTTACTATATGCGCCTGTAAATTGATGGCCGATGGGCTATGCAGTGCCCTGCACATTGGACAAAAAGGCTCAGCGCAGATCCAGGTGCGAGGGTATCCAAGTTATCCAAGCCACGAGGCATCTTGCAAGTGTTCTCGCGTGCTTCTTATAAGCTCCTGCTTTTAACCCACACCCCCAGATCGTCCAACCTCAGAGCTCTTGACAGACTTACACCATATATCGCGAATCAAGGCTACTTGACATGTCTGTTGCCTCAAAATCTTCCCAGACTGATGTCTTGGAGTATATAATCACCCACATATTCTGTCCCATCAAATTACCGCAGCACAGCGATTATACTCCTGACAATGATCGCTCCCTCCTTGATGTCGTGCTAGGCTCAGCTCGCAAATTTGTGAGTTCGTTGACCGACCATGATCAGGAGCAGTGGAGTCCTTCGTTGAAGATGCTGGAGAATCTTGCTGTTACGATGACTTCTCCTTCCCTGACTGGGGATGTTGTCGAGCCGCAAATCAAATCCATGCAAGCAGGAGGTATGTACGTAGTGTTGGCGCCAAAAATTGACTTTCAAAATTTCTCTGTAGATATTCTTGCATATCTGATTCGGGAACAAAATGCCGCTGTCGTACTTCGTAAGCTCGACACGAAAACCATCTTTGAATCCTTCGAAGTTTCACCACCAGCATCTGCTATCATGGAGGCAAAGGGGAAGCTCCTGTGTTCGTATCCAGGACCCGCGATCGCCGTACCAAACTCAGTGGTGGATAACCCTACCTTTCCTCCTGAGTTGGTGAACTTTCTCTCGCACATGAGCTCTGATGGGTTAGATCCCTCAGTTCCCAAAGGAGAGACTGTACATCCTCGCTACATTACCCAGCTTCTCACTGATATCCTTTGCGCGTTTGGCGAGCCGGCTGACATCCCTCGTATTCGAAAACGTATATGCGATGATGCGTTACAGTCCAACGCCACGCTCCCTTGGCGAAGATCATCCATATGGCTTGTCATTAGGGTTGTATTGCAGACATCTCTCGAGCGCACAAGCCTTGGACGAAACAGTTACAAGGCTTTCATGGCTTCTCTCATGACCGACCTTGTGTCCGAAGCGCTTGAGGGGGATATGTCGAGTGATCTGCTCTACTCCATGTCCATTAAAATCAGTCGCCGCTTGGTCAAGCTTCAGGCCGAAGACGAATTCTTAGCAATTGCGATGCACAAAGCTACGGAAGATATTAAAGACAAACTGGAGCTGCGCTGGAAGAATGTTCAGGTGGCTCAGGCGGATTCCCCTCATTGGGATGCCTCGGATGTGCATATAATCAGAGATACCAGGCTCTCTTTGACCGAAAGCAAGGAGTATATTGCCTCTATCCTATATCCTACCCATGTCCAACCCAACGTGCTGGACTTTGAGCCGCATCATCGTCCACGGGGCACTATTGACGACTTCCTTGGTCCTGACGCCAATTTCTTCGAGAGCGCTTATGCCGAAGACCCCTTTGTAGCACTTTCGGATTTTGAATGTACCATTGAGCGGCACATTGATGGCTGGGTGAATTGTGTCATGAACCTTGATGCTGCCCATATTGATGCCGCTTGCATGACTATTCAAGCGCGCGCTAGAAGTTATTCCACCAGAGCACAATCATTCTATTCCGGAAATCCTGAGAATATATCCATCATGCTGCTCACGCTGTTCGAACTCTGGGTCGCACTTGATAAGCTGGTTGTCGAGTCGATCCCTCTCCTCATGGAGTACTCCCCGGAGGTCCCAGTTGCCATATTCGATCGCCTTCTCCTTCAAAAAGCTGCCGCTATAGAGCGACTCCGAGTTCTTCAACAGTATGTTGCTGGGCGTCACACCCACAATGCACTCTCGGTCTTCTCGGATGGGGCAGATATGTCCACGTTTGCAGTTCGTTACTATAACCAATCCGAGGAGCTGCAGTCATGCAAGCAGCGCATTGAAGACGATGCAAATGCAGAGCGTAAAAAACGAATCGCAGATCTTCGCCGCAAAAGCGACAGATATCGGTGTTTCACAAAAGAAATTGACGCTCTCACGTGCGACTACTACACGAACTGGCGAGGTTGGTCCCAACATGACCGTAATTGCCGTCGGTGCGAGAAGCGGAGGGAGAGGGATAACCTTTCTGTTGAAGTTCATGAATGGCCACTTCCTGACTCTGTCTACGATGCAGCAGTAGTGGTATTTGAGCTTGGTGCCCCGATCGCTTTCAAGATGTGGCGATCTTTCACCTTCCATTTTCTTTATGACATATGCACCCCAACTTCACCACAGATTCAAAGTGCGGGGCAGTATATCATGCTCGCACATTATGGGCCGCTCTCACGTTATCACGCAGAGCATCCCAGTCAACGTATCACACTGGCCTCCATGACAGCGCCCCCCCGGACCTCCCCCAAATCCCTTCCATGCACTGAAAGTGACATCTTCACCAACACTGTTAATCAGCTGTGTTTCCTTCTTTACGATACGACCTGTGATGTTTGGGCCTCCGGTTCTTTTCGACAGGCTGACATATCCGATATTTGCACCCACGTGCTGCCACAAGGTCCATATCGCGGACTACAATACTACCTGTCGGGTACCCAGCACACCTCCAATGAGGTCTTGGCTAACCAGGCCACATGTCATGCCGAGTTGACGCTTCACGAATTCATCGCTTTTGGGGGCCTCCGTAGTGGCAGCTTTTTGCAATGGATCAACATCCTCCGTGAATTGCGAGCACGCACGCTCACATTTCGTGATCCCGCGGTCCACTTGCTACTGCTCCAGGCTAGTTCAGAGGTGGGAAAGCTTTCGGCCGACGGGTCTAGGGCATGGCACAACGAACTGAAAGCCTCAGAATTCGGACACGCCCTTATTGATGAGCTCCAAAGCTTAAAAGTAAGCGTGGAAGCCAATTGGCTGGAGGGCACAACAATGTCAACAATCTCCATCCTGGTGTCCCGCCTTCTCTCATCAGCAGATGATTACCGCGTCATCCAGAAATCATGCAAGTTACTGCAAGATGTCCGAAATACAACTTTCAGATGGGTGCAAGAGCTATCCAAAGCTGATGCTCCAGACGAAAAGTCTAGTCGTGAACGCCAAGTCCGCGTTCGTGACATGGCAGCAACTTGTCTCAGTACCTACGATGTTGGCCCGGACAACATCACAGAACTCCTCCAATCGCCACAGAATTTGGAGATCCTGGTGTACTGTTCTGTTACAGTGACGGACAACGTGCCTATAGATCTCCACTCTCTCCCGATAATTTCAAGATTACTTCTTGAACGCAACCGTCGGTTGTCACACTTCTTAGAGACCTATTTGCGACACCATGTGGAAGATGACCAAGAAGGTCTTGATTTGGCAATGGGGCGTCTTTGGCCTGCATACCAGCGCCACACGCCCTGGGATGTACTTGAATCTCCAAACTCTCGGTGGCTTAGATGTGAAACAGCGCCTCCTGACGATTCATCCCGCCAAACCATTCATCTTGATATGTTGATGGCTCGCCTATTGGTTGACGGCAAGCCATTAACCAGGCTGCCAGATTGCTTTTTGCGGCATCCTAGCTACATCACCCTCTTCGGTCATGTGAGTTTTCCGCCTTACTCATCGACCGGCTGTCTCATATCACCGAGTAGCAAGTGTTTGATGTTTTCCCCACAAAGATTCCCAGCATGGAATTTGTTGCCAAGGCTGTTATGCATCACTTCAAAGTGAGTTTGTACAGTCCAACTTGAAGGATGAGCCAAAACTTAGCTGTCCTTTGATAGATATTTTTCGGGATGCGCAGCGGGGACGTTGTCATTCAGTCACAACATGAAAGTGGGGACTTTCTTGAGCTAATACCTCCGGGGAAACTTGAGCTGGACATCCCCGTATTACTAGTCAACGGTCACGTGCATTGGCTCAACCTACGCACTCGTGCAATCGAATTTCGTCCAATGGAGAAACTGTGGGAGCCTTCCAGCGAGAACTGGGTATTGCAATTCACGAAGGACGGGCAGTCAGTTGCACGGCGGGGCCAAACAACTTTGTTTGACATTCGGAGTCGCGCGTTTTGCATGATAGCAAATACACTAGGCCCACTCGAAAACTCCCAATACCTAATTGTCACTAGCAGCGTGGACGAAGAAGTCAAGGTTGATCTCCCTCGGTTTGGACTCTCTTTCTTCATAGACAAAGATGGAGAATTGCATTCGCGGAACCAGAGAGGCATGGTTGTCGACAAAGATCAATCCACTGGTACAATGCTTGGACTTGTTAACCAGCTCGTTTTACGCCCAAAAGATCGACAAATTTACAGCGATCGTCGTGTCATCATCCCCCAGGGAAATGTGGTAGTAGAGCCCAGCGGTCATCATATCCGGATCACCATCCATGCTGGTCCTAATCATGTTCGCCGTCCCTACCACTGTTACACCGTTGACACAGAATTATGCCGCCTGACGGGAAATGTTGGTCTCACGAATAAACTGTACAAGGCGTACTTGCACGCCGTGTGCAGTGCCCATGTTCCAGATCCGTTGACTCGACGTACCGGTTTGGAAGAAGCCATGTGTTTGCTGCAATCCGCCGCATGTTTTTCCTTCATGAAGCTGGACTCATTCGACTGCGAGCTTCTAGCTCGGATAGGTTCCTTGACTGTTGATCGGACATGGTTCAGCAGAAGGTCACAGGAGGTCCACTGGCAATGTGGTTTATCATCTTATGTCCAAAGTTGCGCATTCTATCATGCTGTCAGGGACATAGTCCAATATGCACAGAAGCTGCAGGTGCTCAGCGAAACACCAGTTCTAGTTTGTCCAGATTTTCCAACACGCAATGAGTCCCTCCTGGAACGCGCCTCTCAGCGGTCCACTTTCCTTTACTCTCACGATCCAGTCAATTCCTTCTATCCCAGAAAATCGTCGAGCAGTGAATATACTTCCAGAGATGTTTACTGCTGCTCAATCGACGATCAAAACGCGTTTGATTGTGCACGCATGGTGTGCGACTGGAGCGTCACGCTTGAACCTTGCCAGGCGCTCTACGATGTCTTCGTTCAGTGGGGTGAAGTTTCTGGGGACACTCGCAATGTATCCCTTCGATATGATCGAGAGTGGTTGAAGCCTGATTTGGCTACGAGATGGATGTCTGTCTACGAACTTTGCTGCGACGCAGACCAGGAGACTCACACATTTCAACTCGCTTTCACGTTACCAGCCATGGCTTACTCCTCCCCGGAAAATGTGGGACTTGCTGCAACCATGTTTGCGTTTGCGGCTAATCCAGAGTTCCGTGCAATCTGCTCCCCCAGATATGATATATACGATCTTTCTTTTGGGATCATACCCCTTGAACAGGATCTCTGCCACCACATCTCTTCTCATACTACCTTCCACAGAAGTCCCGAGGCGTCGTGGTCTAGTCACGACAACGAGTCATCCCACGACTTTAATGATCGGCGGCAAAGGCACTTCCAATCCGAGTGTCTACGTGAACAGAAAGCGGCGGTTGGTGTCCTTCTTGATTGTTGGCCTCGCGATTCCATCCCTGCACATGCTTTGCAGTGTTTAAGTGGCTCCCGATACGACAAGCTCGCCCTTTGCGCTGCCCTTGAAAAGCAATACTCGAACTGCTATCGCAACCGGTGTCTGAAGGTATATCTGGATCGTGTGCAGAATGTGCTTGATGAAGCGAGGCAGACACTCATGCCCACCATCAAGCAATCATACGCATTCACCACGAGCAATTCAGATGTTATATCAGTCACCACCACCGTTCTTACCCAAGACCTGTTCAGAAAGCCTCCGCCAGTCATCAAATTACTTCCTGACCCTCTCAAGCGAAGTAACACTTTACTAAGCGACAGATCCCTTGGCGGCGGGCTTGATTCATCTCTATTGGAGGATGTTATATCGAAGTTCTCGCGATGTCGATCGGACCTATTCAGTGTCCACTATGCTGAACATCTAGAAGACAGTAGAATCGACCTAGAGAACGAACAATCACCCATTGTGCCAGACCCAACCCGCTGGACAGTTGACATGTTGCAACATCATCATATGTGGTGCAATAGGCTCTATAATAACGCCTTTCGCAGATTGGAAGAGCATCTAGCTCCCGTGGGTTTGGCGGAGGAAAGTTTATTCAATTCTGGGCAATGGCCGCGCATTACCGTCACATTTCTTCTTGGTCTTCTCGCCTCCACGTCAAAAACGCCTCTCTGTGACCCGTGGAAAGCCCCTTTGACCGGTTTCGTCCATATTCTTCTTCGACTACAAAGATCGCAACGACTTCTGAAGTTGAAGTTGGCGACTGGTGGGGACAATGGGGAGTTTCTAAAGGAGCTGGTGAATGACGGTCACATCGGACTGGATGGTACACAGAAATATCTGGACTGGCTTCTAATTCAGGTATTCAATGGTTGCCAACAATTGATACGATCGATCACTAACGGTACTAGGCAGAGAACCGATTTCTTATCCGTCCCATGCAAGCCAACGTTGCAATGGAGATGATTTCCCCAAGCTCTGGCGACAATACCACACTGCAGCTTCATATGGGGGAAGGAAAATCATCCGTGATCGTACCTGTCTGTTGTGCTGCACTGGCAGATCGCAGCAATTTGGTGCGGGTCGTCGTGCTAAAGCCTTTGGTCGTTCAGATGTTTCAGTTGCTTGTGGAACGGATCGGCGGCCTTACCAACAGGCGAATTTTCTACCTGCCATTCTCGCGTTCATTGCCCATTACTTCTGATCATGCAAACATCATCCAATCGCTCTTCGAAGAGTGCAAAGCTGTTGGCGGTATCCTCGTTGCTCAACCAGACCATATCCTCTCTTTTAAGTTGATGACCGTGGAGCAACAGCTTCCGCCCACAAATGCGGTCGGACAATCCTCAGCAGAGCTGGCCACGCCCTTGCTGAATACTCAGCGGTGGCTTGATATGCACACTCGTGACATACTGGACGAGAGTGATGAACTGCTGCATGTCCGCTTCCAACTTGTCTACACCATGGGCGACCAACAGCACTTGGAAGGTTATCCTGATCGATGGACCACAACACAACAGGTGATGACCCTTGTGGCAAAGCATGCTCGCCTCCTTCACCAAGAATTTCCTCTTGGAGTAGAGTTCCAGCCAGGCGCTACTATCGGAACCTTCCCACTCAGAGTCTTGGACGTTCGCGCAGGAGAAAGACTGGTCGAGCTAGTTTGTGACGACATTCTTGCCGGTAACCTTCCAAATTTCGCATTCGGACATGTTCCACCTCGTATGATAAATTCCATCCGCAAGCATCTTACCCTCTCGACTATTGACCCGCAGCTCCTTCGCGATGTCCGGAATTATTGCGCTGGGTCCAGTCTGTGGAATGGACTACTGCTCATTCGAGGACTCCTCGCACACGGCATACTGATCTACACGCTGAAGGATCGGCGTTGGCGCGTAGATTACGGTCTGGATCCTCAGCGTACAATGCTCGCCGTGCCTTACCGTGCTAAGGATGTTCCCTCACCTCGGGCAGAATTTGGGCATCCAGACATCGCAGTCGCACTCACATGCCTTTCGTACTACTACGGAGGCCTCACTGAGAAACAGGTGGCCCTCTGCTTCCGCCAGCTACTCAAGCAAGGCAATCCTGCATTGGAATATGAGACGTGGATCAAGGGGTTGTCTTCAGATTCACTTCCAGACAATCTGCGACGCCTCAGTGGAATCAATATGGAGTCTACTGAACAGTTCACTGATTGTTTGGTACCTCTCTTCGGGCGCAACAAGGCCGTCGTAGACTTCTTCTTGGCTCAGTTCGTCCTTCCAAAGGAAGCCAAGGAGTTTCCACACAAGTTATCTTGCTCTGCCTGGGATCTTGCAGAGCGAAAGTCTTCCGGATTGCCTACCACGGGCTTCAGTGGAACAAATGACTTCCGCTACTTGCTACCCGCCACCATAACGCAGCATCCACTAGACCACCAGCGCGGTACGAACGCCAGAGTCCTCGGTCACCTTTTGCAGCAAGAGAATGATCATTATGATTCACTTGCTGCCGGCGGAAGCGCTGGAAAGCTCCTCAATGTCATCGCGAAGCAGTCGCCTGAAATACGCGTCTTGCTCGACGTGGGTGCACAAGTCCTTGACTTACAGAATGACGAGGTGGCGAAGATGTGGCTGGACATCAATCAAGATGCTCAAGCGGCAATTTATTTCAGCGAGCACGATGAGCTTGTGGTGCGCACTCGAGATCATGTTATAGAACCATTTTCCGCATCTTCCTTTGCTCAGCAAGTGGACCAGTGTGTATTGTATTTGGACGATGAACACACCAGAGGAACGGACGTGAAGTTGCCTCGGGGATTCCGCGCAGCTGTCACATTAGGGCCGAAGGTCACCAAGGATCGCCTTGTCCAAGGTGAGGACGCAATGTATATGTTCATTAATAGCATTTAGTAACATATTACTAGGTTGCATGCGTATGAGAAAACTCGGCCACGGCCACTCAGTCATGTTTTTCGCACCTCCAGAAATAGATCGCAGCATCCGAGCGGTGAACAACAAGCACGATGAAGACATTGACATTCATGTATCAGATATCCTCGTGTGGGCGATGACTGAAACGTGCTCGGACATCCAACATCGTGCTTCACAATGGCTTCAGCATGGTGTAGATTACCAGTCTCGCCACAGTGCATGGTCGTCGTTCTTATCCGGCGATATTACACCCACCGAACTTACCCGTTCGTGGCTACAGCCAGAGGCCAAGCACTTGGAAGAGCTATACGCTCCAGCTCTGACTAATACATCTGCTTCACACACATCGCTAGACGAAGACCTTCTGGAGAGATGCAACAGCCTCGGACTAGGCATTTTGTCTGACAACCGCCTGGACGAAGAGCAAGAGAGAGAAGTAGTACATGAGATTGAGCGCGAGAGCGAGGTGGAGAGACCACCACCGGTGTTGGCTGCTACCCATGGCATTGACGAGGACGTCCGGTACTTCATCCAAACAGGCACCATTCCGGATGGATCTTGTGCGTTCACTGCCGTTTTCGACACCCTCACCACCACTTCAGCTGCTTTCTTCGGGCGCCAGCCATGGTCACAGGACGTGTTTGCCTCGAGGGATTTCGCTACAACCGTTCTGACCGAAGAAAAAACGGACAGCTACATACGCCCAGTTAACTGGATTCTTTCAAGTACAGCATCCGGCACGCAGGTGCTAGTCGTTGTCAGCCCCTTCGAGGTTAACGTTTTGTTACCTGACATTCAAGCAAGTAAGCAAGTTCACTTGCACGCTTATACACCTCGCGTCATCAAGATGATGAAGTCGTGCGACGACTTGCGCCTTTACATCACCCCATCAATTTCCCCACGATGGACGCCAGATGACACCCTCATCCGCCAGCTCAACGTCTTTGCTGGACAACTATACTTTCCTCACCAGTCCGCATACGTGAAATTATGTCGCCTCTTAGGGATTTATACTGCAAATCTCAGATATCAGGGTATCTTTGAGATTCAAAGTGATGGATTCATCAAACCGGAGCATCGGCCTCGCACTGCGGATTCCCTTAACACCTTCCAACAATCGCCTATCCCCATGTTGAAAGCGCTTTTCGGTATCCGTCGCAAGGGAATGGGGTACTTGCCTACGCACATCGGAAAGCTATTGGATGCTCGATGTTTGACGAGCGAGGACTTCCAAGAGATGGCTTGAACTGTAAGTTACACTTCTTCTGTATGCAAACGCTCATTGACACATGCGCAGCTACCCTTTAGTGATATTCAGTGATTAGAAACAGGAAAATGTCGTGCATGAACGTTTTTCATATCCATTATCTTCTTGCAGGTCTTCCAAACTACATAATGACTTTCGTCGATTTTCATTACTGCATTACCGTCAGGGCTACTCAATCTACATACCATATTATATTTTCTTCAGATTTTGTATAGTATTCGGCTAGAAGTTAACGTTGGTCCTAGTATGAGCACGCCAATGTCAACTGTATCGTCAGGGAGTAGCCCTCCGTCTCTATTACGAGGACCTCGGTACCATGGAAAGGCTGCACAACACAAGACTGGTGAGAATCTGTTCGAGCTGCTTTAACTCAAAGGCTACCAGCAATCCTAGAACAAACCTACCTCCTCCCTTCCGGGTGAAGGAATGGACATTACATCTTTGAACGCATGCATCCTTGGTCTGACTCTCTGTTGTGACAAAGAGTACTATTACACGGACGCTAGAAGGTACGATGCGTGCATTGGAACTGTACTGCGGTTCAGCCTCGGCAGCGCAGACCTCGTCGAAGTTATCGAATATGGGTATGGAGAGGCCGAGTCATCGTGTTCACAAAAAGAAAAGAATTGTCCAAGCACATATGCGCTCATCTGCTTTCAGCCTGCACGCGATCTCCTTCGCAACCGATGTCTTGCCCATCAGAGGTGATACATACATCATGTACACACAATAAAGCCACTGTCGAGCCGATAGAACAGGTCTATGTTGCAAGGTAAATGCATCAGAATCCGTCAGAACCAAAATCTGGCACACATTTCACCCCGAACAATATCCTTGCATGTACGGCGTAGTTGTCATCAAGTCTTGTCGTGGCCTTGAGGATCTCAGATACCCCTTGTAGATGAATTGACGATTCCTAGGGTATCACTAGATCTGCGGAAGGTGAAGGCGAGAATGACGATGCAAATGCAGGACTAATGAGATGATCAGCGTATGTCGTAGCCAAGAAACTATAGGAGCTTACTCGTCGGTTTATCGTGCTCTTCCTGATCGGACACGTGGGAGCGAGACCGTACCAGCAAATTCCAAACTATGAGCTATGGCGGATGTCGCACAGGAAAAAAAAGGCAGCGCGCTAAACGAGATTACAATCTTCCACGATTTGTGGAATCATCTCTAGAGCCTCTATTCCATGATTGCCTGCGCTAGAGTTGAATGAGGCAAGGGAGGACGCAGAGGCCATGCGTATGCCTCTTCTCTAACCATCGATGGGCTTGATGTGGATAGGAAAGGTTTGCAGATGCTGTGATAACAGCTAATTAGAGTAGTTCCAATTGAAGAATGCGGTCGTATATTGATATTGGGAGATAATGAGATTGACGAGCGATTATTTCATCCAAGAGGTACCCGCTCGGAACATGCTGAACATGAGGACATGGCTCGGATGGGGCTCTGAGCAGTATTACTTTGGGAGCATTGAATTTCCGACGCAAAAATGAAAAACACGTGACTTTTGAATTGGCTCGATTAGTCACGTGATGCTGTGCAAAGCAATGCACCGGGAGGTTACTAGGTTAAGGAAGGTATGACAGGATGCTGTTCTTTGACCATCCATCGCCTCTTGAGCTTCAGTCAGATCAAACTGAATTCTCCGCCGATCAGCGTTTTAAACCGCCTATTCCTAATCACCGCGCAGCTTTCACAAGACTGCACTGCTTCCAGAAACTAGAATAACTCCATTTGTCTATAAAGGCGCATCTGAAGACACACATCATATTATGGTCATCGTCGAAGAGAAGTGCATGCAGTCTATTCCACCTCCTCCCTACGTCCCTAATGCCAGCTCTCTACCCCCACCCCCCTTCCCGGGTGAACATCGTGGAGCAGCGAAGCCATCTGACCTACCTCCACACCTATTGTTAAAGATCGTGTATATGACATTTCCACAAACACCTGGGATTGACGAGGGAAAGATCGAACGGCAGAGAAAGACACTTTGTTGGCTCTCCACACAACTCCGACTGGTTAATCTCTCATTTTACGTTGGTGCGTGCTGTTCAAGTCCTTTGACCGTGACGGCCGGAACTCACATTGCCAATGAAGCGTGTGAGCATGTACTGCGCTCCACATATCTACCGGCATACAATTCGATGATACGCTCTCCCTATTCATCCGATCCATTTCCATTTTCTTCCTCAGCTTCTACTTCCTCTTGCGATACCCTGCAACGGGAGACCAAAGTTCTTGACCTCTTCATCGCACTCAAGGTCCACGAAGATGTTATGGTTGATGACTCATCACTTCACCTCGAGCGAGAGGACTCGTTCAAAGACCTTTTTGACCTCATGCAACCGCGCAGCCGGCTAGAAGACCTTGTTCGACACTATGGTCTCCGCGAGGGAGTTGTACACACAAACCCATCCGGAGTGAATGTTTCGTCTTCATCGTCCAGTATTTTCAGGTTGAATAACAGCGGAACTGGATCTGCGAGCACAAGCAAACGGACATCAGACCCTGCACCACTACCATTCAGCGCGCTATCTATTTCGTTCTCACCGAGGCGAGTTGGCCTCGTGCTAACGACTTCAGGTAGGAAACGGACGATTGTGGATGTAGCACGGACGAGAGATGAGAAGCTAGAGGTCACTGCAAAGAAACTTGTGCGGCAACTGAAGGTTTGGCTCAGCGATGGTTCAAGGTCTAGTGGCATCATTTAGTTTCAGATTCCTTGCTTCCACTGCTTATTGATAGTACGGTGCTAGATCAAACTTCGGACTCATGATGGTGCACAAGCGTAGTCTACCCTAGACCGTGTCCAGTTAGTCTTGCATGTGGACGTACTAGTTACTGGTACATACCTTCTGCAAGGGTGAACAATGCATGATGTGGGTAAAATAATTAATGTAGGACTGCTCCATGAAAAATAAAGAACGAATTATCAAGCAAATATCAAGCACTTGGCTGAAACTGGTGCCCAAGATGCTAAGTCACGGTGGCGGGATGGAGTCGCCATACTCAGCTACAGTGAAAAAAGATAGATTATGACCTCACTGCGGCGTATGTTTCGCCCACCCAGCCTAAGCATGTGCCACCAATTGGCAATGATTCTGTCTTTCGAAGTTTGGGGTCTATTGGGGAATCCCACAAAGTTCGTAGGCAGTACGGTTTGAACACATTGTCAGGGATGGAGCGGGCGTGGCGTCCAATACTGTTCAATCTCCGGTAGCTTTAAGACGGGAACAACCCGAGTCTGGTCCAAAGAAGCGATCGTGGCTTTAGTGAAATCCCCTCGCAGGATGATGATATGAATCAAACTAAAAACAAGTACTATAGAGCGCAACAAGTATGGCAACATACCCGACAGTAGTACGTCACCGGTAGAAGTCGCTGTCTAGACTGGGACCCCGTTCACTAAACTAGTCCCGCTTTGGGTCTACCCACTTATTTGTAGTAGCATGAGTCTAGAAGTGACTGTAGACACACAGTAATACTCAAGAGTCAATTGATCGTCTACGAAATGCCCAGGCGCGCAAGAGTACACTTTGTATCGCTGAAATCATCCCTGGTCAATCTCCCAATATCAGTATACGGTCCCCTTCTCGAGAGACAGATTGTATGTTTACATTGTTTCTCCGTCTCATACCTGGACTCTGACTTCGATTGGAATTATTATTGCAGCGTCCGCAAACCCTTGCTGTCCACTTAAAACCTACCGATGGCGAGGGAAGAGAGGCGTATGTTGGCTGGACCGGCATGGCTTCTGCATCCTCCCTTGCCTCATTCAACTCTACCGCAGGCGAACGTGGAATAGAGACGCTAGAGATAGATCCACAGTACGCGGCAGGCTTGGGCTTCAAAGAAGGAGATGTGGTGCGTTCTTTATTCCCTCGCACAACTGTTACTTCCTCCGGCTGATGGTGTAGCTTGGATCGGCAGGTAGAATTAGGTTTACTATATGACCTCCCATACGCGAAGACAGTGGGCACTGAACCTCTCAGTGCAGATGACTGGGACATAGTAGTAGGTCTTGACATCCCTGCTGACTAGCTGGCTTGACTCCACCTATCCCAGGGACTGCATGCAGCGCACGTTGAAGGTACTCTCCTCTCTCAAGTGCGAGTTGCGAATGTCGGACAAGAGATCAATGTTTGGGTGCTCGGGCGGACGAGAGTACGACTAAGAATTGGTGCGTGCCATCATACTATCTTATTCACATTGATATCCCCTACTGATCTTCCCTCAATCACAAGTCTCGCTCGACACGTCTGTGACCGCAGCGCTGCTCACAACCGATACCGAGGTTAGCATTGCCCCCAAGTCGCACAGGAAATCGAAAACCGAAACCAAAACCTCGTCTTCAACAAGCTTAGAACACGGAACCGTTGCGCCAACGCAGGACAAACCCTCATATCCATCTGAAATTCTCCGAACGCTCCCTGCGCGCCTTGTCAACGTCCCCGAAATGACTAATCTACGCGATACCAAAACGCGCGCATATATTCATCCTTACACTCTATCGTTGCTTACAGGGACTCGGTACATCCCGTTCGACCCAAATCCTGACCCTCCACGTTCGGGTTGGTGGTGCGCGCATGCACGTAGGCTTGAGCCACCCAAGGATCCAACAGATACCATAAATTCCGGTACCGGTAACAACACCAGCATCAAGCCAAGTGCTGAAACTGAGCAGGATGATGGCGATGCAAAGGTACTGCACCCGGGATCAAAAAGAGAGTTGGGGGCAAAACATGATGAAGGGAACGGAAAGAACGGGTGGGAAGTGTGGCTGGGAATCTCTGATCGCGTTTTGGAGACCCATGTGATGTTTGTCGGTGAAGTGAAGGGTGGGGTCGGGGACTGGGATCTCGTTCGGTGCGCTGCTTTCTTTTCATGTGTAGTTCCACCACCACCATTGCTAATATAGTAACTTTGTAGGATATCGCTCACGGGTGCCCGTGAGCAGGGGCCTGTAATCAATGGAAACCTCGATGAGTACGCTCGAACATTCCCTTGATTACGACATAAGCTGATCATTACGTTAGTCCAGCGTCCCCATCATCCTCGCCTTCAGCTTCCGCAGTGATCTCACCAGAACTAGTGACGCCCTCTGAACCATCGCTTCGCTTATCAGGTGTCTCCAATATTATCGAAGATACGACAAAGACTTGCGTCGCGAACTACGCCGTACATGCGCGCAAGGATGTCATTCGGGGAGGTATGTGTATCAGATCTTGTTTCTGGCACATTCTGATGCATCTTTCATCCTTGCGCTTCCACATGTACTACAGTTCCTGGCATCCTAATAACAGGCCGTCAGGGAATGGGCAAGACATCAGTTGCGAAAGAGATCGCGCGCAGACTGGAAGCAGATGAGCGCGTGTATGCCTGTGAGTGGGATACTCTATGCTCTAATGCTTTTCTAGCCTAACCAATTTCGTTGCTGCTTGAAATCGTCGATATCAAAAAATATTAATCAGCCATACATTATATTGACTTCTCCCCGCTCGCATCCAAGCCCGCTCAAACCCTCGGTGCACTCTTTCGCCACCTCTTTGTGCTGGCACGATGGCACAGCCCCTCTGTCCTCATCTTTGACAATCTTGACAAAGTCTGTGCTGCCGAGGTCGAACACGCGGATTCTTTCCGCCAGCGACATATAACGGAGCTCTTCCTCATGCAATACAGCTCCAACGCACGCCTTGCACCATCTAACTTCCGTGGTATCGTACTCCTCGCCACAGCAGAAAGCCAGACTAGCGTGCACTCGCTACTACATACACTGCATATCTTCAAGGATGTCGCCTCCATTCCTCCCCCGGGAAGGGAGGCGCGGAAGGAGGTGGGTTTCTCCTTGATTATTGGTACCTTTTGAGTTGAAGCGATTTGAACAGATTCTCGCCAATCTTGTGTCACGCCGGCTTTCCATGGCTAAGGAGCCACTGTCATTTGTTGTCGACAAATCGGACCCGCCTGAGTACACTCGGTTAGCGGTAGGGACGGAGGGCTATTCCCCTGTGGACTTGCGGGACCTTGTCACGCGGACGATACAGGTCGCTGTTGGGCGGGCAGTGTCAGAAGTGGGCGCAGATGTTGAGAAGGTGAGAATCACCCGATGCGCATGTTTCACTATTTGACAATTGTCTGGGAAGGTCACACTTTCGGCGAAAGATTTTGTAGAGGCCCAAGAGGGATTTGTGCCTCTCTCACTGAGGGATGTGCCCTTGCAAAAGTCGGACGTAGAGTGGGCTGACATTGGCGGTGTGTGTTTCTCTTCGAGGATTATATCGTCGGTTCATTAATTGTGGCGGTACAGGCTTGAAGGACACCAAGCTCGTGTTGAGGGAGACCCTAGAGTGGCCGACGAAGTATGCTCAATTGTTCAAGCAGTCTCCGCTGAGGCTCAGATCTGGGTGCGTCTATAATGCTCTTTATTGTGGATGCAATTTATGGAAGGAATGTAGGCTACTCTTGTACGGCTATCCTGGCTGTGGAAAAACGCTACTTGCGTCAGCCGTCGCGAAAGAGTGCGGGTTGAACTTCATCAGTATTAAGGGTCCAGAGCTATTGAACAAATATATCGGACAGAGTGAAAAATCAGTACGCATATATGAGGTTTTTCAAGGAAATACTTACTCTGTTTAGGTGAGAGACATTTTCGATCGTGCGTCGGCTGCCAAACCCTGCGTGCTCTTTTTCGATGAGTTTGACTCGATTGCACCAAAGAGGTGAGTTTATTGTTATGTGCTCTATTTGCTGTGAATATAAATGTTTGTGTGCAGAGGACATGACAGTACGGGCGTGACAGACCGCGTGGTAAATCAGATGCTAACCCAGATGGATGGTGCCGAGGGGCTTGATGGAGTCTATGTCCTCGCTGCAACGAGGTGGGTTACCTCCATTGAGCGCGTCGTTTGATTGTTGATCTTGCGCAAGTCGGCCAGACCTCATCGATTCCGCACTGCTTCGTCCCGGTCGGTTGGATAAATCTTTGCTATGCGATCTGCCTGATATTGAGGACCGAAAAGACGTCAGTGCCCCACTGTGCTTCATATATCACAATATTAACATTGTCTTGTACACCTGCTCAGATTTTGGTTGCAGTATCCCGGAAGCTAACGCTTGCTCCCTCTGTGGACTTTGATAAACTTGCAAGTGTTACTGAGGGCTTCTCGGGTGCGGACCTGCAGGCGCTTGTATACAATGCGCATCTGGAGGTAGTGCATGCTGCTATAGATGCTGAGGAGGCGGATGGTAATGGTGGAGATGGTGTCGGGGCGGGCCGGAGGAGGTTGGGCGTGGGGCTCAGTGACGAGGTCCCGGTAAAGTATATGGTACTGGGCGCTAGGAAGGATGCAGCGAAAGAGGCGTCTAAGGCAGACGAGACGAAAATGAAGCAACGAGTAAGAAACTGCGCTCGTATTGGCACAGATCTTTCTGACTGATATGTTTCTAGCTGCAAAAAATTAGGGTGTCGAAATCTGGGGGGGCGGAGGCTGATAGCCGGGCCGTTGTGACGCCCAAGAAGGTTTGTGTTTCTTGCTTTTCTCATATAGACCCCTCTGATCACTGACGTTTTCTGCAGCACGAGATCACTCAAGAGCATCTATTGAAAGTGCTTAAAACGACAAGGCCGTCTGTTTCGCGCGAGGAACAGGTAAGGCTAGGCAGAATGTGAGCGTCTTCTTTTTCATGAAGTGTCGATGGTTATTCATTATGGGCAAACTAGATATCGAGAGTTCGTGTCAGATCGAAGTGGCGGTGAGAAGACATTCCCAACGCCAGTCGGTGATGGTGGGGTGGGGAGTCGAGCGTCACTGGGATGATAGGCGCCGTGGCGAACTTGGCTGCATGAGTCCTCTGCCCGGTAGCAATCATTGTCCAACGTTGGATTCAAGCACACCCCAACCTTCAGTGCAGCAGCTTGTTTCACGGCCACATTAGAAGCATCATTGCCTTGAGAGACATAGCTACTCCGGCTGAGTCTCTCGTATGCAGACCCTGAGATAAAAACGGTCGTTTCCTTTTACATTAGGACTCAGGAGTGGGGATACGCTAAACGTGGGTAATACTTAGCGCTTAGTGCTTAGCACCCAGATTTTGACAGTTTACAAATGTGCTTGTCATCGCGTGTTGCTCTACAATTTGTTCTGTCTATAGATAAGACATTAAATTTAATTTACCGGGTTCGGGCCCCTGCTGCAACCAAGTACTAGACTAGTATGCTGTGCTGCGAGGCACGTTGGCCCATGGTTTCCGGGTCTCGGGACCCCGAAACGCGGCACCTGTGCTTTATTCACAACCAACACGATCTCACATACAGAACTCGTTGAATTTTTTACAAGTAGAATGGGCCCATCGAAGAAATCCCAGAGACGTGCTAAAGCACCATTGCCAAGTACGTCGATCTTGATAGCAACAATTAATGATGGTTTATTGACGTTGCTAACCCTAGTGAGGTCGCGCACGACAAGATCCAAGGGGAGAGTGAGTGTCACGCATGTCATCCATGCACCCTACTCACGTTTCGTCTGTTCTGATATTCCACACAGCCCATAACAGATCCAGAACAGAACACTCAGCTTCTTACGGAGCAACTTCGCTCGCAGGGTCTCTACGCTGCACAAACAGTGGGCGATGGCAATTGCCTATTTCGGGCTCTTTGTGATCAATTCTATGGTTCGCCGTCGCAGCACCTCCAGCTGCGCAAAGATATATGCGACTGGATCGAGAGCCATGCGCAGCGCTATCAGCCCTTTTGTGAGGATGAGCGCGGACTAAGCGCCCATTTGAGGTGCATGCGAGAACAAGGTGTGCCAGGGCTTGCCCCTCCCGATTTCTTCCTGTGCAGCGTTGTGACGCGCTATAGGCACTTATGGCGGGCACCTTGAACTTTCTGCATTTGCGCATTTTGCGCGAAGGAATGTCAAGGTTATCCAGCCTGGATTGGTATATGTCATCGAGTGGAAGGCGGGCGCCGAGAACGATGACCAGTCGTCATCTCAAGATAACGAGCGAGATGCGCGGAGGAAGAGGAGGCAGCAGCAGCGCGATGAAATGAACGAATCTCAGGAGTCAGAGGGGACGATATATGTGGCGTCAGTCATTTCCCCTAGCATACCTAGGCCGCGTGCTGACCCGCCATTCCAGATATCATGACTGGGAACATTTTTCTTCGATACGAAACTTGAGAGGGCCGCACACTGGTCTTCCCGAGATTTGCGAGCTACCCGCCGATGCAGTACCGCCTGCCGCTTCGCCTGTCAAGAAGAAACTAGTCTCCCGGGGCAAAGCCAAATCTGATCCCAAGAATTTTCCCAAGAATAGTCCAATCGACAGTATTAGATTGAATCGTGAAAATACACCACCAACACCTGCCCATGTCCCACTCCCCATATCCCGCTCCCCCTCACCACTTTCTTCCACTGATTCCTTGAGCATTGAGGCGGACTCGTTCCTTCCCGTCCCCGGTCAGCCGACCGGCACCCATCGGCCTTTCACGTCGAGCATTAGAGCTCATCGGTCACCTAAGCGTTCCTTCGACGAATCGTCTGGATCGTCGACATCTGACTGCGATCTCCAAGCGAACGCGAAACTCACGGCGATCGCCCTCTCGCACACCCTTGAGTCAAGTCAAGGCAGATGATGATATGGATGACTCGACACCTGACCTCTCCACCCCTGGCTCCTCCGCAGAATCCAGCCGTTCATCATCTGCTGTTTCATCTCCGCTTCCTAGTACCCCTCCCGCATGTAACACACCGCCTCCCGAAACCCAGAAACCCCTTACTCGACGCCAGCGTAAGGCTCTCGGGCTTCCAAAGTCACGCACTGCGTATATGAGCGCAGGAAAGATTGTCATTCCTGGCGGGAAATTCAAGAAAGCTTCCAAAGCGGCTGATGAGGAATGGCAGACGAATGGCACCGGGCGGCTTGACGTGCGCGGATTCCGCGAGCTCAAGATCTAGCCTTTACGCATCATCAAAGTCCCCACCACGAATCTGCACGCATATTTTTACGCCCCTTCATCTAGAACATTGGTCATATCCACGCAGTGATACCCAACATATATCATAATTTGCATTCTCATCATTCACTCCCCCATCCACGAATATGTTTACGGCAGTTCTGGTGACCTGGTGCGGCGTCATTTCTGTGTTACTGTGTCGCGTACGAGCACTTGGAGACTTCATAGAAGTTCGGACATCTGCACCGCTGTATTTTAGCGAATCGCATATGTAAGCGGAGTGTTATTATGACGCTTACAGTCACTTGCGTATTCATGTACTCCAGAGAAAGAGATCACAGAACTCGCACGAGCAGCATTTTAGCAACTGGTTTTGCGAGTGCTTTTTATATTAAAACGAAATCTAAGCGCATGGCATAATATGTACTGCAAGTAAATTCAGGCATAGAGAGACTTGAAAGTGTACATGGTGATACTTGAAAGCGTAGCCTAGAAGTCAAACGACATCCTCATTCCGTGCATCTCTCCTTTACGATGCTGAAGCTCAGAAGAGAGAAATTAACTGCCTCCCATTGTGGCATCACTGCCTGCTTCTGGGGGAAAAATTTCTTTGGAGCCGAATACCAGCAATCAAGATCAATCTTCTTCAGGTTTGGGAAGAGGCCATTGAGGATTAGAGCCACTTGTGCCGGGGAATCAACGGGCGAATTGCCGAGGACGAGGTTTTTGAGATTCTGATTGCGGATTCCACCACTGGGGGATTTGAGATCTATACCGTGCCTCAGGGTGGTATCGATGACAAGAGTGAGTGAAGTCAGAGCAGGGCAGAGCTGGGGTAAACTGATTAGCGCGTGGAATGTAGGTATCGCGGTGTCCTTGATGGAGACAAAGCGGCTGATAGCCAGCACTTCAAGCTTAGGCCATGCTCTTATCAGCTTGCGAAGCTCCTTGTCAGTCATGGAAATATCACAGCCATTCTCAATGAGCAGCCGAGTTAAATTGCGACATGGATATAATGGCGTGAAGATGTCCGGTTTTGCATTAACTTTGATGGAACTATTGAGCGAGACTGAACGATACAAGATTGTCGTGATCGCATATCTTGCCGAGGGTAGCGAAGAACTGGTGTAGCGTCGCAGATGGACTTGTGAAGGGGCGAGTGGGGATGAAGCGGATCTGGATGCTTTTGCTTCCGATGACCTGGAGCGACTTCAGGAATTCCAAGGCGTGCTCGAGATCGGTGATGAAAAACATCAAGAAATCTAAATCGCGAAAGCCGGGGGATCGCAAGTGCAACCGTCTTTCCCAAACTGACGATGGTTCCAAGTCCAACCACAGTTTACGCAGAGCTCGCAGCTGCGCAAGGTGCTCATTGCCTTGGTCTCCTAGGTCCCATACAAACAATTCCCGGAGATGGTGGAGTTGTGAAATAGATTGGGCAATGAAAGGTGAGGCCTTAAGGACCATGTCCGAGTCGTCTGTTGGAGATCGAGATTCCACAGACATTCTCTGGAGTTGAGGGCACAAGGTCCCAAGAGATGAAAGGACCGAGAGAAATATGGAGGAAGCTGAATAAATCACCACGTCTAAGGACAACAGGGTGGGCACAAATGCCATGCGCAAGAATTCTGCAGCACAGTGCGTTTCATCTGCATGCCATTTTAATCTGCGAAGGTTTGGAAACATGAGAGCAGGTGCCAAAGGACAAGACAGTATTAGCGAAGCGAGGGGCTTAATAATCGCCAGGGAGTCTAATTGTGTGATGGAGCGCACGCGAGACGTGTATTTGCGAAGAATATTCCATGTCTTGGCGTCAAGAGGTTTTCGTAATGCCTGCGTTGGTGAACTCGGTTAGAAGCGGATGATCATATGAAATTGGGACACCTACTATATGTCCTTTCTCAATACCAAACAGGTTGCTCGGTAGACATTTGACAAGAGGCTCCACGGACTCCAGATTCCTCCAAAGGACATCAAGCGCTGGGCCCTCGAAGATGCGGCATGTGGATGCAAGGGCAGAAAGTGACCCGCGGTGTACGTATAAACAGATTGTGCATATGATATCGAAGTTTTGCAAGGCAGAGTGCATCACCAAAGATGGGGATGAATCAACGGAAGATGGAGTCTCTGGGGGAGAAGGAGTGGGAGAATTTGTTCGAGAGGGCGCCTCAATCAGTGGCTCGTCGTCAGATACGGCTGCTAAGTTGACCGCATCAGCACGTCTCTCGGTACGCCTGCGGTTACGCTCAACCCTCAGCGCGTTCTCTCTGGCGACTGCGTTCAACTCATCTGGGGAGGTTTTCTCAGAATCGTCGATCCGATCAGCAACAGATCCGCCATCATCCGACACATCAGCCATTTAAATGCGTGCAGTGAGCGACTATATTGATGAGTATAGTGAAAGATCAGCTCAATCGATGGCGACCATGAAGGCAAGGATGTAGCACTCATTCCTTAGTAAACAATTACTTGTAATGTGACCAGCGCTTAGACAATGTCTATTGTTAGTGACTGAAAAGACGCCTTCAGATGTAGTCGACGAGTCAGGCGATGAAGCTAAGAGCTATCAGTTGCATAATTTATCGGGGCGATACTGGCGGACGCCGGGAGCAATGCAAGGGCGATGTTTGCAGCAGTGTACGCGAATTGGATACAGATCACGAATCCATGATAGGTCTAAATAGATCCCTGAAGATTAGTCTAGAGCGTGAGTGAGCCATATATGTGGCGTGAATGAAGATGTTCTCACATAAGAATACACCAATATCTAAACCGCATGTGTTATGCTGTACCCATGACCCATGTATCAAGCCATCAGAAGATGACCCTCGTTGTCCTCGATGCGGAATGTAATACAGGAAGTGCTAAGTTCACTCTCCAACACAACCCGGTGGTTCTCCCGTAAATCTTCTACGGCGTGCGCGTGCAGCAATCGAACAATCTTGAGCGATATGTACCAGTACAAAGAGCAGCAAATAGTTGCTTAAAATGGAACGCAGGTGCCTTGCATAACTTGGTTAATGTAGTCCCAAATATGAAACGGAAGGCCTCAGGCCTCAGGGTGAGATTCGGATTGATTTCCGTCCATGAACGGATGTAAACGACGAGGTCGTTCAAAGACAAACAACATTCACTGAGCAGATCCAGCTCTTTTTAAGACAGTTGGGTTGAAGCGAATAATCGAGGTGCACAGCAGTAACATTCGCGCAGCTCAGCCTCACGAAATGTTTCCAAGTATGGTCAAGGAACGGAGGAGGGACTCGGATGCAGTCGTAGGTAAGTTTTCGGAGAGCCGGCAAGTGGTTGGCGTCTGTCGTCTGGCAGGTAATCCCGCAAAAAAACCAGAGAAGAGATCACGGAATTTGGCAACTGTTTTGCGAGCGCTTTGTATTTAAACGAAATCTAAGCGCATAGCATAACATGTACTGCAGAAACCACGTAAATCCAGGCATAGAGACTTGAAAGTGTACAATGCGATACTCGAAAGCGCAGCCTAGAAGTCGGACGGCGTCATGTTTCCCGTGCATCTCTCCCTTACGACGCCGAAGCCGAGAAGAAAGAGGTTGACCGCCTCCCATTGTTCAAGGTGCATCGCTGACTGCTTCTGGGGTAACAAATTCTTTGGGGCCGAATCCCAACAACCAAGATCAACTTTAAGCAGGTTGGGGAAGAGGCCACTAAGGATTAGAGCTACGTTTAGCGGGGATGTCATGGGCGAATTGGTGAGAACAAGTTTCTCAAGATGGTTGTTGAAAATTCCATCACCAGGGGTTTTGAAATCTATACCATCCAGCTTGGTGGTATCGATGACAAGAGTGAGCGAAGTCAGGGCAGGGCAGAGCCGAAGTAAACTGATTAACCCGTGGAATGTAGGTATCGTGGTCTCATTGATGGCGACAAATCGGCTGATGTCGAGCACTTGGAGCTTAGGCCAGCCTCTCACCAGCTGGCAGAGCTCCTCATCAGCCATAGAAATGTTCCAGCTGCGCCCAACGAACAACCGAGTTAAATTGTGGCATGTATACAGTGGCTTGAAGATGTCCGGGTTTGTGCTGACTTTTGTCGATTCACGGAGACTGAAGGACATAAGATTGTTGTGGTCGCATGTCTCCCCGAGGACAGTGAAGAACTGGGATAGCGTCGTAGATGAACTTGTGGAGGGGTGAGCAGCGGTGAAGCGGATTCCAATGTTTTTGCTGTCGATGACCTGAAACGAACGCAAGAACTCCGCGGCATGCTCGAGATCGTCGATGAAAAGGACCAAAGAATACAAATTGTGAAAGCCGGGGAATTGCAAGAGCGACTGTCTTTCCCAAGCTGATGATGCTTTTAAGTCCAACCACAGTGTCAGCAGAGCTTGCAGCTGCATAAGGTGCTCGTTGCCTTGGTTTCCTAGGTCCCATACAAATAATACCTGGAGACGGTGGAGCTGGGAAATGGATTGTGCAACGAAGGGTGAAGTTTTACGAAGCAACTCGTTGGTTGCAGATGGGAACCGCATATTCAGTGTCTGGAGATGAGGACACAAGATTCCAAGAGACGAAAGAACTGAGAGAAATACGGTGGAAGCTGAAGAAATATTCATGTCCAAGGACAGTAGGGTGGGTACAAAAGCCATGCGCAAGAACTCTGCAGCGTAGTGCGTTCCATCTGCATGCCATGTTAATTCGCGAAGGTTCGGAAACATGGACGCAGGCGCCGAAGGACAAGACAGCATTATCGAACCAAGGGGCTCAATAACCGCTGAGCGGTCTGATTGTGTGATGGAGTGCACGCGAGACGTGTATTTGCAAAGAATACCCCATATCCTGGTGTCGAGAGGTTTCAGTAATGCCTGCGCATGTGAACTTAGTCAGAAGCCGATGATCACATAAAATCGGGACACCTACCATACGACCTAGCTCAATAGCAAACAGGTCACTTGGTAGACATTTGACAAGAGGCTCAACGGACTGCAGATTCCTCCAAAGGACATCAAGCGCTGGGCGCTCGAAGATGCGGCATGTGGATGCAAGGGCAGGAAGCGACCCGCGGTGCACGTGTGAACAGATTGTGCATATGATATCAAAGTTTTGCAAGGCCGGGTGCATCACCAAAGATGGGGATGAATCAACGGAAGATGGAGTCTCTGGGAGAGAAGGACCGGGAGAAGTTGTTCGAGAGGGTGCCTCAATCAGTGGCTCGTCGTCAGACACGGCTGTTAAGTTGACGACATCAGCACGTCTCTCAGCACGTCTGCGGTTACGTTCGACTCTCAGCGCGTTCTCTCTGGCGACTGCGTTCAACTCATCTGGAGAGGTTTCCTCAGAATTATCGATCTGATCAGCAACAGATCCACCATCATCCGACACATCAGCCATTTAAAAGCGTGTAGTGAGCGACTATATTGATGAGTATGGTGAGGATCAGCTTAATCGATGGCGAGCATGAAGGCGAGGATGCGGCACTCATTCCTTAGTAAGCAATACTTGGCTGGCGATGTAACTGGCGCTTAGACAATATCTATTGTTAGCGACTGAAAAGACGCCTTCAGATGGTCGAAGAGTCAGGCGATCAGTTGCATAATATATCAGGGCGTTCCTGCCTGTGGCGGACGCCGGGAGCAATGCCAGGGCGATGTTTGCAGCAGTGTACGTGTATTGGATACAAATCACGAATCCATGATAGGTCTAAATAGATCCCTGAAGATTAGCCTAGAGCGTGAGTGAGCCAATATGTGGCGTGAATGTAGATATTCTCACCTAAGAATACACCGATATCTAAACCGCATGTGTTATGCTGTACCCATGACCCATGTATCAAGCCATCAGAAGATGACCCTCGTTGTCCTCGATGCGGAATGTAATACAGGAAGTGCTGAGTTCACTCTCCAACAGAGCCCGGTGGTTCTCCCGTAAATCTTCCACGGCGTCCGCGTGCAGCAATCGAACAATCTTGAGCTTCGAACCCGATATGGTACGAAGAGCAGCAAATAGTTGCTTAAAATGGAACGCGGGTGCCTTGCGTAACTTGGAGTGTAGTCCCAGATATGAAACGGAAGGAGGAAGGGTGAGATTCGGATTGATGTCCGTCCATGAACGGATGTAAACGACGAGGTCGTTCAAAGACAAACAACATTCACTGAGCAGATCCAGCTCTTTTTGAAGACAATCGGGTTGAAGGGAGTAGTCGAGGTGCACAGTAGTAACATTCGCGCAGCTCAGCCTCACGAAATGTTTCCAAGTATGGTCAAGGAACGGAGGAGGGATGCAGTCGTAGGCAAGTTTTCGGAGAGCCGGGAAGTGGTTGGCATTTCTATCGTCTGGCAGGTAATCTCGCAAAAAGACCGACATGAGTGACACCGCCTGCAGCTTGGTCATAACGGGCACATCGAGTCTAACAGAAGGAGACTTGTCCCTCGCACTGGGCGAGCAAATTGGGCAGCGGAGCACGCTCAAATTTGGTGCTGCAGCCATCAACTTCATCAGATCCTCTCTAATAAGTGATCAGCAAGTGCCATACGCGCGATAGGGATGAGCCAATACCTGCAGGGGCGCAAAATGGACTCAGAACAATCAAATACGCGCAATGATGGACCGCAGGATTCAACTAGCGCTATAACGACCGATTCGGGTAGCTGCCGAAGCCAGGAATCATTATCGGGAAGCATAGGCATAGATAAATTGACGATCGACAAGTTTGGGAACCGTCGAATGATGTTGGCCAGGAGGGCGTAATCAGATGCCTCACAATGGTCATCCTGTATCAAAACATCAAGTCGTCTCGTCCACCACCCTACGTGAACGGAGCGGGCTGCCCCAGAGGATCTCCTGTTGAGGGCGACAAGCAAAGAAGACAGGGTAGCCGGGCGAGTGACTACGACGCTCCGATAGAGGAACTTGGTGGCGAGAGCGTTCCATGACCTACAGACAAGGATAATACTCCTCTTTGTGATAAAAGACTCTTTTAACAGTCTGTGCTCGTGATCTTGGACGAGGGGATGCGGAAGATCAGATGGGGTTTGGCCATCATAACTCAGCAGACCAGGGACATCGGTGGCGAGGCTAAATATTGTAATCCAAAGTTCAGGAGGAAAGGGAGGCGGATTGCGCGCAGTGGAATTGTCAGAGATTGCTAAAGTCATCTGGTCTAGTGAAGTTTTGTGCTGTAAAATTTGTTTATCACGTAAGACCGACTGATTAGAAAGTGGACGCAATATGGGCGTACCAGCAAGGAGAATCACGGGCCACTAAGGGAGCAACTATCTGAAGATAAAATCTAATAGATGAGGGTTTATATAGGTATCCCTGCCCTCAGTGCCCTGAGAGTTTAGGATGTGCAAATGAGTGCCCTTGGGAAATCGGGCGATACAAGTCACCTCGATTAGCCTCCTGTAATTGCCTGTAGTATCTCATATCAGTGCCAGTGATCCGGAATATGCATACCGTATCTGATTATTCCATTCTACGCAGGGTGGGAGTTCATGGGAGCGATATACATTTTCAAAGAACCTTCGCCTTCGACAAAGTTGGCAAAGTCGTGTGAATAACATACTGTCCCCAGACACTCCGCGGGGACCCTCACTAACCAAGTTACTAACTACCGCATGCATTTCTCATGTCTGCCCCCGCCTGCGACTTATCGCTGTTCTAACACCACGGAATCCGACATGAGGCATGAGCATCCATATTACTTGGTCTCTTCGGCCCTCACGGACAAGGGACCCCAGTGTCCCCAACAAGTCACAAAGGCTCTGGTAGTGTGAGGCGTACCTCTGCCAGTCCGCTGCAGAGCGAACCTACGATCGAAGTCTTCGACACGCTGAAATTCGTGGTCATCCTCGTCAACTTAGGGTTATCAACCGCATCCATCGCACTCGCTATTTCCTTCAGAGTGGTTTTTCGATCTTCAATAGCTACTCCCATTGTGCATAGAAAGTACAACAATCAATCAAAACAGAAGATTATGGTCTTATCGAGTAAGTTTTGCCCTCAAGCGACACAGCCTGAGCATGTACCACCAATAATCTGCATTTTTCCTATTTCGTCTCTATCTTTCGAGCTTCGGGGTCTATTGGGGAATCCCACATTCGTAGACAGTGCGGTTGGAACACATTGTAAGGGGTGCAGTTGAGTTCGGCGTCCAATGCTGTCAAATCTGCAGTAGCCAGTGGTTCAAGACGGGGCCAACCGTAATCTGCCAGTCAAAGGAGTGATCATGTCAGAAGCTTTTAGTGAAATCGATATATACCCTTACCGTTTATGCTAACATGAGTAAAGGTGGAAGCTCTGTCTGAAAACACTATAGAGCGCAATTTGCGGTATGGTAATCTCTTGCGTTGAACAAAGGTACCAGACTCAAACTCAAGCCAACCATTCCATTGTGAGAGGAAATTTTACAGCGAACATGGAGAACCGTGAGCTTCGTCCTTCACATTCACGTCTTCTGAAGCGAATGAAAGTTTAACGGCAGCGACGAGTCCACGTATCAAGCAAAGCTTCATGAAGATAGTGAGAACGCTACAGAGAAAATAGTGTATTCAGTAATGAACAACAATTAGGCTAGAGGTGAAAGCGCTTACAGAAAAATCCGCTTGTTGGCGGATACTTTCATCCATTCGTCAATTAGCCGTTTCTGGATATAAATATATTTTCGAGCAATCTTCCTGCTCTTCATATCCTTACCACAGCCCGTGTATGCACGGACATCAACAAATGTTGAATTTGTCGCGGGAGAGTCACTACCAGAAATTGTAGGGCAAGTGTTTTTCAGATATTCGATGATCTCCTCAACCCTTTGCTTCTCCGCAGCTTCGTCGGGGTTTTCAAGAGTGTTCCTCGCCATATGATGCAAGATAGGGTGGGATAATACAACGTTCTGGACAGTCTCCCTCACAATGTGACAGAAGGGATGACCAGCAGATAATTTTCCTTGTTCACGACTCTCGATGAAGACACATAGTGGGTATGGCATTGTCATGATAGGTCGTGTTGAAGAGACGAATATGAGACCCCTATCTTAGAGTCGTGCGAAAAACACATGTTGACACAACATCAACACAACACGTCGCAACAAATAAATTGTGTGCTTTCTGTCTCATACTAAGTATTAGTACTGGAGCCTGTCATCTATAAAATTTATCTCAACGAATGGTGCACGGATTCGAATGCTCTTCAAATGCCGGCATTCGACATTTCACTTGCACTGGGACTGAGCATTCCCGTGTATTGATGTGCAACGTTGCCCCTAGTCCAAATTTGCTGTGTCAATTCACCTGTGGGCGCCGACCCATGCTCGTAAATACCTTCGGTTCCTCACCTCAAGCTTCAAGTTGAGCTATAATCTCCCCCTACCCTCTCATAACCATACACGGCGGCCCTCTCAAAGGCCAATTGCACAATCCCGATCAATTTCTCCACGCATCAACCCGCTCGATGCAGCTGAGATCAACTGTTTGGCCACATTGTTCGCCCCTGCAACGCCCCCAGCAATCCAAATACCTGTCTTTCGTGATCAGTCCCGCCCGCAGCGAGACATAAATTCCATGGTCATGTATATTCCGAATTTGGTGCCTTCACATCAATGCCTGCTGTTCAGGACCCGCTTTCATTTGACTTTCCGGTGGCCGAACCTATTGCCCTGAAGTCTCGGAGACCTGTCATCACTTGGAACGCAAGCTTGCATTACTTTTATCAGTTCACTTCCAGCGTGAAAACAACTTCTCAGCAGAATAGATGGGTTGTCCTCGATGAGCTGCTGGAGCATGAAGATGATTCTTTGTATTTTTTCGGGGACACAGTCAACCTCCATTATCTCCCTATTCAAAACTCAACAAACATCGGCTTGAACTAGTATCGTTATACAATCACCGCCTCCGGTACCACAAATTGGGAACTTGTTTGACGCAGATATCAAACTTCCAAGTTGCTTGTGCTCATTACGAGCATAAACTCTCTGTATCCCGTAGATATACGTGTACCTCTTCCTCCCCATCTCAGCGTAGTGGCCTCCCTACCATCAGCACACATTCCTTCTACTTCAACCTCGTTGCCGTCCCCCCTTCACAGCCACGCCTCCAATACATGTCACGTTATCTCCCGCCGGGTCTCGGCGTTCCTGCCATCTGCCCGATCTAGACAATCCACGGGATATTATACGTGGTAAATGCAGCACCTAGTAACGTACCTCAGTCAATGTACATGCATGCAGTGCATCAGACGTCTGGTATCACGCGTGGCACCTCTTCTGCCGCTCAGCCCTACATTCCACCATCCGGTGCCCCTCATTTGCAGGCGATCTGACCTGGGACAGGGGCTTCTCAGATGTATTCCAGGACGAAGAAATGAGTGAGGTAAATGCGTTGAGAGAAGGTAGGGTCTCGGTCTTGTTGGAAGGAGAGAGAGCACAGCAGTGGTGCTAAGAGAGACCATCGCAAATCTCGTTGGTAGTCTTTTGTTCAATGCACGTACTCGGTACTCACTACTCTTCCAGATTCGTCCCCACCTTCAAGCGCTCACTCGTCTTCCACGTACACAGACTCTGCTGTGCTCGCTCGACTAGCACAAGCGCGCCATATTTTTACGGGTGCCGGCTGAGTATAGTTACCTTGTCTCGCATACACGCTTGTTGGCCACCCTTGTTCAATTGTTCATCTATTATTAATACTATCAATTCTCGCTTCGCGCGTTGCGCGGGTCCCTGATGCTATCATTCTGCACAGGCTTGTCGTCTCCTACTTTACATGCACCTCACTATTCGGAATCTCGTGCGCTAGATATGCTAGCGATGAGATTAAAGAATGTTCCATCTTCCCGTCCGAATCATGAATCTCATACACGCCAGCTCCTCATGCGCTAACTCCAAGACCCCACAAAAATGACCTACACTGCGCCCATCTGTCGCAACACAATCGATCACTTACATGTCAGACGATGATGCGGCGAGTTCCGAAAATAGATGAAGAAATAAAATGAAACTGAAGAAAGATGGATACAATTTGGACATAGAATGAAAGCTCCAACCACTACTCTTCAAGTTCTGCTTGTTTCGCCCTGGTAACCCACCCAGCATGTGCCATCATAGATGTGCTTGGAATTAGTGTCGTCTCTATCTCGGTCACGGTAGGGTTAGGATCTTCCATTGGTTGAGAATCCCACATTCGTAGGCAGTGCGGCTGAAACACATTGTAGGGGATGGGACACACAGGCGGAAATGCTGTCCAATCTCCAGCAGCCAATCGACAAAGACCGGTACTTTCATCTAGGGCGGTCCAAAGGGGTGATGAGGTCAGTACTTTTTGAAATGAAATTTCAACACACATGTTATGCGGACGTGACCAAGAGCAAGCTCAGAAATTCTGTCTGAAATTGCTATCGAGCGCAATCTGCGGTGATATGGCAATGCCTCGCTAAACGCAGATTTGTCAAACTCGAGCCAACCGTTCCATTGAGAGAGAAAATTGTCCAGCGAGCATGGGGGACCACTACTATGAACCTGAACCTTCAGGTCAATGCCCTCTGAAGCAAATGCAAGTTTGACCGTAGCCATGAGCCCACGTGCCAAGCAAAGCTTCATGAAGACGGTCAGAAGGCTACAGAGATGGTATATTCAGCAACGAACAACAATCTATAGGTGGAGGCACTTACAGAAATCCTTCGAGACGATGTGGATACCACTCTAATGTAAGCTCGGTGGATGCTTTCACCCAGTCATCCACTAAGCGCTTCTGTAGATAGATGTGTTTTCGGGCAATCTTCCTGCTCTTTGGATCTTTGCCACTGTGACAGCCCGAGTATGCGCGCACCTCAACGAATTTCGAATATATTGCGGGGGAGTCACTGCCAGAAACTGTGGGGCAGGTATTTTGTATATATTGGATGATCTCCTGAACCCTGCGCTTCTCCGCAACTTTGTCGGGGTTTTTGAGAGTGCTCCTCGCCATGTGACGCAAGACAACAGGGCAATGTATGACATTCTGAATAGTCTCCTCGACGAGGCGATAGAAAGGATAATCATGAGATATTCTTCCTTGTTCGCGACTCTCGATGAAGACACATATAGGATATGAGATAGTCATGATGGGTCGTGTTGAACGTTAACCCCTAAATTTGAATATAAATTAGAGGTTACTGGCCCCTGAATATCAGAACTTGACCGTCATGACTGCAAACTCATCTACAAACAACCCTCCTCCTTACAGTGCCGACACGTCACTCTGCATCTTTCTTGACAATGGTGGAGGACAGCTTCTCCCAGATCATCCATTTTATCAGCTGGTAGACGAAACTCGGCAAGGTTTTCTTTCTTCCGGGGACACTCTGGAGTACATGGCAAACTCCACTTTCGTAGACAATCCTACGTCACAGTCACAGCTCGCGAGAGTGGATGAAATTCGGGGCCTTCTTCGGTACAACTGTCCGGTGATTGTTAGTAGTAAATCAGCGGCCATCGGTGGCGGGCTCCCTCATGATGGTCCCAATATTATCGAGAAGGTGGCGGGCAGGAAGCACATCTATCTTGATCAGGACATGATCGATCAGTGTGTGGGCAAAAAGGGTTCAGATGATCGTCGGCTGTGATTCTGCATGCCTATAAACCGCTTGTACTTGATTTAAATAGCACTATCTTGAAGCCTTCTCAAGTTTCTCTTGAAACTCATCCTCCTGCGCGAATTGACCATCGCTTCCTGGTTGACATACGGCATCCAGAAATCTGACGCCGTTCGGGGGAACGAAAGATCTAGTACACCATTCACGCAGCCTACAGACGTCTTCGTGTCAGGGTGAGTGGCCACCTTTTCATGGTTTTCCGAAGTGCGAAGTGTCGAGATCTTTGGTCCGTTCTGTTTCTTAACGATGAAGGAGGGTATCTCGAGGTGCCAGGTAAGAAAAGAGACTGGGTTTCGGTTTGTCCATCTGTTAACCCCTCTCGTTATGTAGCATTCGATACACCTATTTTGCGAAAGTTAGCTTCGGGTGACTGGTCTGTGTTTCAGCGAGATGTGATCACGAGCATGGGACCGTACCGTAAGTACTCTAAACATCACTGTCTCCAGCGTGTTTGGGACGTATCATGTGGGTGTTTTGGAAAATGAATTTTTAACACTCTGTATTTCAAACTAGGCGCCGTCGCCGGCGATGACCTTGCTTTATTTGCAATTGTTATATGAACTTCAGCTTCAGGTGGTAGAACGTTAGCACTCAATGCAGTTCTCGCGAGGGGTACAGGAATAGTCCGAATCTCCGCTACTCCTCGACGCACAGATCATCTTGCAGGTAGGTTTGCTGATTGTCTAGTCGTACCTGCTGGAACAACAGACCTAAACACGCCAGGTTTTAGGGTAAGTGTGAGGCGAAAAATCGTTATGGGAATGCAAACGGGATGACGCTTTGAAGCCTCGCATTTTTTTAAAAATATCTGACGAAAAAATGAACATGTCCGATTGTAATTTTAAAGAACTCGATCTGATACAAGACAGAGAGAAGAAAAGGGTACACGGTGAGGGTGAGCGGTCTCCTAGATAGGCAAGTCTGCTTCCCATGTCTCAGGTCCAACGTCAAGCGGATCGGCGTCATCGATGATGCTAAATAAGGTGGGCCGTGGTAGATCACCGGAGATGATTCGAATTTGTAGCAATACGTAATGAAACTCCAGGAGTGTCAGCACGTGTTGCGCGAGGTTGCGGTCGTGAAGTAATAAGAGGCAAAGTCTCGACTAGAATTTTATAAATAGATGAATCAGATATCTGTCGTTGATCCACTTACATTCTCAAGCTTGGCCCGCAAAAGTGGGTACTGTGCCCGAAAATGGCTCGACCGACGCCAAAAACGATCCAACTCCACATGCAGACAGAGCAGCTGGCGGTAACTGGCGATGATTTGCTAAGTAAATAATGTGATGAATGTTTCTACCATAAATTCGAAGTGAAGGTATGTACCTTAGTTGCTAAGAAGATTTGGAAGGCCAAAACCAGAGCCACGATCGTGATCAGAATTCCTTGGTTGTTGGCGTGAGTCAGCCCTAGTAGGAGAGTGCTAAGTGCAACAGCGACTACGATCCATCTTGCCCAGAGTGCAATCGTCAACAATGCGTTGGCAAGAAGTCCTAATGGAGTCGTCCGAAGTTTATTGCTGGAACGCACAGAATGCATTGGGTTGCGAATCGACACAGGAATAGACTTCCATACACTGTGTAGGAAGCCCACCAGAACTGACTTCAGCGGACTAAGGGCCCGTCGGAGAATATCGAGGCTGGTTATTCGGATATTATTGCAGAAGCGCATTGGGTGCCGAATCGGAGAAGTGACGGCTTGCCACAGCGTGCTAAGGGCATGTCGGACACGGACCAGAGTCACACGGTTGAGAGTTTCCATCGTGATTCGTGAAGTAGTATAACACAGCGAAGTTCAAGTTACTAGTGTACGCCAAGTAACAAGCGATCGTTAGCACTTGTCTATTAAGTAGGCGTGATTAGAACTCACCCTCGGTCGTGATGGAACAGATTGAGGAGAGAAGACGAAGCAGGCCGAACTAAATACTACATCGTCGGTTTGTATTCCTACATACAAAGTCCGCTGCCGTAGGCTCTTGCCGTCGCGTCGGTCACGTGCATGGCACATGAGCCGTTTGGGGAAATGAAGAAGCAGGCGCAGAAGCAGGGGCAATAGTTGTGCGCCTCTAACGGCAGGTGAGCACTGATGATGTGATATCCGTGTAATTTGTATAGACCCTACAGATGACGCAGAATACGGAGAGTATCATTGCTTGTCGATCCGCATCTTATGAGACAATTAGTACGGGACATTTCATATGGGAATGTTAGCACGAGGGTTTGACCTGCACAGAATTCAGACTAGCTATGCACGGATCCATCATTGCCGTTTCCAGTATTTGCTCAGCTCCACTGTGCGTCAGCGTCGGGAGCTTGATTGCAAGAGGTGCAGACATTCGCCATTCGAATTTAGTATCCTGAGGGTAGGGACTGCTCTAGATATTGCAATTACTCGGAGTCATTGGACTTCGTATCGATATCGGAGGGCATGGTGCAGAAGGACGATACTTAAAATATACGCGATGTATCCGCTCAAAATACCTGTTCCTGTGGTAGCTATGTGTACGGACACAGGTGCTCGGTGACGATGCATTGACTAGCCATACCTTGGCGAATTAACATAGATGACATTGAGCGTACGCTTTGCATGTATGACAAGCCTTCAATCATATACGTATGATGGACACTGCAGGCGATCCTGGCAAGAATTCCTTCGCGTTCCCAATCATCAGAAGGCCAACTTCGGTAGGGTCAGTGCATTGCATCACGAAACAGATGCTTCCACTCACTTATCAGTCCGAAAAGTCCCAGCACGCTTCCGAACACTTCTACTACAAGTACCTTCACAAACAGTGTAGGATCAGCTGCGTCAGCGAGCGCAGCAGTGCTGCCGGCGATACCGACGCAAAGGCCGCAAAGAAGATTACAGAATCCAACGGTGAGCCCACCAAAGAATAGGGCATATCCTGTAGCTTGATAAGTGGTATTCAATGAAGATGCTAAGAGGAAAGGGTGTACCAGTAAAATAGTTATCTCTGGTATAGAGCTGCGCTTCGGGCACCGTTTGGAGTTTGGACGAGTACACGATACCCATGATCTACCACAGTGGGGTAAGCATAATACAGAAACTCGAGGGAGCGACTACGCACCACTCCGTAAATTGCAACCACCTCGCAGAAAATGACGCTGACAGTGAGTAGCACTCAGCCACTGCTGTGCACGATGTATGTGAGAAAACGACGCACCTGATCAGATTCTTGGTACTAATTCTTGGAGTCCTTACTCCTCCACCCAGTATCGATGCCCCAGTCAAAAATATTCCCCTACAAAACAACGTCAATGTTACTGAACAAGAGTGGAGCTGTGCGAGCCCACCATCCTGCTCCGAGAACACTCAAGCCTATGCAAAGTCCAATTCCGAGTGAACCCCAGACGAACGGGCTGGTTTCCTCAAGAAACCGACCAACATCAAACGCTTCTCCAGAATCTGTTCGAAAAGTTTATAAGTACTGCGGAACAAAGAGGACAACCTCTGACACACCAGTGAATAGCAAATACAAAGCAACTATGACAACGAGGAATGACGGGAGTCCAAACGATGCGTACGTTGTGTAGCCCATGTCTAGCGAATATCAATCGGTTCTAACAGGTTGACGAGGACATGAATATTGACAAAGGTGCCATGTGGAAAAGGCATATTATTCACACGCTTTGCATTTCGCAAAGTCAAACAGACTCTCAGTTACAGACATACTATATGCCCGGTCAGCCTGCAGATCGGCGGCTTCTGTTCAAGCATGCAAATGACAGCGTCAAACCATAAAAATGTTCTCAAGCTGCTAACACTGGGACTCATATTCCACGTTGTATTCATTGCTTCTGTTTTTGACTGCTACTTCACTAGCCCAGTCGTCCATGGCATGCTTCCTCGCAGGGCTGGCCCTGGGGAAGCAAAACGGGTTGTTCTCATTGTGGGCAAGTATAGCTTTACCTTCCGTAGCACCAACTGCTCAGCCAACAATTTCTATCAGGAGATGGTCTACGCGCAGACCTTTTATTTAGTGTGAACGCGTTCTCTTTTGTTCCTTCCTCACCAAAAATTGTAGCGCCTCATTTGCGCGATATTATTCAAACACGGGGGGCGTTTGGATTATCGCACACCCGAGTACCAACGGAAAGTCGACCTGGGCATGTCGCAATCATTGGTACGCCTTGCCTGATACGTCAGTAATATTGAGCTGAGCTAAGAAAACATAAGGGGGTATGTATGAGGATGTCTCTGCTGTGACCAAGGTAAAGATAGTCAATTTCTTGCTTCTTGTTATTATTTACTGATGAGACTCGTGAGACAGGGTTGGAAAACGAATCCGGTCAGTATCGTAACAAAGGACACCGCGAGCAATGTTTCATTCCTTCTTCAGGTTCACTTTGACTCTGTCTTCAATCAATCCAGTCACACTTTCTCCTTCGGCTCCCCAGACATATTACCAATGTTCGCCCAAGGTGCAACACCCGGAAAAGTCGACACTTGGAGCTACGATGAGGAGGATGAAGACTTTACTAAAGGCACGATGGTTTAAAACTACTGCAATCGTGTTATTGAATCGGACCAACTGGATAGATGCCACAGCTCTAGATACCTGGGTTTTGGACCAACTTCAGACGTTGTTTCAGAACGCATCATCAAATGACTTGCTTGATTCAGAATTACGTGCTGACAAAGTAGTGTTCTTCCTGCACCTCCTTGGTCTGGACACCACTGGTCACTCGTACAGGCCACACTCGAAGGTGAGCATCCCGATCAGTGCGCTTTTTTAGATTTACTCCGCTGCAGGAATACATGAACAATATCCAAGTCGTCGATAGCATCGTCCGACAAACAGAAGAACTTTTCTCCAAATTCTACAACGATGAAGAGACAAGCTTCATATTTACAGCTGATCACGGCATGTCTGAGATCGGCAACCATGGTGATGGTGGTGAGGTCTGCGCTACATCAGGTTTAACAATGAGGTGCTGAAGGAGTTTGTAGACCCGGACAACACGCGTACCCCATTAATTGCATGGGGGCGAGGCATAAGGGGCCCACTTCCTGACATCATTCCTTCTTCGCATGATGAGTACTCTCGGCCCTGGCAACTTGACGACTTTCTGCGACGAGACGTGGAACAAGCGGATCTTGCACCCCTGATGGCTGCGCTGCTTGGCATTAACTACCCGGTGAATTCAGTAGGAATTCTCCCTGATGCAGACCCTACGCGACCTGGTTACTTGCTACCGCGAGAAGGAGAATCAGCCTTGGTCCGGCTTGCATTGGCAAATGCAGAAAGTATTTTAGAACACTACCGAGTAAAACATGGTGCGTCTCAAATACGCTATCCGGCTTTTCTGTCCATAACTAGTTGCCTGGCAGAATCGAAGGCTGCACAAACCATTTTATACAAAGGTTTTGAACCTTTGGAAGAAGTCAGTCGAGATGGGAAGCCTTCAAGAGTGTCCTGGTTATCCAAAATACAACGTTTGATCAGTGATGAAAGATGGTTCGAAGCCCGTCGAGAGACAGCTGAACTCATCAAGGTTACTCTACAAGGTCTTCGATATCTCGAAACGTAAGCTGCTCGACTACCACCAGAAACAACTGCTGAGAGAATGCAGTTATAATCGAGTACTTATACGGATCATCGTCATGATAGCATATCTGGGATGGTCTGCTTATGCATCGTTGTCGATCTTTCCCCCGCCAGCTTCCTTGGTTTCGGGCAGGCAGCGTACCACGATTAGACTTGCCACCGCAACTATATTAGCAATATTTTGGGCACTGTTTACTGCAGAGAGAGCTCCATGGACGTTTTATGTCTATGTGACTTTCCCCTGCTACTTCTGGCAGCAATTCGCGCTGCATGGAGTTCCAATCGTTGTGCAACAATTCAAGTCGAGCGACAGACGCGGACCTTTTATAGGCAGAGTGTTGTTCCACTTGGTTATCGTGGTGGTTGTGCTCCAGTGCATGGTCGTGCGTCGACCCTTGTTCATTTCATGAAGCTCATTCGACTTACGAATGATCCAGGCTGCCTATACTCACCGGTCGCTCTGGAGCATTGGGTTTTTGGTCATGGGTATTTTATGGCCATATGCATCGTGGTCAAGTCATGTTCGGTCGCAGCACCCGAGACTCTTACTTTCCTGGATGAGTAGCTGTGTTGTAACTGGCATATTCCCCCTACTCGATGTTAACAAGAGAGAGGATTTATATATGATGTGAGCGCAGTCTGACGGATTTGTGCATATTGCTTATGCTCAGCTATGTGTTAGAATGTGCGGAGGGGCAATGATCCTCGCAGTTGGCGCAGGTTGTACGCGTTTGGCGTCGAACGGTCCTCTGAAAACCTTAACGCCATCTGAGATTATCCAGGTAGGTAGTCGTAAATGGCGCTATGTAATTAATTCATTCGTATCCAAGGCATCGTTTATCTTGCTCGCCATGACAATTACTGCAAGCTCGGTGAAAAGTTTACAAGCGAAGCAGGGATTGCCCATCATTAACCAGATTTCAGCATGGGTCATACTCGGTACCTTTGCTAATCAACTGACATCAGCTATTCATCTGATTTTTATGCTTCTCAGCTGTATCGTCGATATATCCATTCATCTCCAAAGCACAGCACAGCACTCCGACCTCCAGAATCCTGTCGCTTTTCTTGGGCTTCGGCGTCTGTTTCGTCATTTTGTCGATTAGTGTTGAAGGTCTATTTTATACTGCCTTCACATGCAATTTACTTTTGTGGATAGAAGTTGAAGCGACCGTCCGGTCGAATCGAGCTGGGACCGCTTCGCAGAATCAAGGATACGAATTTCACACCGACGATATCAGAATAGCACTCTTTTTCTTGTTTTTCGTTCAGGTGGCTTTCTTTGGAACTGGAAAGTGAGTAGTGAACAGGACTGACATTCGTGGTGCCGATGTTGATGATTGACTATGTCCAGCGTTGCTTCAATCTCGTGAGTTTCCCGACGAGCCGATTCAGCTCTGCTGCTCACCTCTTGTAGATCTTTCTACTTGGAACCTGTCTACCGTCTGGTGCCAATTTTTAATCCATTCTTGATGGCAACGTTATTGGTGGGTTCTTCAAACATTGCTTCGCATACCAGAAGCTTGAATGGATTGCCACAGATATTCAAAATCGTCGCTCCATATGTAATCTTGTCAGCTGTTTTTGCCACTTTGAATGCAAGACTCCACCTACCGCCCTTCTCGCTATTTTTGGTTGCCCTGACGCTCACTGATGGTAGGTTGTTCCTTTTGGCCTACACTAATCGCTAACTTCTGAATCAGGAATGACAATGACGTTTTTCCTGAACGTTACGGATACTGGTGAGCGGGCTAGCTGGTGGTCAGATTGTACCGAATTGACATATGATGCAGGATCGTGGTTGGAAATTGGACAATCGATCAGCTTCTTTTGCATAACATCTCTATTATTGGTTTGGTCGGCTGGTATCTGCACCGCTGGGGAGTATCTCATGGTAGACACGTTGCTGTTCCACAAATCTACGGACAGTCGCAAGCTAGAATGAACATGTTGATGGTCCAAGAACCAACCAAGCACCTCCATTGTGCAACATTTCATGCATGAAATCTCACTTGGCCCACTACTCGTAAAATAGTGGCACACGATTGACGACTTTCGAACAAACGTGTTTTCGTGATCAGGATTCAGGGACGGGTAAACGCTAAGTACTGTTTGGGAGGACCACGGACAGAGTCCCTGACGATGTCCTTCCCCTCTACAACCCAAATTGTAGGCCGACCAATATATTCCCTACGGTCGTCTATTTACTTTGATCACGACATGGGGTCCTCTTACCGACTCTGTTTCACTTCAATTGCGCACGCTACGTCCGACAGATTTATGAAGCGATCTCCCGTAGCCACCTACCCCCAATGCCTAAACTTGCCTCTTATTACCTTTCCACATCACTTGCTAATATAAATAGTCGGATGATTGTTATTCCCAACTCAGGGCAGCCCCCCGTGATTTTTTTCGTCTGCAGGAAGAATGAAAATCATCCCAATTGATGTCGCCAGACATGGTAATAGTCTCGTGGATAAAGAGCGGTTGGCTGGTAGGGTTCTGCCGTGAGATACAGGTTCATGACCAGTGATAAGCGAGAAACTCGATTTGATGAAGATGAGAGGTTTGTATTCTTAATTTAAGATTCCGTCAGAGCAGGATGTGAGGGCACTATGAACTGTGGTGTATCCTGCGATGTTCCACACCCTGAGTACTGAGTACTTAGTGAAACGCCTTGCAGCAGACAGTTGCAACGCACAGCAGCAAGATGAACCTGAGGTGTTGAATCCACAATGACGATATCCCAGCAACTTGAACCTCAATTGAACCTATAGTTAAACAAAGAGTAAACCTTAGAAGATTTCGAAAGAAGGAAGGCAGTCGTACCTTATAATAGGGGCGGAGAAGTCCACAAGCAATTCGATAGAAGCAGGGATCGCTGGTAGGCACTTGGAACACTTGTCTATCAGTACGCTCTCAACATGCATTTTACTCTCAGGATGCACGATGGAAGGTGGAAGGCTCTATTAGCAGTAAATATTATTGCGCAGAGATCCTATGAATCACAGTTAAGTATTGTCCTTAAGCCCAGCAAAGAGACATCGAAGTTGGAAGACGATGGTGGACCACGGCAAGTACTAGACTTTTTGAGACTTCTCATGATGTTTGCCACTTCCACCGCCTTTGTGCGTGCATTGAGCAACCCTATAATATGATGTGGTCGCGCCCAGTTGTCGGGCAGACGTTCTTCCCCGTACCACTGTAAAAGTATGCTTGACGGGATGCGACCATTGTCTTGCTTGAGAAGCAACCAACACAGGGCTGCCTCGCCAGCCCCGATCTGGGAATGGATGAAGTCGAGTGGACGAGCCAGCTGGGCCTCGCGAGATATGCGCACTTGCGCGAGGTCGTACAGACTCATACCTCTTCGAGGATCTGCATGGCTTAAAAATGACTTCAAAAGTTTTGGGTCGACCTCAGTAGGTGCACGTTGCTGACCCAATGCATTTGCATGAACGAGGGATGCATCGTGTTCAATTTTGTTGTGTATCGCTAGTGCATCAAGGTCCAAATGAAAGGCGCGACCGCAAAGGAGAATTCCTGCCAAGGCGAGCAAGGCTGCCAATATAAAGGACAGGTTGTACACTTCTTGGACCGCGCGTATCAGATGCCAAAGTCCAATATTCTGTCCATTGCGGGGCCTGGCAATAATGAAGTTTAGGTTTGGAACTCCTGCGCAGAAACAAAGAAAAACATACAAGTACCCATGATTTGCTAGTGCATTGAGTGCTGGACAAGGAGAACGTCGATCGCCCGGAGTAGCGGGGATGAATGGATGTGCAGGGGGACAGGTCCAATTTGAAGTCGACATTTTCAACAGCGGGGTTACTCGGATTGATCCGGTGGCGTTAGCCTTTTTATACCATAGCGGATCCTCCTCTATAAATGCGGGTGGATGGGTTTCATGAGTGCGTCATGTAATTTAGTTGCAGCGAGTCTGAAACATCCGCACACGCATCCGCTATTAGTAACAACTCCGCGGAGCTTTATTTGGATTTATTTATCAAGAGCTTTTGAAAATAATAGAACCAAATATAAGTTCGATCTACTAGTAGCTAACCTCGAAGTATGCAAGGATGCGTACACTTCAAGTTATGTGTGGTTAGAGCGGTGAAGGTCATTTTAACTTCAGACAAATGTTGTCCCGAACGTACTAACACAGACTGACACTTCCACAATATTATGTGTCCAAAGTTATCCATTAAATACTTTAATCCCCCTGCTTGCTTTTAGTTGTGCTGACTTGAATATAGCGGCACGATGATATATATTCTCTGGCGAAAGACGCATGTGCAAGCTCTGGAAACTCATGGAAACTTATCCATTATCAGTGCCGTTGATTCTGACAACCAGAATGAGATGTCATTATTCATCTTTTATTACTAACTTGTCGTTCTCTGAAGGCCCGTCAAATTTAAACGGCCTTGGCCGCATGTATAGGGTCGCACCTGGGCTATGCTATCCCTATCGGGCTTCGCTAGGAGGGTTCCAAACCGACATACCGTTGTATTTGGGAGTAATTGACGGCTCTCGACCTGCAGCGGAAGTAGAAACCTTTTTGCATGTGCCAATTTCGGTTGTGTATTGTGCTTGCCGTGACTATTGATGTCTAGATGGGTCCTGCAGTGGTGTGAACATTGTGCGGTTGAGACATTGGATCATGGCGACTACAATCGCTATGCCATATGGGCTGTGGCCCGATGGTAACTACCTCAGAATCAGAATCATGGCTGGTCCGTTTCCGCATAAGATTGGTTCCGATTGGTGCTACTACGGCTTCTTGTGAAGATGTTTACGAAAGTGATCCAGTGTGGTGTAATTTATTAGCTACGGTGCTGTTTCAGCCTTCTCGCGTTTAAGCGCTAACTCCAAGTTTTATATGTAAGGTGGACCGAGGGCTTGAAGCAGAGTCAACTATGGCAGAGAATGAGAATGAGCAGAGACTCACCCTTCCGGAATGCTCCAAGTGTAAACTCTACCACTAGGAGTAAAACGCCACCTCCAGGTGCTAAACGGAGGACCTTTGGCAAGAAGCCCTTGTAAAGAGCTGCAGGACCCTCCTCGCGCATGATAGTCATTAGTCTGTTACGTTGTTTAGTATCTCCCTCGACAGTACAGGAGGAAACGTACGCAGGATATGTCCAATTATACTTTGGGACAACTCCTGGGACCTTAGCAGCACCTTGGATGCGAGACTTCACGACCTAATTTACACGTGGCGGTGTCATTGACCAGACTGGGGGACTACAAAGGAAAGCATACATCGAAGCTGAGAGACCCATTAGTCTCATTTTACTAACTTTGCTGAATTACCACTCACGGGGTATTTATGAGGGTTCCAACGAAGCCACCTACACTGCCAGAAACGAAATTATTGAACAGCTGCCCTTGCTGCGTCTAAGCTAGGCGATGAGAAAAATACCACGACGTATTGCTGAAGACTTGCCTCAGCTGGTGTCAACATGCTACGGACTTGATGAATACATCCAAAGTATCCACCATTCCACCAGACGTGCCTAGTCTCTTGTATCAATAATCAGGGACACTAGATTGTGAATCTATTGACCTCCAGAAAGTTGCCTCCATGCCAGCATAGAGACCAAGAGGGCCTTCCTTCTTGATGACCTGCTTGACGACATCAATGGGACCAGCAAATGTACTAGTTTTATCTTGCAGCCTAATGACACGGGTTAGAAGTAGAAAGAGGACGTATGATAGCGATGGTCGTACTTAATCTTGACAAGCTCAAATGGAACGACAACGAAGCTCTCCGTTGCACCAGCACTGAGCCCTGTCAAAACAGAAAGTTGCTGTGTCATCTTAGACTCTCCGGAAAAGCCCATATAAGTCTTCCCCCAGAAGTCGTTAGCAGCGCTGCAAGGCGGTGAGACAATACACCGGAGTACCTGCGAGAGCCTAACTTACAACTTAACCGCGCGCTTTGGCGCCTCGAGAAGAAGAGGAGGGACCAAGCCTGTAAATAAAATTCAAGGCCCCGTAACGAAAACTGTAAGAGTATCCTTGACCTCGGTAAAGTCGGCCGAAACTTAAGAGGAGATCAGCAGCATGGTCTCGTGAACATCGTAATGCCATGACTTTACCCTTCTTCCCGTACTATAGACGATAGAGTGCCAACCATTCCATGCTTGGCCTTTCCGGTCTCAAGTTGCATACGAGTTTTGACCTGAGTCATGCTCCGTCATCGACCCAAGCGTCCTATATACATGTTTACTTACGACATCTAAGTTACGAGTGAGCAGGCGCCTTGCTAGATGAACGCGACTCACCTAGAGGGTAAAATGTCAAAATCTCTGAGACACCAGCAATTGCGCCGGCGGCGAAATTCGCAACGAAAGGGAGTGCTATAGTTTATTCTGTCAGCAAGAAAGTCTCAAGTATGGCGCCTAATATGGCACCATGCACAGTGCAATACACTGCAAGTTGCCTGACTCACGTTTTCGCTGATCCGTAGCCATTATGGTTGTGGTTATGAAGAATCAGGATGAAGTCGAGGAGGAAGAAAAGGGAACCGTTCGTCACAGAGCCGGACAAGAGTCGGACGTAAACGCGACGGAAATGCGGCTCGCCTGGACGCCGACCACTAGTACTTTTTAAGTTTCTTTCTGGATCGCTTCCTGCTCGTGACCATTAAAGTGTGATGGCGTGACATCATGTGACTGTGACCAAACCTTGCACCAAATGGACTTCATCAAGTTGCTAGAGTGCGCGTTACTCATGCGAGCATGGTATACATCGCCTCCTGGCAAGAGTATCAGGAAGCAGCTGAAAATCTCTATACAAAGTCTCCCAATAAAGTTTGTCTTTTTGATATCTATCTCCGTCTGACACCGATGATATGCCCACAGGCTCGATACTGTGTGAAGTGGAGATCATCAGAGGGCAAGCTCGTCCTGAAGATTACAGATGACACAACAGTGTGTCGTTATCTTATTTACTCCTGAATCTGCACCTTACTTACATGTTTACACATCTCTGCAGTGCATAAAGTTCAAAACTTACTCCTCAATCTTCCTCAATCGATTCGAAGCTTTGAACCTATCACTAATGCAGAAAATGCAGAATAAACGCCCTACACCAATCGTACACGCCCTGGGTGCTCCTGATACCACTAAAGACGCAGACCAGACGCGCTCGTCGTCTCCATTCGTTGCACAACCTGCGGGTCCTGCAGCTGGAGGTGTCAAGAAGAAGAAGCCAAAGAAGAAAAAGTAGGAACAACATTGCTATGCGACTTCTGGTAAGTCTGCCGTAATGGCCCAGCTATCCCATCTTTGTCTGATAACGTCTCCGTCCAGTGGCTTTGTGGTAGCATCATCTCCTGGGGTGGAGCGAATGTGAATGTGCACAGTGATTACCAGAGCGAGACCAACGTTTGTAGATCCGATTTGTCAATGTGCCGTTATTCGTTCGGACGACGGAAGTCCCAGTACCCGACCGATCGTGAATCGTTGATCATCGCTACATTGTTCTAATACAAGAGGCAAGCATGTTGAGCCATCCATATGGGAACGATAGAAATAGACATACAACGTCTAGCTTCGGTCTCACACAGGCTAACTTAGCACTAAGCTATAGAACTTACCAATCAAACAACGGTGCCTTGGAGTACCGAGTACCCAGTGCTGATCTACCAGATTGTTGATAGTGTTAGACGGGATGGTGATGTGGCTGATCAGAGCACGCGACCGTGCGCAGCCACGATAGTAACGCTCGACAATCGAGGTGCAAGATAATAGCCTAAATGACAACGGGTAATGCAGGGCCCGGGCCACAGGCATTCATCATAAACTCCAATATCCACTAGAGGCGGAAGACTGGCAGATGAGAGGTGGGCAACAGTGAGTTAACCTCTGCGGATCATACGATCATAAACTTGAAGGCGGTGCAGTGCAAACTATTCCGAGGGATGATCGTGGAAAGACCGGGGCGGGTCTGGCGCCGAGAAACTATTCCTGTATCAGGTATAGCACGTTGGGTCCTAAAGAGGGGTTACCGTACTCGACTGATGTGACAGATTAATGAACTGCCAGTAAATACGCCGTTAAGACTCAGAGGGAGTTCTATTCGCAGGGTCCGGCTTGACAGTAATTATCCGATATGATTGCGGTTCCGACTCTTTGTCGGTCGTTTGAAAAAAAAAGTGCAATGCCTTGAGGTAGTACGTACCAGTATGAAAACAAATCGCGTAGCCAAAAGAAACATGGAGCCTGGTTGAGGCCCTAGGGACGACTTGCGGGGGTCGCTACTCACCAACCCGCTGAGAAGACAGCTTTCTCATGGACATACAGGACAAGTGATCTCATCATTTAAGATTCAGCGCATTGTTCCTCAAAAATAGACTGATTAACAGTCAATGAGAACGGCAAAAAGCGAAACAAAGTGCACTAGACGGGATAGACTGGGATACTTGATGAGCCATAATTGCGCAAGTAATCCGGAACATACCACGATTCCAATTGAAGTCGACATGGAGATTGTTCCAAGGATCCCATCATTTGTAGTCAGCGGGGTTCTAGTCGATGCATTTCTTCTGGATGGCACAACAGTGGTAGAAGTTTGTAAAAAGTGGGAACGGAATCGAACCGCAAGCGAGATGAGCGAGACGTGAACGTCGATGCAAAGTCGTCTTTCTGTGAAGTTGGCCTATTTGGTAGCAGCAACTGGTGCAACGTTGGGTAAAGATAAAGCTGGTGCGAAGTGGCAAGATAGCTTGCAAAAGTGAGCAAAAAAGACAGTGTAGAACACAGGAGTGACAGGACTCAATACTCAGATCTGACACCATCGCAAGGTGTCAATATTTAGCCTCTCCTGCACCTGGTTCTGGATGCCAGCGGGCTGCAACTAATCGGCTAGGAATAAAGGAGGGGAATTAGGCAGCCTTTCAAACAGTCCTCGGAGAAGAGGTTTCGGAACCAAGGACTTATGTACATATGTGATCACTTGACGTGAAGTTGCTGTCACCAACAACACTCCTTTCAAGTTAGCAATGATGGGGTGTCGTTTTCCGAACGAGTCTAAGAATGGTGCATGATGTTAGAAACGGTTAAATTATCACGCAAAGAAAGATGGCTAAGTCGCACATGCTTTACCCTCGCTGTATGTTTCATGTTTTGAACGACGGCTGTATTGCCAGTGGTCCAGCAAGTTGATCTCCATAAACACGCGTACATAAATAATGTCTGTCACCCCCATTGGCAGTGGCACCGACAATACTCTTCCGATTCCAGATTCGACGCTGCATATCTACGTCGATTCTATGCGCATTGCGGACATCTCAAATTATTTGGAACATCTCACATACCCAAGTTCAATAACTGGTCGAATGTATCGCATTGAGAGGACATCGAGCTCATTCGTAAAGAGCACCGACTTCTTCTATCTTTAGTGCGAGAGGTAAGCCGTGTGATTGTATTCCTATCCCGATATACCTTCATCTCCTTACCCGCCAACAGTCATTGTTCTGCTACTTGGTCTTCTGATACATACTTGCTTCAAATCGCATTGCTCATGGCACTTCGGCGGTATACAGCATCAATTGATGGTACCATTCCAGTCTCTGCACTCCTCTATGACGATGAAGAACTTCTGGCATCCCAGGATGGCGTAGGCATATATGATGGGTGCGTGTACTTTCTGTTTTTGACCTGGTTTCTGTGTTCATGTCACCGATCAACAGTCTGCAGAAAGCTCCTGACTATCAGACAGGTTCTGTTCACGTCTCTACGCATCGCCTATTTTTCGTTCATTCGCAGAACCCTACTTCATATTCTTTTACTATGGGTCTACTTCATGTGATACGGACGAATTATTATGCTGGTTTGTTCAAATCTTCGTCGAAGGTCTCACTCTTCCTCGACGCCGATACTGCCCTACCTTTGACCACAACGTCCGGGCAGCGAACAGAAATATTCGAGAGCTGGGAATGCGAAGTCTGCAGCCATCGCAATCCTCCAGGTTTGAGTCCAGCTGCAGCTCGAATATGTGCTCTATGTGGCGTTCCGCGCAGCGCATCTGCGGGGTCAACAGCGTCGGAGGCATCATCTCAAATCCAATCCTTGTTCTCCTCCCTTACCGAGTCTTCATACACCTCTCTATCTTCCTCGAGTTCTCCAGGACCTCCATCTCCTCCATCAACGAATGATGATTCTGATGGAATTGCGTGTCCTGCATGTACATTCCTTAATCACCCGTCTTTGCGTGTCTGCGAAATATGCACAACTCCACTTCCCAATGTCGAACACGCTGGGAGTATGAGGGCAAAATCCGCCCCCTCCACTCGACCAGTATCGCCCGTAGGTGACAACATCGATCCCGCGAATCTCCTCAGTCAAATTAAGCTTCCGCAAGGGCGGTGACAAACCATTTTACAACGTGCTCAGGCGTGCACTTAAATCTCAGGCTTGGGAGGCAAGCATGGTGCCATCATTTTAAGAAAAAAATACATAACTAATCACATATCACGACAATTAGGGAAAACGTATTGGTCATACTGCGAGAAGCGGGACTTCTAGCCTTGCCATTACAAGCCCTAATTATGGGCCGACACCCGTTGCCATGCGTCCTTCTGGAATAGGTAGGGAATACAAATTTGTTTTGTTAGAACCGCTGGCGCTGACATTGATGACTGGTTCTTAAGATGGAATCATGCGTAACGTAGAAGCTTCGGCCCATGTTACACAAACAGATTTGAACGATGCCCTGAAAGACTTAGAGGGCTTAATGATGAAAGCAAAGGATCTTGTTCACCTTGCGGGGGAGCTGAACGAGAAACTTACTGCATCCTCTACGACAACCATGACTTCGTCCCCATCAACCTCAGGCACCCAATTGTCAAGTCTATTTTCAACGACCACGCTTGTTCCCTCAACGGAGCCTGAAGAAGCCAAATTTATACGTTCTTCACTTGCGCAACTAGGTTTACAAATGTCTAATGCTCCCGTCACGCTAGATATGATCAGGGACGAAAGAAGGTGGGTAGAAGAGTTGGCGCGGGAACTAGCGAGGGTGTTGCAAGGGTCGCCGGATGATATTCCCGGTCAGAAATCGGTCGGGATTATGAAAGAACGGGGGATTGTCGGACTGGATGAGGTTTGGGGTGGATGGAATCGCGCGAGGGGCGTAGGTAAGGAAACCTTTTTAACACTGCCCAAGTGAGCTACTGAACACACATCTTACGCAGCTTTAATTCCGCCATCCACCTTCCTGCAAGTACTCCCTCACCTCCCGGCATATACGTCACCACCTATCCGCAGCAGAGTGTTTAAATCAGGCTTATCCGTCCTCCACATGCCGCCGTACACCCACGCCTCGTTCACGGCCCGCATAGTGGGATATCTTGCCATGTCCGGTATGATGACGACAAGTCAGATTGCCTATGAGGAGAACATTACGATTGGACTTGCAGATGAAATGATTGCTGCTATTGAAGCTGACGGTGTGATCTGCCGGGATGACAAAAGATCGGCGATCAAAGGAGGCGGAAGTGGGACTGCGTCAGAAGTTAGGTGGTCGAGGAACCTCTTCCTGGAATATATTTGGGATGGTCAATTGTGAAAATTCCCCACAACAAAGTTTGCAGCTAGTGCCACATTGGCCGCTTCAGATGAGTTGTTGACGACTGTTGGTTGGTAGATGCTGTGGACCAAGAAACGACCCGGGGAACTCGGGGAACTCGGACAAACAGTGCAACCCTAACTCCGTCAGCAGATGATTGTTAACGGTCAGCAATGGAAGTCATGACGTTGCTTGATTTATGAGCGAAGAACCCGACTTCTGGTCCAAATGCTTTTCAGGCTCGCACACATTAATTTCTGGCGTGTTTGGCAAAAGCTTTAGAACCAAACAAACGCCCGGCGGCCTGCCGCCCGATCGATCGACCTATTACCTGTTTTGGGCGCTTCAACATCACAGTGATATCTACACCTGCCTCGGTAAAGAACTGTTGTTGCCGCGATGCATTCACTACAGGACAGGCAAATCTCGATGAGACCTACTCTCCTCAGGACCGATTGTTTCGCAGCTTACGTGTATGTAATCCCTGAGCTTGCTTCTGAATTGATATCATCCCGTAAATCAAGGACTCAACAGAACAGAAACCTCCGGTGTCATGACCTGAGAACTAAAATTCAACATTATACCGTCGGCTCTCCATCACCGACTTGTCACTTCATCTGTACGTTTCTTATTGTGAATATCCCGAGGACATCGGTCTAGAATCTATTACTGTTCGGCAACAAATCTTTCCCGCTGCTTTCGTAGCACGGAGAAACTGTCGAGATAGTACCTCATTTACTTCCGGAATTCATTGGGCTGGCTGCTCGGACCGCTGCGGAAATGCTTGAATTGTATCTGTCGTAGTCCGCAGCGACAATCCAGATCACTAGTAGGGACGACACGTGTGTGGGCTTTTTGTGCGCACAACCAGTCCATTCTTACGGCAATTACAGGGAGGTAGCATCCCTGAAGAAATAGCTCCTTCCATTCATCATGCTCGTCGGGCAACATAGATGCGTATGCGATTGTTGAAGCGGTGTATTCTAGCGATTTCCATTCTTCACTCGACCGGCGGACGAATATTAACGAAATGCGCACCCACAGTTTCGACATATGAATACTTCAGGTACGCTCTTCCTCCAGTAATATCCAAATATATGTGGTTCTCCATGCTCAAACATTATGCTGCGACGTTGAGATCATCACGATCGTCGATTCCTTTCAGGTTCGTAGCAACCGACTCGATTTCAGTTCTGAACTCACGCCCGTTAACAAAAAGGCACGGTGTGCAACTATCACTAGTGGCGTAAGTCGAGTGATATCTTCCGCTCGGCTTGCCGCCGGCCCCCGGGAATTGAGGTGAAGCGTCACTTCGAAAATAAGTCTTACTTCGGTGTTTACTCTATTCAGCCACTGTGTGGGTCAACGTCTGGGTCGCGGAACAATAATGGTAGCTTACGTTGCCTACCCACTTCAGAAGGATCACCTCACGAGTGATTATATTCGACAAAGTTATTTTGATGAACACATTTTGTTGTACTTAGAGTTTCCCAGACAAGTGTTTGAGGACTAAGTTTGTGATTGGCAGACGGATATAAAAGTGCCGCAAAACGCGATGGCACGGCATTCGGGACGAAGATGTGTCGGACCTACAACATTCATTCTGAACTGAGTGACAGAGTTCAGGATACGCGATAATCAAGGTGATCGGATCGCTAATAGTCTTGGGTCGGACTCATACCTTGATAGGGAGTCTTCGATCCGGGGCACTCCAAGGTGTCCGGATAATAGGTTATGAATTAATTTGCGGTGCTAAAGGATCACTAAATGCATGTGAGTATCAGCTTGAAGTGTGGAATACAACAACATGGAACGGTAGATCGCATCACAGCATAACGAACACAATCATCCCGCGAAGGCTGCATACCGGTGAAGGAGATAATATCCGACGAGGAGGTTCATGTTCAAGGCATCAGCGCATCGCATCAGCTTAGCGTGTAGATGAACCACTGCATTTTGTTGAGCTTATCAAAGTAACACGACAAGTTCGGGGGTTACGCGATATCGCTCCGCGGTGCTATTGGGACGTGATCTTGAGATTTGGAGCACAGCTATGTTCACGTTTACCAAGTAAGACCGTTCGAAAGCGCCTTTGGAGGTGTTCAGAAATTGCCTGAATGAAGGGATGTATAGGTACGATTTTTACTGTACTATGCTGTATGAGCGCTGGGTTGTCCATGTTGTTCGCTTGAGCACTCAGGCTGGCATTGTGAGGCTGTGAAAGGGTCGGAGAAGATGACTAAAAATGGACAAAAGTGGATTGATTGGGTAAGCACATTGCCCCGGTATCTTGACCTAGTAAAGATGCCATCAACATACCGTACAGCGCCAACACCCTTTCCAATGGTGGATGCCGCCCAAACTATAGCATCCAATGATTTCATGATCATTTCTGGATTGCCCCGGCCCATCTCTATATTTTTATAACTTCTATATGATATGGTTTGTATATAATTTAAATCTTCCGGTGCACACGCAACTAGATCACCCTACTCCCTTTATAACTACATATACCGTCCTACTTTTCATCTAATCGGTCATCGCATCCATCTTCCCTCCTCCAGGTCTTCAAATCTCTCTTCTTCATTCAAGTAGTGCGTATCATCACATTGAATTCGAACCTTTGTAGCTCACCATCATACCAGGTTAGCCCTGCGTCTGACTGTTCTCTAAGGCTCACGACGACCTCACTCAAACAAGTGATCTCATGAACCCTTATCTACCATCGTTTGATTCTTCACTCGATACAGGCGCCGCAAGGCTGACTCCTTCATCGAACTCCGCATCTTCTTCCCCTTCTCTACTGAATGACTATCCCAATGCCCATCTAACGCAAGCGTCTGATCGGCGCGTAACGAATTCCATCGCTCTGACATCAGGAGGATCACCTTCAATGTATAGCCATCGTTCCTCCCAACGAACAACAGCTTCATTCCAATCCCACCAGCCTCACATAACTGATCGCAATCAATCTGCCTTTGTCCCTCGCTTTAACCCATCAGCCACTGGGTTAAGTGCATGCAAAAATCTCACAAGGCTTTTGACCGTGCAGGAGCGAGACAATCTCATTCAACTAGACAACCTCAAGTATTTTCTCGCTACTGCGCCATCGCGATGGTCGTCGACACCTTCTGGTTTAACACAAGATGATTCTTTTCCTATGGATTCCTCTGGCCACCCAGCCTCTTCACATCCCTCCATGAACCGCTTCCTTCTTCCTTCTTCGGAATACATCACTTGTGTCTCGTGGAATAATCGCTACCACATAACAGGCACTGACATTGTCCGTGCGCTTGTCTTCCGCTTTGAGGCATTTGGAAGACCCGTCAAAAACATGAAAAAATTCGAGGAAGGTGTTTTCAGCGATCTGCGAAATCTCAAGCCTGGTGTCGATGCTTGCTTGGAGGAACCCAAAGTTAGTATCGTCTAGATTTTCTCATGATGCTCCATCTTATGTACACCAGTCACCATTTTTGGATCTTCTTTTCAAATACCAGTGCATACGCACTCAGAAAAAGCAAAAGGTGTTCTACTGGTATGTATCTTCCCCATTGTCCTGAAATTTGTGGCTCACTTTCCTCGATAGGTACTCGGTCCCTCATGATCGCCTTTTCCTAGATGCCCTCGAGCGCGATCTCAAACGCGAGAAGATGGGCTTGGAACCAACTACCATCATCACCGGTGAACCTGCCCTCTCGTTTACATACGAGCAGCAGCGCAGCCTGTATGAACAATTCAGCAAAGGACAGAATGCTATACAGGTCGATGGCGACGTCATCAGCAATTTTGACGTTACGCAAATGAATGGGAAATATGACACAAGCGGATCAGCATCAACGGTATCACGTGCGGGGGCGATGCACAACTCTAACTTGGGGGAGTTGCATCTTAGTAACTGTCGTATTGATGACGGGGGCGTCCCTCATCTTCCCTCAGCACTGCATGGTCCCCATATGGCGTGCCTGCCTCCTTCTATTTTCGAAGGTTCTCCCACCTATAAGCAACGTCGCAAAAAGCCAGTCAGCAGGCTCGATGCGGTCACGCGCAGTGACTCAGAAGAAACGCCCATTCACACATACGAGATTGGCGTTGGCTATGGATCCAATGATTCCAACATGACAGCTGCCGATATGTTCACTTCTCAAGCTAGAGGTGAACAAGAGCCTAGTGTGAGACGAGCGAAGGCTGTGCTACAAGCCCACGATTGGTCCGCTACACCGCAACTCGCTCCAGGACAGACTTCTGCCACCCTTCCAAACGGATCAGTCTTCGGACGGTCATCAATCAAGCAGCCTTCATCGCAATCTCATCTCCATCCCTTTACGGAGGATCCCTCACTATCTTCGTTCCCTTCGGATGTTGACGGCCATCACGCCACCAGCGGGATGACGCTCACTTCAAAGGTGTTTGTCTGTCCCCTCTATTCCTGTGGTCGCTTGTTTAAGCGCATGGAACACCTAAAGAGGCACGTGCGGACGCACACCTTGGAACGCCCATTCGCGTGTAACTTTTGCAAGAAGCGGTTCTCTCGGTCGGACAACCTCAACCAGCATCTTCGCATACACACACGGGCTGACTCAGCGTCCGCAGATCTAAATGCGTGCGATATTGATATGGAAAACGAGGAAGCAGACGAAGTCGATATTGCTTTTGCTGCCGCTCTCTCTTTTGCAGAGGGTGGCTTACAGGACATGGAGACGTGTGTTATGGAACTGCAAGGCCAGGTGCAAGATGTGCAAGGCGATGAAGAGGGTCTAGTTGCGTTGCCTGGCGTCTCCCCTGTTATGGATACCGACGCCACCTCAGATGGTGGGCTCGGTAACAGCTACTTTTTGCAAAGTGGCACCGGGAACCACACCGGGTACATTGAGTCAGCGGAGATGAACTGGGCTAGGCCCTTCATGAACTCTCCGTCGTTGACTTCAACGTGCAACGGGGAATCGATCATGGCGGCTCTTTCAGCTCCGTCTCATAGACAGGATTTTGCCCTGGACAATACGTCTCTCCATGTAGCACCCTCAGAGGTCGGACCTCACAGACGTCACAGAAGCGCGACCCCATCTCTCATACGCTCGCATTCTGTGTCCAGCGGCTCTAGCCGACACTACCACCCCTATGCATCATCCTCTCATTCGTGCCCCAGTTCAAGTCACTCCAGCCCATGTGCTCTCACACATTCTCTTGATAATTCAGCGGTTTCATCACAGGCTATGTCTCGTGAGGCCTTGAGGGCGTCGCAGCCACGTTCATTCTCAGCGCCTTCCTTCGGTGCCAGCCAAGACCTGCATGGAGCGCTCGACATCGGCGGCCTCAATTTTGACGGCATCTTCTCGAACCACATGACGCTATTCTCAGAACCTAGTGCATTCGACCTTTCACAGGCATACCCCAACGCCTACGAATCAAATTCGTTATCAATCTAAACCGTTCGAGTCGGAATACTGTATACTTCTCTTGTGTCATCATAATTCGTTTTTGTTCATCTTGCTAGCTTTAAATGTATCGATAATCTATTTATCACCCACGACCTAGTACATACTATACCACCAGTGATTGTTTTTGGGCCTTGCGGACTTATCGTGCAGGTCACTTTTGTGTTCTCCCCCACTTACGACACGTGCCATTTTCTTGTATTAAATATCTCATATTGTTTTGATCACGAATCGTTACTCCACTATTGCTCAAGCTCGGTGATACACTGATCCCGCCTAAAAGCAGGGATCTATATGCACGGAGCTACGCATAGTTTTTCTTGTATTATCGAGATTTCGTCAGTGCAAATGACCATGCCTACGGCTCGGAACTCAATAAGACTCATTTGGTATGGAGTGTTTGTCACTGCAAGCTAGCATGCAGCTTCATTTGACGGCAGCGCCGCCCCATTTCGAATTCGAAGAGAACAATTCGAGGTGGCCGGTACACACAGCTGACTAATTAGAACTCCAATACATACGCCCCTGACACATATAGACGGAACTTCTTGATTACGAACGTCGACCAGAACTTGTCACAACAAATATTCCGATATGTTCTCTGGATTCAAACGGTCACTGGTGAGTACCCGGAATTACCTGAAGCTTCTGGCGTGATCATAAGCTGAACATCAACTATAGCCTCAAATCTCTATCTTGTGTGCACCATCTGTCATCCGTGAGGAAACCTTATGATAACTGAATATATCTTCTACAGTCACCACCCGTCATCGCCACCATCAATTCAGGCCCTCGCGCTACTGCGGAACGCCCTCTCCTCACCTTATCCCCCTGGAAAGAAATCGGCATCCCCGCTTGAGTTTGATCTAGAAGTCGTTGAAACGAAACCGCCGACCGCCGATCAACTGAAGACCATTCTGACGTATATCACTCCGCCGAGATCTACTGCACCCCCTGCGTTGTCTACCTTTTTGTCTGCCTCATCCGGCATCGTCTGGCCTAGGAGAACAGCCACAAACTGTGAAAGGTATCGTGAGTCTTGCGGAGCAAAAACCCGAATGTGTTCAAATGGCCCGTTGTCGTTGACTAGGATTGGTGGACGTGCCAGTATAGGGGACGTTGAAGGCGTGAAAGGAATCTTGGAAGCTATCAGGCAGCAGAGAGATGGGGAGGCGAAACAGGATGAAGTTGATCAGCCCAAAGGCTGGTTCTCATAAACGTTCGGACAGGAAACTGACAAATCTAGGTGTATACACCGCCTTAAGTTGCAATGAGTGCAACACGGATTCTGCAGCTGCGTGATGGAATGGTATTCGGTATCATATGTATTCTGTTCATATAGTAAAAGGGTAGCACATATGTATAATGATTGTCCAACGAAAAAGTGATCCGCGAGAGAAGTTACTGGTCAAAGTCGATAAAACTCCAGTGCGCCATCACCGCTCTCTGCATCCTCTGCCTAACTATGGCGTCCCCTGTTTACCTGTCCCCTGACGTACGGTGGTGAATTAGGTGATGATGCTCGCAGTACTACTCGCGGCAGTGGAGAATGGTAGTACACTAAAAGTACCACTTCCCAGCGACGTAGCCGGGGTTACACCTGTCTGATTAGACGAGGTCGTAGAACTGTCCGAGGCTGTAGAAGTGCTTGAAGTTATATCCTTAGGAGGGGCGTTGTTATTTGAGCTGATTTTCCCGACAGTCCCACCGACGGCCCCACCAACCACAGCACCGATAACGACAATGGCAATAACGAAGATGGTGATTTTGCCATTGCGAGTCCGCCAAAAAGATTGAATTGGGCGCGAGGCATATGTAGCAGCTCCAGGAAGAGGAACAATCTTTTCTCGTGTCAATGGGCTGCTTTCGACGTCTGTATCACCAGGAATTGTTTGTGGTTTGAGTGGTTGGGTAGATGCGGGGCGGGTAGGACGGTCATCGAGTAAATCAACGTTGTAGCCTTCCTAGAAATTGGATACATTTTAGTGACAAAACGGGACAGGTAAGCGAACAGGTATTGCACACCTGCCTCTGTGCCCTCGTCGCTGCGGGAGCTTCATCAAGTAGGTTCTGGTCGTATGCTCCGTTTTGAGATGACATGATGCTTCTCGAAGATGTTGGCGATAGTGAAAGGTCACATAGACAACAGGCGCTTGCAGTTCGCTTGCAATTACTTGCTGGACAGCCTTACTGAGTGTCAAGTGACTGTGTGCCTGCTGCCTGACAAGCGGAGTTGCCCCAAGTAGCCCTGAGCCTGATCTTAGCTTGAGCGCTTAACGTTAAACAAGTAATTCACTCGAGTCTTGACGCGGACGGACGAACAACACATATACTCCAGATGCAATAATGATGTAGGTAACGTAATACAGTGAGCATGTGAGGTATCCTGCATGAGACAAACCTAGGCCTCATGTCAATGGTTAATTAACTTGGACTCCCTTTCCCATCGGATTTGCCTAAAATTGCAAGGGTCGGGGACACGGTAGCCTATCGGCCTCGGAAGAAGCAGTATGGTTAGCTTCTCGCCGCTTTGTCCTTGCAATGTCTCAGTTAAACGTTGTTGCACAACAGGCCTATTGCCAGGTGTGTATTCAGATAACCGGTTTGTCGTAACTGTCACTGCAAAGAATCAGGAAGGACACATGGCATATCATTCGAGTTAGTACACCATTCATTGATAGACAATACCTGAAGTGGCGCACGTCTGACAAGGTTTGCACCTAGACAAAGTGTCTCTGGGGGCGTCATGATGCCACTAGTATATATAGCTCCTAGCCTGCATTGCTCATGAAGTAACCCAAACATTTTACGAAATGATTTGGTTCCCTATCAGTGTGCGCTGTGAATTGTCGAATGTTTCTATGGTCACCTGTATCTGTGATGACCATGATAGTGCAATCTTGGACCTACGAACTGACATACAAGTATGCGAAGAGCAGGCAGGGTTGTGCTTCAGTACGAACTCAGTACTCACCAAACGGTATTTGACACAAGATCGCTCTAACAAGTTAGGAGTTTCCGAACTACCGGTCTTCTTGAAGGTACACATCTATTATAAACCATGTGAGTGCCGGAGAGATCGACACTGCGAAAACAAGGGAAGTCTCCGGTCTTCGCGCATACAAAGTTTGACGAAAACCTTCAAGCTTCAAAGCTGTTTAACAATTGGGTGGGTATAGAGGGGACTGCACCGTGACAGCTGTGAGGCAGCGGCGGTGGAAATGACACTAATCAGGTGCCCGGAATGTCGCTGCGGACGAAGATCCGTAAACGGATCTAGAAGCCAAGTACTGAATCTGGTTCCAGGGAACAGGTAACATGGAGGGGTACAACAACATCTCTTCCGGGATTTTCCAAAACATATTCGCCGGGGTTTTACTTTTCGATACACGGATAGGCTTGCGATTCTGCCACTTCCAGGACTGTGCACCGAGCCGAGTTAATTGCCCCGGGCCATAATGCTACTGTCACGAGCTTCACACCTGCAGATGAACAGAGATCAACGCTTAAACTTGAAGGACAGGCAGAACAAGAAATTGCATTTCAAAAGCTCGCGGCTTCGGAGTATATAGCCCTCAGCGGCACCAGCGCTGATAATTCAAGAATGTAGCAGGTTCTTTGACGCTGACTGGCGCACAGAAGCCCAGTTAATTCCCCGAGATGCCAGACTTCACCATGGCATTCTTCCGGTAGCGATGAGTTGCCCGGTGAATTAACGGGGTCACGGTAGATGAATCCCCGCAGAAGGGGAAAGCTGAAATTTTTGTTTTTGTTTTTGGAAAAGAGAGTCTATTACATAATAACAACCGACACCGTCTGGCCCTATGTAAACGCTTATAGTATAACTTATAGCGACGCCTAGGCGTCGTCTACTTATGCACACTGTGGGACTCTAGTTGCCACGTGCTGCGAGGGCCTGGGTAGTCTGGTACTCACTAAAACCTCAAGGCACCCAGTTGTTTGGAGGGGTTGCCAAGGCTGTGTCGTCTATGACGTTAATCCACGTGGCTTGGGCCCGCATCGCCGCTTTGGTGTCTCGTCTGGATTTGCTTGCTATCGCTCTATCTAACTGTAGTCGCTTGTCTATTGCGTGTTGACATCGTTTTATAACGGTCTCTTCGTTGTGTTTCGCGTCTCGTATTACTCCTTCGCATCTCAGGGTCCATATTAGGTGTGCTGATTCTGATATTAGAATTATTAGGAGGCAGAAAGAAGTTTGGTCACCGTGGAATTCGAATCGTAGTCGTTCAGCCTCCTAGTAAGATAGTACGCTAGTAGTCGTCAGTGTCTAGTCCCTGGTCATTTAAAAATCCTTCTAGCCAGTGTTGGTGATAGCATTAATAGGCTTATCGACCGAAGCCTGAAGGTCCAAGGACATCATTTGAATGCACACTTAGCCCAGACTTATACTCAGTCGTATCTTTAAGAAAAAAACATACTGTCATCGCTGTCGACAAGATATGTGCCATGGGCCATGATTTTCTCCTTGAGCTGGTTGGTAGTACGAACTAACATTTCGGAGCCGGGTTGTGACAGGTGCTCGGCCCTGCCTGGGCCTGCCAAGTTTGCGGTTGTTGATCGGTTTAAGCTGGCACGTGGTTTCGCGGCGGAAGATTTTGAATGGGACAGTTGCGTTTTAACGCAGGAGATATCACTGAGGAGCTATATACGCGCTGTCTACTACGACGACCGTTCATCACTCTGGCGTCACTCAAAAACGCGAGATTTGTGAGTTTTCATTCTTTATTTCGTTGTCAACCTTGAAGTCCCTGATCACGGCCTGCTTTTGCGACTATCCAGCTCATTCGGTTCCCTCGCTGAGATCCAAGCCATAAGTTAAACCATGCCCTCGTTCTTGAACAAGGTCTTTGGCAGAAAGACAAGTGATGATAGAATCCAAGCAAAGCTTCAGGACTCTAACGACAACGGCTTACTGGACGGAAAATACGAGGCTGTTTCTCCACCGAACTTTACCGCTCCCAATATTAACACCTTGTCAAAGGTTCAGACGGGAAAAGATCATGCAGGATTCTCGTTGTTTAGGCCAAAATCTCGTTTTACCCCCCCTCACTCTTCGCACAAACGCACGGAGAACCTTCCTCAATTGTCACTCCAACTTCCGAGTCTGAAAGACAATGCAGAGTCTCTCGAACTCGGCGTTTTCGAAGTTGATCCCGAATCTCAAAGGATTCTCGATGACTCTGTCCTCGGTGCAAGGCTCCTGAATCCTTTGGAAGCCCTCATACTTGTTCGAGCCTGTGCCCAGACTATCACTGAGCGAGGTAAGTTATTGCCACTTAATTAACACACACCCATCTAACGTTCATGATCGTCTCAGGCTTAGAAACCCTCGGAATCATGCACCCTCATTGGCACTCCGCGTCACCCGATATTCAACGAAAGCTAATCTCGCTCTTCATCCATTCTTTGGCTCCCAAAAGCCGCACAACCGCACTTTCTCCAACGCCTGCCGCGGCAATATCCGCCTTTGAGGCTGAGCTTGAGTACATCCGCTCTCCTCACGACGTTGCAGCTGTGCTCCGTTGGGGCCTTCGTCACCTTGTGCTTGAGAATAACTCTTTCGGCAAGGATGTCTCTGCACCTGAATGGGCGTGGTACAAGTCCTTTTTCGATGCTGAAAAAGGGGCATCGTATCCACCCAAGAGTTTCACGGAATTGCTCCTCCCCCAGCTCCCTCAAGCGCACATCGAGTTGCTTCTCGCGACTGTTGACATCATATCCGCATTAGCTTCGCATGCTGAAGCGAACAGCATCTCTGGTAGCAAGCTTTCCAAGTTTTTGGGCTTATGGTTACTCACCGCGACGAGGACCGAGCAAACCGACAACTGGACCACCTTTTATGCTCGATGGGAACGCGCTGGCCGGATTTTGGAGCATCTGTTCCTTGCACGAATTAGGTGTGTACGCCGCATGAAGCTGAGGGTGTGTCTGACCATAGCACAGGGAGGAAAGCTTCAACTCTCGACTGCCTACCCGACTTCAGGAACTTGTCAAGCACTATCCATATTCGAGAGGGTCACGCGATGTTGAAGAGGATCTTCTTCCCCCTCCTCGCTTCTCTACGCGGAGCTGCAGTGTCCTCTTTGTGCGCATAGAGGTCCTTTTGTCAGAGTCTGCACCACAGCCCAAACCATCGCCCGTTCGCCTTCTCTTGGATGCATTCAACCTATCTTCCGAAGGTGAAACCTTTGAGCATGTTGGGTTGTGGAACGCGCTCAAGACTGCCGCCACCGAAATTGTCTCTTCATCCTCGGCGGCTGGTGCTCAGGATGGCCCACAGTTCGGTCGGGTGTTCGTGGATGAGACGATCCACCTCCTCGCGTCCACATCTCGTAACGCCTCTTCTCCAGTCATGTCCCCGACAATTGAAGTTGCATCGCCCGTGCCCAGACGCTCTTCGCCTTTCAAGAAGGTTCTCAACCGTAGTAAGGACAATGCTACCCACGGAAACGGAAACGGGAACGGAAACGGGAACAGTGCAACGTCTCCCGTCTCGTCTGTTTCCTCGCCAATCATCAGCGACTGGGCACAGTTCTCCACTAGCGGCTTCGGTGAAACAAGTACAGTCACACCACTCGCTGCAACCCTCCTCGATACAGACAAGGATGTTGAGATTACAGAACCGCTCGTGTCCCCTAAGTCGAGTAAGAGATGGGGAAGATCACGTTCAGGACAGCGCTCTGCTGATTCCCCATACGAGACGAGCACCAAAGAGTCCACAGTCCTCAGCACCAAGCTCGCGAGTGTCCACATGACACAAGTTGATGAGGCATTCATCGATTTCTGGTCCGACGCTATCACAGACCCCATCACGGAGAACTGGCCCTCATTTGTTATCTGTGGGCTGAAGCCGCTGCCTGCGAATGAAGCTGTCAGTTGGCTCGTCGTCGAGCAGACATATGTACGCCAGCAGCCCGCGCGGCCCCGCCCGACGTCTCCCGAGCGGCGTGGTCGTACGTCTCCCCGCCCTTCGTTTCGCTCGGATATTTCTGGCACACTTGCTGCTACGAGGAAGCGATTCAGCTTTTTTGGTGGTACGAGTAAGACGGGTTTAACGGGCAAGAAGGGTATAATGGGAAAGTCGCCCAAGGTCGGCGAGCTTGGTGAGATCTTGCCTGAGGAAGATAGATCTGAGACGCCGACGGCTGGGACGAGTACAAGTAAGGAACTTGGACTGGGCATCGCTGGTGCTGCCACAGTTGGTTCAGTTGCCATAGAGGCTGTTCAACCGCTTGCACATTCACAGGGACCTATCCCCGAGGAAATTGTTCAGTCACCTGCCGTAGCCGCACCCGCAGAACCTGCCCTGCAGCCTCGGGAGGACAATGCTGCAGCAGCGCTACGTGAACAAGCCCTGGTCGAAGAAGCCAACAACGTTCTCGACAAGGAGACCCCTGAGACTGGCGAGTCTGTCGCGCTCGCAGCCATCCCCGATGAATCTGTTCCAGAGTCTGAGGCTACGCTTGTCGAGGAATCTATTTCACAGCCCGAACCAGCGTCTCTTGCAGAACCAGAGGTCGTGTCCACAGCGCCTGAACCTGCACATGATATCGAGACGTCTGTTTTTGGAACTCCAGAGTCGCCGGCATCGGATGATACTCTCCCTGCAGTCCCCGTAGTAGACGACGTACCTGAGCCACTCATCGAGCCGGAAGAACAGACCTCCATTGTCGAGGAAACGCCCTCCGAGGTGCTCGCTAATGAAGGCATCGAAGATACTCCTGAAGACGCTTCGGTTTATGAAGCTGCCGAGGCCGAAACTCCGGAAGAAACCCCCGTAGAACCCATACCACCCGCTGCTGAGCCGAAGCCCGTTGAATATACCGATGGCGCAGCATCCATGGAACTACCATCATCTGCAGATGCGCAGGACGACGTGAACGTCCCGGAGGAGCATCCATCATATTGAGAACATTGTTGAAGATCCATCGTGATTACCTTTTTGATTGGTTCTTGGGTTTATTTTATCGTTTCATGTTTGAACTTTGGTTGCGAAACCTCCAACTGTCCTTTGTCATTTACCGGTCCCCATCTGCACCCATACCTCCTTCGCTAGCCTCCACTAATCCACGTTTACTGTTATATCCAGGATTCCAAATATCACATTCTCCCACTTTATTCATACAACTGTCATTTGGATCGTCATTCGCCCGCACACGGCCCCATCGTTTTTCCTTGATATCCCATATGCCTTTCTCGGATGCTTACTCGACCTTGGTGCTTTCAATGTTCCAGTACTCCTGCGCGTAATCTTGGATCGCACGATCAGAACTAAACTTGCCCATCTGTTCCAAATTGTGGTTCGCCGTTCCTTACTAAAAATGATAATCCATACCTTTGCAGTGGTCCTGATACTCTTCTTAATCCACTCCGTTCGGTCATTATAGGCTTCATCTACCATACGAAGAGCCTCGAGGTCTGAAAAGGGTTCATCAGGGACGCTATCGCCCGCCTAGCAATTTGCTCACAGGAGTCAAAATCTTCAGTAATGAGATAATAATCTCCCTGACGAATCGTGTTGAGCAGGCTGTTCAGAGAAATGAGTGAACTTCGTAATACGCTTGCTGGAGCATTACTTACGGCTCGTACACGCCCCTGTCGCCAAACAACCCAGATGAGATCTCGTTAAGAACTCGTGCAAGAGCAGGTGACTTCTGCTCGACAGGAACAGGGTGGTATACGTGTTGGTAACGAAGATCTTCCACTGCAGGTGTCAGATGACCGAAGAAGACTTCGACGAGAGAAAAGTAAGTCCGTAGCACAGGTAATAAATGCAAGACTACGTACAAACATTGCTAGGGCCAACTTCCTCCGCGATCTCGATGTTCGCACCATCTATCCGAACAGTCAGATCTTTATGGCACTGGATAACACCAGTACACACCAACAGTGCCCAGCAAAAGCCCGCCGTTCAAGCAGAACTTCATGTTGGATGTGCCAGAAGCTTCTGTACCTGCGGTAGAGATGTGTTGACTGATGTCCGAAGCTGGAATAAGGACTTCTGCCAAGGTGACTGAGTAGTCTGGTAAGAAGAAGACGTTCAAGTAGTCCCTTGTGTCAGGATCAGAATTGACCACGCGAGCGACGTTGACGATCAAGCGGATGGTCTAGAAGCTCGTTAGCATCACAGGTTTGTGCGTCTCGCTCGTTGAACGAACCAGCTTGGCGATATAATCTAAACGCCGGTCAGTTCGATGGAATTGTTGACGCGCACAAACACTTACATCCTGGGGCGGCTTTGCCTGCGAAGAAGACATTCCGCGGGGTCATTGTCTTCCGCTCCTTGGGAGTCATAGATTTCAGAGTGAGGTAGCGCTAGAAAAAGTTGAGCGCAAAACTCAACGATCATACTATTGACGATGCTCACATGAATGACACCAAGAATATTGAGAGTTTGGCGCTAACAAGACTGATAGATCGGACTTCGAGAGGGCATACATCGGTGTCTACGTACCTTATACTCGTGCAACCGCTGAAACACCGATCAGCCCTCAAGTTCCGCAATATGATATGTCTGACTGACCTTAATCTGGACAGTCGAACATGGCTTTAGGTATTAACGTTGAGACCTAAAGTAACCTTGCATGTGATGGGCAAGCCTCTCCTTGTTAGCTTGCTTTACAGCTGCCCAGTCTTCCCTGAAGTCCTCGTCCTCGACATAATCAAGAAGACCCTCGAGTTTGGTGAAGGTCCTTGAGCCACACGCTCTTCTCTATATTCAGGGTCGTGGTGATGAGCCTGCTGAGTCCGGGGTTGCACTGGTATGTGTGACTTAGCATCGATGTCACACCTATTTCAAGATAGCCACACACCTGGTCCAGCCACCGACGAGGAGTGACTTTGCAAGGTGATGAGAAGCAGAAATGCATTGAAGGTATGGTACTCACTGCCGTTGGTCACGTTTCCAAACCTTGCGCGCAAACCACAGTCAGCGTGCGGCTATTTAGTTGCTGAATGAACATACTTGCTAACTCCATAGAACTCTACGAAATCCTTCAAAATAGTCGTCTGAACCAGTTCGCTGTGCAGCTAGAGGAGCGATGGTGCTACACATTCAGACGGATGGTGGATACTCGGTGAAGACTTACTTCGGCCACGCCGTTAACTTTGCGACTGCCTATACACATGTACATTAGTAGGAATATGAAATGAGTCTTGCGAAACTCACCGATGCATGCCAGGTAAGCCATGCGAACATTCTGAGGAACGCTCTCTGAGGAAAACTTTTGAGCCGCGATTCATAGGTTGTAAAATCACCATACCTTCGATTAGTGACATTCGTGCAAGCCGTTCCCTATCTCCAGGGAACTTCCGTTCGACAGCTGTGGAAAAGATCAGTCGGACGTTCGATATGGGATTGAGTCTGTCTTTCTTACACTGCATGAACAACCTAAGGTCCGATGTTTGGGTCAGCGTACAACACAACATTTTCCGCTGCTCACAAATTCTGAAATCCAAAGTTGTTCAGTAAAGAGGATCACTGGTATAACACAAAGACTCACAATATCAAAGATGATCTGCATGTGCCTACAAATGGACAGCTTTAACTGCCACTATATCGTTGCAATACATGACGCTCACCTAGGCAAGAGATGTTGCATCAAGGGTACAGGCCACGTCTCAAGTGCCTCCTATCATCAATGTCTTGCGTCAACATCCATATCATGAGAACTTGGCATTATCTCGACCTACCGGGAGGACAGTGTGATTGGTGAAGAAGAACGTCTCTGTGACGATGTTCCAAGCAGCATTCCATGGAACATCTTCATCATCAACAAGGAGTCGCATGAGCTCCGGAACGGCGAGTGTTGGGTGCGTCTTCAGTAAAGAACAGTCAGTCCTTAGTACTACGCGCACACGCATAAATCGGCCTTACGTCGTTCAACTGGATCGAGACGTCTAGAAGGAATGTGAGCTTTGATATTTGAGAATGAAACAGGTTCGCGTACATTGAGGGAACTCTGTGATGGGCCTTCCGAGGTTCTTGAACCGGCGCATGATGTCCGCGAGACTGGCTGCGGTCCAGAAGTACTGCTGCTTCAAGCGAAGTTCCTTTCCAACTTGAAACGGGCCTCTAAGTACCACGTACATTTCATATTGTTGGGTATACTCACAGGTGGTGTGATCGTTGGGGTACAAGACCGATGTGATCGCTGCTGCGCTATTCGAAGACTCGACGGCGCGTTCGTAATCTCCCGCTACAAATAAAATCCATCAGTTGAACAGAAGACGCAATGATGTCGCTGTAAACGCACCATTGAAACTGTTTAAATCAAATCCCCTCTTCGGCTTACTCTCCCACAAACGGAGGTTATTCGTGTTGCGCGTGTTACAGCCAGGGATGGGCACATCATAAGCGACCGCGAGAACCTCTTGACCACCCTCCCAAACGGCGCGGCCGCTTCCATCGTTCAAGCGCTCTGCATGACCGTGAAAACGCACCTCGTAGCTAACATCAATGCGAGGGAGCTCCCACGGGTTAGAATTATCCAGCCAAGGATCCGGTGCTTCCAGCTGCTGTCCGTCGGGAGAGATGAGCTGCTGGAAGATGCCATATCTGTATCGTAAGCCGTAACCCCATACAGGAAGCTCCTGAGATGCGGAAGAGTCGAGGTAGCATGCGGCAAGACGCCCGAGGCCACCATTGCCGAGCCCGGCGTCACGCTCCTGCGCCAGGAGATCTTCCATGTTGAAGCCAAGCTTGTCGACCCCCTCCGTGTATTGCTGCTTGAGGCCGAGATTGAGGAGGGCATTGTCAAGGGCGCGGCCCATGAGAAATTCGAGTGATAAGTAGTACGCCCGCTTTCCTGCGGTGCGAGAGTAGTGCAGTTGTGTTTCGTTCCAGTTGATCTGTGGATCGGACGATGAGTTGGGTGGGTGGAATGATATAAGATAAGGGGGCATACGATCAGATTATCACGGACGGAGAGAGCTGCAGCCTGGTAAGCTCCAAAATTGTCGATCTCGTGTGGCTGGCGAGCCAGAGAGGTTTGGACATGGTTGACGATCGACTTGGTAATGGACGGCACGCCTGTGGGAGGTGGTCGAGCGATACACGAACTAGGTGTTCTGATTAGCTACCTGTATCAAGGCTTCTCAAACCATCTTTCCAGACTTTCTCCTCGCCTCTAGGCCACTTTTCCTTGCCTTCGGGGTCCTTTTCTGGCAGGTATCCTGTTTGAAATACATCACCTATGTTATCGAGGAAACACCAAACGGATTGGACATACCAGTAAGTGTCCTGACATGTCTGCGGGGGCGTTGAACCTTTCCGATGGCAGTGGTATCAAGCACGGATGTCATGTCTAGTGACAACGATACTGGCGATCGTAGTTGATGGGGAAGAAACAAGCGCGGTTTTGAGTGGAATAAGGAGAGACTCCATAGAAGGACGTCATATCAAGTCGACTACGGTTGTTTTTGCGGAAAAAGGGGGGCAAATCTGGATAGATCTGTGTTCCAAACGGAAAACATTTTCACATCGAAGACCTGCTAACCAAGTCACGTTCACTGCCAGGCGGCAGTCTGGACCAGTCTGGAACCGGCGATCATCATCATCTTCTATATAAGCTATTGTGACGCGGCATGACGCCCAGTGAGAATTGACTGTGCCCTGAATATGTTGAGATAAGAGTGAATGTCGAGTTATGCTTCTTTCGGTTGAAATCGATAATTGTCCATTGTAACTGCACCAACTGCGCTTCGCAATATTAATGCATGACGCGCAAGTGACGCGGCCACCTGCGTTGCCCAATTTGTAAGCCTTATTATACTCGGTGATTGCGGCATGATGATAGGGAATGTGAGTGTACGACGAGCAAAATTTCACGCCACTGCTATCATTTATGCAAAGAGCTGTAAGACTCTGTCAAAAAAGAAAACGGTAGTTGAAGAAGCAAGAAATACAGTACAATGATGTAGGACGACTATGTGTAACTAGAGTAGAGAATAGAAAATGTCAATGAAGAATAAGAACAACGAAGGTCTTCACCAAGGTTCGTTGTCTGTGTACTCAACAGATGCACAACTGATGCAGAGCAAGAAACGAGTCGCAGCCTGTATGAGTGGTATCACATCGCGATATCGTTCCAGTAGCCCATATGCTAGTTGCGATTGTGTTTCTAATGTTGACCATCTGTGTTCTGAATAGGCATGCTGTAAAGCCAGCCCATGAAACGCGCGCGCCATCCAGCACCGGTCATTTGAGAACTCGAACCTGTTCCCGATGCCTCAGCGATACAATTGACAGCGGAAGGTGTCAAAGCAGTGGTAATTGGAGGTGGTAGCTGTGATAATGATGGTGCGTCTTGAGTTGTTGCGCTAGGTTTTTGCGTGGTATGGATTTTGGGAGGTCGAGACCAGCTGGCAGCTGGCTTCCCTGTTGCATGATAGTTCTCCTGCGCAGAGGAGTCAGCGATAAAGAAGAACAGTGAAGTAAAACAACGTACAGGCTTGCCCGCTATGCAGGGGATCTCGACTACAGGTGACTCTTGCAACTCGATGTCTGGTGTATCTCGCCTGCGCACCATGCTGGAGACCAGGTTTCGAGTCCAGCTGAGAGGGTGGGATCGGGGTTGTGTAATGCGCTCAGTTGCCCCATGCGGCTTGAAGTTGCGCCAGAAGGAGGAAAAGGGACCGAAGGATGCGTTGACTTGGTGCTGGGGTTGGGCAGTTACGTGGCCCACGAAACCGGGATAGACGAGTGCGCAACTAACAATATATTTGTCAAAGCATTCAATCATAGATAGAGATCACATACATTAGCTTCCTGCACATCCTTAAAAATCCCTGTGGGCATCCGGCGAGCACATTTCACCTTTGGAGCCAGTCGCGGTGCAGCATCAGCCTGGGAGCAGATCCGTTGTCAGTGTCGTTGAGAATGAATTGCATCAAAGCTTACAATATCTGACAGAAGGCCAGCTCCTTTGACGATAGCACAAATATCCCATGTGTATAGGTGGCCGTTAGGGCAGCCAGTAACGAGGAACTTTCCATTTGCAGAAAAGATTGCGGAGTTCACCTCATCTTCATGTTGAAGTGGTGTTCCGATGGGTTGATCGGTTTCGAGGTTCCATAGTTGCGCTGTCTTGTCCAAGAATGATGTGCTTGCGAGGATGCGCTGGTTGGGAGATATTGAAATGGTGTCAACGAAGTTTTCGCCCCCGTCAAGAACAGCAGTCCAGGTGGCTGTGTCGAACTTCCTGATGCGCCATCCTCCGGCGAAAAGCGTTTTTCCATCCAGGGTCCATGCCAGGCACTTGCAGGCAACATCGTCTATTGTTTTGAGTAGTTCGCCTGTGTTGGCGTCCAATATTTTCAGCACCGTGTACAAGCTGATGGCCATCATCTTGCCATCGGGTGAGTAGCAAACCGTCTGCACGTCTCCCCTTGCCTTGATTGGTCCGATGATAGTTTCTTCGCTCTGAAGATCCCACACTCTGAATGTAGCATCCCAGCATCCGCTCACCACTCGCCCTCCGTCTGGACTCCAGCACACAGAATGCACTTTTGCTCTATGTCCCGTCCATCTTTTGATGACCTTGCCCGTGTCGACATTCCACAATTTCACTGTGCCGTCGTCACTCCCGGTTGCTACTGTCTTGCCTGTCGGTGACAATGCTATGGCCTCCACTCCTCTGTCTTTGTCTTCCCATTCATCCCGAAAATGCGCACCCCTCTCCAAGTCCCAGGCTCGAAATGACCCATCCCATGAACATATGATGATTCGCTGTCCACCGGGCAGGTGTAGGATGTGTCTGATGCCATTGTTTATTTTGATCTTTCGGCAAGACATTGTTGCTAGATTATCGTCCTTCACAGGGGCTAGATTTCCCATGATTTTGGTTTCGGGATTCACTTGATGGGTGCGTGGATATCTTCAGCTCTTGCCAGTCAAATCCAATACGAGCCCATTACTTACTTAGAATTTAGATGTACTTGACGTGTACACAAAAAGAGGAATGCAGAACGAATGCTGCGAAGGAGTGGGTGTTTCGTTCAGTGAAGATTCAAGTCAGGAGGGAGAGAGGTAAAGTCTTCTGCAGGTGTGTTTTCCTCGCCTCATCCTCGTGTTCGTTTCACAGCTTCAGGCACTAGCTGTGCAGTTTAAGCGCTCAATAGCCAATATACGCATTGACCCCTCACCATCACGGTCCTATCATCTCGCAAACCTGCATTATCCACACGTCTAATGCGATTTTGGGATTGTCGTATCTATCCTTTCTCTCCACATTTCCGTTGACTCAGAGTTCAACTGGACTCATCCTGCTCCTCTCTCCGATCTTGGTTCTCAACATCCTACGTGAGATTTTCTTTTTCGCAATCCGGTCTGGCTATCCTGATTACATTTTCCTTGTCTTCGTCTAATCAGCCATTTCCCGTCTCTTCCAAATTCATGTGCCCATTCTCGGAGGACCGTGTCGAGCAAACAATTGAATAGGCTGTCTCCGTCGCTAGTAAAGTATCATCCACCCCTTCGTCTACTCAGTACAAAACATCATGTATCTTTTCAAAGCATGTATGTATTGGCAAGCCCTTCTTATGTCTTCACACGCATCCCTCGGTTGGAGGCGGTATTGACGTCCTGCCATCAAGCAGGAATGCGTTGCTAGGATCCTCGAGTATCGCACATTAGGTATTTACGCATGATGAGCTCAGTGTTTGTCTTACCACCCGACTTCAGGAGCGCATCCATATTCAAATGCCCATGTGTCGCGCAAGAGTTCTACATACATCCTCGTTCTTCGACGCCGAGATGCAGTTTCCTTCGTGTGCATAGAGACCCTCAGGCCTCAGGCTGTCCATCACCAGGACGCCTACATTTAGATGCATGATCTTATCCTTGCCTTTGTTGGCCTCTAATGACATCACGAGCATCTGTGAAAGGTTCAAAAGATACCTCGCCATATGCTTATTTCTTCCCGCTTTGGAGCATGTTCGTGCCTAAGAATCAGATCATGAGGTTGTCACCCAGGGTCAATTTGGATCCTTCACAGCCGCGTCTTCCCTGTATGTCGACTCGGAAATGGTAGTTTCTAAGCAGACTTCCATCAGATTCATCCGCAGGGGTGCCGAAAATTCTACATGTCCGCAGTACTTACGCACAACTGCAACATCATCCGACCAAGCAAGGTCCTAGACAGCAACGCCGGCCACTAGTGTATAAATCATGCGAAATATAAACATGGTAGGTCACACCATCATTCCATCCTTCAATTTCTTCTCTGCACTTTCCCTTCTCGGTAGGTATGTATGAACGACTAATGAATGACGTGCTTAGGGTGAGGCTGAGGGAGAGGTGTAGATGGATAGAATTCAGCACTTGGCGGAAAGCAGCTGCTTATCGCATAGGGCAACACAAGCACAAGTGATATGTACCTGCCGAACTGCATTTCTAAGATGAGGAATCGGACCGATCTCCAGGGGCACGGTTGCTTTGAATAACTTTGCTCCAGAAGTACGAACGATGGACTTGGTTGCCAGCGTAGAAACTGACACGTCGCGTGCAGCACAGATACAAGTACATGAGCCAGGGCGCAATGGAGATACGTCCAATCTTGTGATTGTCGTATCTATCTGTTCTCTCCACATTTTCGTTGAGAGTCTAACTGGACTCATCCTGCTCCTCTCTCCGATTTTGGTTCGCAACGTACTACGGGAGCTTTTCTTCTTCGTCTTCCTACTAGCTAAATCGCAGTCTGGCCATGACGATTCCGATTTTCGTGGATGAGACGGGTCATACTCTTCAGTATGTTGTCTACACTCCTATCTTTAATACTCGGAGTTGTATTGCCGGTGCACAAGCGCCCTTTGCGTTTCAGCAAAAATCTGGAATGTGGATGTCTACTGAAATGGTGTCGAACTTCGTCGGCAGGGACCTTGACTGTTTTTGTAAAGTGTGCGATAGTAGCTCGTAACGAGAATCAGTATGAGCAGCCAAACACATAGAACAATATCGTGCGGTGTCTAATCAACGTCAATCACATACAACGACGGTAAGCGCAAGCTTGCGCTTACACATGGTCAACTTGAACTGTCAAGAGTCCAGAATCGACGCGATATTTGAACGCTGTGGTCACCCACGAATGAAGAAAGAGAGATGTAGTTTACTCTTCGTTGCTACTGTAAAGAGATCTGAGACCGTCCGCAAGCGAGCGGAGCGCTTTTTTGATATGGTATTGATATAAATGACACGTGTTAAGATCAATGAAAACATAAATGCTACTACTATATTAACGTCACCTCCAGCTTTGCATGCAGAGCGCCATTGCGATCTACGTACATAGTATTCCTGCAGCAAAAATGTCAGTACAATTGATATAAATAGGAGAACGGCCCCAACTCTGTGGCGTGGATCCACGAAGCATACGGGAGAAGACTTACTCGTTCAAGAACCAATCTTTCAATCTCCATGTGAAGAGGGTGGCATCTGATAGAGCGACCGACCTGCGTAGCCAATGGCAGATAGAGGAGTCGTAAAACCGTCAGTGTGCTTTAGCTCCAAATGATTCAAAAAACCTACTCCTGAGATGCAACTTGAAGGAACATAGACTGGCTGTTAGTAACCGGTAGCAATCGCAGATCTTGAGGTGGAGTTGCGCAGTCATGTTTCCCCGAGTGAGCCTCAATGACTAGGACAGCTTCTGGACATGCCGGCAAGCTTTCCTTAGAAAGACTTAAAAAAATGCGCCACAGCCCGTCGAGCGCCATTGAGAATATTTGGAATAGCCAAATACGTCCTACAGGGATGGAGATGTTCAGTGTGAGGAGCAGTGAGAGACGTGGACTTTACCAGCGGCAACAAATTCTATGCCCAATTGTTGTCTCATGAGCAGACGTTTCTGGAACATTCTGATACAGAAACAAATGTTAAATTTGATCTTGTGCAGTCCATCCCCTGCATCATGGACCTGAACCTCATCGGGTGGGCAACCCAAAAAATTTCTCAAAGCGTTATCTTTGCCTGATTAGTGTAAAGGAAATGAGTCGGTGTACTCTCGGGTAGACAATATTATGCACTTACGATTGATTACACGTCCCAGATTCAACTGGGTAAACAATGCATGGTTGCTAGTAAACATACAAGCGAGACGCAAGTCAGAAGAGCAAACAGACGAAAATTTTGGTATGAATGCAGCAAATGCCGAAAATGCTTCTGGCTGGTGATTCACAATCGCCCAATACATCGCCGTGTGACCTTCAATATTGGGTTTTTGCAAAAGGTTGGAGAATTCTGTTGGTGAGATAGCAGCAGCGCATGCATTAACGGTTGGGACGATGGAAGAAGAGGCAAAATTGGAATCAGAAATGATGTCACGGATGTGAGATAGAACAGTTTTCCGTTTCTGCTTGTTTCTGAGGAACGAAAATAGTGGTGATATTAGTTTTCCAGCGTATTCAATGCGTATGGAGTCCCGGGCCGTTGATGATGATGCAGGCGTATAAATGTTCTGGTAGTAAGGGGGTGGTGGGTGGGTAACACACTTGCTGTCATAGAAGACCTCGGACTTGGTAGCCATCGCGGAATGGGGAAAGGGGATCTTTAAACCCCCCAGGTGAAGCTTTTAGTAACGGGTCATAGATAGGGGCACGACACAGCATATCATTATGTAAGATTCAGACTGTATATATGGTCGGAATTCCGAGGCCCGTGTTTGAACCGGTACCCCACGCCTTCTTAATATGGTAATTTATTTGGCGCATAAAAAGTATTATCACTTTAAACCTCAAGCTTAAGCGCCGGTGAGCGTCCACCCTACATGGGCAACTGTCAAACTCGCACGCGTCAGCAAAATACTACCAGAAGCCGTCCGTGAGTACCCCCGCAGATGCGCAAGAGCATCTCCACCGTGCGCGTGAGGCTTCGATAGATGGTACGTTTCCCTTCCTTGTCTAAACCATCCTCGATTGACAACAGATGGGCCTATGTCCAGCTCCCAGACGAATACGACCAGGTGGACGTCGATCTTGCTCCTTTCTGGGGTATAAACCCTACACATCTTCCTCCCATCTCCGTGTGGTCACCTTTCATAACAAAGCCAGCTTCTCTCATCCTACGTGCACACTTCCTCGCGAGAATCACCTGGTGGCTTGTATGCGGATGCCCTCCTCCCCCTGCGCAAGTTCTTCGCCGCACCGCTAGCGCCCGTATTTTTTCTAAAGCCTTTCTGGTACGCTTTTACCCAATGTCATACCTTTTGCTTCATTTCAAACATACCCTAACAAATTTTACAGGTTGAAAAAATTCTAATATTACGTGGCTATATGGTCCTCGTCACACGGCAGATTACCCTACCTTCGCCCAACGCTGCCGCCGCTGTCGATCTCCCCATGCTTTGATCATCCCCGCCCACCACGAAGCCAACTCTAAAGCACCGTTCTATCATGGAACTTCTGACTTTCCTCATCGACCTCCTCGGCGTTGAATTGCAAGTCTATTCTTTCTGTGAATAGTTTCAAGATGCTGAATCCACGACAGGCTACCTCCTACATCATTCCGGAAAATCCATGCCCAGACCAGGTTCCAATTACTCAGTCTGACCGCTTCGCACTAAAAGCTAACCCTGCAGTTCCAACCGACGAGAAAGATCGGGAGAGATGCGTATGGTGGAAGGCCAATAAACGGGCATATGGAATTCTCGGTCAACTGTTCCACCGGTGTGCAGCTTCTTCACATATTCTGTGTGTCTGAGAGCATGGTAGCTTTGTAAATCCCTCTCAGCTCCCGTCACCAATACAGAACGAGTATGGTGTATTTGCAGAGCACTTTGTGACTGCCTTCGCTCCCGAAATCTTTAAGGTGTACCTCCACCAGGTCGAGTCGAGCTATATGTTTCACGCAGCTGTGCATTAAAGAATTTCTTCTTCCTCTTACGCTGTGTCCTAGCTAATTTTGGTTATCTAGTCAGGGACACTGTCTCTCATTACCTCGCGCAATGCGTTACAATTAGAGCCATAGATCAAATGTTGTCGCTTGTGTGCACAGGGAGTGAATATATCTCCTCAATCAGGATCTAGGCGAGATTCAGTAAGAATGCGATGATTAGAATAGAAGAGGCTTACAAGGACATTCGACACGGCTTCGTGATGATGCATAGCACTGCGCGCATTGATGATTCCACAAGGACGGACGACAGGCTGTTTATCGTTAGTGCGCTGGCGTCGGAAGACTGCCTCGAGCTTGGCTTGGATCTCCTTCGCTTCACACTGGGCGGGTGCTTCTTCTGAGACGTCAGTAGACATTGTGACTGCGGGCTGCACAGGTCGAGTGTCTCCAGTCTGTTCGTCAGGCTCATACCGCCCATTCACACTGGGCAGGGAGAGCACCGCCAGCAATACCAGTGGATGATAGAAGGAGGGCCATGGTATCATCTAACTTTGCCTCTTCTGCCGCCGGGTTTAACTCTTGCCAGTTCGTAGGGATTCAACATTAAGGGCTTCCATATGGATGTGAAGAGGGTCTTCGCAAGCATTGCGAAGCTTGCCTTACTGGCCGTAACAAATCACAGGCCGATCACACCCGTCGACAGCACAATTCATCTCCAGTCGCTGGTGCACAGGATCAACTGAACAAAATCGGTGACGGACGCTTGCGAGTGGGTTGGTACACCATGGGACTGCACAATGCAGGCGTCCTACTGTGACTCCGTCTGTAACACCAACTTCTGTTCAGCTGAGGGTTCCATCTGGCATCTCAAACACCCGCATACATCCATCACAGGCAGATAGTGCAAGATGGCATCGGGGAAGTAGCTAGAAGGGCTGGGCCTCTTTGAAAATTTTATATTGGATACTCTCGGATACACACGTTTGCCAATGCCTATCTGGGACTGAAGGATTTGATCACATTCGCTCCATGGCTTTCGCATCACTCACAGAGACGATGGACCGCTTCGATGCTTCGCGGAAAGTCTGATAACATTGGTCATGACCGTTATGACCCCCGGGGATGCGGCAACCTTTTATCCAGAGTTGACGTCAAACGCTGTCAAACGGAATTAAATATTAGACGCATGCAGGAGAAAGATTTCGAACAGATCAATCTTCAGGAAGTATGGCAAGTCCACAGCTCAGGATCGAACGTGGCACTCGGTTTTTAGGCTGTGCATGTGGCATGTGTTGTCATCCTTTGGCGACATATTCATAATCATGAAGCATATCTAGCTTTAGATTGGGATGCTCGTTATTCTGTCAAGAAGCCCGTTATGAGAAGCGCTCTCGAATGGAGAACGTCCACAATCTGCCGAAATAATTTCTGTCCATTTCGTGTCCATGTCTTGCATTGGAACTCTGCGGTTCCGCCCAATCCCATGCGCAAAAGCCAGGACGGTGTCAATGCAGAGATAACATACGTGTCCATCAACCCATTGTTTCGAAATGTTACCCTCAGATTTTTCAGGGACTCTATGCTATGGCTGACTTCATGCCACGCATTGTAGACGTTCCTCTTCAGAAAAGAGTTGCCATCCTACAAACACTGTCAGACCTGATGATTACTGTGTCGGCCAGCGGGAGCGAGGACCCTTCAGATCATCATTGATTCGTTGCGGAAGAGTTTGCTGGTCATACCTTTCTTGTCCACCGAGCTTGACTCTCTTTGCACATTCTTTTTCAAGAGCTCTGCGACAGCACATTCACGGAATATGTTGGCTGATGATGTCGATCCTCAGAGGAAAGGCTACGCGCAGCATAATGGTAATGTCCTCATCTTCATGGTCGAACAAGAACACTGTACACCCCCGCCATCCTTATCCACCGACTGAATATTGTCTTATCTGTGATGACAAGACTATGGCATCACTTTTATCTAAAATTTGAGGATGGGAAACAAACTTGCCTATCGAACATGCTTCTTAGTGGTATCTCCTGCTACGGCTCGCCAAGTCCCTCCCGGATTGCATGAGAACTCGTCACAGATGGAGTACCTGGAATCCGCACCTACACCTACCTACGCCATTCACTTACTACTACTAGTAGTAATTAATGGCGCCGACTTGGTAGACAAGTTCATTACATAATCTGATGCCAGCGTTGAGGTCCTGGGCTTAGTAAGCGCTTAAAGCTTTATATGGGCCCACTGATCATCGATCATGTACATCGTAAGTACATAGATTTCGCACGGGCAAGTGCGCGTAACCTTCACGATGACATGCAGATTGTGTTGGCCAATTGACGGAATATAACAGGGCAAGGAAACAATCAGACATACTCATGAACCCAACTTGAAGAGCAACCGGTGATATCATGATCATGATTCACCTGTGACTCACCATATCAGTCGTTCATGCCGCAGGCTCGGGTCGCTGTTGTCAAGTGCGGATCACTAGCCACCAATATTGATGTAGTAGGTGCACTAAGCCTAGCAGGTAGTGGCAACCTCCTTCCGCTTTCGTGGCAATTGGCTAGCCATGAACATTAAAAAGTGAAAGTTGTATATGCACAAGGTGACGTCACCTATCACTGCGCCAGCGGGTTGACCGGAAAGTAACGGCGGGACATCATTGGTGCCAGGATACGACAGGAACACGATTATTTACTACAAAGCCCTCCCCACTAACTTGGAAGCACGATATTGATCAAAATCAAAGTTCACGCGTGCACGGACCGCAATACTAACCGCATGCATCTGGCTCTGTTACAAATCTTGCAGCTGGCTAAACAAGCATTCGATCCCATCGACTCGGTCCAGTTTACAGCCAACTCCTTTGAGCAAATACCATTCGAACGGTTTCGTCTCATCATTCTGCCAGTATGTCCAAAACGTGACTTGACGCCCTCCTCTGTGGAGTACAAAATAGACAGCACTAACAATCAAGTTGACAACAACCTCCCTACAGGTGGAATCAACTTATCATCATGTTTATCCGCCTCTCTACTGTTTTCGTTATACTTGTTGGCCTGACAGCTCTTGTCAGCGCTGAAGCGCCAGTAAGCCTCTCCTCACGTCAAATTTTATCATATTGTCATACGACACCGTCCGTAGGTTCCTCGCGGGACTCATGATCCTGAGGACTTCGAGAATGAACCGCCAGTAAGCCTCTCCTGGCGTGAAATTTTATCATATTGACATACGACGTCCGCAGGTTCCTCGTAGAACCCACAGGCCCGAGCCTGATGCCTGAGGTCCCCATGACTCACGGGATATTGTATGAAGGGAAACTGCTGTGCGGGATCGGGTCTTTATGCAGAACGAGTTACAAGGAAGAATATGAGCAGTGCTTACAAGGATACAAGTCAGTTTGAGATGCTAGGTGTATTGTTGATTGCAATGTACGTTTGAATCTGTGTGTCTGTCGAACTTGTGTGAAGTCCAACACTGGGGACAAGTACTTGCAGGTATAAAACACAAATGCTCCAATGCTGCAGGCATGATCACTGAGCAGAAGCGGAATTGACAGAGTGAAACTCACCCTGTCGTCCGAATCGTGGTAATTAGTACCGGAAGACAACAAGCGACATGCCTTTTTTGCATCCGTGTTTCATTTTGTCACGTCCTGTCGTTCACAAATACTGATCCTTGCTGAGTAAGGGACCGAGTGGGAATGAAGTATGATAGTGGTATGGTAAAAACGTATGAGACGTCAGACGGAGGACCGCTCCATACAAAATAAACACCATCACAGACTCAGTCGACATACATAGTATTCCTACACAAACAAGTTGTTAAGGACAATCAAAAATGCTGATGAAATTCCCGCTCACCACAGCCAGCATGCGGCATTTGTAGATCTCGACGTTCAACAAATAAGGTCGAAAAGGCTGGAAAAGTGAACTCGTGATTCCATTCCCTTCCATGGGACTCGATCACAAGCACGCTGGCAAGCTATGTTTCAGAAAGATTAATTCCTTTGTGTGTGCATAGAGACCCACATCTGACTTGTCAGGGTCTGCACTAACTCATTCGTCTGCTCCTAGTACATTCAACTATTGACCTTAGGTCACTCTAGCATCAAGGAAGTGCCCGTGCTTCATTCAGATTGGTCTACTCGTCAACACAGTAATTCAGTTCTCTGAACAGGCAAGTAACTGAAAGACTTCTACCTTCACCTCCAGCGTTAAATGAATCTGTAATTATACAACTACGTCAATTGATACCATCCTGTTCGAGGTATAAATATAGTTTTGTGCATCATCCCGCTGACAGCCCGTTCCAAAAGCGATCTGAGGATTAGATAGAAGACATAGCCTGGGTACTGGCGATCTCACTGGTCGATCTCCGCTCAAGCTACGTTGATAACATATAGCTGCAGGTATAAGTACTGCCCCATGATCTATATCTCTTTGTTAACTTCACACGGACAACATGACGGTATCTACACTCACCCTCAACGATGGCAATCAAGTCCCCTGGATCGCATTTGGCACCGGCACGGCGCTCCGCCAGCAAGATGTACAGAGCCCTGTCGAAAACGCCATCGCCAACGGTTTCACGCACCTCGATGGTGCCCAGATGTACGAGAATGAAGAGAGCTTTGGCATTGCAATCAAGGCTTCTGGAACACCGCGCTCTGCGCTCTTTGTTACAACTAAACTTAACCAACTACAGCCTGATCAGACTGCCAAGACTGCGCTGCAGGTGTCGTTGAAGAAATTAGGCTTGGAGTACGTAGATCTATACCTTGTGCACGCGCCAGGACACCATGCAGGCCGGCTGAAGGAGGTGTGGAAGATGATGGAAGAGTGTAAAAGGGAAAGACTGGCGAAGTCCATTGGGGTATCGAATTTCGGAGTTGCACATTTGCAAGAGATCTTGGAGGGCGCTGAGTTTCCGCCTTCGGTCAACCAGGTGAGTTAATCACCTCAGTGTCAGTATTACTTTTGAACAACCCCAATGAAAGGTTGAGATCCACCCGTATGCGTGGAAGTCTTTACAGCCTGTGATTGCGTTGCACAAAGAGCACGGCATCATCACGTCCGCTTATGGTGGCCTAACGCCCCTCTTCCGCGCACCCGGAGGACCCCTGGATCCCGTCATCGAGAAAATCCGGGCACGCCTTGAGTCCACTCGAGGGAAACCTGTGTCAATCGGCCAGGTACTCAACAAGTGGTTGCAGCAGTACGGGATTCTAGTCGTCACGTAAGTTCCATCTGTTCCGGATATGCTATGTTGTAGATGCTTATATAGTATCGATCAGCACTTCGAGCAAAGCGGATAGGATGAGAGAGTATCTTGATACCGCCAATGTTCCAGAATTGACAACCGAGGAGATCGAGTCGATTGAGAATGCTGGGGCGCAGCGCTATTATAAATTCCTGGTATTGTCCGATTGATTAGATGAGCGTTATAATACTGGTCAAAATACTTTGTAGTTAGTTTGTAGATTAACATTGACGGAAAATCATATTCTGCGAGGACACGCTGGACAATTTGTAGCATGAAGTATACATATGATCCCTACACGTGATGTACAGTACTTTGAAATGAGCTCCCAGATGAGAATGAAGTATCTAGAAGACTCATCAGACTTCGGAATCACCACTGATCCTGATAGTCCATCCAATCTTCCACATCACCGCCTATCCCTGGCAGGAGAACTGCACAAACCCTGAAGCCTGAGATGTAGACAGTTAAAGGAGAGGTGAACCCCATTGTGTATGAATTGCCCCGACAATAAACCGTATGTCCTAGAAAATGAAAATGAGCCCACACAAGAACCGGGCTGAGCCTCGGTCCTAGTAGAAATACGCACAGCACAATCAAAGCCGAAGATGATAGCTATGTCGCATCATGAGGTGCACAGAATAGGATAGTCAACGACCATCGCATTCGACCTTCAAGCATACATAATAGTATGCCTGCTCAGGCTGAAATTCATGCACATACTGTCCGTTGCGCAGGACGAAAAAAATGGTTCAAGAGGGAAAAGGTAGCGGAACAATCAGAAAAGTAGGAAGGAGTGTTAGATGTAACAGGATAAAAAGTATCAAAATAATGCACGAAATCCACCACATGTCTTCTTTAACGTTGACTGTCTGTGTCTTGGATAGACACGCAGCTGATCCAGAGCAAGAACCGAGTCCACCATCCAGCATGCTTTATGGTAATATCAAGGCGCGATGACGTCCCAGCTGCCGATGCGGTTGTGGCAGGTGGTTGCTGTGATGATGGTGGTGGTATGTTCTGTGTTGCTTCACCGGGTTGATACCACATGCCACGAGTATTGGGATGTTGAGAGTCACTTGTCTTTCTGGTATAATAGTTCCCCTGCACGAAAATGAGACAGCCAAAAAAAACACTAAAATGGAAACAAAAACGCACAGGCGAGATCTGACGGTACAGCGGCTGAATCCCCACCCGACTAACGTCAGGGGAGTTTGCAACTATCTCCCTTCCCGCATGATACATGGCATGAGTATTGGGATGTTGTGATTCACTTATCTTCTTTCTCGCATGATAGTTCCTCTGCACGAAAACGAGACAGTGCAAAAAAAAGCCTAGAATGGAACAAAAACGCACAGGCGAACTGTGACAGCGATGCGTGGCCAGCTGACCAGCGTCAGGGAATTTTGCAACTATCTCCCTTCCCGCATAATAGTTCCTCTGCCTGAAAATGAGAAAGTAAAAAAAATTAGAATAAAACAAAAACACACAGGTGAACTGTAATAACTCTGAATTGGAGGTCCGCAATTGGCGTTCGGATCTCTAAATCCAGCATAACTTATCATTGTATATGCTGAGGCGATTGAGCCTCGCAGTGGACGTTTCAATGCAGTCGGACTCGAGCGCACGTTTGCTTCACAGCAAATTGAGCTGACTGTACAGATCACACGCCCAGGCGCCCAAGTCCTTTCATATTGCAGTACCAGTTTTGTTCTCATAAATTATCAGCACCCTCGGTTATCCGGTCCACGCGAAATTACAGTGCCCACTCTTGCGCGTACACCGAGTCTCAGCTTGCACCACAGCCCCAGACACGATTCGTTCACCTGCTATTAGATGCATTCTTCTGCAGGTGAAGCATTTAAGCAAGTTGATCTGTGGAATCAAGCGTGTCGCGACAGAACGTTTTTATGGGGTTCGGGACTTTTGTAGTCCGAGTCACGTTCAATGGAATTCAGAATGAGCTCGCGTACATCAATGAAATAGCGAGGGCTCGCCAGGCTGTAGAACCACCACTGGCACCAGTACTCCATCAACAATCATCTCCCAAAATGCCTATCCCTGGTAAGAAGGACAACGCAAACGGTGAAGCTTGAGATGCAGGCAGTTGAAGCAAATCATATAGGCCCGACAATAACAGCAAATGTACGTCCGAGTAAGTATGCATCAAAATAGAGGAGGCTGCAGATGAGTCAGATGTAGCATAAGTACAAGGATTGGCTAACACATACTTGTAAAGTTCTGATACTGCTAAAGTCCCGGCTCCCGAGCGCGCCATGTGCATACTCACTTGAAGTCCTCACAATCATCGGCTAGGCGGAGGAATGATGCAGATGGCCACATCAGCAAGAGATCAAGGCGGGAAAAACGCGCTTGTTATTATGTAATGTTCTCTACTAACGTTACTCAGTTACTCTTCACGACTCCAACACTACAAAGTTTGACTCCTAGTTGTCTGACTAGGCCTGATTATCTAGTTGACATCAACCGAACTCCCCTGCAGCCTTCTTCCGGCTAACACTCGTCTCCTGCCTTCAAATTCAAGCTAGGTCCCATGCATGTATTTTTATCATCAAACCCGTGCATAAATTTATGTGAAAGAGCAGTGCCCGTGTGCAGCCAAATTCCAATCACGTCCATCTTTAGCTTCCGTCTTCCTCAGGCAACGTGTTTAAGAGCCGCTGAACAACAAACAACAAGAATCAACAGATGTCGAACGCGACGTTAATTCGAAAGCTCTTGAAACGTCTGTTTCAAGTGTTGGCGACGCTCGCAACTTCATCTGCACGGCGACTGCTCATTCTCGTATCATGCTTTCGACGCTTTGTGGCCAAGGTTCATGCTCCAATTTTGCATGATACTGACTCCAAGTTTTCCACCGTAGACTCGTGTTGTGCTGTCTTGACTGGGACTTCTAGTGCACGATGTTCCCAGTCCACCTTACCATTGCCGCTTCACACTACTCCGCCGAGTGCAGTAAGCCCTATGGCTTCAACACCTCCGTGTGCCATGCCTGTTTCAGGCGCTCCCCAACATGTTAATCCGCCACAGACGCCTTTGCCTCTAGCTGTCGGTAATGCAATCTCTGCCAATGGCCTCCCCATCACTCTCCATTTTGTGCCATCTGCTGTAGATCACAAATCACGATATGACGATCGTCCTTTTGTGTATGTGTATGCAGCTCATCACAGTGAATGGCCTTGAGAAGTTGCCCTCTAGAGATACATCTCACTCTAGCGGAATTCTAGCATTCACGAGGTCCTTCCCCAACCAGTGAGTACACCTAACCAGGCATCATGTTAAAGCGGATTACGACTGGTACAGGTCATGTTCTTGGTTGAATGGTGACTGGCAGCGGTGTATACATCCCGAAGGCGCACTGTATCTGTACAATGGCCGCAAGGTAAGTAATGCATATTTGTCTTCGACCATCGACCATGACGCCTGCAGAGAACGTTCACTGAAGCACACATTAACGAATATTCGTTCCGCTTGATGGACAGATGTGCGGATGAGCTATACGACCTGGCACGCACAAACTTACCAAGCATTGACGCTGATGATATCGAGCTCGTCGTGCAGGTAGTTCTGAACCAAGCAGATTCGTGTCAGTACTACTTTGTTGACCATGCAACCCGAACTCTCTTTTGGCTGCACGATTATGATCGAGCGACGGAGAATATATTCGATGGGTTCCAAGGCGTCTGTGATCCGAGTCATATTCGTACGTTATGGCAACCTGTGGCGCTCATGATATGAACTAACCAACAGGATATGCCTTGGAGTCTCAATACTGGTTTGTCGGTTATAATCGTGAGTCTCACTTACTTCCAGCTTACTTCTAGTCGGACCGATTCCAATTTGATTGTTAATGCGTTTTTAGATACAATATGACCATCCTCAATTGAAACGAGTAGGATGCATTGCGAACGCTACCCGAAACACGAGCTGGATCGAGTCAAGCTCCTGAAAGAACTGAGGGCGGTTGTTGTGCATGCGAGTGCAGGTAATCGACCTCCTGTAATTATCTCTGCATCCTTTTTGAACGCGAAACTTAGAGATCATCACTTCGGATACTTCTTTGTCGCCTTTTGGTGCTGATGAACTTTCCAGCATCCTGGAGCTGGTCAACCATCTTCAAGGTATGACAAGTCCTCTTCGAACTATTTATCTTGCAAAATCTAAATATTACATACTTCCAGAGAACGCTCAGGAAACTGATTTCCCTCATCCCACTTGTGTCATTGGTACGTGAAGTTATATATACGGTGCAATATATCCCAGAGATTCACTTTTTTAACAATAGCGAGGTTCATGCATTATTTCTGTATGTTCTCAGTCTTGACGTTTCGGCACTCAACTCATTTATTTTCAAGGCAAAGCCAAGTATTACAACTTCTGCGGCCTACCTTGCGCTCGTCTCGATGCCGATAAACCTGTGTACAACAATATTGCTAGCTTTCACCCACTGAGCGGTAGTCTTTCTTTGGCCCTTGACGCCATGCTTTTTTGGGCACCACAAGCACACTTGAACGATCTTCGAAGGGTGTGGGTAGATAAGTGCCTCAACTCACCGCGGTGGAAAGACTACAATGCAAAGCTCATGACGGAGTGGACCGGAATCACCATCTATGTGTGTATCATCAACTTAACATCGCACTTTATAACTTTATCCTGAGGTCATTCCCACCAGTCCACCGTCATGTTAGCCGTGGATGTGAGTTTTCTTGCAGTGCCGAACGTGAACATTTCCACATCGCAGTCGATCGGGATCATTGCTACCTATCTCTCGATCATCTTGATAACTGGCTCCTTGGTCGTCTCAGTCCTGCTGGTCCGTCAAAACCAAAGATATGGTTGTGAATCAGTGGACAAAGCGGTAAATCGTTGCCTTAGCGCGCATCTCTCTTAGGCTAACCAGTCTGCACAGGGAGACTTCCTGTATAATATGACTGACACGTTTTTTGGGGATAAAGGCCTTGCGACGGTCAACAGTCTTCCTTACGCGATGCTCATGTGGGGGTGGGTGGGATTGATATTCTATGGCCAGGGCTAATGACAGTTACCTTTCCCCTTACTAGGATGATCTACTTTTCAATTGCTCTACTGTACAATGTGTTCAAGTCTACGACAGTGGTCATGCTGGCATCAGTTGTCAGTGGATGTGCGGTGGTTACCATGTTTATATTGTGGTTCATCTGGGCATCAAGAGAGTTACATATCTTCAAGCGACTGGCTGAGCTCATCTTATCTGCTAGGAGTCGCGTCATAACACGCTTTGGGGTTCCATGAACCTCATATAAGACGACAAGAGTTTCCTAAACAACTTTGATTTCTCCGTAGATAACAATTCGACTCATCTGATACCAGACCACCCAACAGCCCACAGATTATTATACGCTGATGTATCCAAGAAATACTATATAATGATAACAGTCATGGAGAACGAAAACGAAATAATAGATGAAACAAAAAAGGCAAAGAACACGGAAGGTAAAATGTTGCACCCAAAGTTTAGTCGTTTGTGTCCTGGAAAGGGATGCAACAAACTTCGAGCATGCCTGTCTTATGGTGGTGAATAACATAATCATGCTCGTAGCATAAAATATCTAGGAATCGCTTCGTGAAGGTCTTGAACGAACCCGGTGATTCGCAGACAAAAGTTCACATCACAGCGGGCGTGATGTAAACTCAAGCCTGGACAGCCGTTCGCAGCAAAAAGTTGCAAGTTACGAAGAAGCCAGACCCCATACGGAGAGGAAGCATCCGGCTTCAACGATGAGCTGAGCCACTTCCGAGATGCATTCTCGCAACTTACGCAAATAGCCGTCGTGTGTCCACCTGGACGCTCGTCTGCACCAGTCAAGATTGTGTATAGATGATCTTGAAGGCGTTCGCGTCCAACTATGAAGCACCGAAGGTCTGATGAGGACAATTGGAGGTGGCTTTGGCCACCCTCGGCTAGGTGACTCCAACGGAGAATCGAAAGCGCATAGAATGAGGCAGGAAGGATCTCAGGAACATTACATTCTCGTGCGAGGCATATGGCCTCTAGGACACATTTTAGACCGATCTACAGGAGAAAAGGGAAGCTCACCAGCGGCATGAGGGAATGCGGTATATGTCATTTTGGTGAGGTCTCGAGGCCAGCGCAGAAATAGCTGACGTGTGCTCCATTGACGGAGGTCTGCAATGTCATATTTGTTGGATAGTCGTAGGGCTCCAGCTATGGTATCAAAGACGACAGTTTGGTTATTGAACTTCCTAGAGGCATAGTCATATACGATCACAGTTTGACGGATGAGGGGATGGCTCACTCGCGTTGGTACATCCATGTTAGGACGACTAGCCAGTCATTCGCGGAATCTTGCGACAAACTGACCAGAGGACACCCATGCATTCTCTCGATGTCGGCCGGCTGCGGAAGTTCGAGCATGTCCGCAAAAATGATAGAGCACATGAGCTTGCTCCGGTGAATCTTCCATGATTGCCCTTCAACACTAATCACGATGTCCCCATCGGCAAACCAAAACTGTGACTGCTCAATTAATGATTCGGATGTCCTCCGGTGACTCGTGCATTGTCGTTTCGCTGGAGGAGGCGTTATCTGCATATCCTCGCTGGCACTGTGCATCGTGGAAGAGTGATTAGTTTGAAGTTGTTGTAGTTGACATGATCGTAGTTCAAATTATGCATAGTGCCATTGATCTCACGTCGGTGGCGTGGAAATGGACGCGTCGCGTCTAATAGTGGGACCAAATTGTGGTGCTGGTAGTATACGTCATCGATATCATTCTACATCACCACCAGTATCATCTCCCGCAATTTCAAGTTTCCGTTTACGCACAGGCAATTCAGCACTATCACCATACCCTACGTAGTACGCCCGCCTTCTTCCGTAGCACCTCTATGTCCTGTTCAACCTCTTCCACCCACTGAAGTACAAGATATCTCCCAAGTAAATGCGTGTGTCGTGCGTATGCATTCTCCGCTTCCTGCCGGGTGAGGAACTCCAAGAACGCAAAACCACGCGAACACGAGTCGAACTTCTTCGGAAGACGTACGGATTTGAGATGACCATGTGCACTATATATAAGTGCAGGTTGAATGGGATATTAGACACGTAGACAGTGAATTGTACTGACCTAAACAGCTCTCTGATATCCTTCTTCGTAGCTTCAAATGGAACATTCTTCACTATCATCTTCGTCGACCTGCTCTTGGCGACTGTATTGTCCTTGGGCTCGTCTTCTGTTCCGCGCCCAGCGAACTTGACGTGCAATGAATGTCTGTCAAGTATAAAGCCCTGCATACCCTTCATAGCCTTCTTCGCATCTTCAGCCGTCTTGAACCCCACGAAGCCATACCCCATACTCAGCCTGGGGGCTTCAGCACCATGAACAGTAGGCCGTTTGGGATCAGGCTTGGTCTCGAACGAGAATCCAGAAGGACCACGGAAGACTTGCACCAGACGCTCTGCAGTGGCACTGAAAGCCAGATTCTTGACAAACGAAGTCGTCCCAGCAGACAAAGCAGGCTCGTCCGCATCAGCACCACCGCCAGCTTCCTGCTCGGCGATAGTGATCGGCTTGAATGCATTTATTAGCGTACGGTAAGAGTTCCCTGCTGCATCCTCAGTCTCCTGGAACATGCCCATCGGACCCTTCTTCAAGTAGATGGCACTACTTCCCAGACGTCGGTAAGCTACAGCTCGAAAAGCCTTGGCAGCTTCATCTGCCTGTTCGAATTCCACCACCACCATGGTACCTGCCAGTGGTACGATGACGCGGCTGAGTTCCCCATGTAACTCGAACATCTCACGTATCTGTTCCGCAGTAGTGCCATAAGGGATGTTCTTCACGAGTATCATAGTATCATCATAGTATCAGACCGCACTCGGGAAGAAAATGTCGACAAGATGACTCCCTGGGATTCAAGGTATGGCTTCGTCTCTTGGATAACGTGTCTCTGCAAGCGCAAGCTTGACCGCCGCATTATCTGACTCAGGATTCAGAATATCTGCCTTGGCAATTCCCATCCGACCAGCAATAGAGGATACCACTGCATAGCTCTGCACATGCATTGCATGAGATCTCGATATATAGTGCGTAACATGACAAAGGCTTGACGAACATTCGAGTACAACATACTCCAATTGAACTCCCGCCCAGCTGTGGCTTTACGCCGAGAACTCTTCTCATCTTTTAACGTTCGCTTTTCCTCCTCGCCCTCGAACTTACCTTTATGGTCAACAGCAGGAATGATGTGGAGAAGACGACCTTGGAAGGACGTCTTGTCCATAGGGTACCGCACGGGTAACACCGAGGGTCGGAAAGTTGACACCGCACCCGCACCCGCCAACACCGTACCCTTCACGGGTACGGGTACACACCGACCCGTCAATGTCGCGGTTTATGGAAAACACCGCGGTGTCTCTGAACACCGCGGGTACATTACCAAGAAGAGTGTATTAAGTATTAACAACAATGAAATAAAATAGTACTACTTTTCCTTGTCATTCTCCTCTGCTTCGACTTCATTTCGCTTCCGTTTTTGAGTCCTGACAGCGGCTAAAAGGTCCTCCATCACCAGAAGATCACTTCTGCCCCACGCTCCGAGGCAGAGAAAGGCACGAATTGTTGATGGTGCGAGTCGGTTGCGAGTAAAATGAAGGAGCTGCCGGCCCTGCGAGAAGACACGTTCAACCGCAGTTGATGTTGCTGAGCAAGATAATAAGTATTGATTGATTGAAAGAGGATTCGAAGGAGACATACCTGGGACAGAGAGATAGTCGAGTGCCATCCGATGCAGCATTGGATAAGCACGGCAGTTGTTTTGCCACCATGCGAGTGGGTCCTTGGTTTTCACAGTTGGTAATCGAAGAAACTCATCCAACTCGCTACTAGTAGTACGAGACATGGAACCAAGTGAGTAGTCACCAAAGTCATCCTCGTTCTGTATAGTTGTCAGTGTCAGTGCAAAATTAAATGTTGCATACGGACTGTGTCTGCTTCAATGTCATCAGTAATCTCGGCAGATTTCTCGTATTTATCAATAAACTCTTCGTGCTAGAATGATTCACGGGGGTACAAAAGACATGACAGAAATCAGTATAGCATTCACTTGTGATCCTCAAGCTCTCAGAGGAAGGAAAAACAGAGAATCAAACACGGTGTTCAATGGCTGTCGCGCGCCTGGTTCCCGATTTGGTATATTATACCCGCCCAAACACCGTCAACCCGCGGTGAATGGCCACGGTATGCTCAAGGGTACGACTATCCTACTCCGTACCCGTACCCTCCAAACCCGTCAGCATAGAACCGCGGTGTTACCCGTACCCGTGCGTTTCCCTAACTTGTCCAATGTCTCATGCGCCGAGACGGCAGACTTAAAAGTCACGTAGGCTAGACCCTTCGATTGCTTAGACAAGTGGTCGATGGGTATATGGACCTGTTAGGATAGGGATGAGTCAGCGAGGTGATCAGCGACACAAATTATAAAATGGGAATAAAAATCAGATAAATTTTCTACTATTGGTTCCCGGGGATCAGCAAATCCTTGGAGGATCAGATGTCCCTAAATGTTTATCATCAAGAAAAAGCGAAAGAAATGGAGAATACATGACAAGGCTACGGGATACTCGCCTGTGCAATTTCCCCGAACGGCTGAAATAGCTCCATGACCTCGGCTTCCGTACATGAGAAGGTAAGATTTCGAAGAAGTAATCGAGACGTGTGCGTAATCATCTTTGTTGTCGAGTCCTGGTGTTCCTCAGGAATGGCGCCAACCTGGTGCTCGTTGTCTGATTGCTCAGACTTTATCGAGTGATGAATCTGATACCAAGTTCATGCGTTGTCGCATCAATCGAGGTCCGATACAGTTTCGTTATTATCTGGTCCATCAGACGTCGCCGTTGTCTCTGGAGAGACGACCGGCAGTACTGGATAAGATTCCTTAGTTTCATTTGCCCACGACGGACCATTTATTGTGCGGGGTTGCATGACATCCATGAAGTGATCTAGCGGAGAGGCTGATGTTGCAGGAGCTGGAGCGCTTGTCTTACCATTCTTGTCCGCCTTGTGAACGTGTGGTCGCGATGACGGTCCTGGGTCCGCAGCGATATCTTCCAGGCGTCTTCTCTTATTTGGTCGAGGAGCTAGAGCATCCTTCACGCCTTGCAGATATATTTGTAAAACGAAACACCGACACTTGGGAAGCAAGAAAACTTACTGCGACAACCATGACATTAATTCGCAGTCGAGTCGATGAACGTGCAGTCAAACGACGAAACCGAATCGACGCGATGTGCCGTCCTGCTTGAGTGAAAAATTCAGATCTGTGATGGTTGCAGAGGGAGCACCTTGTTGTTCGAAGTGCTTTATGAGGCGATCTGGCGTGAGGTACGCGGGTAGATTTTTCACAATCAAATGTGAGGACAAGAGCAACACCAATTCAAACTCCGACTGGACGTACCCGTCTTTGTCATTGCACAAACTGGAAGCGGGGTTCGAGCTTGCACTCTACTGGTAAGTACTCTTGCCCTCAACGAAAGAAAAGGTATTTGTTGGATGTGGTGAGATGCATCGATGTGTATGACAAAATGACGTACGCGGAAACGAGTGAATTACCCTATTTGTACTGTGTTGGAGCCTTTTTTGAAATTCCATCGGGGCAACTTTCCGACATCATCTCAAAGTCCAAACCTCGAGTGTTTCTCTCTGACGCGTTCACCTTTCGAACGTCATCTCAAAATCCGACCTCGAGTACTTCGAATTCTCTAGTACTTCTCGCCTTTGTTAAATGTGTCCGTTACCACCTGCCATAACACCCTCGATAATTCTACCCCCATGCCAATCACGTACATATAGCATCGTTCAGCTTTTCTATGCAGTGCACTATGCAATACATTGGATCCCACATTTTGCCTTAGTCCTTGTGCTACTAGAATGAGTACCACGTTTCGAACAACCTATGATGAGAGTAACATGTTCGATCTGCATCACGGTACACTTTGAGAGTCACAACACGTCCCCCAACTCACATTAGCCTGTCGCTTTCACTGTTGGCTGACCTTGACATTGCTCTCCCGCTAATCCTAGTTTAGTCCGCCTCAGCGCTTACTGCAACCACACAAGCGCCCTAGACTACCCTCAACAACATGGAAATACACGTGTAACATTACCTCAACCCTCAACCCCTTCCTCTCCCTCTCACCCAAACTTCATCCACAGTTCCCAAATCCCCATTCCCGTCTTCTTCTACTACCCTTTCTGTCTACCATCCAGCCCATCCTCAATCCTGGTCGTTTTGCTTCATCGCACTATCATGCCCGGTAGCTTAGAAGGCCGATATATCAGACTTGAGAGTGAGTTGCTTCATACCACATTCGTATCTGTTATCCTCACATTCTATCTACAGTTATCAGTGGAAAAAATATCAAAGTTCCCTCCTTGCGCATCCCCGCAGGCATCCATGTGTCCGTCAATCTCGACTCGAGCAGACGCTGGAAATCAACAATCGGTGTCCTATCATCCGACGAATCTATAACGTGGCGCGATAGTGTGACCTTGTACATGTTCATCCAGACTTTCCGACGCAACTCGAGGACTGATCTTGTGTTTGTAGATCATCAGATGCGTCGCCTACGTTATCAGTGGAGATCAGGGCTTCCTTCGAGCTCGATTGCATGCTAGGCAATGGAGAAGTTGTCGGAAAACTTGACAAATCATGGGATGAGCTGCTAGATCATGGAAATGAGCCTTTCGGTGAGTAACCTCCTTCCCACTCATGCGCGTACACTCACATCTTGTAGACATCTCCTTTCCGTCTGTTCACTCTTCCCTCACACTAAAGGCCACGGTTCTACATGACTGTGACTATCAGGACAGCGCACTGCCTGACGTGAGTAACATCAGCCTCTGTGTTGTTCGCTTTTGTAGACGGAACACCTGCTGTAGTCCATCGTTGAGTGTCAGATTGCTCAAGACACGGATGCGGGCCATGAACGATTTGCCACATACGTGACAAGCAAGACGGTCTCTCACCTGAATGATGCTGTAAAGCATTTTCAGTTGGTCCTGGACCAATGTCCAGTCGGCCATCTTCATCGGGCAGCGGCTCTCACCAACCTTGCGTGGGCTCGCCTTAAAGGCTACATTCGAAACGATTTTCAAGACATCGACTCTATCACTTCTCTCTTCCGCGAAGCCCTTGCATTGCGTCCGCAAGGCCACCCCGATCATCCCTTATCCATCTATAACCTCACTGAAGCGCTGACCTGGCGCTACAGCAAAGAGAACTTCGCCGTCGTCTATATCCAGGAATGCGCGCAACTGTCCTGCAAGCTATTGCCCCTCTGTCCAGAGGGCACCTACCTTCATAGCATCGCGGCAGGGGCAAATGGCGTCGATTATGTGATCCGCGAATGCAACAAACTTCCAAAAGACGCATCCGATGAAGGCATCCACCTTCGACGAGTCGTACTCGAGCTTTGTCCTCTGGGCAGCGCACACCGTCCGAAAGCACTCGACAAGCTTGCACAGGCAGTTGAAGCACGCTTTGACCAGCGCGGCACCATTGATGATCTAGCAGAGAGCGTACAACATGGCCGTGAAGCCGTTTCTCTGTGCCCCAAGGGACATTCTGAACGCGACACCTACCTGAATAACTTGGCCTACTCACTCCGGTCCCGCTTTGATCACCAAGGCAACTCAGATGACCTCAATGAGGCCATCTCTTTGTATGAAGAAGCGCTGCGCCTGTGCCCTGTTGGGCACAAATCTCGTGATTTCTCATTGAACAACCTAGGACTCGCCCTCTGGACCCGTTTCAAGCAACGTGGTGATGTTAACGACATCATCAGATCCATCAGCCTCCAGCGCGAGGCACTGACGTTGTGCCCGCCTGGGAATCCATATCGTGATTACATGCTTAACAACCTTGCGCTCGGGCTCGAAACCAGATATGAGAAATTAGATGCCAGCGAGGATCTCGACGAGGCCATCAACCTCTACCGGGATTCACTTCAGTTAAGGCCGCATGGCCATCCACTTCGCTATTCAACTCTTAACAATTTGAGCTCGGCGCTCCGTTCTCGTTTCACGCAAACTCGGAAGAATGAAGATATCGAGGAGGCTATTCGACTCTGCCAAGAGTCGTTGGAGGCTTTGCCTTCACTGCACCCTAAGAGATATTTCAGCTACATGTGGCTGCAGGAAGCCTATTTATCTCGTTTCAGGGTGCAACGCGAGTCTGCTGATTTGTCCCTTGCTGTAGAAAACTTCAGACTGGCATCACAACATCCCACTCAAGGACTCCCAGAACGCATCAACGAGGCGATCAATTGGACTTTTGCAGCGGGAGAGTCACAGTCATGCCTCTGCACTAGAAGCCTACAAAATCTTTTTCGAGCTTCTCGACAGACATTTGTCAACGCGATCTTCAATTGTTGCACGGCGCGAAGCTGCTTCTGCTTTTCGTCGTGCCAGAACATTGCCTGTGGATGCGGCATCATGTGCCATACGCCTTGACAAACTACGAGACACAATTGAACTTGTGAGCAGGGCCGCGGCCAGCAATGGTCCTTGGCCTCTCGTCTGAGAAGTCCACTTGAGGACCTCGAGTCGACAAATGCCAACCTTGCTCACCAGTTCTCGGAGCTCAGCAAGCGTCTGTCTGATGCTCAGGGTTCCGCCGGCAGTGCTGATCGAGCTGCTGCTGATCGAGCAGCGATACAGCACAGGAGACTCCAGCAGCAGTGGGGAGCAGTGGTAGTTGAGATCCGGAATCTTAAGGGTTTCTCGCGGTTTCTTGCTCCCACCTGCATACCAAGACTTGCAAGCGGCAGCGCGTCATGGCCCAGTCATCATCCTCAATGCGAGTCAATATTTGTGCAGCGCCATCGTTGTCCCGACCTCAGGAGAGCCCCACCACGTCAGCTTCTCGCGTGTCACTCTCACACATCTGGAAAAGCTCAAGAGTGACTTTGCAGGGAGATACGACTTGCATCTTTTATGCGCCCAGAGGAGACGAGGAAGGAATTGCAAGTCCTCTTGAGGACAGTGTGGGACGAGATCATGCTCCCCATCGTCATCGTCCTCCAGCGTGATCTCAGAGTAACGAGTGGCTCTCGAATCTGGCTGTGTCCAACTGCAACCTTCACTTCCATTCCTCTCCACGCAGCTCACCCCTTTCGAACGAAGGCAGACGGACGGCGTGAACTATGCCTGGAGGACGTCTATATCTGTTCTTACACGCCGACCTTTCAGCTCTGATCAGATCTAGGCAGATGATGAAGAAACGTGTGACTCCGTCATTCGTCGCAATCGGACAAAGTTCACCGGGTGCGGGGCAAGGCGAGGCGCTGTTGACTGTTGACAGCGAGCTTGAGCTCGTCCGCAAACTCGTCCCCGCGACGGCCAACTCCACCACTCTCTCCGGCGACGATGCCACTCGAGCAGGTGCACTCGATGCTTTACAACGCAACACCTGGGTGCACCTCGCTTGTCATGGGAAGCAAGACCGCGAGCAGCCTTACTATTCATGTTTCGCCATGAAAGACAAACCTCTCACGTTGCTCGATATCATGGAGAAAGACATTCCTCACGCTGAGTTTGCATTCTTGTCGGCGTGTCATACCGCTGTTGGCGACGAGAAGACACCAGACGAAGTCATCCACCTCGCAGCTGGACTCCAATTTTCAGGGTTCAAGAGCGTCATTGGCACGCTGTGGGTGGTCGACGACGCTGTCGCAAAACATGTTGTCGAAGCTTTCTACAAGAAGATGGTCAAGGGTTTGGAGGATGGTGATATGATGGACTGTACGAAGGCGGCCTGGGCACTCAACCGTGCTACAAATGCCGTGAAGACGAAAGTGCCGCTCGAGCAGCGGATGGTTTTCATACATATTGGTGTGTAGTTCTATGTCTCATTGTTTCGATATCGTACAGTTCTTCAGGTTATTCTCTTTCGTCTATGCTGTACTTAAAGTTGTAGGAATTAGTGTACTGCCCTCTGTCGCACTCCCATGCTCCAGCTATCTTGTTTTCGCTTTCGCAAGTATTGTTGTCTGTTCTGGAGTCTTCAGCCAAGTCATTCGTTGCTCGATGACAACGTGTGTATTTGAATGTTAGTGATATCGTTTTTTCTGCTGACTCTGCTCGGGCACGAGTCGTCCTTCTAATGAGTCATCCTTTAAGTTCAGAATTCTGGAATCGGGCCCTTACCTCGCAACTAAGCGCCCCGTTATGCTCTTTCCATGACATAAATGCAGTATACATACTATGGACCCGTTCATACTCATACGCAGGCACCGAGTTGTTGCTATCACACAGTGACCATGTCTGTAGGCGCCTATAGCCCCCCAAAAAATTACGTAGATCGAATGTTGGGTGACGTGGCGACAGAAACGTGTAATAACTACAAGACCCGTGTGATGAAATGCTGATTGTGAAAAGATACACCAAAACATCGAATGAGTACTGTCCCACAGCAAAGCGGTACGATTGCCAGTTAGAAGGTACCAAAGAACAGTTGTCACATGTGGCTTGGAGCCGCGCCAGAAGGAGGAAAAGCGGCGGAGGGTGTGTTGACTTGGTGCTGGAGTGGGACGGTTATGTGGCTCATGGGATTGGGATAGACGAGTGCGCAACTGCCAACGTATTTGTCAAAGCATTCAACCATAGATGGAGACATATACATTGGTATCTGGCAGTGCACCATCAAAAAAACCCTGCGGGTATCCGACGGGCACCTTTTATCTCTAGAACTGATCGTGGTGTAGCATCTTTGACGATAACGGAAAGGTCCCATGTGTATATGGCAGTCGGCGCAGCTAGTGATGAGGAACTTTCCATCAGGAGAAAAGGTTGCGGAGTTCACGTGGTCTTCATGGTGAAGTAGTGTTCCGATGGGTTGGTCGATTTCGAGGTTCAATAGTTGTGCTTCCTTGTCCAAGGGTGCTCCGCTTGCGCATGCGAGGATGTGCTCATTGGGAGATAGTGAAATGGTAATTGATGAACATTTTCCACTTGCCAACAACAGCCGTCCATGTGGCTGTGTCGAATTTCATGATGTTGAACGGCCGAGGTCCATGCCAGGCACGTAATGTTAACTCCAGCGTCCAGTGTTTGAGTAATTCGCGTGTGTTGGCATCCCAGATTTTCAACACTGCGTACCCGCCCCGTCGCAATCATCTTGCCATCGGTGAGTAGCAAACCGCCGCATTCATGGCTTCCATGGCTGTCTTGATTGTTCTGAAGATAGTATTTCCGCTCAACATCCCATACCCTGAATGTTCTATCCCAGGATCCGCTCACCACTCGCCCTCTGCCTGAACTCCAGCACACAGACTGCACTCTTATTGTATGTCCCATCAATGTTTTGATGACCTTGCCCGTGTCGACATTCCACAATTCCACTGCGCCTTCCGAACTCCCACTTGCTATGGTCTTACAATCCGGCGACAATGCTACGGCGTGCACTCCTCTTTTTTTGTCCTCCCATTCCTCCCAAAACTTCATGCCCTTCTCCAAGTCCCAGACTTGGAATGAGCCATCATCCCGTGAATAGGTGATGATCCGCTGTCTACTGGGTAGGTGTATGGTGTAGCTAGGGAAACGCACGGGTACGGGTAACACCGCGGTTCTATGCTGACGGGTTTGGAGGGTACGGGTACGGAGTAGGATAGTCGTACCCTTGAGCATACCGTGGCCATTCACCGCGGGTTGACGGTGTTTGGGCGGGTATAATATACCAAATCGGGAACCAGGCGCGCGACAGCCATTGAACACCGTGTTTGATTCTCTGTTTTTCCTTCCTCTGAGAGCTTGAGGATCACAAGTGAATGCTATACTGATTTCTGTCATGTCTTTTGTACCCCCGTGAATCATTCTAGCAATTTATTGAGCTGACACTTCGTTGCAGAGAAGCTCGAGTCACTACCATAAAGCCAAGGCAAAAACTCGAGACCAGTAAGTCCACTGAGTCGTCTCCCCATGAAAACTAAGCTCACAAAGAAGGCATCTGATGCTTCGTCTACCCAGTCACACTCATCATCTAAGTCTATCTCGTCGTCCATCTCCGAGAAGGCCAGGTCACTCAAAAAGGCTGTTGCAAAGGGTGCTAAGGCTCTGGCCCGCCCCTTGAAGAAGGTCAAGCAGTCATTTGTGTCTCGGTCTTCTCGATCGAGCCCCACAGACACCGTTGATCTTACGCGATCAAGTACTGATTCACTTGCCACTGACGATAACAAATCAACGGCAGGTGCATTCGAGCCTGATCCCGATCCTTCTGCAGATCTTGGTATGTTTCTTTCCATTGATTTTTGCAAATATCTGATTATACAATGATACAGAGGCTCTCAAGAAGACTTGGCGGTCACCTATCTATAGTTTCTTTTCATCCGAAGTTGTGGTCCAACACCACAATGGCCGCTTGTGTCATTTTTTCCCGTGTGGTGCGCGTAAGTGTAAGACAGCTTTAGGTGGTGTGCGCCGCTATCAGGATACAAAGGATAAGTCCTCGACGACTAATCTGAAGCACCATGCCATTGGATGCTTTGGCGAGGATGCCGTCAACAACGCCATGAAGGGCAAGGATGCTGGTGCTAATAGTGGCTCTGTCTACGCAGCATTTGCACGCCAAGGCCAACAGCCCGTCCATTACTCCCATCGGACACACACGAACCCAGAAGTTCGGTAAATGATCTGAATCTGGATATTTTTGCATGCTAACATTAGTTTCAGTGCTCGTCTCGTGAAATGGATCACTGAAAGTAATCGCCCAGTTAATATAATCAATGATCGTGAACTCCGCGAGCTTCTTTGTGCAGGTCGCCCGAACATTGAACTTCCATCACCTGATGTATTGTCCCGCAATATCAAAGTAGCATTCGAGAAGTGTAGCGAACGCATTGGACAGCTTCTCCGTGTAAGCTTTTCGCTAACATCAGAAAATTGGCTAACACAATGGTTAGGATCACCCTGGACGCTTACACTTTGCCACGGATGCTTGGACTTCACCCAACCACCGTGCTTTTGTAGCGTGGACAGTCCACCTCGAGTATGAGGGTAAAATGTTTTCATTTCTGCTTGACATCATTGAAGTTGCCGAGGTACGTCACAGGCCATTTCGAATGCTCCACCGATCTTCACAATCTTATCTTATAGTCACATACTGGTGCTGCAATGGCGAAAGCCTTTCAAGCAATGCTTGAACGCTTTGGGCTGACGAAGAGAGTAAGCCGATCTTGAATATTGCAGAAATCATGCTAACGTGAAGATTGTAGATTCTTGCAGTCAATGCTGATAACGCGACTGCCAATGATACTCAAACAACAAAGCTTGCGAGCCTCGACAACTCGTTTGAGTCTGTCAACCGTGTTCGATGTTTTAATCATACTCTCCAGCTTTCGGCAAAAGCTTTGCTGAAACCATTCAGCTCCGAGTCATCAGCAGCATCAACATCTGAAGCCAATGATGATGTGGATGATGATGAGCCGCCACTTATGTTAGATGATGATTCGGAAGTAGAGGAAGTTGACTTGACCTCTGAGCTTGATGACGCTGATGACAATATTGACGAGTTGGAAATGCTCTCGCAAGCCAATCGTGAGAAGATGTTAGATGACACTGCCGCTGTCAAAGGAACTATTGCAAAGGTCAGTGTCTTAGATCCGCATCTAATACTAGCTAATATCATATGGCAGATTCGTGGTCTGTCTTTCGCTGTAATTCGTTCAACAACTCTCTTGCTCCCAGCATGGCGACGGGCATGTGGAGCATCACACTTGAAAGAAAAGCTCATGCCACGTGATGTTGCGACACGTTGGAATTCCACATATGACATGCTGGTCTTCGCGTTACAGTATCAGGTACCCATTGATCGCATAACGAGTGATAAAAGCCTCAGGCGGGCTAAAAAATATGAATTGGATGACGATGAGTGGAAAATTGTTGCTGACCTCGTTGCGGTTCTCTCTGTAGGTCTCGCTCGTCATACATTGTATTTATTTGTCTCACTTATTTTGATCCACCAGCAATACAAGAAGGCTACCTTGTTCTTCTCTCAGGACTCAGCCACTATCGCAGCCGTGATACCGGCAATGGACAAACTTGATAGCAAGCTCAATCAACAGACGAAGGAAGCATATCACCCTGCAGTTGTGTCGGCTATGCAGCTTGCAAAGAACAAGATGGATCGCTACTGGAAGATTACAGATCTCTCCAACGTATACCGCATTGCCATGGGTCAGCCTTTCAAACTTTCATTGACATCATTGATTAATCATCTTCATAAAGTCCTACATCCTGGCTTGAAGCTCGAGTACTTCCGTGAGCATTCCTGGGAGAAAGAATGGATTGACATTGCCGAGAAGCTCGTTCGCGAAGAGTTTATTGATAAATACGAGAAATCTGCCGAGATTACTGATGACATTGAAGCAGACACAGTCCGTATGCAACATTTAATTTTGCACTGACACTGACAACTATACAGAACGAGGATGACTTTGGTGACTACTCACTTGGTTCCATGTCTCGTACTACTAGTAGCGAGTTGGATGAGTTTCTTCGATTACCAACTGTGAAAACCAAGGACCCACTCGCATGGTGGCAAAACAACTGCCGTGCTTATCCAATGCTGCATCGGATGGCACTCGACTATCTCTCTGTCCCAGGTATGTCTCCTTCGAATCCTCTTTCAATCAATCAATACTTATTATCTTGCTCAGCAACATCAACTGCGGTTGAACGTGTCTTCTCGCAGGGCCGGCAGCTCCTTCATTTTACTCGCAACCGACTCGCACCATCAACAATTCGTGCCTTTCTCTGCCTCGGAGCGTGGGGCAGAAGTGATCTTCTGGTGATGGAGGACCTTTTAGCCGCTGTCAGGACTCAAAAACGGAAGCGAAATGAAGTCGAAGCAGAGGAGAATGACAAGGAAAAGTAGTACTATTTTATTTCATTGTTGTTAATACTTAATACACTCTTCTTGGTAATGTACCCGCGG